GATTGGCGGGCGGATTTTGGTGGCCAAGAATTAAAACGTTGCTTTTAACAGGACTCACTGAATTTTCGAAAAACCGAAGGGGAGCCCCTTAAGTTCAATGAAAATTCTGCTCATTTTCGACCTTAAAACATATGATTACTTTATCATCTTCGATAAGGAGTCCCTCACAGTGCGGTCTAAAACGGGTTAATGCAGTTTTATACCTAACAAAGCGGGTTAAATCCGGAATAATACTTACAACGCTACAAGAGAAAAAGCTTGGGTTTATCTTTCAAGGTCTTTGTCGGGCAAAAAAATGATGACTCAAACGCTCGAAAAACTGATAAGCTGAAGGCGACTTGAAAATCTTGAAAATCTATCTATTCAAATCTCCCACGTCTTCCGCTCAAAACGGACATGTTCAACGAGTCCGCCACGTTTTTGAGTCGAAATTTCCGAAACCCAGAAAACGCGCAGCTACTGGTTAGGAAGTCGATTTGATATTGAGTTTCTAAGAGGCCGTTGAGGGGCAAATTGCGAGTTTTCTCGTTACAAGTTTTTTGTTTTGAAAAGACATCGACAAGGCCAAGAGCAGTACTTGAACTAGAATCTCTTTTTCTCTTTGGAGATGTCCTTTGATTTGAGATAAGACAGGTGGAGATAAGTGTTAGGGACCTTAACATAGGGTAAGCCATAAATAAGGGTAAGGTATACGATAAGGGTATTGCTTAGACTAAAAAAACTTTTTAAAAAACCTAAGACAGAGAGAGAGCCCCTGAAATACTTGGATTGAAAAGTGTTGTCCCGTCAATTATCCGAAATAATTAATGGCTTAATCCTTCTTTGGCCTGTTTTCGTTTCATTTTTTCGCAAAAACAAGCTTCTTGGAGATTTAGAAGTGTGAAAAAATAATCGCGCTTTTCCTTTTTTTCTTGAATTTCTTTCTTGGTTACGCAACAGTGGCGGTTTTGATGATAAGTAGCGCAATCAGTCCTCGAAGGGGATATCGGTATTTAGCGGGGAAAAGGTCGGATTAGGCAGAGAACGCGCGAAATCACGTTTTTATATAAACGGAATAAGGATTTGGCATCATATAATCTTTTTTTCAAAATGCCCTTTTCGCGGATTCATTAGATCATATTTTGTCTGAGATCTTATATTAAATCCAATTACAACTAAATCTAAAAAGACTAACAGACATCTAAGAATCTTACAGACATCTGCAGAGATTACAAGACATTTTCGATTAAAAAAAGATCCACAGGCAAAAATTAGTTTCATATAACATCATAAGACATCTGAAGACATTTGAAGACATTTGAAGACATTTGAATACATTTGAAGACATTTAAAGACATTTGAAAACATTTGAAGACATTTGATGACATTTTAAGAAATCTAAAGTCATCTGAAGACATCTGAATTAATTTGAAGACATTTGAATAAATCTGAAATCATCTGAAGACATCTTAAGACATCTGAAGACATCTTCACACATCTGCAAACATCTATGAGCATCAAAGGACATCATTGGACATTATGAAACATTAAGGCAGTGTTTGACATCAATTAACATCAGAAGACGAAAATGGACATTACTTTTTGTATACAGACTTTTTATTGACATTGAAAGACATCGGCGGATATCATCGTTCTTTTCACGCATTTTTGTTTAAATTTGATCCATAGCGGAGCGATTTTTTAGGTTTCCTCAGAGAAAAATGATTTTCAAGTACAGCGGAAGCCGGAAAATCGGGCGACGTAATTTTTTCGTCATTTTCGAATTACAGAAATCTCCGTTTTCAACCGTCACCATCGTCAACCGTAAATCATTTTACAGAACAATTTACCATCTCGTTTTTCCTGAATCCTTCAATGATAAGCGCGCAATCGCGCATTTTAGAATTATGACAGGTTCTGGTCTTTGCTTACTCGGCCGATTTTTTTTCCCGACCGCGGCTGAAAATATCGCGCAAAATTCGCTGAATCGAGGCTTTCGAAAGGTTTAACTACGACTTTGGCATTAGCACATTCCTAACACGTGTTTGCGGTCGCAAACTGACGTGAGTAGATTCTTTTCTAAAATAATCAAAAAACTCTACATCTCTAACGCGCTTTTTCGAACTTTTCCATTTTTACGTCTTCAAAAAAACTACAGTACTAAGGGGATATGCTCCTGTGAAGGTATGAGTAATAATTCAAAAGGTGTTTTCTAGGCTCGGCGACCTGTGTAGAAAGCCTGTGTCAGGTTCTCAAAAGTCTATTCTAAAAGCCGCGCAGCGGCTTTGTTGAAAAATAGCCGCTCTGCGGCTTAAAGTAGAAATTTTTGAGATAATGACTCATGTTTTCTACGCAGGTCTCGAAGACTAGACACTGTCTAGTAGACAGTCTAGGCTAGACTACAGGTTCTGAAAGATCTTCTCAAAGCCGCAATGCGGCTATTTCAAAATTTTCAAATTGAATGGAATTTTTCGAAGCCGCTCCGCGGCTTTGATTCAAGAAAAACCGCGACGCGGCTTTCAGTAGAGATCTTTCAGACCCTGACTCAGGTTTTCTTAAATTAAACCTAACCCTAACCGGAGCCCACTCTTGCAAATGTGGCACTTGTCTAACGGTTCCAGTACCGTCCCTTCGCAAAAACATTGAAATTCAGAAGTCTGACGGGAGTTGCTTTAGCGGTGAGATGAGCGCGAAATTGCCACTTGCCTCGATCTTAATGAATCCCGACGAGAAGCAAATTGCCGATTTCGTGCGAAGATTTCCCAGCTTGTAATCAAGCGCGGCAGAAAAACTTTTTACGCAAAAAATTATTCTTGAATTTGAACTTTTTAGGCTCAAGTCAAAGTGTGTCATAATTACATCTTCGTTTGTCAGAAAAAGAAAAGCGGTAGAGAAGGTGCTCAAAATAAACGATAAGGGCGCGCGGGTTGATAAGCAGGAGAAAAGGTTTAACGGGGTGGGGTCACGCGTGCCCAGCAATCTTTGTTGACCTTCAGAACAAACACTTGCGTCGAGAGTTCCGGCGCAGACGTGGCCTCCAATCAACGATGAATTTAGAGACAATTATGAACAGTTCTTTTTTCGCTTTGCAGAAGAATTAGGGGTAGATTTCGAGAAATTCATCGGTTCAAATATTCGACACGAATCGGCAAAAAAAAATTCGACAAATTTTGCGTGGGCGGCTTCTCGGCTTCTGATTCGCTGTTTCGCAAAATCCTGGCTTTTGATTGGTTGAAAATTTTCACGAAAAATTCATCGATTCAAAATTTTCGACACGAATCGGCAAAAAATTTCGACAAATTTTTCGTGAAAATTTTCAACCAATCAGAAGCCTGTATTTTGCGATCCAGCCAATCAGGAACCGAGAAGCCGCCAACGCAAAATTTGTCGATTTTTTTTCCCGATTCGTGACGAAAAACTTTGAATCGATGAATTTTTCGTGAGAAAATTCTCGAAAAACCTTAATCATAAGATACGTGTAAAGTCTGACGTGTATGTAAATTTTTCGACGAATCACCAAGAGCTTATCTTCACAGCGAGTCCAGTCCTTGTTTATGTTTATTTTGTTGCTGCGGTTGGAAAGAAATCAAACTCCTTGTGGCCCAGTCACGATGACATCGTTATTCAACATTTTAATCATGTTTTTCAGTTCAGCTAAGGGCGCTTTGTTTACGAATCTGATGTCATGCTTTCAAAACTTTTATTTCAAAACAAGGGGAATTTTTACTTCCTCGATGCATCAGTGATATCAAAACGGGGGTCACTAAAATCAAAGCTTTTGTTGAAACACTTGAGCCCTGGCAATTTGGAATCTTCTACTTCATCATCATTGAAATGCTCGTCTCATTGATTTACAGCAATCAGCGAAGAGCTCGAAGACGTCGAGAACTTTTCAGAGAGCGAATGGACTTACGAAGAGAAAAGAAGAATGCGCAGATCAAGAAGGAAATCGAAGAAATCAGAGGAGAAAGCAGAGAGCGCAACGAACTAGAGGCTTTTGAGACGACCAATGAAGAAAATGGCAACCGTGGATTCTTAGCGGTATAGATAGATTTGAGTTCTTTATGATCCACCGAATTGTACCTGACTGAACTAGACTGTCTAACATAAGGGTTAGGGTTCGGGTTAGATTGTCATTCCTCTGCACTTTATCATTTTCACGAATAATTTTCATTGTGATTATTTTTATCTGCCTTTGACTGTATCATAAGTTAGGATTCATAACTGCCAAAAACATACGATTTCCTCAAATACGAGAATAAAGAATTGAACTAAGCTCGTCAACTAATACTTTGTATTACAGACTTTATCGCTCAAAATTTCTGATCCTGAATTATGATCCTTCCAAGTGGATAATCTTCGGCGAAGAAGGAGCGTACTTACTGTCATGATAAGCGTCCGTGGTCGGAGCGCCTTCCCCTCAAAGCTGGTACTTTTTGACAGTCACTTCCGCATCTTCATTTCAACTTTTTCATTCGTCCCACGAGATTAGAGGGTATCGATTGGCGACCCGCTTCTTCCGAAATTTCCTTCAATTTTCTTAATTTCTAATCCTTTCGAAAAAATCGCTCAATCAGCTTTTCCAGCGACGCGATTTTTTCTTTTATAAGAGAAATAATAAAATTGAACTTTTTCACGTTCTCTATTCCTATCCATGTTAGAGCCGGAAATCGGGTTAGTTCAGTGTGAAATTGAAAGCGCTTTTTCCTCATTTTTTGAGAAAATCGGGAAACCGCCGATTGTGGAGTTTTGAGTTAGGGATTAGCTCAGACTACCGCTTTCATCTGTCACACTAAACTTGTTTCAGTAGAAAATTTTGTTGTTGTTTTCCATTAAAAAATCAACTTGTATGATTTATACAAACGCACAAAATCATAGAAAACAAGCAATGCAAAGTCTTCAGGACTTTTTAACGGATGTGAGCTTGGTGATATTTTCAACGGGAAAGCAAATACAACTGAACTTTACAAAGCTCAGAAAAAAATGAATAAAATTGAGTTTCTCTGCTTCTTTCAAAAGAGATGAAGAGAATATTTTTACTTTTATTTTCAGCTTCTGAAGCGAATGTTCAAGCTATAAAGCCTGTTCAGGTTGCAGCGGAATGCCCGTGAGTATCTCGGTTTCGCAGGTTTTTAAGTGAAATTTTAGCGATCAAAATATAGGACAAGTCTGTGACGGTCACTGCTATGCTCAGTTTATTGCTTGCAAAGATGCATGTAGTGAATCGAGTTGTGAGAGAACTTGTTTGATTGAATATACAGGTAGATTTTTATAGAGAAGAATTATTCTATTTTGGAATAAATACAGGATGTTATGCCGATTGTCCTTGTTATGATAATTGCCCGGATGGATGTACCGATTGTCCTCATAGTATTTGCACTTGCAAAGAACCACAGACGAACAACAAATTCTATCAGCAATGCTTAGACGAGAGATCTGACGAATTAAGTGCTTGCTTGAAGATATGCGCAGCAAACAAAAGCTGCTTCGAAAAATGTTTCTCAGTGTTCATTGAAGAATCAGATGAATGTCCTTGTATGGATCAATGTGAGCTTGGATGTCCTTGTGAGACAAAATTTTCTTGTGAACCTTATATAAGTGTTATGTGTCAGTTCGATGGCAATGGATATTCCTATACTTTATCCGCTGAAGGAAGTTTCAAGGGAGCGCTGAAATTGTATTGAGTTAATTTAAGAACCCTTCAAGTTTTTTTTAAATCAAATTTCTGAATTTCAAAATTTTGACTCCGAATCTCCGGTGTATTATATCTTGTAAGCGCTTTTCAAGGATAATCGTTATTATAAGATCCCTCCTCCAAACGAAAATAATATTGATTATCTTTGGAAATCTTCGAGTGCACTACTAAATGGGCGCATTTACGTTTTTGGTGGGAATTATGACGGTTATAAGGTAATTTAAAATAATCTTAGTTCCCTTTACTTTGATAAAGATCGCCTATATTGATGGCTGTGAATTCGTTGAGACACAAATAAGGCTTATCAACAAGTTTTATGCAACAGGAGGATCACTTGTGACCGTGAAAGAGGTGCATGATGAGGTGGTTATATGTGAAGGATACACAAATAAATGTGAGGCATTCGATGGGAATATTTCACGATCTTTACCAAATACGAGTATCCAACACAAATTTGCTTGCTTGGTTCTCTTAGATGGACAAGCGACGGCGGTCGCCGGAGAAGATACAAGTTCTGTAGAGACTTTGGCCGTTAGGTAAATTATATCATCATGAATACTAATTATCGCTACAAGCGGATGGATGAATGAGCCATCTCATCCTGCCGGAAAATTGAGTACCCACACTTGTGTTTCTATCGGTAATGGAATTATAACAGCTGGTGGAACAACAAGTAATGACAACAATGATGGAATTGGTTTTATAAGAGACGTTTTTCTTTTACAAAATAACAAATGGACTACGGCTGGCCAATTACTAAATGTACTCTGATTAAATCTCAAAAATTATTATCAAATATTTAGACTTACCATTATCCGTCAATGATATTTACGGGTTCTTACTTCATTATTATTGATGGACGATTAAGGTAGAAAATAATCCTGGTCTGGGACGGTCAAAAATACGCCTGGTTTGGGACGGTCGGGCCATTTAAAGATCAAAGGCGCACGCCTTGGGGGTGCTTTTTAATATGAAAGTGGCGCCAGAGGCGAGAGCGAAAATAATCCTGGTTTGGGACGCTTTGGCTGATTAAGACCGTCCCAGACCAGGCGTATTTTCTGTAAGTGATTAATAAACTTAAAAGATGCGTCATTATAGTCTCGCTGTTGAACGTGCTGAATGGTCAGGTCTTACGGTTACTTCTTCGAAAAATATTTCAACTCAAGAAACGCTCTGTTACCGTCCAATCATCTTTGAAAGCGATCCAAATAGATGCGCGAGTTTCTGTTCCGATAATTTTTGCTATGTTTAAGCTTCAGAATACAGTTATTGAATAAAAGCACCCGCGCCTACCTCGCGGAGTCACTCTGCGAATGATTAACTATTACCAGAAAAACTCTAGCAAGATTCATTCTAGCTTGCTTGATTAGTCGCTCTCGCTGACCTTGCGGATTTTTAACTGTGGCCGGCGCAGCTGGCACCTTTCTCGGTGAACTTTCATCCTTTTCAACTGTCAGCCGCTTCGGACCGCTTCGTGTGCCGTTTCATTTGCCCAATCGAGGGATTATGCTCTTATTGGTTAAATAACACGCTTTCCAGGTAGGGAGAAGAGAGTTTCTTTATTCAGTAATCATAGAAGGGCGTTTTGAGCTCGAGTTGTCTTTTCCGGAAGTCTCCACGTTTTACTGCGCTAAAGTTGTTTTGCACTTTTCGGATCAGCATCTAAACAAGGATTTCCACACTATTGAAATTTGACCCATCCGTAAAAAATTGAACCACAAACGAAGGGACGGTATGGAGCAAGGAAAAAGGTAGATACAACCCAGAATAATTGACGATTTTGAAGAAAAATTTAGCCGATTGTTCGTTGACGAATCAAAATACCGCATTGACAAAATTAAGATTAAGGATAAATTTTCATTTTTTCCTCTTTTGATTACCTCTAGCTCTCACAGGTTCAGAGTTATTCAAGCCTCAAGTTTTGGAAATCGAAGGTAATACGGTATTATTAATACGGTATTACTAATACCCTTAAGAAAAAAATCTGCTTACCTCAAGTAAAGAAGGCTGCTTTCTATTCAAAATAGCCTCCGCCCCGTGCGGGATGGTCACAAGAAAAAGAAGAAAAATGTTCATCGTTTTATTTTCTAACTTCTCTTCCAGCTAAATGCTTGTTTATATACCGAGCCAGCTGCTTAAAAATGCATCAAAAGAAAATCCGACGAGCGAGCTTTTCCTGCACTTTTATAAATAATGCAGTTAAGTAGAGCTGTTTTCAAAACAGACACAAGCATTTTCGCGGCCTTTTTCTTGGTTCTTAGACGGTAAACTTTATCCAGAAAGATTTGTCTAGATTTTGTCTGGGCGACAAAAAAGCTTGGTAGATAAAAACCCTTGTTAGACATAAAGGAACCATTTTTTAAGGGCTCGTGAGATGGGATCAATTAAGAATCTCCGGATTTCTGTGGCTTCAGAAACCTCTTATCTTGAATCAGATTTAATGGGCCGCACTTATCGACTTCAAATGGTCGAAAGTTTCGATTTGTCACTTACGCCATTATTCCTATTCGATTTGAAAGTGTTCAAAGAATCAATTTGTCAAGGACAAAAAATAAAAAAGGAAGAAAAAAATTAGTGCTAGGGGTTCTGATCCATCAGGAATCGTCCGGAGGACCTTCATTTAACACTGGTGGAAGACAAACTCTTGCTGGAAGAAAAAAAATCAGATAATTTATTTTGATAGTCTGTCAAGGTAACAAAAGAAGCCTCAGAAAAGTCCAGTAGATCAAGAAATCGAAGTTGACCTAAAATACGCGTAGGGCGTATACTAAGAATATTTTTGCAAGTGCGTGGGTAAACTGAAATGAAGCAAGTTTGTTAATGATAAGGTTGTATGTTTGACGGGGCTAGTGCCGTCAAGTTCGGCCGAATCAACACAGCTTTTAAAAATCTGCTCTCCGCTCTCAGCAGTTTTTTCAAAGCGAAGAAGAAAATATCAATTTCTAAAATCACGGAAATTCAAAATTAAAACAAGCTTCCTCGAAAAAACGATCCTCCGGAGAAGAAAATGAAATCATCCAATCTGATCGTGACGGTAATATGAAAAAGGGCAAATTCCACACCGGAAGAATGCTGCCGCGATTCTCCTTTTTCCATTTTGGAATTCTGATTCTTCTCGTTGTAATAAATCACGTGGGAAAATGACTACCCCGGGAAGGTTGCTCTTATAGCAAGATAAGTATACAAAAATAAGGGCTATGGAGAAGCGAAGATAAAATGGAACGTAATCAGTTTAAAAAGCCAAAAGAGCCGAACTCTGAGCGGGCAAGTGATAAAACGCAGCGGGATATCTGGACCTCGCAGGGCGATAAGCCGCATATCATCGGAGAGTGGCTTCTCTCTCACTCTCCTGCTCAAGGAACCAATTAAAATACTGTTTCCAATACAAACAGTTTTGTCTCCTTTTTCGGATTTGGAAGAATCTTAGATTCGAATGAAGGGGAAAACAACTGCATTTTGCCAAATTTATTTTTAGGTACTGAAATGGCCTTCCTTAAAAATCGGAAGATTCCATCATTGATACAATGATCGGTTTTGATCTTAATTATTCGCGCGTCAAAGCTATCAAAATGTCATTCAGTTAAAATTTTTATAGCATTCGTCATTCAGTGTGCCGATTCGGCACTGCCGAAAGTGGGCTTACTCAAAATTTAATAATGACAGTAAATGGACTGTTTTCTGAAGACTATCAATTTATAATGACTTGGGGACCAGTGTGGGTCACTTATTACCGTTTGGGGAAAATATGATCAAAAATTGTAAGAAATTTTTTCTTCAAAAATTCTATTTTCGACCCATTTTTACTGTGTTTCTTAAAGTTCGTCTTGAATGAGACAGTTATGTATGTGGGTCTAACTCAAAAAATATGCAACTGCTTTGTTGGCCGCAGATGAGTCGTGAAGTAGGTGCTTGTTATCTGATCGTGTTAGAATCCAGCAAACTTACAAGATAACATAACTTTTGCAACAATTGTTACAAGCGTTACATGGAGAACTCTAAATGAAAGCGAACATTTGATCCAATCAACTCATTTTCAGCATAATATTGACTGAACATATTCTAGAGCCATCTCTAGAAATTTTCTCTAGAAAAATATCTCTAGAATTATGGCCTGTGTTTCGGCTCGAAACTCTCGGGTTGGAGACTGGAAACACTTAAGGGTACTACCTTCGATATTCCCAATTTTTGAGAAATCGAAGGTAATACCCTTAATGTCCCGTTTTTGAGCCGAAATCATAAGTAAATAGAGCGATGAAATCTCTCAAGAATTTCGGCATTTGGTTCGGGTTAGAGATATGAAACCCTTAAGGGTACTACCTTCGATATTCCAAACTTTCGAGAAATCGAAGGTAGTACCCTTAAAGTCCCGTTTTTTAGCCGAAATCATAGTAAATAGAGCGGTGAAATCTCTCTAGAATTTCGGCATTTGGTTCGGGTTAGAGATAGGAAACCCTTAAGGGTACTACCCTCGATATTCTCAATTTTTGAGAAATCGAAGGTAGTACCCTTAATGTCCCGTTTTTGAGCCGAAATCATAAGTAAATAGAGCGATGAAATCTCTCTAGAATTTCGGCATTTGGTTAGGGTTAGAGACTGAAAACCCTTAAGGGTACTACCTTCGATATTCCCAATTTTCGAGAAATCGAAGGTAGTACCCTTAATGTCCGTTGAACTTGTCAAAACACCATCAAATGACAGTAAGTAAGTGTAAGGCTTACATTCGGTTAGCGTCTCGGTCAGTCCTTATCATTTTCGACCACAAGTTCCTCTCAGAGGCGGACAGGAGTTTGAGTGTTTGAGACGTGGCCCTCTGGTCAATGCGAGGTATAATTATTTGAACTCAGGCGAAAAACATGAAACTCAATTTTTCAAGTTGAGATGGAGCGAATTGTTCGGCTCTCCGGGGCATCGCGGCGGCCACTTGAATTTCGAGTGATTTCGAGCTGGCCTCGGAAATTGCAGAACTAAACGTGGGCATTTTTCAAACAAAAGGAAAGGGAGAATTCTTAACTAAGAGCTCCCCTCTCGGGCTCGATGGAAAAAGTGCCAAGGACTCTAACGGGAGGTGTTGATTGTTCAGCAGAATAAACTTTGCAAAATCAAGAGCGTACACGTACTGAAAAAGAGGAAGGATTCAATTGAGCATTTCTACATTCTAAAAACACATTTCGTGGGTACTTTACGAAGCGCTAATTATTGACGCCGCGCGTGTTTTGATGGGTTTAGACGAGCGGCTTTTAGCATTTTATTTCGTGGAAGATCATTTTTTTTTCTCTCAGCGCTGGCAGGGCTTGCCGAGCCGTGGCGGTAGTGACATGGCCGGATTCTTTGGGTCACGTGCAGGAATGTCAAAAAAGCCAGGTCCTCTCCATTTTTACGATCGCTTGCAACGTTAAGGCACCTGCTGTGTTGAAAATATTTTAGGGCTATCGATAGTGACAACGGGGACCCTCTTTTTTATATAAAGGAAAAAACGGTAATTCAAAATTCGAATAAAAGTTAAATCATGCGATTCTTGAGATCGTTCCCTGCGCCATGCAAATCCTAATTACCCTCGATCAGGGTCGATTTCACGTCGTTAGCGGTCACGTGAGCGAGTCAGTCTCCAAAAATGCATGTTTTCTTACTACCCTCGCGGTCAGCCCAGATTATTAACAGTAGCTCATCGTTTTTTGGATTTGGATTTCTCGAATTGGATATTTTCGAGTTGCGCGTAGATCAGCATTCTTGTGGATTCAAGAAAGTCCGCGGAGAACGATTACCGACCCCGAAGCTGTGGTTGCCTTTTAATTCGTCCTGTGGTCCAGCGATGCATATATTCGAAGGTACAATTCAAGCACACCAAATATGCGTCTAGCGAAGAAACGCCGCTTTCAGATATGCTAAGTTCGGGAAGATAAATTGAGACTTTTTCAACTTGAAAGTTTTTGGAGAAACACTCATTTAGAATTCATTTTTTCAAGATACGTTATCAGTGATTCTTAATATAATATAATATAATTACTATTCAATGTATAATTTTTATTACTACTAAAAATTTGATGTGTTTATGAATTCTTGATTGAGCCTTTTATCATTTCCTCCGTAATCTCGACATGTGGCCTCAAACGATTGCATTTGCGAAATGACGCTTTGGGCATGTTGTTTTGTTTGTTGTTCGTATCGCTGAGTCCGGTTAAGTCATGTTTTTTTCCAACGAGCTCAGCAGGCGCAGCAACTCTTCTAGGGCCCAAGCACACGTGACAACTTCGAGTCAATTTGCCTGAATTATTAAATGAAATATGTAAGTCATCAAGTGCTCAAACATGAGGTTGAAGAGTTTTTACAAAGGAGACAAATAAGACCAAACAGATAGAGTCGGTTGCGTTAAATAATTCCGTTTTCACCAAAAATAATTTTCGAATATTGATGAATCATAAATTTTCTTGTCCTCTATAGTTCAGATTCTGAACTTCAGATATGAATTTTTATGATGAAAATTCAAGAAAATTGAAAAAAGGACTAAACCAATTTATGGAAGTGCATTTTCGGATAGCCAATAAGATTGCTCTATTTGGCCTTCCGGCCAATCAAAACCCTGATCCATCAAATCACTTCCATAAATTGGTTAAACCCGAAAGGAATTATTTAGCGAAATATTGGTTAGATAATTGACCAATAAGATGTCGCCTTTCGGCTAATTGGCCAATCAGATTTCGGGAAAAGAATGTGCAAAAATACATTCGAATTTCGCAATAATTCTTTCCGGCAATCTGATTGGCCAACAAGCCGAAAAGAGACATCTAATTGGCTCAAATCTGACCGCGGAATTGTGAAATCAAGGAAGAGAATTTCAATAACTCGATTTTTCCAGCGCCAGTTATTCCAAACTTGCACAAAGTTTATATCGATACGATCAAACAACAGTTGATTCGGGGCTATATGTTTTCTAAAAATACGAGAACGTGTTTAACGAGTGGCGCTTGGAGGTTAGCAGATGGATGTTGGAGTGTGTTTATCAGCAACACGGACAAACGAAAGCTGCCACGATACGATATTAAATGCTTTGATAACTCAGTTTCTAAATCGCATGAATAAAGCCTATTCCGAAGAATTTTCATGTGTTCGAACATTTTCGATAAGGCGCGAAGATTTGCTTTCCTAAGGACTTCGGATGGACAAGCCACTGGCCATGTTTGGCGGAGAAATGGTGAACTTCTAATGCTGATTGTTCAGAGAAACTTCTGGTCTTTAGAAAAAATGAATCATTTTTTCCCAATTATAATTTCTTTTAGGAATCCCTTTCCTCGAGAACCTGTGTAGAAAACCTGAGTCAGGGTTCGAAAAATCCAAAACGAAAAGCCGCGTAGCGGCTTTTTAAAAATAAAGCCGCAAAGCGGCTTTGCCAGAAATCATATTTTGATCCATATAAATGGTAGTTTTGCGAAGCCGCTTCGCAGCTTCGTTTTTTAAAAGGCCGCTACGCGGCTTTTCGTTTTGAATTTTTCGGACCCTGGCTCAGGTTTTCTGTTTAGGTTGCAGAGGCCTGTCTTTACCAAAATGGTTATATATGGCGGAAAAAGACCAGCTTATTCTTTATTGAAAAGAAGATGTAACTATGAGTCATAGTTACATCTTCTTTTCATAGTCTATGACGGGCTGTTAAAGTACCTGCCTGAGCAGATATAAAGCTGGACAGATGAAACACGGGCGCATCGATATTGATTTCAGCGGGGATAAAGAGGATATGACGGGCGCATAAATAAGTGATGCATTTTTTATTCTCTCTCTATATGATTTTTTCTCGAGTCATTCCGGTTCTCTCGTAAAAATGCCGATTCCAATCGAAGAGATAAGCAACATCATTAACGACGATACTCTCATTACAGAGAGCACAATGCACGATCACAAAATGGAAATCCGAACAGGTTCGTTTTTTTCGAATTTCGACTTTCGAAAATAATTTTTTTCAGGAAATTTGTTCAAAACATATGGTTCGGCGCTAATTTCCGCAGCGGCTCTCAGCGTTTGAAATTTTCGAGACTCGCGAGCGGCTCACTTGAGAGCGAGCGAGCACGAACATGATGCTCTTCGTGCTCCCGAGCGCATTTATTTCAGCGTTCGCGCTCTTTGCGCTCGCAAGCACATTTTATTTCGCGCTCTCGCTCTCCTGGCTCCCGAGCACTGGTCAAATTTTGCTCTCGCTCGATTGGCTCGCGAGCAGAAAAATCTGACTCGCGAGCAGCTTTCAAGAGCCTAAAGTGATTCGGCGACCCCGTTACTAATTCCAAATGAGTCCCTCTCACAGGAGTTAGCACTTCGCGGTGAGCATCTTTTATCTGTTTACTCTCAGCTTTTCGCGTTCCGCTGCCGAGATTACGGACCTAATGAAGCTTGAAGAAAACGGAAACACGAAAAATTGATCCACGAGAGAAATTTATCCATGAAAGTGAATAATCATGCAAAAAATTGTTCCTTTAATTTTGCTCGCGAGCCGCTCGTGAGTCAATTCCATGGCGAGCACGAGAGCAGCCGCTCCCGCTCGTCTAGCTCCCGAGCATTGCCGACATATGCGCTCGTGCTCTCCGCGCTCGCGAGCGGTTTCAAATTTGGGCTCGCGCTCTTTTGGCTCTCGAGCCAACTTCATTTTCATGCTCCCGCTCCCCTGCTCTCAGAGCAATGATAAATTTTTGCTCTCGCTCTTTGCGCTCGCGAGCATTTGCGAGCATTTCAAACTCTGGCGGCTCTTGCGAACTCGAAAATTTTCAAGGTGATATTTTTCGCGATGGCGGCGTTTTCTGTCACTGCCCTTTTGTATGCTATCGTCAGAGTTTTGCTGAAGTACTTGTGCTATATTCACTTGAAGAAAAAAGAAAATTTCACTAGGAGAAGAGGAAAACGAGGACTTAGATCAGGTACTTCATCAAACCTAGGGTGGGCAAAAGGTTGGAGGGCTTGGGGAAGCGCTCGATTCTCATTGGCTCACGCAGGGAACACCGACGTTTCATTGGCTGAGAAAACCCTTACCCCCCAAAAACGCCCCCCGAGGGTATCGCCCACCCTAGTGTCTGATCCGCACCAAAATTCAGTTTTTTTTCTAGTCGTCGATTTGTGGGAGCTGGTATCATTTGGAACAGAAGATTTGATGAAGCCGGCAAAATATTCGATCGTCCGCGAAAGAAGAAACGCCTTTTCTCAGTCTCATCAAGAATCGAGCTGCTCTGCTTTTTCAGGCTTGAATTCTCCTACACTTGACATTCCACTTGTCCATCAGGATGACGAGTACTCGATCATTGTTCCTAAATCTACTCCTATGAAGAAGAACAAGAAAAATCTGAACACATGAATGAGAAAAAATAAATTAGAAAATTGCAAAAATAAGAAAAAAGACCGCCTTATCTGTGTCACGTGATAAAAGCAGGAATTGCTCAAAGTCATGTTACCGTGGACCCCCATCTATACCAATGCATAAACTGTCCGCGGCTGCTCATAATCATTTCATTGCCTTTACCTTTGCCAAATTTGTCCAGGCAAATTGCTTCGCGGCCCCCTTCTGATTCGCTTTTTTTTGTTTCCATTGATTTGCTTTTTCAAGAAAAAAAAAAGAAACACAAGAAAAAAGAGTTGTTTCAAGCGAGATTTTCACTTCGAGGTAAAATGTCAAGAACTAATATCTGATTTTTTCGCGAAAAAAGCTCGATTTTGAAAATCTTCAAAATTGACCACCCGCCGATTTTTACGTTTTTTACGCCTTTATTGGCTTAGTTAGACAAAAAAACGGGGTCGTAAACTTAATCACTCAAAAAAAAATTGTCGCACCATCTAAAACAGAAAAAAAATCATCAAATATTTCTTTGAGAAATCAAAAAAATGGAAGAAAGAGAAAAGATGAACAAGGAGAAGAAAAGCAATCTGGACAGAATTTTCGATGTAATAGACGAAAATGCAAAATATCCGAGATTTTTATGTGCTGGCTTGAGTTTGATTTTGTGGACAGTTGCTGGATCTTTTATTACAAGTGATGTGATTCTAGCTGCTCTCCCAGGTATTCAAAGGACATGATATTTATTAATTAGAGCATAATCGAGGGGTTCGACCTAGATTTTTGATTGGAGATTGAATGGTTAGTTCATTTATTTAATTTTCATTAAATTGATTATCATAAATAAAAAAAAGTTATTCTGGTTTTCACTTAATTTCGTCTAGAAAATCGATCCAAAAACTGCACCGAAAATGGTCTTCCTATCGAATATTCTTTCGCCAATAATTGGACTGAAAATACCGCTGCAATCCATTTCAGTCTCCTCTGCGATCGGGAAAAAGTAGGTCTTCTTCCTTGATTTCACCTCCTCATCTTGCAACTAGCTCGTTCACGACTTCAAAACCGGGACGATGATGGGCCTCTTTCCCGGTGTGTTACTCTCCGGCTTGATTTCTGACAAGTTTGGGCGAAAAACTGCGATGGTCATTTTTTCCTTCTTATCATCCTTGGCAGCGCTGTTTACGCGAATTCTTGGGCCGCAAAATGTCGGATTTTTCATTATTGGGAGGATTTTTATGAATGGCTGTGCTCATGGAGCTAGGAAAGTGTTTTCTGTTTTTGGGTCAATTTTGATCGAAGGACAAAAAATGTAAAACACTTTTAACAGCGTCATTTGCTTTGTGTATTTGACCGAAATGAGCACTCCAAAATTCCGAACTCAAACGGGCATGTTTGCTTGTGGAGTGATTTTCAGCTTTGGCGTTTTTCTGAATTCGATTCTTGGGTTCTTTCTTGACTCCTGGTTGGATATTCTTGTGGCGCTGAGTATCATGCCGACTGTCAGCTTTTTTGTTTGGTATTTTGTGCCAAGGTAGGCTTTGGCTCAGATTCCTGTGTTTGAAACCTGAGTCAGGGTCCGGGAAGAGTTTCTTTGGGCACTTGGGATCCTGACTCAGTGTTCTGTGCTAAAACCCTGAGTAAGGGTCCTAGAAGAGCTTCTTTGGGCTTTTCGGGACCCTGACTCAGGATTCGGTGTTTAAAACCTGACTCAGGATCCTTCGAGAGCTTCTTTGGGAGGTAAAGGACCCTGACTCAGTTTTTTGTGTTAAAAACTTGAGTCAGCTTTTTTTGGGTTAAAAGGACCTGACTCAGGTTTCTACACAGGTTTTTGAGAAAACTTTTTTACAGCAATTTTAAGGTCCTATCGTTGGTTATTCTCAAGTGGAAAATTCATCCCAGCCAGAAATGCTCTCAAGCAATACAGTAAAAACTGTGGCTCGGAGCTTTCAGAAGAACTTCTTCACGAAATCCTTGAGGAGCAAAAAGCCCTTGCTTCTGAAAACAACGAAGATGTAAAAAAAGAAAAACTCGTCACTAAAGTCGTCAAAATCCTCGCTCGAGACTCAACCCGTTCTGTTGTTTTGAGGATGTTTTTTCTTTGGATGTTTATTGGAATGTATTATTTCGCGCTGCTGTTGCCTGCTGATTTGCCGGGAAATACGCTGGTTAATAATGTGCTGACGGCGGCGATGGAGGGATTGGGGGCATTGCTCATGGTTCTGGTGGTGAATATGGTCTGGTGCTACAGAACAGTTCTCATTGGAAAGGGATGCTTGCTGGCGGGAGTTTGCTCGATCGCCAGTAGTGTGGTGATTTACTTACAGGCAAGTTTTTGCCTAACAAAGGGGTTGATTTCAGGAACCGACAAAAAATTACGACGAATTTTGCGTAGGCGGCTACTCGGCTGGTGATTGGCCGGTAAGCCGAATCCAGGCTTCTGATTGGTTGAAAATTTCCATGCAAAATTTGTCGAAATTTTTTGTCGGTTCCCCTAATAAAGATCTCGTTTAGCATTGTGAGACACTTATTTTTCAGGCAAACTCAATTTCTTCAACCTTCGATCTCACTGTCCTCATTCTTCAATACACAACATTTTTCGCCGTCTCCGCCGTTTTCGCCCTTCTTTTCGTCTACACCGGTGAAATGTTCCCGACAGATATTCGCGCCACTTGCTTCGCGATATGCTCGCTTGGAGGAAGATTCGGGTCCCTGATTGCTCCGCAGATTGCGAAGCTAGGATTTATTTCAACTTGCATTCCCAAATTTGTTTTTGCGCTTTTGATGTTTGCTGTTTTTAGACTTTGGTATAGCCATTCTTTCGACACTCTTTTTCAACCTCTTTTTCAGCCAAAAACTTCCAGAAACAAAGGGTGCCCCGCTGCTACAGTCCATAACAGAGCTAGAAGAATTCTACAAGAAAAATACGAAAAGAAAAGAAGATAAGGAAGAAAATATCTCTTTGAAACTTTCCATTTCATAATAAAAAAATGAGGAGACTGTAGGAAAGTTGTCAATAAAAACTTTCTGTAGGAAAATTGGTTATTCAATGGATCGTTAAGATTGACCGCGGATCATCAAATGCGGGAATCGAAATTCCAATTGAAGAAATATTGCCGTAATTAACATCAGTGCATTTAAAGTTCGCCATGAAGGGGTAGGAAATAGTTCGAGCTGCGGAAAGATGAAGCTTTCAAGTTTTTTCGTTTTTGCGAAGTCCGTTTTTTCGGCCAATTGGGAAGGGTTTGATGCAAGATGCCCTGATTTGGAACTAGGAAAGAGAGAGATCGAGAGATTTGACACCATATTCATGAGATTTTAATTTTGATCTCATTCAGGCCAACAGTGTGATACTGAGTGCTCGGTTGTCTTTGTTGATTGCCGGAATAATTGCGATAATCATCCGTGTGAGAACACGTGTCTTGTTGACCTCGGGGAATGCGTTTCGGACTGCCCATGCGGACAAAACTGCCAGAACGGATGTGAAGGCTGCGATCATCCTCTTTGCCAAAGTTGTGATAATTTGGAGACGGACTTTGAGTTTCAGGTTTGGTCTGTATTTATACATTGCGCATCTCAATGCGTTTTCAGCAATGCAAAGTCAAGGCGCTGCAGGAATTTGACCAGTGCGCGATGGATTGTTTGAACAACTGGAGCTGTATTGACAATTGTTACAGTCGCCATGTTTTGCAAGGCTTTTCTCAGTGCAAATGCTTTGACGAAAATCCTTCAAAAAACAACGAATTTATAACGCTCTTGTCTGAGGACGTTAATCATCGCCCATCAAATGATCTGACTTATGTTACGGATGCTTTTGGTGGATTCCAGGAAAACCGACATTACAGTTATGCCGAAAACAGTCTTCTTTACACAGTCAGTGCTGTCTACCAAGATAATGTCTTCATTTTTGGAGGCAGTCGTCTTAGTACTAATGTTGGATAAGTTATTTTAAGAAGACGAAAAGATCGTTTTTATTTTAGATTCACCTAGTTATTGGGTGCGATATTCGTCAATTGTCTGTCGAATTGCAGAGGGGAGTTGACCATTACTCGGGAATCGTAACCACGTCAAATGGGGGTAATTTTTTCCTTATGTGAAGGAAAATTCTGACTGTATACTTATAACTTGTTCAGTCTACACCGGCTTCCGACATCACAATTACAAATGGACTCAGCTCTTTGACGGATCCAGAACAACTTTGGTCAATTATAACACCTATTATGATCACGAATACGGTTGCATGGCTTCTTTGAACAATCAACCAGTTGCGATTGGCGGAGACGATGGCACTTATATTGAAATTCTTCGGTCAAATGGTTGGACTGGTCTGAATTCTCATCCAAAGTATGAAAATCGAATTTTAATTTATCTCATTTCCAATAATTTTAGGCTTCTCTTTCATCCAGGATGCCTTGGATTCGGAGAAAACATGCTGACAATTGGCGGCTATGACGAATATGATAGCTCATCACCAGGCAAAGTCTTCATTTATTATGGTCAATCTGGCCATTGGTCGTTCTTGGGAAATCTTCTTCAAGTTCATTATCTTAACACAGTCATTGAGCTCAATGGAATCATTTACAGTGTTGGTGATGGGTTCTACGGTTATGATGGAAGATTTCATCAGGATGATTTTGAAAACAAGCATGGTTCATACAGGAAATCGAATCCAAATGGAGCTGGAATCGAACGAATCCAAATAAACAACTCGAGCATCTCTTCCGAAATCATCTCTACGCATGACTCATTTGGTCATATGCGCCCTATTTTGTTTTCTTCTGGACAGTTTGACTGCGCTCAAACAGCAACTACAACGCAAGCAACATCAACCACAACAACAACTTCAACAACATCCACTCTTTTATCAGATGTTACATGTTACGAATGTAGCGATCAAACAATTAACGACGTTAACTGGTGCACTGCGATAAGCGAACAGGATAACCCAGTGATGTGCGAGAGCAGATTTGGATGCTTTAGCACAAATGTTATTGCTTTTTCTGAGATTTATCCAGGGGGACTAAGTAACTTATTTATCGTTTTGATTTTAATTTCACCATTAAATCAGTTGAAATAATGACAAGAGGGTGTCTTAACGCAACTGATGAGGTCGAGCAAGGATGCATCTATTACCAAGAGGGCGGGAGTATAATTGATGACAATGGACAAGAAATTATAATAGAAAATGATTCGGAAATCTGCACGATGATTTGCCAGGACCATCTTTGCAACGGTGATATTATTTGCTCTAACTTTGATCAAAATATATTTTTCAATCTAGGTGGCAACGAGTTTATTTCTACTCAAAGTTTTTCACCGACCGAAACTCCGTAGAAGCCAAATACTAGCATTGAAGCTAACTCATTCATTTCTTTTCAATGTCTTTGTTTGAAAAATTAATTTTTAATAAAGTTTTTGAACTTGTTTTATTCGAATTGAATGACTTTATTCATGATAATCTAACCAAAGTTACCTTCTTTTTTCTGAAAATTTCCTCTCGTGATAATCGGAAAGTTTAAACGACAATCATAATCTGCGTTTTTTGTTATGTCACCCTGAGGACGAAACAATCGCCCGATTTAAATGCCAAATGTCAAAATAATTAAAAAAAGATGCGGAGACCGAGAATTTTCGAAATTTTCACAATTCTCATTCTCTTTGCAATCTCAGTTTATTTTGCTGGAAATGAGGGAAGAGAAAGATTTGAGAGAAGGAAGTTTGGAGAATTTTTATCAGCAGAATTTTATTCTGAACGTGATGAAGCTGAAGATCGCTTTTCTGTGGATTTGGGAGAGAGGAGAAATGAGTTGAAGGCAAAGTTTGATGAAAGTTTGAAAGAAGAACTGACGGAAGCGGCTTATCAGAGGGAGCTCCTTAAGTTTTTGAAGAGTAAGACCGTCCCCTATCGGCGATAGGCTATCGCTCATTTGTCAACTTTTTTAGACGAAGAAGCAAAAGAGTCAATCGCCGAATTCGAGCTCGCTCTAGAATCTGACCCCTTAGCTTACCAACTGCCAAACATCGTGGTTACTGGTGCGAAAAAGTGCGGAACAAAAGCTCTCCAGCGATTTTTCGGGCATCACCCTCAAGTGATCAGGGGTTATGCGGAAAGTCCTTTCCAGACTCTTGAAGACTCAGAATTATCGTTCAAGAATTACCTAAAGAATCTTTATCGAATCTGGTCGCTGGAAGATTTGAGGAAGAAAATTGAAGAGAATCTGGAGTCTGATCGAGAGAACTTCTTCATGGCAAAAACTGGCATGGCTGGAATCAAATGGCTCCTTGATTATCTTGAAGAAAATCCAGCTCTTCTCGAAAAGCATGAAAATCTGAAGACATGGAAGAAAAATGTTCAATGCATCACTAGTAAGATATTTCTTTAGGTTCCTTTCTCATCATTCTTCAGTTCTATGTGATCCTGTTCATCGGCTTCTCTCTGATTTCAAGCATATGAAAGATGACAAAGCAGGTCACATGGGACATTTGAACAAGAAAACACTTGGGTCAGACTCCGCGCTGATGCCGTTGGCGGACTTGAGTTTCGACAAATATGTCGAGACTTACTTGCCTCTTTTGACGGAAAATGCAAATTCTGAAGGCGTTCCTAGAGAAATGACCACAGGTTTGACGATTTCCCAGCCAGTCATTCTTGATTTTAGTGATGGCGAACGGCGCGTACGGATATCTCTACAAATACTATCGATCAAACACGGGCGATCCAAAAATCTTCGCGAACACTGGTCTCATCCTTGATGGAAATTCTCTCAAATCAAGGCCTTGGGAGGTGATGATAGAGCTCGAGCGATTTCTGAAATTGAAAAAATTCTTCGACGAAGATAAATTTGTAAAAAGAGAAGATGGTTATTACTGTGTCAGGGATGAAACGGCAGAAAATGGAATGGATTGTATGCCGAGCTCGAAGGGGAGGACTTCGATTTATCCTGGCGACTTGGGAATTTGTAGGTTCTTTCAATAAATATTTCATTGATTTTTCCAGCTGCGAAGACAGAAAAAATGCTCAGGGAATTTTACCAACCTCGTCATGTAAAATTGGCAAACGATTTCAATCTGACTCTGAGCTGGCTCTCAGAATGGAACAAAACTTGATCGATTTACCTTGGATAATTGCTAGATCAAATAGAATACAACTTGCTGTATAATTTCTTCATAGTTCATTTTTGAAATAAAAGTACAAGTAAATAAGAGAGAATGAGATTATCAATTCAGTCGTTTCAGTGGAATTTGCATGTTAAACCAGAGAGATATCGATGGATTGTTTTGGGCATTTTCTTTGGGTAAGTTTGAAAAAGTTAGGGTTAGGGTTGGCTAAATCCTCGAAATCGGGGGGCAGTTGGGGTCCCACTGGGGAGCTTTGGTCGGTGCTCCTCTAAGCCAATCAGAGGACAGTATTTTTCAAGCAAGCCAATCAGAAGCTTGTATGTGTTGAGCAAGCCAATCAGAACACAGTTTTTTTTCGATCAAGCCAATCACAGACGAGCAACCCTTTTTTGATCCGCCCTAGTGAATGATTTTTCAAAAGTTTTTCAGAAATGCATTTCTTGCCTCCTTCCAATGGGTCAACTACATCATGGTCCCCGACCTTTTCGCCTCCTTTTTCCATACATCTTTCTCCACCATCTCCTGGACGACTCAAATCTACATGGTTTCCTTTTGCGTTTTTATGTTGCCGATAATCTGGTGGCTCGAACTCAGAAACATCAAAGTGGCGCTTAGGGTCGGGTCATTTTTGGCAGCGGCGGCGGCGTTGGCAAAGTGTGTGGTGAAGCCGAATATGCTGCCTTTGCACTTGGTGGCGCAGTTGTTGAGCTCGATGAGTAATAATTTTGTATTCATGAAAGGCTGAAAAATCAAGATAAAGAACCCATTTTCTTCAGAAAACGCAATTTTCCAGCAAAATAAAGAATGCCAGGAGTCATTGCCGAGCGATGGTTCCCCCTTGACGAGCTCTCTTTTGCCACCGCCATTGCAGCGGGAGGAATGATTTTTGGAAATTCCGTTGGCTACCTCCTTCCTGCGCTGATTATCAGAGGTCCGGTGAAGACATTCAATTCCACTTCTTACCCTGTTGATTGGATGAAAAATGAGGCGGCAGTGGAGGAAGTTCAATTCCAAATGCTCTGTCTTTTCGCACCACAAGCGATTTTTGCGATGGTTATGTTTTCCATGGTCATAGGAAAACGGTCAAAATCGGAAAGAAAAATATAATTTTCATAATTTTTGACCATGAAAAGTCGGTATTCCAGCGCTTCCGGAGCTCCCGCCATCTATAACTGCGGCAAAAAAGAGACAAGAACCTGAAAAGCTTGATTATCTTGATACAGTCAAAGCTTGTCTCCAAACTTCAAAAAGCCTTGCGAAGAATACTAATTGGCTTTTACTTCAAGCTGGGTAAGATTTTTCGGAAAATAGTTTTCTGAAAATTTTAGGGGATCAATCTCGGCCGGAGTGTTTTTCGCCCTCTGTACCCTTATCAATCAGATTCTAAAGCCCTCATTCTGCGATGAAATCGACCCGAACGGCGTGAACAAGATCATTGGCGGAATTTCCTTCGTCATGCTCGTTGCCGGTGCTTTTTCGGGCCCGATTGTTGGCACACTCGTTGATAAAACAAAGCTCTTCAAGACTTTTACCCTTTCGAATACCGTGGTTTTTACACTTTGTTTCGTCGGAGTCACGATTTTGTTTCACCACGGGCTGGTTTGGGCGGATTTCGTGCTTTTTGGGCTGATTGGTTCTTGCGTTTCATCGATGTTCAATCTCATTATGCAGTTTAGTTTCGAGGTGAATTATGAAAGAAAGACTTTTAAGTAAAAAAATTTAAAGCTGACGTTTCCCGAGCCATGCACATTTGTTGCGGGTTTTATCGGAATTCTACAGCAATTATCTGGAGTAATTCTAACTCAAATTGCTCAAGCGATTCTTCTCAACAAGGACTCTTCTCAAGGTTAGCCGTTTTTGGCCTCCGACGCCCTTAATTTCCGATCTTTAGACTGCCCACCGAAAGAAGCCAGCTTCAACTGTTTAATTTTCCTTTCCTCCTGCCTCGTTGCTGCTACCATTTGCTGCTCATTGGTCAAGGAAGATCTAAGAAGATTAAATGTTGAAAATGAAGATCCTCATTCGAGTAGACCAAAAGAGTAGCCCTCCTCAAAAAATGCTTGTCAAAATAGGTTTTTCAAATTGCAACTGAAAATAAATTCATCACAAAAACCCATTTCATTTCATAAAATGTCTTCTGGAATTTTCCAGAAACCCCGAATACTAATGATAGAGCCATGAGTAGATACGTACTCATCCCGAAGGTAAGTCCTGTTGCTGAGTAAAGGTTAGCATGGATTTACCACGCTGGAATTTTCATCTCTTTTAACGACTTTTTCCGTCTCTCTCTATATTTTGGCAGTTGTCCTTCATTCTTATTTTTCCACCGAATCGAGAACGAGTTTAAAAAATGACGGAAAACGGTGAAACGACAGCTATGTCGGAAACTTGCAAAGCCCAAGAAACTGCAATGAATACGGTAAAAGGTAAGAGTAACCTAAGATGAAATTCGATTTTAACAAAAAACTAGCGGATTGCAAGACTCAGGGACTGCTTGCCACGAAGACAACTTGGGAAGCAGCTGTGAAAACAAACAACTGCGATTTGACATGGCCCTGTGGAACTGAGTTCTGCGACCATCTCAAAGAAAACACCAAAAAAGAAAGTAAGTCAAACAACTTCTTTGTTGATCCTACATATTCTTAAGAGTTTTGCGACAACTGGGAGAAAAACAGCAAAGACTGGATCAAGAAAAACACCGACAACGAGTGCAAGATCGAGTTGCCCTGCAGCGCCGCCAATGCTCAGTTCCCGTCGATGATCCTCTTCATCCTCGCCTTTTTCTTTTTCATCAAAAAGTAAAAACTGCTGTAGAATTCCTGTAGTTTCTCACGATTTCTGTTCGAAAATTGACTGGATTGACAACGAATTCAAAAGTTTCTCTTTCTGTATGATGATTTTGAACAATAAATTCAATATTTAGTAGAAAAAAAATTATTTCTTGTGTTGATTTTCGTCTTCAGTGTGTTACTTTTTCTGCTCCATCTTCCAGTGCTGTTTCCAAATTGTTTCTATCAGCTTTTCGTGTCTTTTTGAAGCTTCTTTTTCTTCATGAACCCCTTTTGAGTTGTACACAAGTGTCTGTATAGGTTATTTTTGTCAAAAAGAAAGACGGTTTCTCTTAAAAAATGACCCGGACAAAATCAGAAGACCAATTATAACACAGACCAAGACAGTTTTCTTCATCTGCATCATTTGCTCGTCTCTAGAATGGATATGAACATCCATCGAAGATTCGCTTAAAAATCGCTTTCAAAAGAAAGACGGCTAAATCGATTATTTATTATTTTTTTCGCTATTGAGGAAACATTTTATTCATTCGAATATACACATCATTTGGTTCCTTATATTTAATCTGCTTTTGACACAATCAAGGCCCTTCTCTTTTATCGACATAAATAGTAATAAGTTATATTGTGACTGGAGGTTGTTCAGTATTCGACGGGAAATGCTCAATGATGATCGGATGGTTTCTCGGATGCGCAAAGCTTCTTTGGAAAGAATGATGGCTGTAGTCCATCAATCGAGTCTGTTTGTTCGCCGAGATGGATCTCACCGCAACTGCGCTTGTTGCTGGTGGGCTTGTTGATAATGGAAGTGATTGATCTCCGCTTCCAAAATCGACGGTTCCTCCGATACCGTTAGTCGTTGTTGTTATCAGAGTCATCGATTTAGATTCTGTCGATTCGGTTTTATTCGCAAGTTCTTCGAGATACTTTTCGTACTCTTCTTGGATCTCTTTCAGCGAATAACTTGAAAACTTGCTCATTATCAGAAGATATTAGGGAGTCTTACATGTAGTAAATTGTGACAGACGAAATCAAGATGACGAAGAGCACTAATGCTCCCTTACTATTGGTTTTTTTCAAGATTTTTACAGAATTGTTTAAGGGGGTAGACATCATAAATGGTAATTTTGGAGATGATGTTTGTCCGAAACTTTAGATATTGACTCCCTTATCTTATTCGAGAAGGAAAAATTAGGGGGTAACCGAGGAGAAAAATCATCTCGAAAATCCAGTTTGCGATGTCTACCCCCTTAATTAAAAACCTCAAAATTTGGTGCGTTTTTGCGCATTTTTGGGGTTAAAAATTTTTCCTAAATTTTAAAGTTGCATCTGGAAACCATTTTCTTGTAGGGCTCAATAAATCTCTGAAACAAATATTTTCTGTATTCACAAAAGGTCATATTCTTCATCATGCTTTTCTTCTCCATCTCTCTCTAATACTGGAGTCGTGGTACTGGCCTCTGCAGCAGAAATGGGCTGAAACACAGAATCTCTCGTGAATTTTTAAGCAAGAAGCAATACTGCGTCCTCGCTCTAGAAACAAAGTTCTGGCTCTCTTAGGAGCTATTCATTATTGCTGAAAACACAAGTGAGAGGGAGACCTTGCGTCTAAAACTTGATTCGACGAATAATTTAAAACCACGAACTTTACTTATTATTCAAATTTTGCTAACTATGCCTTTTTTAAACAAAAATCACAATTTTAAAATTTACTCAGTTTATTCTAAGAACCGAAAATTCAAATTCCATTTTGGAAATTATGTCCTTTTCTTCTTGATCCGCAGCATTTCAGATACAGGTAGACAAAGAAGATACCTCCAAATATTAAAGCAGCAATGATCTTTAAAATTGCTTAGACTGTCCATAAAAATATTTCATTTCCTGTACTAACGAGTAGGTCAGCAAGAAGTCGCATTGTCTCATTCCTGAATATCTCCATTAGGATGTCTTCTCTTCTTAAGATAACACTGTTGTTATTCAAGTCTGATCGCAGGGATGCAACTCCTCTCTGTAAACAAAAAATAGACTGAATAATGGGCTAATCAAAACAGTGTTTTCTTGAACTTCTTTTCTGCAATTAAATTTGCAAAAGACTGTGATGTGTGGATAGTCTTTCATCTTTCTTTTTCATTTCTAAAAACTTCGTCTAAGCTTTCGTAAAAATGTCTCAAGAGAACGAATATTTCATCGAGTATATTGCTCAGTCGTCAGATGAAGAGCCCTCTGAAAAATCAGGTTTTCCAGCGAAATCCTCATCAAATATATTTTTTTTCTTTAGAAATGCGATTGCAAAAGGAATCCATTGAAAAATTTAAGCTAATGACTTTTGTACTTTGACTGTATTTACAGATGTTTATGAACAGCACATACAGAAGATTTTTTTGAAGAATGATTTGAATCACGGTTCCGCCAAGTTTACTGAAATAAATCTTTACGAAACAGTCTACCAGACATTTTCTAGAGGACTGTTGACATTTCTTGAGGACCACTTGACATTTTGACATTTTTCGACATTCAAATAACTCTTGACATTTTTCGACAAAAACTCCTAGAACAATGTAAACCTAATTTTTCGCTTTCGGTGCTATCAGAACCCATAACACCATCAGAATCAGCAAGATAACCGATCTTGCGAATTCCGCGACCGAGCTGACTAAACCTTTCTGACATTTTAAAAACCGTCTCTTTTCAATCTCAATTTACCTAAACTCGACTCTTCAAAAATCATCTCACTTCTTGGAAGATCAACAGTTGGACTGGGCGTGTTTCTCGAATCTCTTGAGATTCTACTGGAGAATGTCAAGGTCGGCGAAATCTGAGCAGTTGGAGTTGACGGGGTCGAAAGAGGAGGGCTTGTTTTTTCTCGTCGATTGAATCGGAGAGGAGGGAGAATAGTTTACGGAAGATTTGGTTGTACTCGGGCGTTGTTTTTGAGGTATTTCGGCGGTTGATCTTTTCAAGGGCTTTTTAGGAGAAAAAGGAGCCAATCAAAATTCTGTTTTCGGCCAAATAGCCAATAAGAATCTGACTTTTTTACTTATCTATTATAAGTTATAAATGAGCCCTTTCCTGAGTCACAATTCTTTCATATTTACACTTGAGCGAATTGTACTTTTCATCCAGCTCCTTGACCAGCGTTTCATCGCTAGTGGAGGCGTGGGACTTGACCGAGTGAAATTCTGCCTGCTCCTCTAGCTGTTTCAGCCGCTCGACATGGAGCTCGTTCATTTTTCGCAAATCCCCGTTTTCGTCCTTCAAGGAATCGTTTTCCTTTTGAAGCGAATCGTAATCTGAACAACCGATTGACCAAAAACAACTTTTGAGCCGAAACGGACCTGAGATTATGAGATTCAAATCCGTCTCCAATTTCTTCCCCCTTGATTTTTCTAGTTCCAAATCCTTCATCACCACTTTCAGCCTCAATTGATCATCATCTTCCTTCTTTTCTTCCTGGTGGTTCTCTTCCTTGATTTCAGTCGAATTTCCCATTCCTTTGATGCAGATCATTTCCTCCATCAAATTGTTCAATTGGACTTCCTGCTCGTCGCTCAGAAGCTTCAACTTTTCAATCTGCTCGATGGCAATTCGATGGCGCTCGGCAAGCTGGCGGTTTTCTTTTTCAAACTCGGAGCAAGAGCTTTGAAGCTGGTCATAAACCTAAAAGAGGAAAATTGATAAAATAATTGAAACGAGACTGGATGAGAAATGAATAATTAAAATTGTGTATTGGAGATTTCTTACTTTGCATCTGTTGTCTTCCAAATCGCGAAGAATATTGAGCTGTTTCTCCAGATGGCGGATTTGTTCATCCTAAAAATGTTGATTAAGGGGGTCAATAGGTTAGGGTTGGGGTTAGGCTTTACTTTAAGGGATCTCCCCCCGATTTCGTCAACTTTGACTTCGAACTACTTTTTTTAGGCCTGAGCTTTTTATAGGAATGAGGGCTCATTTTGAAGCCCGTTTCTTAATGAACAAACTCTAGTATAGAAATTAGTTTTAATAAGGGGAAACACCTTCAAAAGACGGGCTAAAGACATTGGTACTCGCGAAAACCCCCATTTTGGGCCATTTTCAAAGTCGAACTAGTTTTTTCTGCTCTTAGATAGAGCCCTAAATCAATAACAACTGTCTTCCTTGATCCCTGATCTACAATCTCTAGTACAGACATGTGATTCCGTCAAGGATTGTAGAAATTTTCTTCACAAGACGTTTTTTCACTGATTTTTGCCATTTTTATGACTTTCTTTGCTCTCTAGCGCATTTTAGTGGTTAGATATTTTATTAAATCTATTTTTTTCTTAATCAGTTTCTTCTAAGCTTTCTATAGAGCCCTTATTCATCTGATTATGAAGACTTTGAAAAGTCGAAAAAACTGCGAATTTTTTCTAAGTAAAATTTTTCATTGAAATAAGCCATTTTCAAAGCTGTATCACGGCTTACCACGTGACGGACTCCTCTTGACATTATATATGAAAATGATCGCCAGACAACGGAGATTTCAAAAATATATCAGAAAAAAGCTCTCGATAAAATTTTTCAAATCGGGAGGGGATCCCTTAAACTCTATGTAAGCAAAGTCGAATGCTTTTACTGTCAGTAAGGATCTCTTCAAGATAAGGGCGTCAATATGTTAGCTCTTGAAAATCGTCTGTTTTAAAATTGAGTTTCTTCTCCCTTTTTACCTGATCCACAACTTTTTTCTCCAAGGTCTGGCAATGCAAGTCCAGTTCTTGATTCTGCTCCAACAAAATCTTTCCAATTTTCGCGGCGAATTCCAAGTCGGCTATGTAATTCGCCTATAAATAAATTTAAAAGTCAGGTTTTTTCGTTTCAGACCACCCATGAGTCGGGACAAAGCAGAATAATAAAATTATTCAGATTTGAATGATCCCAAGTCATCTAATTTAGCTGTGAAAAGGCCTTTTCAGCACATTCTTAATGATTCTCAGATTCGAAATAAACCAGGTGCAAAACCTCAAGAAAAAGCCTGGTTGGTGACCCCTGTGGCTCGTTTTTGCTATTCTTTTCGAATAAATGCCGGGATGATGATTACCTTCTGTGCCATTTCGAATTCCGTCATTAGCGTTTTCAGTATTTTTTTGTTCTCTTGATTAAAAAATTAAAAGTAATTAGCCCTTGATTTGTTCAAAAGATTGGTCATCGACCGCGATAATATTGAATCTTTGAAAAAACAAATATCATGTAACCTCCCTCTCTTCGAAGTAGACTTTTCGAAGGACGCTCTTTTTCGAGCAAATAGAGTTTTGGGTATTTGTCCTTTTTTGAAATACAAAACGCGTGGATCTTATTTCACGAACATCTTTTTTTTCTTGACCTTCGGCCAAAGTCAAAAAATCTCAATAATGCAATTTTTTTTGCCAAAAATTTTTACCTCTGATGGATCTTCATGGTCTTCCGGAATTTTTGTATTGTCTGGAAAATGACTAGTGTAGACCATTTTTTCTCTAAGAAAGTTGATCTTCTGGGTACTTTAAAATTTGGGCTTCTTTTGTTCTTATTTTTTTTTCTCAATCTCGTGACGACCAAACTTGATTCAAGATAGAGCAATAAATCGCTGAGTGGGATAATGAGACAAGCTTGTCTACTCGTTTTGCTCGACAAAAGAGATCCTCGCGAGGACATTTTATCGATCAGAAGAGGGCACTCGTGGGCGGAGCCTGATCCCACAATCCAGCTGTTTGGATCCCGGAGGACCCATTTTTTCTTTCGAACTTGACCGTGATTTCGATCGGGGTGGTCCTTCTTTTTGCCTTATCCGCAGCGATCTTGGCGACCGATTTGCGTAATTTAGAGAAGCACCTCTCCCGCGGAAGAGACAAAGCCACCTGTGAACTTGACGCAAACAGCGAGATCCTTATCGGTAACACGCTGAGACGATTGACACGTTTTTGGATGAAATATTTCTCATCGAAATTTATGCACAGAAAAATTCATCGACAGGAAAAATTATCGGTCGATAAAAATAATATTCGTGGCCGTTGATGACTTTTGAAGAGGAAATTTCTTCTCCGTTCCATTCTAGTTTTTCCACAGCGAAGCTTAACTCACTCAATTTTTTCGATTGTTGGGATTAACATACGGTGTTTTAATGCCGCTGACAAGATAAATTGTATTTCCAAAACGTATCGAAGAGGAGTGATGATGCTAAATTAAAATCACTTGTGGTTTTACAAAAATATAATCTCACAAGTTCATTTAGCTGGCCAACCACCGTCCAATTTGAGTAATGAAACAAATATACATCTAGTGACGAGGAATAATACCAGTCTTCTCGATATTCCTTTTCGTATCGACCTCCCAGGACAAGATATCCGTCGTAAACACCGATGCAGGAGTGAGAGTGTATTGGCCTAAAAATCATGATTCAAAAATAAAGAAGTCCATTTACTCTGGAAAATCTGGTAATTCTATCCAAGATGTGCCATTTAATTTCTCCACTTTATTGTGGCCGCGAGGCCGAAGGTATGAACCGACTGCAACAGGTTGGTCATGAAAGAGCGCCAAACATGAATTCCAGTGAGGGTACTTCGTCGCCGGTTTTAATGAAACATCTCTTCCGTCAAATTCTTCGCATTGTTTCCAGGCTTCATCATTTGAAAAACAAATTATTGCTTAAAAAATAATTCCTGTTAAATTTTATAAAAGAGATTTATAAATTTTAACCTGATTGTTGATCCGCCACCGTGACGACAGAAGATTCCGTGCTATAACCAAATCGAAGTTTGGCATCTAGCTCGATGATTTCACAGCCACTTATTGTTGAAATCTGAGCTTATTTATAAAGAGTTACTTAATATCACTGACTTACTTTGAATTTATACTCCGAGGAATACCATCCTGGATCTTGATTTTCCGAGAAATCGCACTTCCGTCCGGTTTAAGCACATAGCTGATCTCCTTTTGAGCTCCATAACCTGCAAGCACCATCAAAGAATTATACTCTTGTCCAAAGCAGTTTTCGCTTTCGAGCTGGAGATCTTGAATTTTTTTTTTCATGATTCGATAATTGTTCTTTGAGCATTTCTGTTTCGTTTTTTCTTTGCTCGAGATCATTTTTCAAATCCTACCAAATTTCATGAATAACTTAGATTAAGTAAGATACATCTTCTTATCAAACCTGAGTAATTCGGGAGCATCGCGCCTTCTCCTCCTTGATCTCATCCCTCAAAATTTCGTCGTTACTTCTACACTGTTCGATTTCGCTTTGAAGATCAGAATTCCTAAAGCAATCACTCGATTCAAAATAACGAAACAACGATTGGTACTTTTTTCTTTCAGTGTTCAACTTTTCTTGAATCTCTGTTTTCTCCTTCTTTGATTCATCTAAATCTTCCTTGATTTCAGTCAATGCAGCCTCTGCTTCATCTGTTTTTGATCTTGCAACTAGTAGTTCTTCATTGGCAGCGATCAAGCTTGCGTTCTCAGTTTTCAGCCTGATTATTTCAGAATCTGAAATATGTACAAAATATGTACATTTTTGGCGGTAGATCAAAGATACTGCCCAAAATTGCCTTTTTGTGCTTGACCCTGAAGCTTTTTCCACAAGTTTTTATTTCTCGTATTAAGTCTGAATCAAAAGTTCACCGCAGAAATTTGAGTTTATAATTACCGCCTTTCCTCGCTAGAAAGTCTTTCATTCTCAATTTTCATGTTTGATAGATTTTCAGTGAGGTTCTTTGTCTTTTGATTGAGAATTTCAATGTCCTTCTTTAACTTCTTGTTTTCACTTTCAAGGCCATTCGCATGCTCCCGTAGATCGTCCACCATGATACTTTTATTAAGTTCAGAAAAGATATTTTACCCATAAAGAGCAAATTTTTTTAGAACCTTCTCGATGTTCTTCGAGATCCATGACAGTTCTTTCCGTACAACCACTTTTAGATCCCTTGTTATTCGAACAAAGACATGCTTGCTTCGCAAAAATTAAAAGAAAAATTATCATTTCTCTTTTGAAAATACTCTTAAAAGCTTTAAATAAACCACGCTTCCTCGAAAGATTTGAGATGAATCTGTTGCTAGGACGATGTTTTTCTCAATATGCCGACAACTGCGGAGTCTATGTTCTCTGACCAAAATAATTGCAGGGGGTACTTCAAACACAGACATCTTACAGGGCCTCAAATTGGCTGTAATTAGAGCTGAACTTTTATATTCAGGCTTTTTTCGAACAAGATGAAGGAGAATCTAGCCAGCAAAGCGAAAATGATGCAATCTTGTTAACTTGTTAATCCTAATTGCTCTTGACCTTGCTAATTCTGCGCTGATACGTATGCGCATGCTTGTAGTATGCGCCCAGACTAGCACAGTGCTCGAGGGAGGGTTGACTCACGCAGTGATTGGGTCCGTGCCCTTTTAGGCACAACTGACTCGCTCATTTTCCATCTTCTCACGGATTATTATTCTCAATTACTCGATTGACCGAAAAAAATTGAAACTGAAATCATGGAAGAAAATCTCATTTCTATCGAAGAATATGCTCAAAAAATTGAAAACGAGCTTAGAGAAATCGCGAATTTTAGTGATGACGAAAACAAGAAGATTGCCAATTCATTTGCGAAGGTAAAGAAATGAAAATTCTTAAGGGTATCAACATCGATTCCAAAAATTTGTCAAAATCGATGTTGACACCCTTAAAAATATTTTTCCTCTAAAAATCGCTATAAAATCTTCAGTTCGACACCCAGCAACTCGGCACCATTGACAAATGCCTCCTCGTAAATGTGATCAAAGAGTCCGAAATCAAAATCCCCAAAAAACGAGCTCGGGAGCTCTCAATCTCGCTTCAAACAAAGCTCCATGGCGAAGTCTCCCTCGACGAATTCGTTGCTTTGGCGAAATCAGTCGCTTCTACTGGCTCCATTGACAGTAGCTTGCTCAAACGGGCAGACCATACGCTGCCAAAAGGGCATCTCAACTTGGGGACAATTTCGGACGGAACAGTTGAAAAAGTCAAAAGCAGCAGGGAAGAGGGAAAAATGAAACGAGCGCCAAGCTGCGAGTTTTTGGATTCCGTCGATGAAATGGAAAGGTAAATCGGAGCCGCTTTTTTCCTCCTCAAATTTGGTTTTCAGGAATCCGATTTTGCTCTTCAAAATGTCCGACTACGCCCAAAAACTGTTTGACGAACTCGTCTCCCTGGGAATTTCCGAAGAAGATCGAGTCACAATCGCCGGAGGTTTTTCCGAGCAAGACACGGACAAAACCGGCCAAGTTCCTGAAAACTACCTCGACGGGCTCTTCAAAAGCTGTTTGAGAGAACTCCCCGGCTACGAAATCAGACGGATCATGGAAGCAAGGGGAGATGATCAAGGAAAGAGTCTGACGATTCTGAGTTTTGCGGAGATCTTTATGGCGGAGAAAAAGTCGGATGTTTGCAATCAGTTCAAGAGCTCAGTCAAACAAGCAAAAGGCCTCATCAACAAAAAGAACCACGAAGTCGAAATTTCCGAAAAACAAACGGAAAGCTATCTCGCCTCGCATGCCTACTCCCTCGCCGAGCGCCGCGCCTTTTCCACTTGGATCAACCAGCACTTGTCTTCCGACCAGGATTGCCGCCGCCACTTGCCGCTCGAAGTCGAAACGGAAGCGCTCTTCAAATGCGTTTCCGATGGCATCATCCTCTGCAAAGCGATCAATTGCGCGAAACCGGGAACAGTTGATGAGCGAGTCATGAATAAAAGCGAGAACATGAATATCTTCCAAAAAGCGGAAAACATCATCCTTGGTCTAAACAGCGCCTTGGCACTTGGTTGCAAAGTTGTGAATATCAGACCGGATGATATCAAAACAGGCGTGCCGCATCTTGTCCTGGGTATATAATATAATATAATCAGGGTTCGAAATCGCCTAGGCGAATTCGCCTAAAAAGCTAGGCTAGGCTAGGCTAGGCGAATTCGCTTAGCTGCCTGGCTAGGCGTTGACTCTTGAAATTTCGCCTAGCCTAGCTTAGCCTTAACTCATACTGGTGCCTTAGGCGAAGCTAGGCGACAAGGCGAAAATGAAAATTCGCCTTGAATTTTGCCTAAGCGAAGAAGTTAGGCGAATTAAGGCGAAATCTAGATGAAATCAAGGCGAAATGAAAGCGAATCTAGGCAAAATCTAGGCAGATCTAAGCAGATCTAGGCGAAATCTAGGCGAACCGAGCCAAAAATTTCGCGTAATTTTCGCTTTTCGCCTAATCGCCTAAAAAAATTGAAATTTATCGCGTTTTTGCTTTTTTTCGCCTAGATTCGCCTAAGGCGAATTCGCCTAGCCTAGCCTAGCCTAGAGTCTTTGACAACAAATTCGCCTAGCTTTTTTCGCCTAGCTTTTTAAAAATTCGCTCTGCCTAGCCTAGCCTAGCCTAGCGATTTATAATATAATATATGTTTTTAGGTCTTCTTTGGCAAATTATCCGACATAGTCTTCTCTCGAAAATCTCCCTCGCCAAGAATATCGACATTGCCGCCCTTCTCCGACCCGGCGAAAATATCAAAAGCTTGGACGAAATGAACCCCGAGCAGATTCTCATGCGATGGGTCAACCATCATCTTCACAACTCCGCAGACAACGACGATGAAGCCGCGAAAATTCTGAGAAACAAGGGGCTAAAAGAAAATGGAGAGTTCGTTGGCAATTTTGGAAGTGATTTGTCGAACTCCGTCGCGTTTATAAACCTTTTGGAGCAAATTTCACCATCGAATTCGACAAAAAATCTCGCCGCAAAAGTGATCAAAATTGCTGACAAACGGGCTCGAGCTGCGTCGATGCTGGAAATGGCAAAAGCAATCGGCATGAATCCGATTTTGACGCCGGACGATATCGTCAACGGAAATGAAAAGCTCAATCTCGCCTTTCTAGCCGCTTTGTTCAACAAGCATTCTGGGCTGTCAAAGGCGGACATCGCGCAAGAGGTACTGGATGAGCTGGATTTGGAGAACTTGGAAGAGCTGGAAAACTTGGTCGAAGAGGAAACTAGAGAAGAAGAAACTTATCGAAATTGGGTGAACTCACTTGGATTGCAGCCATTTTCAAAAAGTACAATGCTTTCTTGGTCTTCTTCTGACATTTATAATTTAGTGATGCCATCAACAGTGTCGCGTCTGTACTCCGACTTGCGCGATGGACTGTACTTATTAAAGATCGAGGACGAAATCAAGCCCGGAGCTGTCAACTGGTCTCGTGTTCATAAATCCTACGACAAGTGGCAGCGGCACATGCGATGCATGGAAAATTGCGCCTATGCTGTTGACGTTGGCACGAAAAAACTCAACTACTCGCTCGTATGTCACCTTCTCTCGTTTCCAAATCGAACTTGAACCTTTAAGGTTGGAATTAACGGCGCGAATATTTACGAAATGGATCGGACCAGAACCCTAGCGATTCTTTGGCAACTGATGAGGAGTTATATGACCAAGGTTTTGTCCAGTATGGATGGGGAGATCAGGGACAATGAGATTATGCAATGGTGCAATGATACCCTAGGTAAGCAAGTGTTCAATAGGTATAAAAGTGCTAAAAAATTCAAGTGTAACTAACAACGTACTTGAAAATATTTTTAAAAGAAGGTCGAAGATCTGTGATGAAAAAAAATTTTGTTCCTGATTTTTAAGTAGATTTTATGGGTTATATTTTTAAAATTTTCAAATTCCAACTCATGAAAAGATTTGAAACTGATTCATGTTTTTTTCAGGGAAACACCAAAAAGAATCAAGAGTGAATTCGTTCAAGGACAAAGATCTGGCATTTGCAGTGATAGATCTATGCGATGTCATCTCTCCTCGATCAGTCGATTACAACATGGTAAGAAGCTGCGAAAGATTTTTCTTTTTTTTTTCAAAAAATATTTTCAGGTAGCCAAAAGCATCGCTTCCGACGGTTTTATGGCACCAGATGAGCGGCTTCAAAATGCCCAGCTAGCGATCAATCTTTCTCGAAAAATTGGCGCGAAGATTTACGCTTCTCCGATGGACTTGGTCGAAGGAAAGCAAAAGATGATTTTGACCATTTTTGTTGGCCTAATGTCGAGGAGCTTTGAAAAGGCCGAGCAAGGCAATATTCTGCCTGTATAAAGATCGTTATCCAGAACTGTATCTGTAAATAAACGTCAAGGACATAATGCGCCGCGATTTTTGGCAGCCAAACTTTTTAATCTGCAGCTCATTTTTTATTAACAAAAGGATGCGATAAAAAGCCGCAGTTGTCGAATAATTTTCAAATGAAGATTTTTCAATTTTTTCTTTTCGCTTTCATTTCTAGCGCAATTCGAATGTCGAAAAATTTGAATTCCGAAATCCGAAAAAAGCGACTTCCAGTAGGACTTCTCGCTGAATGGTCCGCCCTCCACCACAAAAAGTGAAGAAATCTCTGCTCTGTTTCCTTAATAAAATTGTTCCATCGAACACAAATACTGTCCACTCGACCCGAAAAACTTCACAGACCGTTTAATTTTGGTATCTGATTGCATCGAGCGCTGGAACTTCTGTTTTCTTAGTTCCGACTGATCGATTTTCCAGGGAAAAAGGGCAAAATGCGTGAAATTTGTCGATCAGTTTAGATCACATTTGCGTTCAATCCAAAAGAGAAAGTTGAAGAAAATGCCCCTTTTTGTCCTGTTTTTCTTGATAAGAGAAGCGTTTGGTTTCGCATGCCCAGAGAACTGGACTTATGAGTCGAGTACAGGGACATGCAAGCAGACGAATATCGCGGTTGTCTGCACAGGTACAGGAAGAAAAATGGGATTTTGACAGAAACCGGCAAAAAATTTCGACAAATTTTGCGTGGAAATTTTCAACCAATCAGAAGCCTGTATTCGGCTTACCGGCCAATCAGAAGCCGAGTAGCCGCCCACGCAAAATTTGTCGAAATTTTATTGTCGGTTCCTGACAAAACCCCAGAAAAATGACGATTTTAGCTTCACAGGAAGCCTTTACTGACTCTGATATATTCAAGGAAATTCGCTGGTTGTCGTTGCAAATGTCAAAGACATTTACCTCGATCTTCCATCTAATCAAGAATCAGACGCGCGAATTAAAATCGGCTCTTGTACGGGATCAAGTGCTCCAATGATGACAAGATTCGTTGAAAGTTTTGAAATCTCCGAATGCGACCCAACAATAGCAGCGATTGACGATGGACTCCTGCTCACTTGGGAAATAACAGGGGCGAGTATCAGTGGATTCGATGATGTTTTCAAATACACTGCGAGTTGTGAGATCTGGAGGGATGGAAGTGAAACAGTTGATGAAGGGTTTGAGGGAGTGACAGTTGCGCCGAGCTTGATTGGAGATCAAGAAACTCAGAATCTTCAGGTAAAACAAGCAGAAAAAGCGTTTTGATTGAAAAATCTAGATTTCAAATGTCGCAACGCTAGAACTCTTCGAAGACTCAAGCCGAACCAGTGCCATCTCGACCTCCCTCGTCGGTCAAAAAATCTACGCCAGAATTTCCGCCCCGTCATTAGCCTCCAACGCCGAGTTCTACCTGGAGAATCTCATCAGTTATGAAGATTCTAGTCGTACAGGAAACTCTTACGAGGTCGTCAAGGATTTTTGCAAGACGACGATTCTTGATTTTGGGCCAATAGATGGCAGCTCGATGGTTTCGACAAATAGAGTTCTTGATTTTGAATTCAATGCGTTTTCTTTTTCGACGACCGGGACTTTTTATCTTGATGGATCGATTGATGTTTGCACTTTTACAGGAAAGGTCAGCAATAGCTTCGAGAGCTTGTTGACAAAACCTTGTTGACAAAAGGCCTTGTTGACAAAACCTTGTTGACAAAAGGCGTTGTTGACAAAACCTTGTTGACAAAAAGCCTTGTTGACAAAACCTTGTTGACAAAAAGCCTTGTCGACAAAAAGCCTTGCGGACAAAAAGCCTTGTTGACAAAAAACCTTGTTGACAAAAAGCCTTGTTGACAAAAAGCCTTGTTGTCGAAAAGCCTTGTTGACAAAAAACCTTGTTGACAAAAACCTTTGCTGACCCAAAAAAGCTGGAGTCGCAGATGTCAATTCTTGCCCTCCAACTCCCTCCTGCACTACTGGGTACACCTTATAAGATCCCGGTCTCGAATTCTCTCGAAAACGACCGATCGTGACATCAATGCAAAATTTCTTCCTCCTGTCAAATAATCTGTCAAAACTCATCTCTCGCCTGTCATATAAAACTCTCCTTATTTCTTTTTTGGTTCAATAAAAATCAAAAGCAGAATAAAACGTTTTTCAAGGATGAAACTTTTCAATCTCATTTTGGGGGCAAATGCGTTGAAAGAAAAATTTCAAATGAAAAATGCTAGGGCATTGAAAGATGATCAGTATTTGAACACGAAGATTTCCCTGACCAAGAGAATCGGAGAAGGAGATTTTTTCATCACAGGAAAGTGGATTAAATCAAAATTCTATTCAATCAAGATCTTCTATGAGCCGTTTTTGATCCACAAATAAAGCCGTGACACCCTTATTCGATGAAAAGGTCCATCACATGATCGTTCGCGGATGCAAAGACGACTTCTCTCATCAAACTCTCGATGCTAGCCCAAATGTCCCATGCTCTGGCGAACAGATCATCTTCTCCTGGGCGATGGCAGCCGGTCAGCTAGAATTCCCGCCCGACGCTGGAATTCACGTCGGAGGCGTCTCAGGAATCAAGTCAATCGCGATCGAGGCGCACTACAAGGATAAATTTCATGGAGCTGACAATCTGACGGGAGTCGAGTTTGAGCTGACAACTGAGCCACCGAAAAAAACTGTCGGCATTTATCTCCTTGCCAGTCCGGAGTTTCATCTACCAGCAAGGGAGAGGACAAATGTTCATGTTGCCTGCAGATTCAGGCGAAATCCGATTGAAGTTTTTGCTTTCAGGAAAGTGTTATTCTAGATTCTAGACTCTATAATCTAGATTATCAAAAGTCACAAACTTGTTAAATCGTTCTTTGCTTAAATATTCCTGAATCATTGAATTCATGATACTATTTGATAATTTTGAGAATCAGTATAAATATCTGTACGGTCATTATAAGAGCTAGCTGTTTTTTCATCTAATAACAGAAAAAAGAGCTCATACTCACGATAACGGACGAGTTGTCAGCGCCTTCGTCCGTCGACCACACAAAAAAGACTGGACCCTTATCGGAAAAGGCAACCCTCAGTGGCCCCAAGGTTTCTTTACACGAGTTGGTGGTCCCATCACTCTTTATAAGTGGGACTATGTCCGCGCTATCTGCACATTTGACAATAAAAACGGCATCGATGTCTTCGACGGGCCAGGTCGACAGGATGAGATGTGCAATATGTATTTGATGTATACAGTTCCTTATACATTCTCCCCGAACGAGTCGCCTGAGTGCTGGAAAAAGTAAGAATAAACCAAGTTTTCCTAGAAAATATCGATATTCTAGCGCTGACAATGCCGCAGATATTCCTCAATATCTGATCGAGAGAGAAGCTCGATACCCAGGCGACGCGGGGTCATTCTCAGACATGCACATTTCGATGGGCCACTGGAAACGACCCGCTGTTCCGGAAATGATGAGCCATGCACATCACAAAATGGGAGGAGACGAAGGAGACCATGGAATGCATCAAATGCATGGAGGAAATCATGGATCAATGAGCCATGGAGACCACATGGGAATGATACAACACGATTCGATGATGCATCAGTCGATGAGCCATGAAGAGCATATGCAAATGATGCATGAAAATGATCATTCTGGGCATCATTAGTGATGTTTCATTATTAAATTTTTGTTGTTCAGTCTTCATTAAAAATTATCTCTTGAGCCGAATAAACGATATTTAAAAACAATCCCAGAAGAAAATATACAAAAATCATGCTGTTTTTCTTCAATTTTCTTATTTTTTCGTCATTTGCAGGCAATCCAAATCGACAGATGGCATTTTCATACTTGCAGTACTTGAACGATAGCTTCGAGAGCCCTCTCTGCGCCTTTTTACCCGGTAAGAACTTTCTGATTCCGATAGGAAACGAGTTAAGAAGAATGGAGAAAATCTTCCACGAATTGTAAGATCTTCGGAAAACCCGGAGTTATGCGAAAACGAAGCTACCTTAGCGGCCTCATGAGACTTGGGAGGATGAATCCTTATTCTGATAAAAAGGTTAAAGTTTACTCAAACACTGAAAAAGATATGTGAAATGATAAACTCCTCATCTATTGTTTTGTTCCTCATATTATTTAATACAAAAATATCGATATAAAACTTAACATTCTCAAGACAAAACAATATTTATCAGCAACAAATCAAGATAATTTCTCATCAGTTACGTGAAAGAAAATTAATAACTCTGCAAGACTTATTGCAAATCACCTTGAGCAAAGAGATAGGACAATCGATTTATTTTCTTTTGACATGTTTCTGAAATCATGGAAGAGAATATTTTCTCGTCGAAAGAGAAAATATCACTTGATAAATATCGGTAAGTCGTTGACGGACTTATGTAGTGGTATCTTTTCCGGATTTTCCGAGACCTTCGTTAGTTTTCTCCAAAGATCTGAGGAGCCACTTTCTCTTCATCTCAAGATATCTAAATATTTCATAAGCTTCATTAAAAAACGGTTGGTTACTTGTTACGGAAATGCTTGAATGCCCAGCCGACTGAAAATCCAACGCCAAAAACGAGGACATCTCGAACAGTTACCTTGAAAATAGTATGTTATCAAATTATCATCAATAAAAATCAAAAACGAAGCCGAGTTTTTGAGCTCAAAGTTGGAAAATTAGCCCTTTGAAGATTTTCAAATAAAAGCTCATTAAATCATTCGGCCACTAATTCTGTGTCTAACAAAACACTGAGAAAGCTAAGCCTTTTGTATGTGTTTTCACTTGCCTTTGAAAGGATGCTTGAGCTCTCTTTTGAAACTTCATTGAGTGGCTCTGTCAGCGAATCGCGCACTACTTCCGACATTTTTATCTTCAGTTTTCTTTATTCGAAGATTTGAGTTTGAATGATTCAATTTGAAAAGCAGCTGAATCGGGTCTAAAAAAGAGAAATTGAAGAATGGCTGGAATAGAAGAGATTCAGTATTTGACCAGAGGAAGCAGTTTGAGAAGTTTTCGAAGCATCGGTAAAATTTATTCAAGAAACAAATTGAAAATTTGTTATATAATAAGTCAATATAGGGGATTGCGACCAATGAGAAGCTTTTGTGGTTATTTCGGATAGTCTGGGGCTATTCTATTATTAGCTCCGTAGAAATTGGGGGTGTCTTTAGGTATGCGCTCTATGATTGGCTGAGAAAACAATGAAGGCTTCTGATTGGTCGAAAAACCCATATTGCTTCAAATATCACATGAAAACCCACTAAATTCTGAATCACGAACGCGGCAATAAAATAAAATTTATTCATCTCAAATATTTGAAAATTTCGAATTCATAAAAATCAAGATATTGGATTTTGAATTTGCCAAAACCCGAAAAGCGAGCTTTTCCTCATTTTTCCAAGAGAAATCTAGAAAAAATCGGACACGTACCGCCGAGCTGCGTACTCTTCTCTTGACTGAATTTGCCCCGAGGGCTTTCTCTCGCGCCGGTGATTGGGCAAATTCGAATCAAGCCGCGGCGCGCCGTCGTGCGTAAAATTATTTTTTTCTTTCTCCAATTTTTTTTCCAGCGCTCGAAAATATTTAAAAAATTTAATTGCCAGAGAATCGATTGAAAGAAGAAGAAAATTGCGTTTTGAAGAAAAATTTTGTTTTCAGAGAAAAATGGAGAAATGAGTTTGGGAAGAGCGCAAACTTTCTCGTCGCCAGGTGGAAATAATAAGGCGGGCAGATTGCCCCAGGCATGTGTTTTCAAATTTTTATCAATGAAAATTTTTCTTACTAAAATTCCATTATTATGGTCAAAAAAGCTCCTCAAAAATGGTCGAAAAGGAGCTATTTATGAAGAAAATCGCGAATACCATTAATTATTTTGCGATTTTTAGATCAAAAATGATTATTTTTATGAGAATTCTATCTTTTTCTGGGTGGTGAAAGGAATTTGACCGGAGAAAAATTGCGCTTAGGCATAAAAAGTGTTAATTCTTCTGGATTTTAGAGCACGTAAAATTGAATCTGGATAAAATCATCATATAGAGAAGCTTATTTTTTTGGACTTGTTTTTACGATTCGAAGATTTATGAAAATATACATCAATGAGAACACAAATAAGCGTGCAAATACAACGATGGCCAGGTCAGCAACGATGAAGCCTGAGAATCAATCGCCACATGGAGCTTTGGTCGCCAGATTCAACAATGTTTTAAAGCATTTTGCCAAAATTGATCCTGAAGGTAGGAAAATAAACTTTGATGGACGGGTTTCTATGTGCATTAGCGCTGGGCTCGATAACTTGTGTTGAAACCTAAGTCAGGATGCCGATAAAAGCTCTCATAATTCCGCACAGCTCTTTCAAGACCCTTACTCAGTTTTTTCACAGGTTACCGAGCTCAATCTTCAGAATCATACCGTGAGCCAATTTCTAAAGCCACTGTTTAACTCCCAAAGAATTAAATTCATCATCATTACTTTAATCAATCACCAACCAGTTAAAGTGAATATAACCAGCTCTTTTTCTTCAAAGAAAAATGATCCCTTGAGGCTGGAGACTACCATGCTCAAAGCTGCATTCAATTAACTCAAACGCGTATGGCTACTAATTGATCCTTTTCAGACATTGATGGAAAAGAGTCAGGCTTTGGGCACGCAACGGCGATAATCGACCAAGCCTGGGAAGACAAGCAGGCTAATTTGGCGGTGCAATTTTCCGGACATCTACTTGAACGAGAAATTTTGCATTTGGCGGTCGACTCGCTCGCTCCCGACTCGCCTCCCGAACTGGTGCTGGAATCACTCAAATTGATCGCTGCGTCGATATTTATTCCAGAAATTAGGAAATTTATTTGCAAACAGGACAACTTACAGGCGGTCGTCAACTGCTTCGATCATTATGTCAGGTAATATTTTCAAAAATATCCCGAATATTGAGCCGCATGCTGCTTTTTTCGGCTTGGAAACCAAGTTTCTTCGTTCGAAAAAGCCGTAGGAGGCTTTTCTCTAGCTCTTTCATTGAATAATCATTTTTTTCAGAAGCAAAAACTTCGAGTTCCGCAGCGCCGCGCTAGAAGTTCTCGCTGCCTGCGTGAAAGAATCGGACGAAGTCATCTCCAAGTTAATTCGACTGAAAGCCTTCGACATCGTCGCGACGGCGCTGGAACGCATCGACGAGCCGGCCGTTGCTCGATTCGCGGCGCAATTTTATAGCTTTTCTGCTCTGGCGAGCAATACCAAACACTCGATTCATGAGCGCATGTCCAAGCTCGGCGTGCACCATTATTTATCCATCATTCAAGCGTCGAGTGTTGATTTTGCCGTTTTCCATGCTTCGCTTGCACTTGCTGTTCTCGCTTCCAACAAAGAACCGTCTATCAACATAACATTCCAAAACCCGCTGGCCAACGAGTTCCTTCAAACCCATCACGACTTTTTCAAATGCGAAAGCTTCCAACTCGAGAATAGCAAACGCATCGCCTATGGAATCGCTCCTCCTATCCTCGAGCGCGTCAACCAACTCCTCTATTCCAACAATGGAACGATCCAGGCAATCGGCGCGTTTTTTCTTCTTCAAGAAGTTCTAGCGCGGAAAGCGATGCGACAATTTGATGTTTTCAGCGACACGAACAACATCGCCGCGTTGAAAAAGTGCGCAGCGAGTACCTTGAGTGGTTACGCAAGAGAACTAGCATCGAATTGCTTGAGAATCATGGACATTCCCATCCCCGTCAAGCTCTGCCCCCAAGTGCACATGTGGGACACCGACGACGTCGCCACATGGTTCGAAATCAACGGATTCAAGGACTTCGCCGCCACGGCTGTTGAGTCCTGCTGCGATGGGCGAATGCTCCTGTTGCTCAACGAAGACGATCTCGTCCAGGTCTTCCTGATGTCAAACAAGTTCCACCGCCGGAAGTTCATCCAAGACCTCGTCGAACTACGAATCAATGGCGATTACACGAGCGAAGATGCAAGTGGCATTCAAAAGTGGCTGTCCGGAATAGGCCGCGAATTCAGCCAGTACACTTTTCATCTCATCCAAGCTGGCGTCGATCGCGATTTCTTGCCTCATCTAACGGACGAGCACTTGAAAGTCGACTGCCAAATCACCAATGGAGTCCACAGGACAAAAATTCTAGAGGCAGTTCGTCGCGACGAGGGAGCAAATGGACATGACGATGTGCAAGATCCAAAGGATGGTAAGTCCGACTGATATTTTCATAAACTTCGAAGTATTGGAAGAATTTTTTGTAAATTACAAACGATTCAGTAGATAAATACTGCTGCTTTGAAAGAGGTTTGAAATCGGATAGCGTTTTTCGTCATTTTGGTGAAGTGATGTTGACAGAAAATAATAGGATTTGTAGTGGAAATTAAGGTCTCAGGGTCTTCTGGTCTGGCCCGTTTAAAATCAAGCCGTTATAATGTCTATCTGCATGTATAGCTGTTTAACTTAACTTTTACTTACTAACTCTTTTTGAAGTACTCTTTTCGATCATTTTTCTTTAGTCTTCGTCTGCTCTTGGAAAGAGGGTCAACTTCTGAGCGAGTCCCTCTGCGCCTACCTCCGTCTACGATCTTTCTCCGTCGCTACCAACTGGGGCTTGATCCCGAAGTCCGACGAAGTCACCCTCCGCCACGAAACGAATATCGCTCACGCAGGCCACTTCCTTCTCGTCCTGACACCAGGTTGCCTTGAAAATCTCATTCAAAACGCCTGCGAAGATGAAAACACTCTCGCTCTCGATCCGTTTTATCGCTGGATCGTGACTGCTTTCGCTAAAGGTTGCAATATCATTCCAATGGTGGCTCCTGGCTGGAAATGGCCAGTGCCAGACAGTGTTCCTGAAGCGATAAGAGATCTGTGCTTCATGAATGGAGTCCGTTGGAGATGGGGATATCAAGAAGAAATCATCAACAGGCTCCAGCGATTCATGACCGATCATGGCTCTCTTCAGAGCTTGACATCAGTCAATCGAGCTCAATCAAAGGTAAGTTAATCTTGCGTGATTTCAAGCTCATGTCTCTTTAGATGTCGATGGCTAGCACAACTCATGGCGAGTACGTCCTCCCTACTCCAGCTGAAAACCTCTCCCGACAACCCTCACAAAGAAGCATCACCTCTGTCACTTCTCGTCCCTCCCTCCGCTCTTTCGGCGGCTCGCCCCAGGCTGATACAGGAAGTCAAAGATCAAGACACTCTTCCAGAGCTTCAGTTGCTTCTCAACAAAGTATAAACGAAGGTAAGCATTTATATCGTCAAAGGAGTATTTTTTCACGAACGAAAAGTTGTAATCCATCGTCAAAACAGACGCCCTATCGCTGCGAGTACTCCACTCAAGTCAATAATGAGTTCATCCCTTCGTAATAAGCTCATTTACCATTTATCAAAGCCTTGATGCCGGTTTTACATTCACTTATTTTGCCTGTCATTATTTTCCCTTCACCAAGAGCAGTTTTAACATTATTTTAAAAGTTCCAGAAGAAGCCGCTGAGCTTCAAAACGGCTCATCCCCTGCTGGCTCACCAGACAAACAACCTCTTCGTTCATCCTCCCGAGCATCCAGTCAAGCTTCACTTTCCTTCCGCGGCTCCAAGCCCCCACTGCCCCCATCGCGAAGCAACAGTAATGTCTCCCTCTCCTCCTCCGCTAGCCAGCGTTACAGTAGACTTGCTGATAACACACTCGGTCGAGCATCTAGCAGAAATTCAGTGGCAAGTAATCGACTTTCTACAGCGTCGCTTCCAAGACCAGATATGCTCAGGTAAGAATCCGAGAATAAGTTGGAATTTCCAACTTGGAAATGTCTATCGAAGTGGTGAAAGTAGAGCTAGAGTTACTGTTTGTGTTTCTGTAGAGTTCAACCCTTCGAAACAGTAAAATTAAGGTGTGAGAAGTTTGTACGCGCGAGAATACCGCGTATTAGACACAGATACCTCCTTAACAATCAATTCTAGAGCAAGCAGCAGATCTTCCGTCGCATCTGGCCGTTCAAGCGTCGCTTCTGACAAACCAGTTCCTCCACCGAAGCCACAAAGCCTCTCCCGTGCCTCTTCTCGAGCATCTTTGCCTCCAAACTCTCCGAATAACGCCACTCTTGGTTCCCCGGTTCTAGCAAGTCCGACAAGTCTTTCCGAACGTAGCACTTCTCAAATCTTCGAAAATGTGATTCAAGAGACGGTTCTTGACAAGGACCCTCCCCAAGGAATCCCACAAAAAGAGGATGAAAAGATGAGCGTCGATGAACTTGCAAGGTAAGAGCTGAAAAACAATCCCATAATTATGACCCTTTTAGTGGAAATAGTGCGGCAATCGTCACGACTCAAGCTGCAGTGGAACCCACCCCTGAATCCATCCCTTCCTCTCCCGAGCCCGAGCCAGTCTCCAAAAAGTCCGTCAATGTTCCCGTCGAGTACGAATCCACCGAGCCCAGCCCAGAGCCAGTTTCTGATCCCGAGATCGACGATCATCTTCAGCCAGTTGCATCGTCAAAAGACGCCACTGATCCCGATGATGAGCCTCTCGACATGCTCATTTCGAAAGTAGAAAAAGGAAGGGTTCTTTTTATTGATAAGTTTTGAACATTTGTGGCGTGCTTTAAAAATCCTAGTGAAAGAGGAGAGTGACAAGTGTGATAAAATGCGAAATACGGAAATGTCAGTCCAGCTTCTGATGATTTACTGGGCATTTTATTACGTTGTCGTTTATTTCTTCACCATTTTCTTCAATTAGTTGACAATCATTTGCATGCATTTCTTCCATACTAGATGGAAGCTTCCGTAATTTCTTCATTTATCACTAGAACTCCGTACTCTTGCTGTTTCAGTTCAACTTTATTTATTTCTTCACGAGCCTTGTTTTTCTTCACCAAAAATCATTCAGGAGCACCTCGATTTTGCCACTATTAAAAATGAATGAAACCCACTCACAGATTTGAAAGTTCAAAGTGCTTTGCCGATAGAAGATGATCTCCCTAAAGACGAATCGCCCCTCCCTTCTCCAGGTTAGTTCTTTCGCTGTTTTTCAGGGTTTTAGTTTTGCGTGTTTTGTTTTAGGCTTGAAAATCGACAATAAAGTGCCAAAAGAGTATTAACAGGTTTTTTTTTATACTGATGCAAAATGGTGGAGCACTTTTGACTACCTTAAACTCAACATTTTTTAGTTCTCTCTTTTGTGTCATGTAGAGAAAGGTCTGTAGTGTGTTAAATAAGCTTTTGGTGCCTTCAACATCACTGGTGGTGGAGCAATGACGTCATGAATCCGGAATTTCCGACTGGTCGTGGGGGACACAATAAAATTGAAAAGTACTAACAGTCTATATATCTGCAATTTCATCACTTAGGGGTGTTCCTTACAGCAATATCAAACATTCTTGGCATTTTTGGCGCAAACACCAGTGTTGGTGGTGGAGTAATGACGTCATCAAGATTTTTTCCTATGATTTTAGTGTATTTTTGACCTGCTGATTACTCCACCACCAGTTATGGTGTTGACGCCAAAAGCTTATTTAACACACTACAGACCCTCCCCAACGTGGTGCAAAAGAGAGAATTGAAATATCTCGACTCTAACACCTTCAAAAACGCTCCACCAATTTGGAGCAGAATAAAAAAAAACCTGTTATTATTTCCTTGATTTTTGACTGAATTTTTTTTCTTTCTGAAAATTCACAGACAATTCATTTAAGATTTTGATTCACGGGGCGAAAAATTCATTTACATTTACCATTCCGAAATTTCAAAACCCGATCTAAAAAGCTTCTTTTTCAGAAAAAGTTCCCGAAAAAGCTGAAAGCAGTCTAACAGCAGCGTCGCTAGAATCCGCCTCTCCACCGAATACGCCTGATAAGAAGAAATCGCCTCAGGTCTTCGGCTTATCCAAAATAACCTCTCTCAAGCAAAATAGTCCAAAATAGCTCATCTTCTAGTTTGTAGCCTACTCTTTATCTTTTGTAAAAATATACTTTCTCAAAACGATATTTTCTATTGGACGATTCTTTTTTGATTATTATTTATTGACTTTTGACCAATTCTAATTGCATGGTGAGCTGATTTGCGAAGAAGAATTCACACATGATCTTCTTTAATTTCCACTAATTTGATTCTACGACTCTAGTACTTGCCAAAAATCACAAAATTACGAATTTTGTTACACCAATTTTATTAATGAAACTCTTCCGCATGTTCGACTAACCAATCAATAACCGAATTAACAGTCCTCCCCCAAAAGCACCACCAATCAATCAAATGACACACCACCCATCGTCATCGACGATTCCGACGAGGATGATGGTGAGAACAACGACGAATCACTCTCGGAAGACGCGATGACGACCGTAACTGAATTGACGATGTCGTCGACGATCTCGAGCGCGTCCGCCAAGCTCAAAAAGGGCATTTCCAAAAGGCTCGGAAAAGCGAAAACTAAAACTTCGAAAGCGTTTTCTAAAGGGCTGAAGGGGCTCAAAAACTCCTCTGAAAAGCTGAAATCGTCCCTGAAACGGGGCGATAAGAAAAAAGCTGATAAGGGTAACGAGGAGGAAAAAGAGGAGTTGGAAGATATCTCCGATGAGAAAGAGATCAACTCTCCTCCAGAGGTGATAGAAAAAACTAGCGGTGATAATGATAAAATAGAGGTGGAAGTAGTGGTAGAGGAAAAGGCTGAAGAAGCAGCGCCAGAAACAGAACCAGACTCGGGCGTGATTATTGAAAAAGAATCGGCTGTTTTAGACACTGTTGTTGAAGAAACCGATATTGTTGTTGAGAAACAGGATCAGCCAGTCTCTGAGACCAAGGAGGCTCCTAAGTCAGACGAGTCAAAAGACGAGCCTGAAAAGGAAGACTCAAATAAGATCGAGCCAGCCTCAGATTTGGTTGAAAAAGCACCTGTTACTGAGGCTGAAACTGTTGATGTTTCAGATGAGCCGGAAAAATCTGAACCATCTGAGACTACATCAGTTCCGTCTGAGCAAGTCTCCGTTGAGCCAGATTCCGTCAAAGATAGTGCTCCCGAAATTGAGGCGCCAAAGGAGCCTGAAACGCCAGTTGAGTCAAGTTCTGTTTCTGAATCTACTCCAGCCCCTGAAATTTCATCTGAACCGGTATCAAAAGAACCCGAAAACTCGAAAGAGCCAGAATCTGAGGAGAAATCAGAACCAACCGTAGCACAAGCACTTGCTCAGGATTTTTGACTTCCGAGTCGGCTGAGCCAACTGAGCCAGTGGAACCAGCTGAGCCGGAAACTGAGCCTAGCTCGGCGACGGCAAAGCAAAATAACACTCCGAAAAAAGGAGGAAAGAAAAAGAATAAAAAGAGAAAAAAGTAAATTTTGTCTCTTCCTATTTCTTTTTAGTAAAAATAAATTAAAATTTGCATTCCAAATAAAACCATACTTTTTACCTAGTAGTTCAATTTACAAATCCTCAGCTTCCTCTGGCGAGTAAATCATTATCGGTGCCCCGAGTGTTTCCTTTTCCGTACTTCAGCGATTCGCAATAACAAATATTAACTCGTGCAAATAATAATGGTGTGTCATTCTACTTTCATTCGTCCAAAATCAGCGTCAATCAGCCTTTCAAAATCCCCTCCCCAAAAATCCTTGTTCATTATTATCTGCCTACGCTCGTTCAAACAATCTGTTAAATCAACCAGCAAGTCACCATTTTTCCCCGGTTTAAAAATTGTAAACATAAGTTGCTTTCTCCCTGTCCAACAAACAAATTTCATCCTCCTGTATTTTTTCTGTATTTCCTCTTTTCAGCTTCAAATAAATCTTGGAAAGCTTGCGAAAATTAAGAATTTTGTATTTTATTTCATACAGAATCTTTGTCTTCGGAGGGAAAAGTGACTTCGACGAAAACGACCGAGTCTTTTTTGGACTCGACCAAGCCGCCAGATGGAGTCGGAAAACGCTCTTGAAGCATTTTGTAGTCAGCGAAGCCTTGAATTCGCGAAATTCGCTCCATTCCCGACGTGTACATCAGACTTTAAGGGTATAGTCGTCGATTTGGCCGATTTCAGGGGGTTATAACTCGGAACTGGGAATATGTGGGAGGCTCTAAAATAGGTCATATAAAAGATCTATCCTAGATCTCACTTTTGTCACAGCTTTTTACGTTATTTCCAAGAAAATCATGGTTTGCGGATCGCTCAAAGTTGAGCTCTCGGCCAAATAACGCGAAAATTGCCTCTTTTCAAGGCGTTATAAGTCCAAAGTTTCTATATAAACCTATTGATTTTATGTTTTTTTCTTAAAATATAGACCCTAATCTTAAAAATGACACAGCCTTATACTGTAATCATCTAATTTTCTTTGAAAAATTTTCAAAAGAACCAAGGTACCAAATTTTTACCTTTCATTTTGATAAAATGCCCTGCGGGCATAGCCCAAATTTACCCTACGTGGTCCTAAATAAATGCCCTGAATATAAGCTTTCTAAAAATGTATCATATGGCACCCTTACAAGGCCCCTAAAAATGGTCAAAATTTCAAAATATTCGGCTAATGATCAAAATGCACTAAATTTCGCCACTTTCAAACGCAATTTGCGGCCAAATAGGTTAAGATAACCAAAATAATCATAAGTTTTTTGGTCAGAAATTTATGGGGATTCTAAAAATGTGCTCAGATTAAAAATTGGAGACCCGACCAAAATCGATGACTATACCCTTAAATGCTCGGTTTCTAGCTCTTTTGGTTCTCTTACCTCAGGATGTTGAACCAGTCTCGATTGCTCCAGTCTCCGTATCGAACATGTGGACTGTAAAAACGCAGGAATCTTAAAATCATCACTAGAATCTATCTTTCCTAAAGAACCAACCTTTCTGAGGTCTTTTTCTTGTTGAAAACTCCGAGAGTAACCGTGTCGAAAAAGTGCGCAAGTCCAATGTCTTTCAACTTCATCGTTTTTGATTTCGCCACGACAGGATCATTGTTCAGCCGCTGCTCAATTTTAGGAAGAATATAGTCCAGATGCGACTCAGACTCGCAATGAAGCTTTTTTCTTGGTCATTTTTGCTAAATTTTGAATTTTGCGATCTTTAATTTTTGACCAATTGCCCAAAGAATGTGCGAAAAACTCTTGTACTTCGAAACTTCTCTGAGAAACTCGTATTTCTCAATTTTTATCTGCTTGTATTCTCGAAAAATGACGCAGGAGCCTTTTTGAAAGCACTTTCGCATCTCGACCAAAGCCTCTCCAATTTTCGAGCGATCATTGAACTTCAAAAAGATCAAAATTCCAAATTTACTTTTCAAATCTGTCCAAATTTTGACGATAAGAAAGGGGATGAAGAGCGCGGTAAGGATTCCATAGAGTTTCAAGTTTGGAATGTCCCAAAATCCCATTTTTTCTTTCTCTTTTGATTTCCGACGACTAATGAAATTTGGATTTCTACGTTTCTCTGCAAATAGACTTGACATTTGTGCAAATTATGAGCGACCGAATACTTCAGTTATGACTCATAACTTATGAGGAGTTTTACATTGCATCAAAAATTTTATTTATTGAATCGATCGAGTGAGAAAAAGCTCATATCATAAGCAGGCTCTTTTTCAAGCGCGAGATCCGCTAGAATTTCACCCGTTTCTGGCGACATTTTGAATCCATGACCGGAGAATCCTGCGCCGATGACGACATTTTTCATTGTTGGGTGGACATCGAGGATGAAGTCGTTGTCAGGCGTGTTCTAGAGACCGATTTTAGTTATGTTTTTGGTATGATTTCTTACAGTATACATGCAGGGCTCAACGATAACTGGATTGGATGAGTCAATTCCTTCGAAATGAAGGTCAATTATCCTCTTGTGATCTTCCAGCTGATCTTTTGCCCGTTTAGATGACTCTTTTTCTGGATCATCTCGCTCGTCCGGGTCGATTTCATCTCGATAGGTTCCGTGGTACGAAATTTTTATCAGATTTGGGTATTCTTTCACTAAAAAAGATTTCGAAAATGTGCTTTATTGTAGCAAATGAACCTGGTGTCCAGTAGTAGTGATAGATTTCGCCGGTTTCTTTGTTGTTAACATCAATGATTCCAGCGGGAAAGCAGCTTATGTCGTACTTTTGAATCTGATAACAGAATACATGAATATCAAGAGTACCTTTCCAGCGAAATCAGGCTTCACTTTCCAATAAGACACTTCTGTTTTAATTACTTCAAGAGGGATTTCAAGCCCTGTTTTCGCGAGTATCTTCTTTGCCCAAGCACCACAAGCTTTGAACAAATTTTATTTTCAATCAAATGAAGATAAAATTTACCCAGAATGAGTTTTCTTCCCACATGGCTTTTGCCGTCGGTAGAATATACGGTAACAGTCTTACAAAGGATTTTCTCGATGAAAATTCCGAAAAGACCCGAAAACCGCAAGGATGAAAATATTACAATTCAAGGAAGCTTAAGCGCTGAGGGAGCTTTGAAGCATTGTCCCTCCAAAATTTGACACCGACACGGATATATTTAGCTTCTGTATTGATGCGGTTTCCGAGTGTTAATTTTAACATTGATGCTTGCCGGCTGTCCTTGAGAAATCCTGTTTCCTTGCCGTCGTCCTGGAAATCCTTCAATTTGAATCCGTCAATGAATTTGCCACCGATTTTCAGAAACTGATCAAAACTCGCTCGTAGACACGCAAGACCTCGTCGAACTACGAATCAATGGCGATTACACGAGCGAAGATGCAAGTGGCATTCAAAAGTGGCTGTCCGGAATCGGCCGCGAATTCAGCCAGTACACTTTTCATCTCATTCAAGCTGGCGTCGATCGCGATTTCTTGCCCCATCTAACAGACGAGCACTTGAAAGTCGACTGCCAAATCACCAATGGAGTCCACAGAACAAAAATTCTAGAGGCAGTTCGCCGCGACGAGGGAGCAAATGGACATGACGATGTGCAGGATCCAAAGGATGGTAAGTCCGACTGATATTTTCATAAACTTCGAAGTATTGGAAGAATTTTCGTAAATTACAAACGATTCAGTAGATAAATACTGCTGCTTTGAAAGAGGTTTGAAATCGGATAGCGTTTTTCGTCATTTTGGTGAAGTGATGTTGACAGAAAATGATAGGATTTGTAGTGGAAATTAAGGTCTCAGGGTCTTCTGGTCTGGCCCCTTTAAAATCAAGCCGTTATAATGTCTATCTGCATGTATAGCTGTTTAACTTACCTTTTACTTACTAACTCTTATTAAAGTGCTCTTTTTGATCATTTTTTCTTTAGTCTTCGTCTGCTCCTGGAAAGAGGGTCAACTTCTGAGCGAGTCCCTCTGCGCCTACCTCCGTCTGCGATCTTTCTCCGTCGCTACCAACTGGGGCTTGATCCCGAAGTCCGACGAAGTCACCCTCCGCCACGAATCGAACATCGCTCACGCAGGTCACTTCCTTCTCGTCCTGACACCAGGTTGCCTTGAAAATCTCATTCAAAACGCCTGCGAAGATGAAAACACTCTCGCTCTCGATCCGTTTTATCGCTGGATCGTGACTGCTTTCGCTAAAGGTTGCAACATCATTCCAATGGTGGCTCCTGGCTGGAAATGGCCAGTGCCAGACAGTGTTCCCGAAGCGATAAGAGATCTGTGCTTCATGAATGGAGTCCGTTGGAGATGGGGATATCAAGAAGAAATCATCAACAGGCTCCAGCGATTCATGACCGATCATGGCTCTCTTCAAAGCTTGACATCAGTCAATCGAGCTCAATCAAAGGTAAGTCAATCTTGCTAGGTTTCGAGCTCATTTCGTTTTAGATGTCGATGGCTAGCACAACTCATGGCGAGTACGTCCTCCCTACTCCAGCTGAAAACCTCTCCCGACAACCATCTCAAAGAAGCATCACCTCTGTCACTTCTCGTCCCTCCCTCCGCTCTTTCGGCGGCTCGCCCCAGGCTGATACAGGAAGTCAAAGATCAAGGCACTCATCCAGAGCTTCAGTTGCTTCTCAACAAAGTATAAACGAAGGTAAGAATTTTAGCCAGTCTCCAAAAAGTCCGTCAATGTTCCCGTCGAGTACGAATCCACCGAGCCCAGCCCAGAGCCTATTTCCGACCCCGAGATCGAGATCGACGATCATCTTCAGCCAGTTGCATCGTCAAAAGACGCCACTGATCCCGATGATGAGCCTCTCGACATGCTCATTTCGAAAGTAGAAAAAGGAAGGGTTCTTTTTATTGATAAGTTTTGAACATTTGTGGCGTGCTTTAAAAATCCTAGTGAAAGAGGAGAGTGACAAGTGTGATAAAATGCGAAATACGGAAATGTCAGTCCAGCTTCTGATGATTTACTGGGCATTTTATTACGTTGTCGTTTATTTCTTCACCATTTTCTTCAATTAGTTGACAATCATTTGCATGCATTTCTTCCATACTAGATGGAAGCTTCCGTAATTTCTTCATTTATCACTAGAACTCCGTACTCTTGCTGTTTCAGTTCAACTTTATTTATTTCTTCACGAGCCTTGTTTTTCTTCACCAAAAATCATTCAGGAGCACCTCGATTTTGCCACTATTAAAAATGAATGAAACCCACTCACAGATCTGAAAGTTCAAAGTGCTTTGCCGATAGAAGATGATCTCCCTAAAGACGAATCGCCCCTCCCTTCTCCAGGTTAGTTCTTTCGCTGTTTTTCAGGGTTTTAGTTTTGCGTGTGTTGTTTTAGGCTTGAAAATCGACAATAAAGTGCCAAAAGAGTATTATTTCCTTGATTTTTGACTGAATTTTTTTTTCTTTCTGAAAATTCACAGACAATTCATTTAAGATTTTGATTCACGGGGCGAAAAATTCGTTTACATTTACCATTCCGAAATTTCAAAACCCGATCTAAAAAGCTTCTTTTTCAGAAAAAGTTCCCGAAAAAGCTGAAAGCAGTCTAACAGCAGCGTCGCTAGAATCCGCCTCTCCACCGAATACGCCTGATAAGAAGAAATCGTCTCAGGTCTTCGGCTTATCCAAAATAACCTCTCTCAAGCAAAATAGTCCAAAATAGCTCATCTTCTAGTTTGTAGCCTACTCTTTATCTTTTGTTAAAATATACTTTCTCAAAACGATATTTTCTATTGGACGATTCTTTTTTGATTATTATTTATTGACTTTTGACCAATTCTAATTGCATGGTGAGCTGATTTGCGAAGAAGAATTCACACATGATCTTCTTTAATTTCCACTAATTTGATTCTACGACTCTAGTACTTGCCAAAAATCACAAAATTACGAATTTTGTTACACCAATTTTATTAATGAAACTCTTCCGCATGTTCGACTAACCAATCAATAACCGAATTAACAGTCCTCCCCCAAAAGCACCACCAATCAATCAAATGACACACCACCCATCGTCATCGACGATTCCGACGAGGATGATGGTGAGAACAACGACGAATCACTCTCGGAAGACGCGATGACGACCGTAACTGAATTGACGATGTCGTCGACGATCTCGAGCGCGTCCGCCAAGCTCAAAAAGGGCATTTCCAAAAGGCTCGGAAAAGCGAAAACTAAAACTTCGAAAGCGTTTTCTAAAGGGCTGAAGGGGCTCAAAAACTCCTCTGAAAAGCTGAAATCATCCCTGAAACGGGGTGATAAGAAAAAAGCTGATAAGGGTAACGAGGAGGAAAAAGAGGAGTTGGAAGATATCTCCGATGAGAAAGAGACCAACTCTTCTCCAGAGGTGATAGAAAAAACTAGCGGTGATGATAATAAAATAGAGGTGGAAGTAGTGGTAGAGGAAAAAGCTGAAGAAGCAGCGCCAGAAACAGAACCGGACTCGGGCGTGATCATCGAAAAGGAATCGGCTGTTTTGGACACGGTTGTTGAAGAAACCGCGGTAGTTGTTGAAAAACAGGGTCAGCCAGTTTCTGAGACTAAGTCAGACGAGTCAAAAGACGAGCCTGAAAAGGAAGCCTCAACTAAGATCGAGGCAGCCTCAGATTCGATTGAAAAAGCACCTGTAACGGAGGCTGAAACTGTTGAAGTGTCAGATGAGCCGGAAAAATCTGAACCATCTGAGACTACATCAGTTCCATCTGAGCAAGTCTCTGTTGAGCCAGATTCCGTCAAAGATAGTGCTCCCGAAATTGAGGCGCCAAAGGAGCCTGAAACGCCAGTTGAGTCAAGTTCTGTTTCTGAATCTACTCCAGCCCCTGAAATTTCATCTGAACCGGTATCAAAAGAACCCGAAAACTCGAAAGAGCCAGAATCTGAGGAGAAATCAGAACCAACCGTAGCACAAGCACTGGCTCAGGATTTTTTGACTTCCGAGTCGGCTGAGCCAACTGAGCCAGTGGAACCAGCTGAGCCGGAAACTGAGCCTAGCTCGGCGACGGCAAAGCAAAATAACACTCCGAAAAAAGGAGGAAAGAAAAAGAATAAAAAGAGAAAAAAGTAAATTTTGTCTCTTCCTATTTCTTTTTTTAGTAAAAATAAATTAAAATTTGCATTCCAAATAAAACCATACTTTTTACCTAGTAGTTCAATTTTACAAATCCTCAGCTTCCTCTAGCGAGTAAATCATTATCGGTGCCCCGAGTGTTTCCTTTTCCGTACTTCAGCGATTCGCAATAACAAATATTAACTCTTGCAAATAATAATGGTGTGTCATTCTACTTTCATTCGTCCAAAATCAGCGTCAATCAGCCTTTCATTTAAATCCCCTCCCCAAATATCTTTGTTCATTATTATCTGCCTACGCTCGTTCAAACAATCTCTTAAATCAACCAGCAAGTCACCATTTTTCCCCGGTTTAAAAATTGTAAACATAAGTTGCTTTTTCTCCCTGTCCAACAAACAAATTTCATCCTCCTGTATTTTTTCTGTATTTCCTCTTTTCAGCTTCAAATAAATCTTGGAAATATAGTGGATCTCAATGTGCAATACGCGCTGCGCGCGGAGTTACATTAACTCCTGCGTAAACAATCTCCCCCGCACGGACAGACTTCTCTACGCGCGGACCAAACTATCTACGCCCGTAACAAAGAATCTTGCTCCCTACGTATAGCCCTTTCTCCCTGTGCATAAACCTCTGTACGCACGTGATTATTCATTTCCCTACGGAACTCTCTTTCTCCTCACGCACTGCATTACTTCCGTGCGGACCAAGCTCTGTCCGTACGCACAGAAATAGTATATAAGTCGCTCTGCTTTGCAACTAAACTCACTCATCAATCACAATGTAAAATTGCTCTTTTTTTACAAAACAACGTTCACTATTTTATCCTGCTCGCGATAACAATAAACTACAAATTCGTATCCGACTTATGTACATTGAGAAACACGTACATATTTTGGTGACTGAATAAAACGGAACGCCTCCCAACAGATACAGTTAGAGAAAGAGATCATAAATGGAACAAAACAATGAACGCTCAAAATCCCTTGGACGAATGAAGATGAAAACCCCGAAATTTGACGCTCGACTTCCAATTGAAAACTTTATTTTAAATTTGGAATTGTTTGGTGAATGCTCAAAGATTTGTGATGAAGACCTGATCAGTGTTGCTCTATCCCAATTCCTGATTGAAGAGAATGGACTGGCTATCCTTGAAGCCATTTCTGAGGAAGAAAAACGAGACTGGAATAGATTCAAGACGCAGCTCTCTCAGGTTCTTGGTAAGGACAATGAGTACTACAAATACCTGTACACGTCCTTTTCGCGAGGTCAAGAGACACAGCAAATGGCAGTTACAAAACTTCAAGCCTATTTCAAAAAAGGATACGGAAAATTGAGACTTGATGCTGGAGATGAGTCAATTATCTGTGATCGATTCATTGAATGCCAAGAACCAAGACTATCTGAACTGCTCCGACGAGAGAAGTCCCTGCTCAACCTTCGAAATATTGCTCAACGTGCTATGGAACTAGAGAGAAGTTTCAACAAGAGAGAAAATATTTTCACCGCTCAGTCCTCTGAAAGCGCTAAACAATCTGAAATGGCACGAATCTGCTCCGAACTTAAAGAAATGATCAATTCCTTTAATGAAGAAGACGAATGACCACCAAAATTCATCTTCGCGTGCGAATCGACTTATTTCGGATCGGCCTGGACAAACTGTGTAAAGATTATGCTCAACGGACAAATTTTTCCGCCTTCTCAAAAATGACGAAAAAGAACATTTCGCTCAGATGTTCAAGATCTCCGTCAACTATTGATGATCTGATTCGCTCAAAAGTCATGTGGAATCACCTTCTTATTGATCAAAGTCAATATCAAGTATCACGGCGTCATATCAGTTAGATCCGCCCGCTCAAACAAAAAACTGATAAGCAAAATGAGAATTTATGCAGCAGTTATGATCTCGTCTGCTGCATCTTCAAGAAATGAAGAAGCTCAAAAGCATCGATCTGTGCCGATTGATGAGGTATTTTGCAAATGATCACAATCCCTGCTCTGAGGATTTTCTTCCTATTGTCAGTAAAGGCAATTGATCGATGAAAGAGGAAGAATTTAAACTTGAAGAAGCCGTCTTCGCTGTAGACGACTTTGGTAACATGAGATGCTCTACTCATAAAATGCTCAAGAGTCGAATATTATGACGTATAAAAGCCCTGCTCAAAGGATTAATCCGTGCTCAAACAAATGCTCACAACTTTAGCGATATGATGCACACTTGAAGAAGAGTCAAGCTCCGTTCCATCGCCATGAAAGTTCAATGCAGGCCGCTGTGGATTTTCGCTCGCATAACATTGATAATGTTCAAGTTAATGGCGCCCTCGACTTGGACCTCTTGTCTTAACCTTGCGCCGGACTTCCCCAGATGTTGGCAATGTGTGCAGTTGCCAAATCACACAATATTCGAAAATGGATCTACAATGGCATCATCCCAGCTCAATGGCACGGTGCAAAGCCCTTTTTTAAAAAAAAGGGGAAAGAGAAGAGTGAAACTGCTCGATCACTCAAGAATTTCAATTTTTATGCTCACAAAATTGAACAAGTACGGAAAAAGTGAAACTGCTCGACCACTGGAGATTTTCAATTTTCTGCTCACAAAATTGAAAAATGATGGACAAAAAAAAAAAAGAAGTGAAACTGCTCGATCACTATAAATTTGCGATTTACATGCTCATGAAATGGAATACAGTGTAATTATGAAGATACCTCGTGATAACTGCTCGCTCACAATGGAGAATACGGTATCTCAGTACAGGAATAATGGAAAAAGAAGTAATAACTGCTCGCTCACTTGGAAGTTAATTGTGGCACTGCTCACGAGATGATTGACAGAAAACAAAAGTGCAAGAGATACAGGAACCAAATGCAAGAAGTAAGAAGATGACAAGCAACAAGGATCAGACAAATGAGAAATCGTTTTACTTTGGAAGAAACCTGGATGAACAAGGCTCTTCTTTTTAAAAGGGGGAAGAATATATAGTGGATCTCAATGTGCAATACGCGCTGCGCGCGGAGTTACATTAACTCCTGCGTAAACAATCTCCCCCGCACGGACAGACTTCTCTACGCGCGGACCAAACTATCTACGCCCGTAACAAAGAATCTTGCTCCCTACGTATAGCCCTTTCTCCCTGTGCATAAACCTCTGTACGCACGTGATTATTCATTTCCCTACGGAACTCTCTTTCTCCTCACGCACTGCATTACTTCCGTGCGGACCAAGCTCTGTCCGTACGCACAGAAATAGTATATAAGTCGCTCTGCTTTGCAACTAAACTCACTCATCAATCACAATGTAAAATTGCTCTTTTTTTACAAAACAACGTTCACTATTTTATCCTGCTCGCGATAACAATAAACTACAAATTCGTATCCGACTTATGTACATTGAGAAACACGTACAGAAAGCTTGCGAAAAATGAGAATTTGCCTTCTTTATTTCAAACAGAAACAGTTCGGAGGGAAAAGTGACTTCGACGAAAACGACCGAGTCTTTTTTGGACTCGACAAGGCCGCCAGAAGGAGTTGGAAAACGCTCTTGGAGCATTTTGTAGTCAGCGAAGCCTTGAATCCGCGAAATTCGCTCCATTCCCGATGTGTACATCAGGCTGAAAATGCTCGGTTTCTAGCTCTTTTGGTTCTCTCTTACCTAAGGACGTTGAACCAGTCTCGATTGCTCCAGTCTCCGTATCGAACATGAGGACTGTAAAAGCGCAGGAATCTTAAAATCACCCCTCAAATTTAGCTCAATTGGAAACCAACCTTTCTGAGGTCTTTTTCTTATTGAAAACTCCGAGAGTAATCGTGTCGAAAAGGTGCGCCAGTCCAATATCTTTCAGCTTCATCGTTTTTGATTTCGCAACGACAGGATCATTGTTCAGCCGCTGCTCAATTTTAGGGAGAATGTAGTCCAAATGCGACTCAGACTCGCAATGAAGCTTTTTTCTTGGTCATTTTTTGTTCAAATTTAGATTTTGCTTTTTTAATTTTTGACCAATTGCCCAGAGGATATGCGAAAAACTCTTGTACTTCGAAACGTCTCTGAGAAACTCGTATTTTTCAATTTTTATCTGCTTGTATTCTCGAAAAATGACGCAAGAGCCTTTTTGAAAACACTTTCGCATCTCGACCAGAGCCTCGCCAATTTTCGAGCGATCATTGAATTTCAAAAAGATCAAAATTCCAAATTTACTTTTCAAATCTGTCCAAATTTTGACGAGAAGAAAGGGGATGAAAAGCGCGGTAAGGATTCCATAGAGTTTCAAGTTTGGGATGTCCCAAAATCCCATTTTTTTTTTCTTTTCTCTTTTGATTTCCGACGGCTAATGAAATTTAGATTACTACGTTTCTGTGCAAATAGACTTGACATTTGTGCAAATTATGTGCGACCAAATACTTTAGAAATGAGTATGAAACGCCAGTTGAGTCAAGTTCTGTTTCTGAATCTGCACCAGCCACTGAAATTTCATCTGAACCGGTTTCAAAAGAACCCGAAAACTCGAAAGAGCCAGAATCTGAGGAGAAATCAGAACCAACCGTAGCACAAGCACTTGCTCAGGATTTTTGACTTCCGAATCGGCTGAGCCAACTGAGCCAGTGGAACTAGCTGAGCCAGAAAGTGAGCCCAGCTCAGTGACGGCAAAGCAAAATAACACTTCGAAAAAAGGAGGAAAGAAAAAGAATAAGAAGAGAAAAAAGTAAAATTCGACTCTTCTATTCTTTTTTAGTAATATAAATTAAAATTTGCATTCCAAATAAAACTTTTTACCTAGTAGTTCAATTTACAAATCCTCAGCTTCCTCTGGCGAGTAAATCATTATCGGTGCCCCGAGTGTTTCCTTTTCCGTACTTCAGCGATTCGCAATAACAAATATTAACTCTTGCAAATAATAATGGTGTGTCATTCTACTTTCATTCGTCCAAAATCAGCGTCAATCAGCCTTTCATTTAAATCCCCTCCCCAAATATCTTTGTTCATTATTATCTGCCTACGCTCGTTCAAACAATCTGTTAAATCAACCAGCAAGTCACCATTTTTCCCCGGTTTAAAAATTGTAAACATAAGTTGCTTTTTCTCCCTGTCCAACAAACAAATTTCATCCTCCTGTATTTTTTCTGTATTTCCTCTTTTCAGCTTCAAATAAATCTTGGAAAGCTTGCGAAAAATGAGAATTTGCCTTCTTTATTTCAAACAGAATCTTTGTCTTCGGAGGGAAAAGTGACTTCGACGAAAACGACCGAGTCTTTTTTGGACTCGACCAAGCCGCCAGATGGAGTAGGAAAACGCTCTTGGAGCATTTTGTATTCAGCGAAGCCTTGAATTCGCGAAATTCGCTCCATTCCCGACGTGTACATAAGACTAAAAAGGCTCGATTTCTAGCTCTTTCAGTTCTCTTACCTAAGGATGTTGAACCAGTCTCGATTGCTCCAGTCTCCGTATCGAACATGTGGACTGTAAAAGCGCAGGAATCTTAAAGGCATCCTTCAAATCAAGCTCAATTAAAGAACCAACCTTTCTGACGTCTTTTTCTTGTTGAAAACTCCGAGAGTAATCGTGTCGAAAAGGTGCGCCAGTCCAATATCTTTCAGCTTCATCGTTTTTGATTTCGCAACGACAGGATCATTGTTCAGCCGCTGCTCAATTTTAGGGAGAATGTAGTCCAAATGCGACTCAGACTCGCAATGAAGCTTTTTTCTTGGTCATTTTTTGTTCAAATTTAGATTTTGCTATTTTAATTTTTGACCAATTGCCCAGAGGATATGCGAAAAACTCTTGTACTTCGAAACGTCTCTGAGAAACTCGTATTTTTCAATTTTTATCTGCTTGTATTCTCGAAAAATGACGCAGGAGCCTTTTTGAAAGCACTTTCGCATCTCGACCAAAGCTTCTCCAATTTTCGAGCGATCATTGAATTTCAAAAAGATCAAAATTCCAAATTTACTTTTCAAATCTGTCCAAATTTTGACGATAAGAAAGGGGATGAAGAGCGCGGTAAGGATTCCATAGAGTTTCAAGTTTGGAATGTCCCAAAATCCCATTTTTTCTTTCTCTTTTGATTTCCGACGACTAATGAAATTTGGATTCCTGCGTTTCTGTGCAAATAGACTTGACATTTGTGCAAATTATGAGCGACCGAATACTTCAGTTATGAGGAGTTTTACATTGCATCAAAAATTTTATTTATTGAATCGATCGAGTGAGAAAAAGCTCATATCATAAGTAGGTTCTTTTTCAAGGGCAAGCTCCGCTAGAATTTCTCCGGTTTCAGGCGACATTTTGAATCCATGACCGGAGAATCCTGCGCCGATGACGACATTTTTCATTGTTGGGTGGACATCGAGGATGAAATCGTTGTCAGGCGTGTTCTAGAGACCAATTTTAACGATTTTAGTCATGTTTTCGGTATGATTTCTTACAGTGTACATGCAGGGCTCGACGATAACTGGATTGGACGAGTCAATTCCTTCGAAATGAAGATCAATTATCCTCTTGTGATCTTCCCGCTGATCTTTTGCCCGCTCAGACGACTCTTTCTTCGGATCATCTCGCTCATCCGGGTCGATTTCATCTCGATAGGTTCCGTGGTACGAAATTTTTATCAGATTCGGGTACTCTTTCACTATCAAAAGATTCCGAAAAAGGGCTTGTTGTAGAAAAAAAAACCTGGTGTCCAATAGTAGTGATAGATTTCGCCGGTTTCTTCGTTGTTGACGTCAATGATTCCAGCAGGAAAGCAGCTTATGTCGTACTTTTGAATTTGATAACAGAATACATGAATATCAAGAGTACCTTTCCAGCGAAATCAGGCTTCACTTTCCAATAAGACACTTCTGTTTTAATTACTTCAAGGGGGATTTCTAGCCCTGTTTTCGCCAGAATCTTCTTTGCCCAAGCACCACAAGCTTTGAGCAAATTATATTTTTGAGAAGAAGAAGAAATTTTTACCCAGAATGAGTTTTCTTCCCACATGGCTTTTGCCGTCGGTAGAATATACAGTAACAGTCTTAGAAAGGATTTTTCTTTGTGAAAATGTCGAAAACCGCCAGGATGAAAAAAACAATTCAAGGAAGCTAAAGCGCTGAGGGAGCTTTGAAGCATTGTCCCTCCTAAATTTGACACCGACACGGATATGTTTAGCTTCTGTATTGATGCGGTTTCCGAGTGTTAATTTTAACATTGATGCTTGCCTTCTGTCCTTGAAAAATCCTGTTTCCTTGCCGTCGTCTTGGAAATCCTTCAATTTGAATCCGTCAATGAATTTGCCCCCGATTTTCAGAAACTGATCAAAACTCGCTCGAAGACACGCGCTTGCGTCCAGAACTCCTCCTTCCTCTTCCAAAACGTAGCCGAATTCTTCACATGTTTTCATCGGAAGATGATCGATTTTGTCAGAAAAATTGAAGTTGTTTTTCGACAAGATGTCAGTGTAGACGCTTTTTCGCGCGGCGGAGGAAATGTTGAGAATTCCACATTTTGTGTTGAGATTGACATTTTGCTCATCTTCCAGCTTTGCCCAGAGTTTGTATGCTTAATTTTTGATAAAGACCTTTCACTCTGGGCTCGGCAACCTGAGTAGAAAACCTGAGCAGAATTCTAAAAGAGGGAAATGAAAAGCCGCGTAGCGGCTTTCTTTCAAAACTTAGCCGCAAAGCGGCTTCGCCATAGTTATCAACTCAATAAAGAATTTTATCTAGCGAAGCCGCTTTGCGGCTTCGTTTAAATAAAAAGCCGCTGCGCGGCTTTTCATTTCACCCTTTTAGAACCCTGACTAAGGTTTTCTACTCAGGACGTCGAGCCCAGATTTTTCTTTCTTTATTGCGTAAGAAGAGCTGAGGGTTAAATAAGCAGTGTTTTATTTGACCTTGAATGAACGGAAGTAAATGAGATAGTTAATGCCTGTACTCAGCTGAGATGGTTTTGGATTTTTTTCGAATCAACAAGAATCATTGGTGAAAAAAAGCTTACCATTTGGCATCATCAGCGTATATCTCTCCGACTCGTACAAATATCTGATGATTCTGGAAGGCCCGTGAGACGACCCTCTCTGATGTCCGATGAAAAATTGCTCCAGCAAAAGAACCTTCTCTCCTCTTCTTCTGAGCGCGAGAGCAGTGGCTGTTCCTACTGCTCCGGCTCCAACGACGATTATTGGAAGCGAAGTCATCTCTTTTTCAGAAGAAACACTCGGAGGATCCATTTTTATGCAAAATTTTCACGCCCAACAAATTTTCACCCGAACAAATGAATTTCAAGTGCACCCGCCCCACCGAGACAAATATTTTCGACGACTCGGTTCTTGATTCAACCAGTTTGCAGGATTTTTAAGCAAAAATTTTCATAAGCAGTTGAAGTTTTTAAGACTCTAAAGGTCGCATCTTCGCTTGACCTCTTTTTATTCTGTTTGTTTATAAATGACATTAGTTCAGTGACAGGTCAAGATCTTAAGACCCTGTCTTTGATGTGTTTTTTGTTGCTTGTCAGCAAGTTCTTGGTGCATTTGTCGTACCGGGAAATTCCAAGATGCTTTTTTGCAAATAATATTTGTCTACTTTTCGATCTCAAGGACAAGTCCGGGTATCCTGGAAGTCCTGGAAGGAGGGAAATCGAGACAAAAGCTTTTCAACTTGCGCGAAATAGAACGAAATAGAACGGTCCTCAAAGAAGTCCTCCTTCAAGCCAAAACCTCATCGAAGAAGAAAACCTTACGCTCAAGTCCAGCACATGCCGCAGGTCACAGTCTCATCAAAACAAGCAATCGTTATGCAATAAACAAATTTCCTCGAGTCGAACTACAAATTTTTTCTAATAAAAAAACGTCACGTCGATTTTATCCTTGTTTGCCCAGGTCTGACTCTGCACTTCCCTCGTTTCAGCGTTTTTAATGTCGCCAGAGAAAACTAATAACTGCCGTTATTGAAGAATTAAAACAGTATAAGCGCGAAAGATATAAAAACGAGAACTCGTCCAAAAACGGCCTTAAAAATTCTGATGTCAAAAAATTGAAAATTGAAATCAAGGAGGAAAAAAAATGTCCCTGAAAATCCAACTCGTCCTAAAATTACTGCTATGGCAACATGCTGTTTTAGCGAAAAATGGTAAGAATAAAAATTATGGTAAAGAATTTTTTCTTGATTTATTGACTTTGCGAAGAGCTCGATGTTGATATTGAGATCGATTGATTTGACATGGTTAATCCTCTGCTGGACCCATCATGTTTACTTCCGCCAGACCAGGGGGATCTAGCGATCATTTTTTGGCATCATCTTCTTTTCACCATAAAATTTATGGTATCAATTAAATCAGCTGGTACTAGGGGGTTATCATTTCAGCTGCCCCTAACCCTAAGCCTAACCCAGGGTGCTAGCCCCCCGGGACCCCCACCTAAGGCCTAAACCAGGGGCTTCGCCCCCTTATGAGTTCACTGTCCCTAAGCCTAGCCCAGATTCTAGAGAAATTTGGTGACTCGAAAGATAACCCCTCTCTACGAAACAGCTGCTAGAAATTGGAATTTATCGTAATTCTGGGGGGAAGCAATAAAAAAACTGCCAGCTTCGCAAAAATTATAACCACATTTGCAAATAGCGCGTAATGATTCTTACGGCCCATGAAAATTTCCTCGAGATCAGGAAAGTCTACCGGGGTTCGAGAAGGTCAATAGCGACAGAAAAAATGGAACGTGACCTACAGTTGAGCTCAGTAAAAAAAAATGAAACTCGAATTTGAGAGTTTGAACAGCGCTCACGCCGGGCCTTGATCTTCCGTTATTAAACTGTCGCTGTGTAAATATGCGGAAGCGGGGGCGATAAAGCTGATTTAACAGTTTTTATTTAATAAAAAAGCTCGTCAAATTAGTATAAATGAAAGAAAGAATGATTTTGTTATTCTAGAAAATTGATTAAAAAATCATAAAATGCTCCAGGGATAGATTTTTCTGTATCCATTTCTCCAGTTCTTCTTCACTTCTAATGAATCAAACATACTGTCAATTAAAATTAATTTTTGCCGCTCAAAAAGAGCTCTTTTTAACCAAAAACTTTCAGAAAAATCTCCTTGCCCAACAAGTCTGAAATCTCAAGCCCTCCGAAACGACCTGTCAAAAGCATTGAACTTGGCATTTCGAGGTCTTCCGTCGATGAAAGCCGCCTGTATTCCTGACATGACAAACCTCAAATGCGAAGAAATCCGATCAGACACAAGCGCCAGCGGTAGAAAACGGACGATTGAAAAATGCATTGCTCAAGTCACGGCTCATTCGAATTACTGGGGGAATTTCAAAGTTGATGATTATGAATCCAGCGCACTGAGGAGGGGGAAGAAATGCTACTTTATCTTCAAAATTCGGTGAGTTCAAGAAAATTTTTTTGGGAAAAATTGACCTTGGGAGTCGAAAGAATGTCATTCCCACTTTCATTTGCGTTTTTTATTGTAACCTGTCAAATTTTGACAGGTCAGAGTGTATTGACAGAAAAGGGTGGGGTACGATTAATTTATTGCTTACTTTCAATTTTTCTATTTCAGAACATTTCGCAACAAAAAGGGCATCAAGCGGTCAAAACTTCAAGGAAAACATCTGAAGAACAAATGTCGACTTGAAGAAAAGGCCACCTGGGAGGACTTTGGCCCTTGGTCAGCTTGCGGTCAGGGTCAGGAAAAGAAGTGTGGCGAGTTGGAACAAATGAGACTAAGAAGATGCTCGGTCGAGGGAAAATGCCAGGGCAGCGATATTGAAATTAGGACTTGCTTCAAACCGTGTTCTACGAAACCGTAAGAGGGAGATGGAAAATTTTAGTAAAGAGACACCCTTATTTCAGATCTCCACTTTGGTCAGAATGGTCAGAATGGTCGACTTGCTCTAAAACCTGTGGAGGCGGTACTAGGATCAGAAATCGATACTGCCAAAACGGTAAAATTTTCAAAAAGGAATTTTTTTTCTTAAAAATCTCAAGGGCCGTGTCTGGGAGACAAGGAAGAGGGTGAAGTTTGCAACAAAGAAAAATGTCCAAAAAAGAAGCCTGAGTCGCCATGGTCATCTTCAAGTTCAGCTCAAAAAAGCGAAGGAAGAAAGTTTGACTTCAGTAAGTACAACTTGAGAATTCAAAGAAATAAGAGTAGTTTCTTGGCCGCAATCTTCAAAAGACTGCAAGTTCTACGAGTTCTACGATCAATACGGCCGGAGACTGAGCAAATCAGAGTGCCAAGCCCTTCTCGACAGCTCGCCAAACAGACTGTATCCGCTGACGACGAAGGAATGTCTCGAGAAAAACTTTTACTTGAAAGATGATCGAAGGCTGTCGAACTCAGAGTGCGTCGAAATCGTTGACAGGCGAACAATGTTCATCATCAAAAGCGCTAAGAAAATTCAAACAAGAGGTATCTTTTTCCATCAATTATCAAAATTACACCCAATTTAGACCCCGAAAACGAAGAAGAATGCAGATCATCAGACTTTTTCTACTCTGGAAAATTCCTGTCAACAGAGGAATGCATCGAAAGACTAAAAAACCTTGAATCGAATCAACTTGATGAGGATCTATCCGAATATGATGACGATTACGGTACATCTGAATTATAAAACCTCGTTTTTTTCAATAAGAAAATTTCAGGAGTGGGCCCAAGAAGCAGAAAAGACTGTGAAGAATACGAGTTTTTCTGGGACGACAGAATCTTGACAGTTCAAGAATGCCTTCGACTTCTAGCAGCATCTCAAAGGCGACAGCGTCAAAGATATTAAAAATACGGAACAGCATATTTTTGTACAAAAAACCTGACAATAAAAACTCGGTCATATTATGAAGAGAACAAAAAACACTGTGTTATTGGATTATCACCCGTGAAGCTCATTTCACGGCGTGGGATTATTTTTATTGCAAACAAAATGAGCACCACGTCGAGTGCGTTTTCAATAAAAAATTCGACGCTGAGAAACGGGTCACGTGAGAAACGCACTTGAGTCGAACCAAGTTTGAACCAAAAACTTGGTTGTTTTCACAACAAAATTATCAGTCTTTCGACTCGAAAAGCCACGTGACTGATGAACTTCTGTGTTGATTCAAGAAATCATGTGACAACACAGTAGTTCAATAATTTTCTGAACGAAAAGAAACGCCTTCAAATTTAAGATTCTCCGGTTTTTGAAACTAAAGTCGTTAATTTGAAGGCGTTTCTTTTCGAATCACGTGGTTTACCGACTTTGATAACATGGATTCATTACGTTATGTAATCATTCAATTAATTCAGTTAAAAATTAACTGAATGATTGCAATGAATCCATCGATATAGAAAAGACAGATCATCGTTTCCGTAGAAAAATAACTTGCCGGAAACGATGATCTATCAGAATAATCAATCGAATACAGTCATTTTTATCTTCTTTGTAAGTAAGAGCCCAGGTTCTAGAGCTCAGCTTTGCGAAGTTGAAGAGTGAATAAAGGTGGTTACCCTAGGTCAAAATTGACGATTTTTGTATTTCCCTGTACATTTTTCATCGAAAAAGTTCGTAATGAACTCGTGGAAAATGATTCAGACCCGGCAAAAATGTAAAAAATATTTATATTTTCGAGTAAAAACTGCAATTTCATCAAAAAATTCGCGCGAACTCGCCAAATCCGGCAATTCGACGAGAGCAGCGAGATCTCGTGACGCTCTCATTTGACCTAAGGGTGGCCCCACCTTCTTCTTTATTTCAAATTTGCTGATACCTTCGAAAATAAAAACGTGTTTTGAATTTTTACTGTTCTTAGCTTGGTTCGTTCGGCGCGCGCCCATTGGTCGAAAATCGTCTCTTTTCATTTTTTCTTGACTCTGCTGTGCTCCCAGACTTCAGACGCGAAAATCGAGTCGAAAAAAAGTTCGACTCAAAATTCTATTTTTACAAAATGAAGCCCTAAAAAGATTTCCTGAGTTTAAAATTTCTTCCGGAAGAGAGATAAAATATGAAGAGAGATAGAGAACTTTTTCTATGAAAACTTTAAAGAGATAAATACATATGAAACTTACTGATAAATTAAGATAAAATGATTCAATAGTCTGATTATTATCTAATTCTCGTAGAATAATAAATAAATCGCTTTAACTGGCTCGAAATTAATAATTTTCTTTTCAGACTTGAAATTGGATTTCGTAAAAAACCAAAAAATGTCCCTCTCCAGCAGCTTTGAAGAAGATCTATCAGGAAATTGCTCAAAATAATTTTCATCATCCCAAAATGGTTAAAAAGGAACAAATTCAGCAAGTTCAAATTTGCGTAAATTTGCTTTTCCCTTGCGTCAATTTGAGTTTTGTTCTTGAACTTTTGATTTTTTGAAAGCCTGAGTCAGGATTTACGAAAGCCGCGGGCCGTTTAAATTCTTTGCGGCTTCAGTTTAAAATCCTGAGTCAGGTTATTTTTTCATCTGCTGCCGAACCTATCGCTAGCTCTAGAATCGCCCTTTTCAGGCGACTCAAAGTCACGAGACATCAATTTCAACCCTTTTTCCGCTCACGAGTCACACCCCTCTTGAGAACAGTGTCTTGGCTAAATTCAAGTCTATGTTTATTTTCAATCACCAATTTAAAACGATGAACGTTCATCCCCTCTTTATTTGAACAAGCTGACGCGTCAGTACAAATTCCTGTACTTTTTTTCTTAGAAATCTTTTTTGAGCAATGAGCTTAGACCTCTCCCTCGAAGAGATGGAATTCGAAATCGTCGAAGAAGAAGCCCCAGTGCCCGGCGCCATCCCGGCCAAGGAGAAAAAGAAGTCGCGAAGACGAACTTACTCAGTCTGCGAGTCACCTTCAATCTTCATTCGATCTGCCTCAAACAAACTCGTCGAGATTCGACCTCACAATGCGCGCGAAATTTACCGCAGCCGCAATCGTACAGGTAATTTCAGACGGGTTGTGGAAAACCTGAGTCAGGGCCCCTGACTAAGGGTCTGAATGTATGAAAAAGAAAAGCTGCGTAGCGGCTTCGTTTTTAAATAAGCCGCTTCGCGGCTTTTCCTTTTAGCCCCTTCAGACCCTTAGTCAGACCCTGACTCAGGTTTTGTACACAGGACCGCCTAGGGGCCCCGCCTAAGTTAACGGTAACTAACCGTATTTCCTTCAGAAAGCGTATCAACAAAGCCGAAAGCAATGTAATTCATCCGACTCTAGAAACAATTGAAAGAATTTCTTGTTTTGTCGCCCTGCCACCGCCACCAGCACCTCCAAACAAAATTCTAGAGAGATTATTCGAAATCGTTCCCATTCTCTCTCATTTTTTTTCATCTCCCAGCTTGCGTTTAATTTTCTCTCTTCATCTTTTTCAGTTTTTATTTCCCCCCTTTTTATAACATCTTTTTTCCATCATCCTGAATAATATTGAATATTATTTTATCACTAATATTATTGCAAAGAATCAATTTAGAAAAATAAGCACTTTATCCCCTTTTGACCTTGTTTTCGAACATATTCTTTGCTCTAATTCGCCCTATTCCGAGTAGTCGAATTTTCTTATCAAGAACTGACCAGTGAATTTCTATTTCTAACTTATTCTATTTTTCTCTGCTTCAGTCATTCAAAAAGACTGCTTTGAAATGGGCTATCTAAGCCAGATTCAAAACTTCTCTTTTTAGAAAATTCGTTTTTATCCTCTCTCTCTCCTTCTCTTCTGTTTACTGCACCATTTTTCCTTCGATGTTCAATAAAAATTCAGAAAAAAAAATTTTTATTTCAAAGTTGAATATTTCGCAGGTGATTTCTTATTCTCAAAATGACGGCGCAGGATTCTGCGATCGTGAATTCTTCCTTGTTTTCTTCTTTTATTAACCAAAAAGGCCAGGCGAGATAGGATTGAGAATTCAGGCTCCAGACCAGATCTTTTAGTTCTTTTATGTTTCCCACATTCGCGCGGTAGAATTTTACAGCGGGGAATTCTTTGATTAGTTCTTTAGTTTTGATTTACAATTTTCTCATCTTTCAGTTGATTTGAGAAAGCCGCTCGGGGCTTAAGAATCTCGAGAGTTGTTATTAAATACCGCTATAGCGCCTTTTATAAGAAAGTAGCCGCGGAGCGGCTTCGCGAAAACCACCATTTTAATATTATTTAAATTCTCAGCGGCTTCGTTTTTAGAAAAAGCCGCCTTGTAAATCCGTTGCTGGAAGTCTTTTTTCAAGATTCTTGCAGATTCCGCAACCAGTAGCGCTTATAAATAGCACTCGAATTCCTCCTTTTCCTTCCTTGTTGACGAAAATCTCATTGAACTCTTCAAAATTCTCGATTTTCCTCGCCATTCAAAAATTAAAACTCGGTTTTTGAGCCACTTTTTTATTACAAAAGATCTTCGGGATTTTTATTACATTTTTTGGACAAAAGAAAGAGTCAATACTAGTGGTAGTCAATTCGACTGACGAAGCATTAGAAAAAGGCTGTTTCTTTCGGATTTTCTCAGAAAGAAGGCTCGATGACGGATAATTTGCGTTGTCTTTTGTGGAGTCGGTAGTCGGCTTTCGATGATTTTTGAGAAATAATTGCGGTTTCGAAGGTAAGGTAGAGTTTTTGGGATAAAGTGGGGAGGCGGACAGCTTTTTCGCAGTCTTGGTTGATGTAGTTGTTTCTCCATCTTAATTTAAAATTATTTTTTAAGGCAAAAAAAAGGTCATCATTTTACCTGTCAAGTCCTTTCTTGAATTTCAACGCCTTTTCAATCGGGTCAATTTTTTTCTTCCCTCTCGCCAAAATCAACGCGCTGCCAGTCGGGTCAGAATCCTCTTCCATTGCTTCCTCGATTTCAAACTCGTAGTAGTCGTCTTCGAATCGTTCGAACTCGCCCAAGCTTCGGGAGTTTTCGGGATACGCGCATAGTTTTGCTTTGAGAGCGTTGTTGAATTTGACATCGATCCTTGATTTTTTTGTGTTTAAATTTTTAAAAATAGGGAACTTACTTGTCCACAACTTTGATGAGTTTTTCTTTCTTTCGATAATCTTTTGCGTACGCCTCGATCCAGTCCCTTGCATTGGCAATCATTTTGTTCAATTTCGCATCAGGCTGAAATTTTCCCTCTAACTTTCTTAATCGTCCTATCTAAATTTACCTGAATAGCTCCTCGTTCATTTGAAGTTGAATTATCTTCTTCGTACTCGTACTCATAAATCGGCAAATCTAATTTTAAAATCATCATTATCTTAGAACAAATAAGCCCCTCATACTTATTATTCCCCTCGATCCCTGTTGAATATCAATCCCGTTGTCCTCGATCCACGGAAATGTCCCCGGAGTGGCGAAGACGAATGAAAGCGAAGCTAAATTTGTACAAATCTTCATCACGGAATTTTGTCTCTTTTTTGAACTTTGAGTTTTGGACGATTTGAACTGGGTTGGTTTTTATACGTGAATAAGTGGAGCCCGGAAAAGAGGTTGGACAGGTGGGAGAGGGATTCTCGGAGCACTTGTCAAATAAGCGCTCGCTAGAAAAAGTGAGATTTTCGTCGGAATCATACAGAGTTTCTTTCTTTTTTTCTTTTATACCGATTAGGTAGAAAATCGGAAGATTTAATTTTCGTTCAAATATTTATTTGCGACAGGGGCGTATTTGCTGAATTATCAACAAAAAGAAGAAACTCCCAGCGGAACGATGATCCTCACCCCATTTTAACGAATTTCAATTTAGAGAAAGATGGACAAAGTGATCGAATTCCTCGACGCCAATGAGAAGAAATGGGTGGAGAGACTTTCCCAGAATGTCGCCATTGCTTCAATTTCTTGCTCACCAGACAATCGGCCACAGACGATTGAGCAGATGCATGTTGCGGATAAAATGCTCAAGGAACTCGGTTGCTCTACCGAAATCGTCGATTTAGGTATGAAATCGTCGACCGAAAATAGAGACCTTAATTTCAGGATCTCACACGATGCACGATGGTAAAAGTCACCCTCTTCCGCCCGTCATTCTCGCCAAACTCGGAGACGACCCAAACAAGAAGACTCTACTTATCTACGGCCATCTAGATGTCCAACCGGCTCTTAGATCCGACGGATGGGATACCGACCCTTTTGTGCTCACAGAAAAAGATGGAAAGATGTACGGCCGAGGAAGCACGGACGATAAGGGACCAGTCCTCGGCTGGGTCAATGTCATCGAGAGTTTTCAAAAGACGAACACGGAGATTCCGATTAATATCAAATTCTGCCTCGAAGGAATGGAAGAATCAGGTTCAGTTGGACTTGAAGAGCTTGTTAGAAAGAGGGATGACTTTTTCAAGACGAATGTTGATTGGGTCTGCATTTCTGACAATTACTTCCTTGGAAAGACCAAACCATGTGTGACCTACGGCCTCAGGAATGAGTTCATCTTCATAAAAGATCATAGCAGGAGTTGATTTGGAAAACTCATGAAAGAGGCTGCATGTATTTCTACCTCGAAGTCATTTGCGCAAAACAAGATCTTCACTCTGGCGTCTTTGGCGGTAGCGTTCACGAAGCTACCGTTGAACTTTCCCATATTTTCTCAAGTTTGGTCGATGTCAAAGGTACGCACTACAGAGATCTGTTTTCCTTTAGACCGGTTTTTTCAAGGGAAGATATTGATCGACGGTGTTGGAAAAGAAGTTGATGATTTGACTGAAGAAGAGATGAAAACTTATGCAGACATTGACTTTGATATGGGCGCCTATCAGGCTGATGTTGGGACGAATAAACTGACTGAAGAAAGTAAGGTAAGATTCAGAAGAAAGTAAAAGAATACGTATAAACATATGTTCTTAGGCAAAACTACTGATGCGACGATGGAGAGAGCCTTCTCTCTCGATCCATGGAATCCAGGGCGCCTTTGCCGAGCCAGGAGAGAAAACCGTCATTCCGGGAAAAGTTATCGGCAAATTCTCGATCCGACTGGTCCCATCGATGAGCTTCGATCACGTTGAAAAGTGCGTCAAGGATCACATCGAAGCGGTTCACGCCAAGCTTGGCACTGGGAATCAAGTCAAGTGCTATTTGGCGAAGGGGCCCGGAAAGCCCTGGAAGGCGGAGACCACCACTCCAAATTATCAGGCGGCGATTAAGGCTGTCGAGGATGTCTGGGGTGTCAAGCCGGATTTGACAAGAGAGGGATGTTCTATTCCAAGTAAGTTTTGCGTTTCTTACAAACACCATAAGTAGGCTTATTTTAGAAAAAATGTCCTTCTAAATATCTTCATGAATTCAAATTTCTGTCCCCTCTTGGGTAAATCAAGGTCAAAAAAGACGAATATCGAGGTTAGAATACTGTACGAGGTACAGAATTCTAGAAAAAAATGTTTGAAAAATTAACCCGAATGGACAAAAAATGGTGAAGATAAGTGAAGGTCGAAAAACGGACAATTTTTTCCTAAAATAAGCCTAACCATAAGTGACTGTTAATTTCGATAAATCAAGATCGCATTTGTCTCGTTAGCATCGTCAAAATGATACATAACATTTTATTAAGTAATTGCATATATGCAATTACCTTAGTTTTACTGCACATGTGCAATTACATCTCTTACGGTTTCGCCTGCCGACGAAATGTTTCATTTTTTGAAATGCTCCTAGTTCTCTCGCCTTATTTTAAAACACATCACCTTAATTTTATCTTCAGTCACTTTGGTCTTCGAAGAAGTAACGGGTCGATCAGTTCTACTCCTCCCGATGGGCTCCAGCGACGATGGAGCTCATTCCCAAAACGAAAAGCTCAACAAAATCAACTACACAAATGGCATGAAAGTCTTTGCCAACTACATCCACCGGCTGGGCAAAGAATAGTCTTTATTTAGTCTATATTAGTCAAAAATCTTTTTCTCCTACGGATTCCAATCTTTCAACGTTCTGATTTACATGTTACTGATGATTACAGTTCATTCTTTCTTTTAATTTATCAAAGATAATTTGCCATTTTCATGATCAAACTTTAACTTCACAATTTTTAGACTGGAAAAATGGAGGCTGTTATAAATCACCTGAAAGAAAACGAGCAAAAGTGGGTCGATAGACTAGCAGAAGCAGTTTCTATCGCTTCCATTTCTGGCTCCCCAGATCATCGAGATGAGTGCATTCGGCAAATGCACGAGACGCAGAAGCAGGGCTGCCCAATCGGATCGGAATCCGATCGGAAATCCGATCCGATCGGAATCGGATCGGTAATCGGTCGGATCGGATGAGAAAATTTTTGTCATGTCCGATCGGGAAAATCGGTTCCGATCGGTAAAATCGGATCGGAATTTCCGATCGGAAAATTCGGATCCCCGTCGGATCGAACCACTAAAAAGCTACCAAAGATGGCGCCAGGGACTTAATTCACATAGGCCAGGGACTTTATTCACATAGGCTTTTTTCTAGACTTATTTTTTCTTTATTCTGCTCCTAATTGGTGGAGGTGTTAGAGTCAAGATTTTTCAATTCTCTCTTTTGCACCAAGTTGGGGAGTGTCTGTAGTGTGTTAAATAAGCTTTTGGTGTCAACACCATAACTGGCGGTGGATTAATCAGCTGCTCAAAAATACACTATAATCATAGGAAAAAATCTTGATGACGTCATTACTCCACCAAAAACACTGGTGTTTGCGCCAAACATATCAAGAATGCTTGATATTGATGTAAGGAACAACTCTAAGTGATGAAATTGCAGATCTATATAGATTGTAAGCACTTTTCAATTTTATTATGTCCCCCATTTTTATGACCAATCGGAAATTCCGGATTCATGACGTCATTGCTCCACCACCAGTGATGTTGAAGGCACCAAAAGCTTATTTAACACACTACACACCTTTCTCTAAAAAGATACAAAAAAGAGAACTAAAAAATGTTGAGTTTAACCCCTATAGCCGAAGCTACCTAAAGAACCCCGTAAAACGAAGTGTACAATTTTTGTCGATTTGGCCTTCCTCTTGAGATAATCTTTCGAAAATCTCAGATTATACATAAACGAACATTCTCTTTCAGTCAAAAGTGCTCCACCATTTTGCAGCAGTATAAAAAACCTGTTTCTACTGTCGCCATGAACACTATTGAATAAACTGCCACTTTTTGAAAATTGAAAATCTTCCTTGATTTTTCCGATCGGAAAATTTTCCGATCGGACATGTTTTTCCGATCGGAATTGGAAAATCCGATCGGAATCGGTAATCGGATCGGAAATCGGTCGGATCGGATGAGGTTCGGATCGGATCGGATCGGAATCGGATCGCCGAGACCAAGATTTTTTGTCCGATTGGGCAGCCCTGCGCAGAAGCTACTCCATACGATCGGCGCCACAACGGAAATGGTCGACATTGGAACTCAGAAGATGCACGATGGAGTTACTCGACCTCTTCCGCCGGTTATCCTTGGGAAATTGGGAGAAGACCCGAAGAAGAAGACTCTTCTGATTTATGGCCACATGGATGTTCAGGTTGGTTTTCAAATTTGATTTGGAATTGGATTTTTAATTTTTCTTCAGCCCGCTTTGAAATCTGATGGCTGGGATACAGACCCATTTGTTCTCACAGAAAAAGACGGGAAGATGTTTGGCCGAGGAAGTACCGACGACAAAGGCCCCGTCCTTGGCTGGGTCAATGTCATCGAGAGTTACCAAAAGACGAACACAGAGATCCCAATCAACATCAAATTTTGCTTGGAAGGGATGGAAGAGTCCGGCTCTGTGAACTTGGAAGGTGTCGTGCGCGGCAGGCCCGACTTTTTCGAAACAAATGTCGACTGGGTTTGCATTTCGGACAACTACTTTCTTGGCAAGTCAAAGCCATGCGTGACCTACGGGCTAAGAGGACAGATGTATTTCTATATTGAAGTTGTTTGCGCCAAGCAGGATCTGCATTCGGGCGTCTTTGGCGGAAGTGTTCATGAAGCTACCGTTGAATTGTCGCATATTTTTGCCTCGATGGTCGAACCGAATGGGAAGATCAAGGTTCCGGGAGTTATGGATCAGGTGAGATTCGAAAGCCATAAATAGAGGAAAAGTGGGGGTTCACAAATTGAGCGTATGTTTTCAGATTCGTTGTAAAAAATGATTCACAAGCTCGGAAGAAAGACGCATAAAATAGAAATGGGAAAATCAATACGATAATTTCATTATTTAAGGCTATGGTACGCGCGGAGGCCCAAAGCAGAGGAACACTTCTCTGACCCTGTCAATGCTGGGAGAGTGTACAATAGCTTAAGATGAAGTTCGATCTTAGATCTTCTGATTTACACGAGCTTTTTCCTAAATTCCAACAAAGAACTCACGTGCGGGTGGCTCAAAGTTGTCGTCTCGGTCAAAATACGCGAAATAAGCCTATATGAAGAGAAACACTCCTCTGAAGTTACGATAGAAAACCCCTCCAATACTTTTTTATAGTAAAGTTCAGACGCTTATCTTAAAAATTACACGAGCTTTTTTCAATTGGTTAAAATTTTTTATGTAAAAAATTTTAAAGTACGAAGGTACCTATTTTTCGTCCCTTTGGCTCTGTGAATTGCCTTGCGGGCATAGCCCAAAAGGCGCCGTATTTATCGCAAATAAATGTCCTGAACGTGAGCTTTCCAAAAAGGTATCATATGACACCCTATCATAACGACCAAAAATAGTAAAAATTTTATAATTTCCGCCTTTTAGCCAAAATGCACTAATTTTCGCCACTTTTAATTTCATTTGTGGAAAAATGGGTTGAGATAGAGTTAATACTCATATGGAGTTTTTTGGTCAGAATTTCATGGGGATTCAGAATATTTGGTCAAAAACCGATTCTGAGACTTGACCCTGTGCGCGTACCATACCCTTAAGTTTTCATACAAGTTTTCAGGTTGATCCAGTAACTGATGAAGAGCTCGAAACGTACAAAACAATCGACTTCAGCATCGAAGATTTCCGAGGCGATCTTGCTGCTGCCAAGCTTACAGAAGACAACAAAGCAGATCTTTTGATGAGAAGATGGCGTTTCCCTACTCTTTCTGTTCATGGCTGGCAGGTAAAAATTGACTGTCGTCAATCATTCAGTGAAAATGATATTTTAGGGCGCTTTTGCTGAGCCAGGCGAGAAAACCGTGATTCCGGGAAAAGTAATTGGAAAATTCTCGATTCGCCTCGTTCCGTCGATGACGTTCGACCACGTGGAAAAGGCCGTCGTATCGCATGTCATGAAGGTTCATGAATCTCTAGGCACTCAGAACGAGGTCAAGTGCTATCTTGCAAAGAAACCCGGGCGCCCATGGAAAGCGGAAACGAGCACTCCCAACTTTCAAGCAGCTATCAACGCGGTCACCGATGTTTGGGGTGTCAAGCCGGATTTGACAAGAGAAGGTGGCTCCATTCCAAGTAAGAAAATGTGTAGAATAATAAAAACCAAAAACTGGGCTGATTAAAGATTTAATCAGAAATTACTCTGAAACGTCACTTTTAGTCACGCTCGTTTTCGAAGAAGTCACGAAAAAGTCCGTCCTCCTTCTGCCGATGGGATCTTGCGACGACGGAGCTCACTCACAGAACGAAAAGCTCAACCGAATCAATTACACGAAGGGAATGGAGGTCTTTGCCAATTACATCAATCGTCTTGGAAAAGAATAATCGCATGAACTTTTTCTTCATTTGTCCGATCTAACTGATTGCCTTTGATTCATCATATTATTCAGTTCATGATTCTTTCAATTTTACACATGTCAGATTTTATTGATATCTTTCTTGATTCAAATTAAAGATAAAAACAGCTTTAAAAACTCAAATCTTCAACGCGTTTTTGTAAGAATGGCAAGGGTAGATAGAATCAGGAGAATCAAGCAGTTTCTAAGAGATCAGCTGAACAATAGAATTCACAAAAAGGAGGATACGATTATTTGGCATGCAGTTTCAAAAGAGTGCAGGTTCATAGTCTAGTTTCCAGATCTCCATATTCTTCTCTCATTTTTGAACCTCTTAGGCCAAGATTTCGGGTTTCTTCATAGAAAATTCCTCCCCATCGTCCTTGCTCGCCCGAATTCATCTGCCTCTTCTTGCGGAACCAGGCTAGAAATATCCGGAAACCTTCAGTCCTTTTTCGATCGTTTTGAGGAAGACATTCGCTCTTCTTGGTCTTCTCTTTGCGTCGATAATGGAGTTGAACCCTTCGAAATCAAATATCGCAATGAAAAATGGGCGGTTCCAAGTTTGACCGACGATTTTTCAAAGCCACTTTTTCTATGGGAAAGACCGCTGGTCGTACTTTTTGGAATGAAGTCTTTTGGAGCGCATTTGAATTGCTACACGAAGATTGGGGATGCATATCATCTCTGGGTTGCCAGAAGATCAAAGACAAAGCCAAATTTTCCCGATTTATTGGACAATTGTGCTGCTGGAGGGCTTCCTGCTAATACAAGGTGAAAACCTCTTTCTCGTATTGTACCAAAATTGAGAAGCCAAAATTTAGTCTGTACGAATGCGCCGTAAAAGAAGCAGAAGAAGAAGCCTCTATTCCTCCCTCTATTTCAAAGGCAGCCAAATTCGTCTCCTTCCAAAAGACCTGCTATCATACTCCTCACTATGTCAAGCCAGAAGTTAACTACATATTCGACCTCAAGCTTCCTGAAAAATTCACTCCAGTCGTCAATGATGGAGAAGCGCAGAACTTCAAAAGAGTCAAGCTCGACGAAAGTTTGGAGCTTTTCGATGACTTGAGCGAGTGGAAGCCGAATTCGATGGCGATTACGCTTGATTTTTGCATTCGAAAAGGGTTATTGAGGTGAGTTTAGGATGGTTTCCAGGGTTAAAGATGGGCTTTTAGAGAAGAAGATGACTTGCTAGAGCTAGATCGGCTGATTCGAAATGACTTTATTTTCAAATCTGTTGACCAAAATGAGTTTTCGCTGTAAAATATACTGATAACTCGTTTTTCTTCAAGACAATTTCATAATTCAATATTTGATTTTATAGACTGAAATCGTCAGAATCAGATGTCTTCCTGTATTGACGATTACTTAAAAAACGGACTCGCCAAGCGAATTTTCACCCAACAGGATGTTATCTATCTTTCAACTTCTTCTGGAACTCGATTTGGCCTCATTCCGAAACTGCTTCTGCCGCTTATTGAATCCTTTTCAGAGGTTTTTGAGATTTCTAGTTGTGGAAAGAATGAAGATATTGTTATGAAAGGGAATGATTTTGAATCCAGAAGCGCGGCTGCTCTAGAATTCTCGACAAAGTTAAAAGAAAACTTCTCCTCCATCGCTGAAAAATGCAATTTATCAAGGCTCAAAATCGGCTGGAGAAATGAAGAATTCGGCGTTTATCCTTTTGGCTCCGACCCTCGATTTCCTGAAACTGCTCTTTTTACGATCGAACGTGCATTGTGCAAAGTTCTTGGCATTGAAAGCTACGGGGTGCACTGTAATGTCTATAAAATTGACATGGAGGGTGAAAAGAAGCTGTGGATTGGAAAGAGAGCGATGAATAAGAGCACCTTTCCGGGCAAATTGGATACTGCCATCGGTGGAGGGATGATTTACGGCCTCTCTGTTCAAGAAAATTTGATCAAGGTAAGAAAAACCCCGTTTTGCTTTATTATCAATAGCTTATCGATTTGATTTGTTCTGAATTGTCGATAGCATGCAGAAAGGCAAGGTGCTTTTCAATTTTATTTACCGTAGCTGAATCATTTGGAAAGATAAGGTAGATAAACGATAAGAATCAACAACTGCGAAAGGGGTTGGCGCCATTTTTAGTAAAATATAAGCGAGTATTTTGGCAAATACTTGTACAAGTTGTACTACTGTGAAATGATTTCGTTTATCTTTTCTGCCTCTGGTATATTAAGATTTGTTATTTTATATTAAAGATGATTTAAAATGGTTCTAAAGCTATATTCGTTCTTTCATCAATAAATATATGTAAGCTTGCTATTTCCGGGTTATTATCTGAAAATAAATTTCTCGATGAACTCCTCAATATTGCAGAAGCACTGTCATTCCGAATACCATCAAAAGTTATTGAAAATTCAGGAAGCCGAGGAAGAAGCATCAGTCTCTCCCGACGCCACAAAAAATGCCAAATTTGTGAAACTGGCTCGTTACTGCTGGCACACCGAATTCTACATCAAGCGAGAAGCCATTTTTATCTTCGACCTTGATCTCTCCTCCTCTCCCGATCCAACTCCAAACGATGGCGAGCAACTCGGCTTTCAAGCTGAATCTATCAACAGTCAAGTTTTCGAAAATGCTCATGAATGGAAGCCGAATTCTCTCGCCGTCTCGATCGATTTCGCGAGAAGAAATGGGGCAGCTGTGGAATCAAAAGTTGTAGAAGAGCTTCTGAGCGACGAGTGCAATATTTTCCAGTGACAAAAAATCTTCTTTCCATTATTCAATCCGTCTTCTTCTTTCTGTATTCTTAATTCTAATTAAATCGCATAAACTGAGAGCAATCTATCCGCAACACTGTTTTTCAGATCTTTATGTTTAAAAATGAAAATAAGGCGTCACAAATGTCAGCAGTGGCACAGAAAAATGACTACTACAGAAACTGCAATATCCCGAATCTGATCAATAAATGGAAAATGAAGAATCCTTGGTTGTTTCTCAAAGATGGAAAGCTCTTTTGCAAGGTAAGACTTTAGTACAAAAAAGTTTTAATCATATCTTGTAATTTGTGTTAATAGGCCTGCATCGACTATACGGCGATTAATAAGGCTTTCTCGGACCAAAGAAACAAGGTAAGCCTTCCTCATCGTCACGCTACGTGTAGTTATAAGATTTTAAGTTCTCCAACGAAGGCATCACAAACATCCGTTCCTCATCAATCATACAACATGGTAGAACGCATACTCATCTCGCCGCTGTTCAAGCAGCGACTCAGCAACCAAGCCCAAATTCCATTGGAAATTTAATTGTTGTTGCCGAAGCGGCAGGCTTGATTCGAACGGCTGATAAAGTGGATCTTAGAGGAGATCATGCAAACCTGCAGAAGGCGACACTGAATGTATCCGACGATTTATCCGCTCGCATAACACCACCTCCAAAAGAAGAAGCTTCCAAAAACACCTCAGACTCGACGACGCAAATGTCGGCAGCGGCACAACAAAATGACTACTACAGAAATTGCAACGTCCCTTTTTTGGTTAATAAATGGAGAAAGAGACATCCTTGGTTGTTCCTTAAAGATGGAAAGCTGTTTTGTCAGGTAAAAATGAAGCAATAGAAAATCCTCAATTCCCTGTCTTAGATCTGCATCGACTACAAGGAAATGTCTGCCATAACATGTTGTCCCGCAAAAAATACGGTAAGCTTCGTATAAGTTTCTACGATAACGAATCAAGATTAATAGTTCTGCCACGAGGGCAGTACAAATTTCCGAGCCTCACCCATTGAAGATCATGCGCGATCATTAACCCATCTTCTGGCAGTTCGAGCAACGACTCAGCAGTCGAGCGAAAAAGAAATAGATGCTGCAGATGAAGAGATCTCTCTCAAAGAAGAAAACGAAGGAGAAGAAATATCAGTAAAAGAAGAAGTTGTCGAAAACGAAGAGATCTGTATCAAGCAAGAGGTGGTAGAGGAAGAACAAGCTATTGCCACGCCATTCTCGTGTGAGCCACTTCCTGAGTCGATAAAAGAAGAAATCGCCGAGGAAATAACCATCAAAGAAGAACCAAAAGACGAAGAAAACAATGCCGATGCTCCGCCGCCTCTCCCTGAAAAACCATCAAGGTCTCGTCCAACGCTGCCAATCAATCCGCTGCCTTCACTCTTCAATGGCCCGTTAGCATCAAAGTTCAGTCTCAAAATCAACTACAATTCTCTGAAGTTCAAGCTTCCTCAAAAACGTCTTTTACCAGGGGTGTGCATTCGGCTCTCGGGCATTCGGCTGCCCGACAAATTTTTCGGGCAAATCAGGTTCGGCTCGGCTCTCGGTCGGCTGGTGACCTGAAATTCTCTCGGGCAGGTTCGGGCAGGCTCGGGCATTCGGGCAATTCGGCCCGATCTTCGGGCAACCGGGCACCCGGCCAAAGTTAGAGAGTAAGAAAGAATTTTACAGAGATCTGTGCTTGATTCTTCGACTGATATCTACCAATAACCTTATAAATTGATAATCCAAAATTTTGCCATCAGAAATTTGGCCGATTTTCCTCAAAATCGGTTGTTTTTTGAGCTCAGATTTATATTAATTTTCCGAAAATCATTGCCGGAAATGCCCGAAAATTAGCCCAAATTGCCCGAGCCGAAAGTTGAGCCGAAGCCGATTCGGGCACTTCGGGCACCTCGGCTCGGCTCGGCTTTCGGCCGGCCCAACACTGATTTTTTCGTTTCGGCTCGGCCCTCGGTCGGCCCGACACCCGATTTCGGGCCGAATGCACACCCATGCTTTTACCAGGGTGCGAAAGTCAAGATAATCGTCTTGCAGGGAAGACTTTCAAAGAAGAAATCAAGGAAGAATACTGTACCAAAGAATGAATATACCGCAGAAAATCAAAGTCTTTTCCGAATCATTACCACATCTTACTTTATTTTGCTCACTGAAATAGCTGTCATCTGAAAACTTTTCTTTATTTATATAATAATAAAATTTGGTAGAATCTGTAGCGCCCTGGAAAAGGGGGTCACTCAATAAGACACCTCCCTTCTTTCAATCAATAATTATTCAATTGCATACTAGCAGACCGGAATATAACTGCATTTTTACCACTCAAGAGCAACAACAGGAGCTTGCCAAATAAAAATCCCTTTGAATAGTTGAATCCACTTGATTAAAACAGCTTCAATCTCGAACAAAGTAATCAAAAAGTGAGGCTTCTTCAAGAACTTGATTGTGAATTTCTCCCCCTTGCATTATTAAAAAAACGATTTGTTTTGCAGAAAAGAGAAAATGGATAAATCGACTTATTGTGATAATATTTTTGAAGCGATAAAACTTTCTTGCAATCGTAAGTTGTTGATTCTCTGTAACCTGTGGCCAGACATTAGCGCCGATAGAATAACTGTATTTGCAGTATCGACGCCTTCTTGTTTTCAGTGCATCGCGCTTTAGTGAATGTTTTTCGATAGTTATAAATAATTAAGAAATGAACAAGGCGCAAGTGTCAAACTACAACGAACAAATAAAAATGTGTCAGAAGACTGTCAACGATGTCTGCGAAGTCGCTGAGCAGAGTTCCGCTTCTGCATATTTTTTGGCACTTTGGCTCGTTACACTTGTTTTTGCTCTTTTCAAATGAAAAAATTAGGTATGCTGATCCAATTCTGCAGGAAAAAAAATCCTTGACATTCAAAATGAATTTTCGCCCCTCTTGAAAAAAAAAATAGAAAAGTGACACCCTTATTTTATGCACTTTTATCGCGATTCACAATATAAGAGCGAATAAGGGTGTCACCCTTATATCTTTTTTTTTTCGGGGTTACACCCTTATTCGCCCTTTCATTGATAATCGCGAGTGCTTAAAATAAGGGTGTCACTATTCTATTTTTTTCTATAGCTGAAAAAAGGTGTGATCGACAATTAAATGCGTAAAAACGCTGTCAGTGTTTTTGAATTTTTATTTCAGTTTTTTTTTCGTTTTCAAATAAAAAGTCATTTTGTCACAAATACAAGTTGAAAAGCTCGTGAAGTCGTTTCCCTACTCTTCGTCGTCGAATTGACTACCGGTAAGCGATCTTTTGAAGAGTGGCATGGAGTAGCCGCGCTTGAAGAGCGGGATCGAATATCCTCTCTTTTCTTGTTCTAGTGCTTGGTCGAGCTCGTCTCGGGTCAGGGGGCTCGTTTGATCATTGGCATCGAGTAGCCACGCTTAAAAAGCGGCATGGAATATCCTCTCTTCAAAAACGGCATCGAGTATCCGGCCATAACGGCGGCGACGAGAAAATTTCCAAAAATCTTCATTTTTTTATATTTTTTTTTTCGTCAACTTTCTGTTGGAGTGAGCAACTCGCTGTGACATGCCGTTTTATATGTTTCGCTATAAAAAATGCAACGATGATGAGTGTGGAATATTAATTGACTGGGGAAGAAGGCGGCGCGCGAGCGTAAGGGGCAAGCTACAGTTGTAAGTTGACGGGGAAAAACTTTTTCGTGCAAAATGGCAATGTTATTGACCTTATGGCGATAAAGTTCTTTCAACAGAAGTCCCTGCTTAATTCTCATTGAGTCGAAAACAAATTTTCCGATTTTGATGTAGCTTATATGGAGTTATAGAGCAAAAATGAATTAGCTTAGGGATACCCTTAAGTTTTCACAGCCAAATTATCTACCTAAGGTACTGAAATCTGTATGCTGCCAGATATTCCATTTCAAATCACTGTAGCTTCTTCAAAAACTGTCACTCAATGCACACTCAAATTTGGGATAATTGGGCATTAATTTATTCCATGTCCAGCAATGAGCCGTTCCAAAGTACACGTTTTCTTTTAAAACAGGCAAGAAAACATGCAAGCTCTTTAGGACCCCGAACACTTGTCAAAATGAATAACTTTCTTGTCGAGAGAATCAAGTCATTAGTGTCAAATGAGTACAGTTGTATTCCGATGTGGGTTTTTCAATCCCACCAAATCATCGATGATTGTCTTTATTCCGAGTTCACAGATGCCCTTTTAAATTCTCAACTTTTCTTTGAGAAGCTGTTGAAGCCCTCTCGCCCTGGATTTCCTCCCTGTTTCCACCGACGACATTTATCATTTCTTACACCTTGGCAATGTTACATAATTCCAGCGTAACAAAATCGTACTTAAACTTTTTCGCCAAGCTTTGCCATCAAACTTCTCAGAAAAAACTCCAAAGAAAAAACCCTCAAACATGAATTTTATTAATATCATCTTGGTTCTCCTTAATCTCATCAGCGCCGACCTGATTTACAGGAATCGAATGATCAACAATGCATTTATTCATACAAGAACACGGCCGATGTACATCAATAAATACGGAAAAGTGGTGTCTTCGCGACATTCTAGCGAAAAACAAGTGCGAGAGATGCAGTTTCAAGAGTACATGAGGCAACTCAGACTTGAAATGTTCCGACAGCAACATGCTTAAGGGTGTCAACAACGATTTCGCCATATCTTTTGACTCGAATAGATCAATCAAAAATCCTCAACAAAAACTGAAGATTGTTACTGTAGTTAATAGATTCTTCCATTAACGGTACTGTCGGACAACAACTGCGCCTTTCTTACTGTAATTAACAACTGTCATAAAAATATTGAAATGATGCCAAAATATAATAATCAAAAATCTAGCCTGAAAATTGCTTTTCAAATAAAGACTCATGAATAAGCAAAAAGGGTTGTAATGGAAGAATTTAAATTCGAAGCGATAATTACAGGAATGATAGATTGTTTCATTCCTTTCAAATTTGCAGCGCGCAAGATTGTCGATGCATTAATCGATGCATTTCCCCTTAATAAGTCAGGAGTAAATGTCGAAAACTGCAATTCATCAAGAAGACTGGAACGTATTAATGGTTTTAGTGGAGAATATGAGCGTCTCATTCGAGTTCGGCAAGTCTACAGTAATGTCTAACTCGATATTTAGGATTAAATTACTGTCAGACTGTCAGCTATCGTACCTTTCCTCGGTATACGGAAATAACCTTACCTTATGCTTGTGACTTTGCTCATAAATATTAATTTCATGTGCATATCAATTATTATTTTTTTTTTTCATTTGAATAAGCCGAGAAAATGGGTCAAACCTTCTTTTCCCAGAAGAAAACTGCTGCCAGATCATTTAGAAAAAACATGATTTTTCTTAACCTTATTTTCAATGAAAATATAATCAAGATCGAGATTGCTTTTGAATGATTAACCACAAAGACATTATCGCGGCTTTGTTTCTTGTATTCCGACGTTCATACAGTAATTCAAACCGAAAATAAGATTAAATATTCGAACAAAAACACTCTCCCTTTTCTAAATTGAAGAGCTGTCGAAATGAAATATTTGTTGAGGAACTACAGTTCTTGGCGATTAATGTCGTGGTCAAAAGATGACCTCAAGCAGGGGACTTCGATATACTACGGTAAGTGGAAGATAACCGATAAAAAAATAAGGATTGGATTGTATTTCCTTCTTTCAAGGGCAGTTCGGTTCAAAAATTGAGCGATAGAAGTATTGTTTATTGAGCATTTTCATCTGATGAAACGAGGTAAAGCTGAACTGGCAAGAAATAAATGTGGCTCTTAGACAAATATACAAATTATAAAGTCATTGCAATCTTTAGTCCTCTGAATCTTCATCTCCAACGGAAGCGAGTTTCCCACGTGATTTAAAAGACTTCATTCCATTGCTGCTCGGAGGAAGAGCGGTCGCGGAAGCTCGGCGCATCAGAAGTGGCGTCTTTAAAAGAATGGATCTCGTGATTCGGGCCTTTTTCCTACCTTGACCATATTTAACCTGCAGACATTGGCGCTTTCTCTGAAGATTCTCGCCACTTCGTTGTAGTCATCTTTCGAGCTGACTTCGTAGAATCGAGCGTTGAGGCTTTCCGCGAGCTTTTTTCCTTCGAGCTCAGAGACGATTCTTTGCGGCTCAAGATCGACCTTGGTTCCGATGAGGACCAGGATGGGCTTTGGATGCGTGTTTTTATGAAGCAATCTGATCGTCATGGCGAGTCGGGAGACTTCGTTGAAGCTGACACGGTCGGTTGTTGAGTACATAAGGAGAAATGCGTCGCCCCATTTTATGTGGTCGTCGAATTCTTCTCCACCCTAAATTGAAAATATTAAGGACCCCGCAATCGAAATTTTCGGAATTTTCAAACAGCGTTTTCTCCCCGTATACCCTTAAGGGTCCTAAAGATTTTATTATCTAAATGAAGCTTATGAAGAGTTCTAGAGCATAAATTCGTAACTTCTGGATACCCTTAAATTCTGACTATCGAATCGTCAAAATAAGGATTCAAATAGTTATTTCACAAAGATACCCTAAAAATTTCGGAAATTAAATTTCGTTTTCGAAATCTTTCTTTTGGATACCTTTTCATTATCCGGATCTTTGAGAACTTTATTCGAAAGATCCATGATTTCAAAGTAATGTTTCTCTCCGCCAGTGTACGTCAGCTCGTGCTCGTAGCAAGAATGTCTGTCAGACATGTACTCGGAAATGAATCGCTTTGTGACGAATCTCACAACAAACGCTACAAAGCACTCAGATCAAGAGATAGCAATAGACCTTACCTGTTTTTCCGACATCTTCAAGGCCCAAAACGACGAATTTCGTCGAACGTCTGCGAAGATCTTCGATTGATACATTGAGGCCGCGATTTTTGCTGATTCCCCAGCTTATTCTTCTGCTTCCTAATCATGGATTTAACTTTAATTGAGAAAAAAGATGAATTTCGCAGAAATAAAAAATAAAATTTGGTCGTCTTTATGGGCTGTTAGCTTGAATCGACAGAAAAAGCGACCAATTTTTTGGTCAAATTTTAGACCAATAAGATTTTAGAAAAAAAAATTTGGCAGAAATTCAAATTTCTTGTCGAAAATTTTTGTCGATTCTCGTATTTTTTGCCTCCTCTGACCAAAAAAAAAATCAGAAAAAAGGGTAAATTTTCAAATTTTTTTTTCAAAAAGTTGATTTTCTAGCAGTTTTAGGCCCAATTTTCTGTAAAATACGGCCAAATTATCATCTTACCGATAATATTTCTGATAATCACCGAAAAATAATATCTCAAAATTTCAAAAATCTCTGCTTTAATCATTTAAATAACTCTGTTTTCGCGAAGAAACGAAAAATGTTGTCAAGCTAAATCCGGTCCTCGTTTTTCAATGCTGGCTCTGGTTGCACTTTCGATGGCCGCGGCGGTGTGCCTTTGAATGTCTCCGGTGTAGCCTTCACTAGAACAAGCGTTATTGAAAAGAACAAGGCAGGAAGGGCAGTTCCCGAAGCCAGATGAGGTCCGAGAGTGCGTCATTTTTTGCCCTCTCTTCAATTTTCAAGAGTTTCGAAAATTCCTCTTTTGAGAAATTTTGATAACCTCGGATCAAGGTTACATAACGAAGGTAATATAACAAGGTTAAGACTCAGGATTCCTGACACAGGGTTAGTTACTCAGGGTGGAACCTGAGTAGAAAACCTGAGTCAGAAATTTGGGTACTCTTGTTAGATCCCCAAATGTCCCAAATGTTCCCGAATGTCCCCGAATGTGGCGAATTGTCAGGATATTCGAGACATTCGGGACATTTGGGGACATTTGGGGACATAACAAGGGCGTTCCGAAATTTGTCTAAAATTTCGGCGAAAAGCCGTTTCTTATTAAAGCTTTTAAAATATCCTGACTCAGGTTTTCTACACAGGAAAAAGTCGAGCATGTGTAGTTTGGTTGTTGACATTTGTAATGTCACATTTCTTTTTTTTTTGAGTTTTTGGAAAGAGGAGAAAAATCGGATATTTACTGAAACATATGAAAAGGCGTGTTGAGTAGATTCAAATCAGCTTCAAAAAATGAACTCGATCTTGATCGCCGTGGCCTTCTGAACTCTTTCATTCCCGGGTAAATACTGTAATTCATATTATTCTACCGCGGCATGTCAGAAAATGGACAGCTATCAATCTTGCTAATCGGTAAATCTGCTATCCAGAGACATCAAAAGTCAAAAGAGCAAATATCCCCAAATAGACGTTTCCGGCCCTGGACAAATAATGAGCTCGTCAGTTTTTCTTTCATGTTCTTCTGATGCTCTGTTCTCAGAAGATTAGCTTGTATTGGTCATGTGGTCAAAATTTTTGTGAAAAGCTATTGAAATCAAGGAAGAAAACTGCTTTTATATAATTTCTACCGACGAATATAGGAGGCTTTCATTAGGTTTTGTTGATTAACGATCATTTTAATCGCAGAACGAAAGATTTTAGTGGGTTTTATCTGTTTTTGGATGTTTTTAATTGGATTAAACGGCCTCCGAGAAATGATCTAATGGATATTTCACCGATTTTCATGGGTATTTTTGGGCAAAACCAATTTATGGAAGTGCATTTTTGGGTTACCAATAAGATTCCTGCATTTGATCTTCCGGCCAATCAGAACCCTGATCCATATAATCACTTCCATAAATTTGTTTTACCCCGAAAAATGGAAAATACTGTTTTTTCCCGGTTCCTTCAATATCCGCTACAACTTCGATAACATCTTCTTTCTTTGAAAACCTTCGTAAAAACGAATTCATATTTTTTTCTCTCTTTTTTTCTTCAACGTTTTGGGAAGCAAAGTTCCTGTGAAAAATTTGCACTTGATTCTTAACACAGTTGTCAAATCAGTCGGAAATCGAAAGTGTTTTTACGATTCCCAGCTGAGGGGAAAATATTTGAACGCACGCGCCTTGGGCTCTAGCTCGGGAACGCGCCGGAAGTTCTCAGCGTTTGTGCACCGCATGATTAGCGCAGAAAAATTTAGTGACATCATATGAAAACAATTGAAGACAAAAATAACCATAAAAAAGTCAGACTTTTTGACAGATAATTGTTAGTCAGAAGAATTTGATTACTAAAAAAGCAGATCTGAAACAAACATCAATCAAACGAGGGTAGATACCCTTATTTTCAACTGGCTTTATCCGAGAATTAAGAAAGTGATAACCGTATTCGCTTCTTTTAAATAAGGGCGTCACTTCCTTATTACTGGATTTACCCTGGAAAATATGGAGTTAAGGGAGAGACATCCTTATTTAAAAAAGTGATTAGTAAGGTCGTCACTCTTTTAATTGAAGTGTTAATTTGGGAGAAAGCTCAGCTCAAAATAAGGGTATATCCAATTGATGGTTGGATCATCCGATTACTTGATTAAAATGTTTTCGTTGCGATACCCTTAATTTGAGCCTTGAATTTTAAGTATATTGGTGGATAGACCGATTTTTTTGTAAATTTTTTGTCGAGTTTTCATTCCGAAACAACTCTCGAAGAATCTATCGAAATGGAAAGCTTGTAATGAAATGATTACAGCGGAAGCAACTTGGTCAACTTTTTCTGGCAATTTTGCGATTTGCGGTCGCGGGAAAAAATTTAGTAAGGTCACTCGGAAGTTGACAGGATCATTTTGGAAATCCGATACATTTTTTTAAATGTCGTAATCGATTTGTAACTGCTGGAATTTTATTACTTTTATTCTTGAATCTGAGTAGGATTGAGTGCTCAAAAATCTAAAATAGCTTCCCAAGCTTTCAAGAAGTTTTGAAGTTCTTGAAAAGTCAAATAAGGGGGCGACGAAAAGTCGGCGTAAATTCATGAGAGAGGAAATTCAATTTCATGCTCATTTACAAGTTGCACCGTAGCTTTCCCCCGAAATTGACCTTGGCTTGAAAGAAAATTGAGGCTGATTTTTCTGCCCCTTACTTATCCCTTACTTAAGAGGTCAAGCTTCCCCTAAACCCTCCTTTGGGGGGGGGGCAGGGGGGCAATAGCCCAGATTGAGTCTTGAGAGTGGAGGTCTCGGGGGGGAGAGCCCCCTAGAAAAGGGGATAGCTAACTTTCAACCCCCCTTTTCGATGAGTCATTCAAACCTTCTGTGTTTCCTCTGTCTCTGCCGAACACGTGATCGAGCTCTTTCAATTTGGACAGACATGTTGTCTCTTTCTTGATTTTCGTGAAAACAAGTTTAACTTACTTTAACGTACTCCTCGTTCTACGGACACTTGACCTTTTTACTAATCTTGTCTCGGTAACACTCGATCTTTGGTGCCTTTTTTCGCGCTTTTTTTATATCATTTTGCCCCAAAATTTGACAACCGCTCCTGAGCTAAAATTCTCTTTTGAATTCTGAATTTTGAGTTTTCGGATTTGAGAATTTTTCATTTGGAAAATCTGAGGAACCTTATTCAAATGTCACTTTTATCAGAAATTTAACGATTATCAGCTTGTAAGGGTCAGTCGCCCTAGAAGGGCAAATATGCCCATAAATCAGAAAAATCACAAAGGGCATCACTTCCGGACAACAACCACGTGTCTTTTGTATTTTTGCCCGGGTAAAATTTCTTGACCGGGTTCCGGAAAATGAAAAAATATAACTTTATTCGTCGCCAAATGAACGGGTCTTTACAAAAGTTCACAAAGATCGTAACTCATTAAATTTTTTCATTTTTCATAAAATCGAGTTTTACAGTAAGAAAAGACGATCTGTACTACAGACTCTGTAGGATTTGGGAGCCCTGGGAAAGACGCTGAATGTCGCCAAATGTCGCCATTTTCAAAAATGAGCGGCGACATTTAGCGAAACTTGGCGACATTCGGCGACTTTTCCGGTGTCGCCCGTAAAATCGATCAATTCGAAAATTGACGAAAAACGCAAAATTAAAAATGGTAACATTTCCTGTGTAAAATCAGATTGATGGCTTGTGCCCTTGAGCGCAAACAAAGCATAAATCAAAGGACATCCGCCGCAGGCAAATTTGACCAAAATGGAAATTTGAAATGGCCTCTCTCATGACACCAAGCGATAAATAAAACCCGTGAGGAAACGCGTTTTTGGCACGATCAGAAATCTATTCTGACTGTAACGGGGCAACAGTTTGGCCAAGATTTCACTGTCACTGGGTCACTGGCGAAGGAGAAAAATGAGAATTTATGGCGTTGTTGATTTCGGGCGACAGAATAATTCGCACTTGCCACTTGTGATTGTATGCTGGTGACTCGAATTGCTTCCGTTCAAAGTTTTCTTCTGTCGCCGGAATAGAAAAAAGTCATGAATATTTCTTCTGGAAATGAAGCTCACTTTATTTTCTGACTCCCTTCCCTAGCTTAGCTTTCTTAGTCTAAGCTTTAATTCTCCTCGGCTAAGCAAGGCTAAGATGAAAACCAGAACTAAGCTTAGCTAAGGCCCATGAATTCTTATTCATGATAACTCAGGTAAACTTAGTTTCGCGATTTTTAAGCTGAGCCAATCTGAGCTAAGACTAATCAGTTTTCAGGAGCCTAAGCTCAGCTTAGCCAGGCTTTTTATTTTCGCCTCTTGGGGCTGAGGGAAAAATTTGAAAGAAAATTTTAAATTTCATGAAGAAAAATAAGCGCGTTCCTTAGTCTCCGTATCTCATCTTCACTGTTCGAATCTTCATTCTCTTCCAACAAGGGGTTCTCTTTCAAAGGGCTCAAAAGCAAATCCGAAGTTGAATAGTGCCTGCCACTGCTTTTGGTAGTCATGTTTGCACTTGTATCAACGGGAATTCATTTTTTCAGAATCCGGCCATCGCCGCATTAATTTTTTGTGGCTCTCTTAAAACCACCCGTCCCCAGCGCCCCCATCACGACCCGATCGCAATTTTCGAAGAAGACGAAAAGAAGATGGAATGGAGAAGGTTCTCTTCCTTGATTTCAGAACAATCGCAACGGAAATAATAAGAAGAAAAAAGTCTTTTAAATTGATTTTACATTGAATATCATTCGTGAGATTGTTTTTAGACACTGATACCCTTAAATTCACTAACGCGAAAATATCGAAAAAGCCGCGCTCTGCGCGGCTATAGTTTCTTTTGCTCGAAGCCGCAAGCGGCTTCTCGACTCAAAAGATTGAAATTATATTGACTTTCTTACAAGTTTATTTAAGGGTATCAATACGTTAACACAAAAACTGAAAAACTCATAATCAATTTTGAAGGAAGAAATTTCCGGTGGGCTTGAAATTCTTCCATGAATCAGAGAAAACTCATGATTCCGTTTCGAGTCAAAATCCGTGTGCTGAACATCCGTAGATCTCGAGTTAACGACGTGTTATAAATGGCCTCTCCCGTGCGAAAAAAATTCTTGACCGACCTTATAACGTGTTTTCAAAGGTTCCGGCATAGATCCTTTCATGTCTTACTACATTTTTTTGTTTTACAAGATAGAGGGTTAAAAAATGAACTTTTTGAAAAAGAAGTTAAAGTTGAAATTTCCTAAAAAGCAAATCAGAAACACGAGAAAATGTAAATTGGCGTCATAAACGCGAGAAAAACTTGAATCAGGCTGTCCTCCCGTTGAACGCGTTAAGGAGCTCACCTGCAACTCCTCGTTTGTCGAGTGCTCTTTCTGATTTCGATCGAGGCGGTTTTTGAGGATTTGAAAGCGTTGCGCCGCTGGACCGTCGCGCTCCTCCCAATTTTCTCACATAAATCTAGATTCTCTGAACAGCAAAGTTTTCTATTGAAAAGCAAACTAACGGGAAGATTGCAATTAGAATTGGTACAGGCACAATTCTTCTATAATATAGCTAAAATCGGTATGAATCTTACCTTTTCTCGGTTAGGGATTAGGCTTAGGGCCTTGGAGCACCTACTTGGGGTTCTTGGGGAAGGGTGGGTCGGCGCCCTCTGGGCAAGGCTTAGGGAGGGGGTCCCAGGGGGCTTCCGGGGTTGGGGGCCGTAGCCCTCTAGGTAAGGCTTTAGGGGAATTCCGGGGAGGGGGCGAAACCCTCTTGGTTAGGCTTTAATGGGGGTTCTAGGGGCGAAGCTTCCTGGGTTAGGCTTTAGGGTTAGGGGTATCATACCAATTCTTGCTAAATCAAAGAAGAATTGCTGGTCAAATTGGCTTACCTAACATATTCGCATCTCTTATGCTTCTCCTATGTACTGATAGTCTCTTTATTCGTAGATTTAAAATTAGCTAAACTTATGTTCTTCTCGATTTTCAATTTTCATTCTGCAATTCTGCGAAATTTTTGAATTCAGAAGCACTCTACTTGGGGATTTGCCAGTGACAGTTTGTTTATCGACAGATCAGAAGCACTCATTTTTAGATTTGGCTACTGTCAACTATTTTCACCCGAAAAAGAACGGGTTTGATAATTTAACTTGATTACATAATAAATTAAAATCTGAGCTTGTGATGTAATCTTTCAGGGACGGAATCGAGTGGCGAAAAGGCAGTGACAGTTGATCTCCGTTTCAAAGCGCTTTTAATTGGTTTTTAATTTGGTTTTCTGATAAAAATTTATTTTAACGAAACTGATGATGATGGCGGATTATAGACTATAATTTATAGTATTCATAAGGTCAGTCTGCTAACTAAAACACGAGATTTATGAGCGTCGCGAAAATAGAAAACGGTTTTTGAAAATTATGAAAATGATGAAAAAAGAGTAAAATTTCTTTCACTTTCAATAAATCGTTTTATTCATTAACCTCGCTCTACATTTTCAGCAAAATTATCATACGAAAAAACTACGGCCTTCATTTATTTTTGAAAAGTCATTAATCATTGAAATAAAATAAGGGTGTCACAACGATAATTTAAAAAGTTAATCTTGTTTGGAAATAACGTCATTTCTTTCAACGATAAAATTATGAAAATTGTTATTCGTTGTTTTTTTTTTTGATAAAACCAATCTTGGCGGTATTGTTCCGTACATATTCGCATAGAAGTTTCTTCGGCTTCTTCCCTTATTCTCCTTCTTTATCTCTGCTTGGTTTTTTTTTTTAATCGAGTTGAAGCGGTAATTTTGTTCCTAGTTGTCAGAGTCTCGATTTATCTCGGAAAAATGGACAACTGGAAAGCAAATAGCATCGCGTCAAAAGTAATGAGCCTTTTTAATGATTCCCGTTAAATCAACTGCTGTCCCATTAACAAACACCAGCCGCCGTTTTCTGACACCTGCACTTCCGAAAACCACGATTTCCTTCCTTTTTTAGCTTGTCAAAGAGCAATTATGAGCTTTTATTTAGCATTTAAAAAATTTTCCTTTTTGGAAGTTCAAAATTCCAAAAAGAAAATATTCAAAAAGTACTTAATCCAAAAATTACAAAAAATTACGAAAATGAGCCCGCGGCGACGAGCGAGCATGAATTCAACCGCATCTAGTGAATTCGCTTTCGAGCTGGAGGGTGCGGCAACACTGTTATCAAACATAACTTATTGAAACGGAACGCACTGGCTCTCAGCATAAATTCTAGCATAAAAGTTCATAGAAAAAGAGAGAAAAATGGGGGCCGAGGGGAAAGAATTTGAATGGCCGAAGATTTCGATGGCCTGCTGTGAGATAAGGAATTGGATGATAATTGAATTTGCTCGAATCGACAATAATATGACAATTTGCTTTAATTTTGGACTTTTATGAATAAAATAAAGAGCTTTTCTATGAAAAAAAATATCCGATTTCAAGATGCCACCCAAAGCTCATCCGAATCGCTGATTTTCTCAACATCTTTCTCGGATTATTCTTAAAATACGGTTCCTATCTCGGTTGGATTCCCGTCATTTACTACTACAACCAGAGACCGATCATTCTCCCTGGCTCATCCCTTCTTTCAGAAAATTTTCAAGCGGCCAAAATCTTTTCTGAATCGATTCTAGAGCCAAAAGATGATTCTCTCAATTTCAAAGCAATAGGAGAAAGTCTCGATTCCGAAATTTCAAATCTCAAGCCAACAGAAGCACAAGTCCAAGAACTCGCTTTTGAGACAAAATTCTTCAAACATCATCGCGAAAAAGCCCCCAAAAAATCTCCGCCTGCTCAAAATCCTGTGCTCAATTTGAAACCATTTGTTGCTCCGAAACCGGTTTTAGGCGATGATGTTTTGAGAACTGCAGCATGGGAGAAACCTGCTGCCCCAGAAAAACCGGAAGAAAAGAGATTGCCGCAGAAAAATGATTGGATTTTTAACCCGGCGCCGTCGGAAGAACCAGAAGCCACTGAAAAACCTGCTCCATCACCAGCTCAAAATCTGGCAGCCAATCCTCCTCAAGCTCCAGTAGCCCCAGTCAATCCTGCCCCACCCCAAAACCCAACATCCAAAACCCCCGGCTCCAAGCCCAGTCGTCCCCAAAAAGTCCCAAAACCTCCCCACCCAGAAGTCCAAGTTCAGCCAAAAGTAGCGCCTGTTTTTGCGAGTCCCGAATCCGGCCTCGTTGATCTTCCCCGCTCAACATGGCTCCTCCCAATCGCAATTTCGTCTTTCACAATAAAATGCCCAAATGCGGTGGAACCTCGATGAAGTACATTTTATACGTCCTTTCGGAAGACAACGATTTCTACTTGGATTACCAGCCTCCATGCATTCGAGTAGAAGACAAAGCGAACTGCGCAAAGAATGGAAATGATGGAACCGACGGCGAACTTGAGCTCGCAAATCATTTGGCAGCAAAACGAGCAGAAAAACCAGGAAAATTTTTCCTTCTCAAGCATCATCATTGGATGAATTTCACAGATGTTGGAATGGACCAGCCGACATACATCAATGTGATTCGACATCCAATGGGGAGGTTCAACTCGGTCTACTATTTTCAGCGATATGGGTTCGAAAAGATGGGCACTGATGAGCGACAAGGAGCAAGGCATACCTGGAAGGGATCTGAAGAAGATTTTGAACAAACATTAGGTTAGAGTTATAATTTATAACTTGTAAAATAATATAATATAATTTTCAGATCAATGCGTTCAACGAAAAAGCGACGAGTGCTTCGAACGGGGTGGACCACTTTGACCAGTGTGTAATATGGGCAATGCTAAGCGCTAATCCTTTGAGCTCTGATAAATACGAAATGAGCTCCCACGGTGAATCTCGCCGATAAAACTTGTCGATCTATCACCTTCCCTATCCGTTCATGAGCACAAAAGATGCAACATGCGGCATGTTACATGCCCACCGAAATGTGCTAACTCATCCAGTGATACTCCTCGGCTCAACTTGAGACAAGCGGGTGCGCGTCTTTTCTGGCATTTTTGAGAAATGCGTCTTTTCTGGCATCGCGTTCTTTCTGGCAGTCGCGTCTTTTCTGGCACTGGGATCTGATTCATTTTACTCTGATATTGAGTAGGGTCTACCAAATCTAATAAGCTGATATGAATAGCATAAAACCTTTACCTTCAATAGCAACTTGCCACAGGCAAAACTTTTATTTGATTTATAAGTTTTTATCATCAAAGAAAATAGTGCTGATCATTAACACAATTTAAAAGATTTTCAGCATTTATTATGATGATCTAATAATTCTTTATTCGATTCTAGTGCCAAGAAATTGGTCCCCTCAATCATATTCAAAACTACGGGTTCTTCTTCTTGAAGATAATTTAAGAAGGAAATAACAGTTGATTAGATTTGGTAGACCCTACTTGATATTAGAATTCAATGAATCAGACTTCAATGCCAGAAAAGAGGCGACTGCCAGAAAGAACGCGATGCCAGAAAAGACGCATTTCCCAAAATGCCAGAAAAAACGCGCACCCGAGACAAGCGTTGCGTCGAGTCGAGTCGGGCGAGGGAGAAGCCCCTGCAGGAGTTTACACCTGGCGGTGGGCACATTCCTCCTCCATCAGCGCGACTTAGCGCCTTCCTCGACTGAGAGTGCGCGGTCCATCAGATTTCCGGCATTTCTACTCATTCTCATTATTAAGAAGGAAATTTCAAGTAACATACAGTCTGTATGATACAGATTGGAACACTCGGACCGACCAATCTGGGCAAAAATCAGGCGGGCTGGCATGGGGAGGGGGTCGAAACTATTCTGCATGCAGAACTATTCTGCAAAAAGTGGAACTATTCTGCGGAATGTAGAACTATTCTGCATAGTGTTGACAAAAAGATCTTCATTTTGAGATAAATTTTCAGTGTTTGGGAGGACGCTGCGGGCAAGTTCTGATAGGGAACTCATTTCTGAAGGTGGCCAAAAGATAATAATAATAATTATATAATTGATAAAAGTCGTTTTTCTTATAACGTTATGCAGAATTGCTTCGAAGGTTGCCCAAAATATGGCATGGGATTGGACGAAAGTAACGGAAATAAAAATATCTGGTTTCGGTGCTTTATCACTGATAAATTATCAGTGACCTTCTCCCTTCAGGATATATAATAACCCCTTTCTTTCAATAGTTATACTTATTTTTTAGTATTATTCTGAATTTTTTTAAAATTATCATTTGTCAATTTTATCGGCAAGATGCACCTTGGGAGCCCATTGCGTATTTATCGGATCTCAAAGGATTAGCGCTTAGCATTGCCCATATTACACACTGGTCAAAGTGGTCAGCCCCCTTCGAACCAACTCAAGTGATGGTCTCTTACTTCTGCGGAACGAACGGGGCAACAAATGGTGAAAACTGCAAAGTAAAGGACCCAAAGAACGTGTCAAAATGGGGCCATAAGAACGACTGGAATAAATTGAGAGTTGCGACGGATATTGCGAAAAATCATATTGTCAAGAATTATTACATGATTGGCATTTTGGGTGAGCTTTTTTCAGCCCTTTTTGGTGATGTCTTTTTCAGAGCATTTTAATGAAACCTTGACGCTGTTCAGCAAAATGCTCCCAGAATACTTCGATGGCGCGCACGCTGCCAAGCATGATCCCTGTAAGTACCTATAAAGATCACGTGACAAATAGCAAACGGTTTCTTCAGGGGCTGTTCAATTCGGATCATCATCAAAAACCGCTAAAAATCCGGGATACTCACCAGAAACGGCGAAAATTCTAGAGTCCGGGCCGCTGCGATACGAAATGGAACTTTACAATCTCTGTAAAAAGATTTTTTACGAAAGACTGAAATACTACCAGGTCTCTTTTTTCCAAATGCCAATGGTTGAACTCCTCTTTTTAGATCGAGCTAGGAGAAGAAGTGGTTTTCGACAAATCAAAGCACACGAAATTTATTCCTCGACATGTTCATCTTCGAGATTGACGAACAAAAAATATATTCCTGCATTTTATATAAATATTTATAATTAATTTAATTAAAAATGTATCTGTAAATGATTGTTTATTTTATTTCCTTTTTGTCAGTCGAGTTCGATGATTTCAGTATTGGAGGTTTTCTTGAAAGATATGCTTCGTTGATGATTATCTAAAAATATTTCAATGCCAGACACTGTCTATAAGACTGTCTGGCAGACAGCCTTGATAAAATTACCTTCATCATCTTCAGACTCTTCATTCTCCGAAGAATCCTCTTCTTCCTCCTCCTCTTCTTCATTTTCCGAAGCCGATTCTTCTTCCTCGCTTTCACTTCCACTTTCCTCCTCGACCGACAATTCCTCGTCTTCGTCTTCTTCCTCAGACTCCTCCTCGCTCGACGATTCGCGTTTTCGCTCCTTTCGCTTCTTCTTTTTGTACTTTTTCTTGAGCTTTTCGTGCTCTTTCTGGAGCTTTTGTACTTTTTTGATCGATTTGAGCTTTCTCAATTTTTCGAGCTTTTTCGTCGCTTTTTTGAGCTTTGCCTTCAAATTCTAAAGAAAAAAATTTGATTTGAAAAATACTTCTCGACCTACCTTTTCTCGTTCTTTCCATTTCTTTTCGACTTTTTCAGTCAGCTCGACTTTTTCCCTCTTCCTCAATTCCGATCTCGACCGACTCCTGGATCTTGATCTTGATCTGGGCCTTGACCTCGATCTCGTCCTCGTCCGCCTCGATCTACTACCGCTCGCAACGGACCCAGATCCTCGTCGATTTATTCTTTCAATCGGCAGTTGCTCCTTGTCCCCTAGCACATTTTTGTCCATAACTGTATTTGGATCCATGGTGACTGAAACAGGCGCTGGCGCTGGCGGCTGAACTGCTTCGGGGAAAAAGCGCTGCAAGTGATTTTGCTGCATCATTTTGACTTTTTCCAACTGGGCGCGGAGAGCGTCTGCTTCTTTTTTTCCCTTCATCGCTCCAGGAGCTGAAATCAAAGTGAGCCCCTCATCAAGAAAAAAGGGTCTTTACTTTTACGGTCTCCTTCAGCAAAAGCAACATTGACCTTTCTTCCATTAATGACCATTCCGTCCATTCCAAGTCCATTTCTAGCGTCTTCCATTGTCTCAAATCTACTCAAATTTCATATAAAACGGTCAAAGGTGATGAAGGGTTACTCAATATAAGCAAATCCTCTCGGCGCTCTCGTCCGAAAATCGACCGGAATGTGGACATCTTTGACTGCGCCAAACTTATTGAACTCCATTTTGAGCTCATCCGGGCGCGTATTTTGCGCTATTGGCCGGACAAAAGCGACTTTCCCGGCATTTTTCGGGTTTTATCTGAATAATGTTAGTCTCTCTTTTCCCACTTTTATCATTTTCTCTTCCATCGCTATTTCTTGCGACCTTTTTTCATTATCGTCGGTATTTGAATTTTTTGTATTGTTTTAAAAATCAAGCTTCAATTCAAATACCGGACGAATAAGAATAATATCATATTATTAACATGAACTGTCTTTCAAATTTTGATAACATTACCACTTTTATCAGCCTTTTAAATAAATACTTTTTGCTGCGAAAATTCGCAGCAGAATCTATCTTATCAGCTAAGGAACTTTGCCCGCGGCCAATACAGTTAATTCGGCTATGTGAAAAAGGATCAAAGGACTGCACATAATACAGTCCTTAGAGAGGGAGTATCATTCGAGCCTATGATTTGAGCCATAGAATATCTCTAGAATCTGGGCTAGTGATTAGGGATAGGGACCGGGAACTCTTAAGGGGGTCCGGGGGCGAAGAGATTAGTAGTAGGGCCTACTACAGTCGAAGATGAAAAAGATGTTTTTATTATAATAAAGCCAAATCTTCATTGGCCAAAAACGAAATCTGCTGCACTTGGCATGGAGAATTTATTGCACGGAAAAATCATTTCCCCTCGTGTTTCTGTCGTTTTGAAGATCTCAGTAAATATTCATTTCGGATCGAGCTCCTCATCCGGCCGGCTCAGCTCTTTTTCAAAACAAGCGCGCTTGACAGTCACTTTGAGAATAAGAAGAAAAAAAAGTGAGTTCGGCGAAAATGAACGAGAGCGCTTTTGAAGAGTTTCTCGATGATGCTATCGTGTAAGTGCTAAAACGGCTTTTAAAGTTGATTAATTTTTGCTTTTGAAAAGTGAGCTGATAATGACGAATCCTTCTGGCTACGGAGAAATGACCCCCTCCCAAATGAGTGTCTTCCTGCTCAAATTTAGCGAAGAGGGAGAAAAGTAATGAGCAGCACCAAGTATCCGTCATTTGTTTCCTTTGTTACTCCTACCAAGAAATTACCTTTTTGGTAGGTCTTTCTTTTTTCGAATTTTTGAAAGAACAAATTTCAGCGGCGGCACGATTCTTGATGAAACGACTATACTGACTGCTGCTCACTGTAGTTTATCATCGAAAAACGAAGTTCTCTACGGGACCAACAAGCGATCAAGCAAGAGTACTGCAAAAAACTTGATCGGGATCAAAAGCGTCAAAAGCATCGGCACAGCGCTGGGATCAAAAGGGGGTCTTTATAAAAATGACTACGCGATTGTGAAACTTGTTCAACCAATTCCTCTTGGACGGACGGCGCAGAAAGTTGAGCTTGGGACGTTTCAAGAATTCAATGATATTCTCGTAAGCCTCTTTTTTCGATTAAAACGCAGCATTTCTTTAAGATGAAGAAGAAAAAATGCACAGTCGTTGGCCAAGGCAACACAGATATTGATGGACAATGGTCAGGTACTGCTTTCTTCATTTTGATCCACTAGAAACTCTCTTCAGATGTTCTCAAAGAAGGAACAGTTGGAGTCGCTGCCCACGATAAGCCACCTCTACCAGTGAGATGTTCTGACTTCAAGGCAGATCCGAAGAACTGTATTCTCTTCAAAAATACCGATAAAACAATGTCTGGTCGGGGTGATTCTTAGGCTTAACGGACTAAAATTCGGCCTCTTTTTCTAGCTTAGTAAGGGGGTCATATGACACAGTTTTGGAAAGCCCAGAAGCTGGGCTTTCATTTGGGCACCATATCAAGGGGTCTGGGTCATGCCCGCAAGGCAAATCATGGGACCGGAAGTTCCAAAATGGGCACTAGAACTCTTCAATCGATTTTTTCGATGGCGGTCCCCCGCTTTTAGCATTCAAGAGTAGGTGTGTTAGAAAGCTTTTAAGGTCCACTTTTATTTGATTGTTTGTTCGATTTGACATCGAAAAATACCCATATTGATATGTTTTGGGAGGTTTCTAGAGTTGAACCGCCCGGTCAACCACCAGGTTCAACCGCGGTTCATCATTTTTTATTGTTGTTTATTGTATATTTACAAAAATAAAACAAAATTTATGAGTTTAGAACTCAAAACTCGGAGTTTTCGGAACTTCCGGTTTTTCACCCCGACTTCTAGCGCCCCCAGGAGGCCACAAACCCCCTACATGCTTGATTTTTTGGGCTCAAATGAAAGCTCAGAGTCTCAGCTTTCTAACACACCTACTCTTGAATGCTAAAAGCGGGGGACCGCTATCGAAAAAATCGATTGAAGTCTTCTAGTGCCCATTTTGGAACTTCCGGTCCCATGATTTGCCTTGCGGGCATGACCCAGACCCCTTGATATGGTGCCCAAATGAAAGCCCAGCTTCTGGGCTTTCCAAAACTGTGTCATATGACCCCCTTACTAAGCTAGAAAAAGAGGCCGAATTTTAGTCCGTTAAGCCTAGTGATTCTGGCGGCCCTTTGTTTTGCGATGTCAATGGTTTGTCCATTATTTCCTGAATCGAGTGATAAATCTTTAAGGAAAACAAAAACAGTTTGGCGTTGTTTCTTTCGGAACCATGGGCAAATCAACTCGAATTGGCTGGATGGGATACGCTCCTGTTTTCAACCCCGATGCGCAGAAACTCCTCGCCCCGTGGAATCCTCGAAATCGACCTCCAGCTTCGTTCACCGGATCTGATGACTTTATGGCAAAATTTAGAGAGACGGGGAAGATTCCTTCTACTGGCGCATCCGGATCTTCCAGTTCCTCCTACACCCGTCCAAGTTATTCATCTCCAGGAACGATTCGAAAAGTTTTTTTAAATATTTGAAATTTAAAAAGCATCATTCTGAATCCTGAAAAAGGCGCTTCGAGGACTTCTCCGCCACGGTCACAGCAAAATCAGTTCAGAAAATCTTCGCCACCCCAAAAATACGGCAGCCGACACAACCAGCCCCGTCGATCTCAGCCCCCGCAATACCAGCGTCGGCAAAATCAATCGCAGCGCAGTCCATATCAGCAGCCAGCTCGATCGAACCCTTACGGTTCTTCAAGAAGATCCACTTCTTCTTACAATAACAATAATCGAGTTTACAATCCTCCTCAAAGAAACCGTCAGCCTTATCAGCAGCAACGAACAACGAGCCCTTCATATTCTCGAAATAAATATTCCGGCTCAAGATCTCAATACGGAAATGGAAGAAATGCAGTTCGCAGATATGGTGGATCTGCAGGAGGAAGACCTGGTAATACCTACCAAAATCGAATGGCGCGATATCGAGGATAAACCTTTTTTGTTTTTGAATTTTCATTTATACTGCCTTTTTATCTCAAATAAACCCTTTTTTCTATCAAATCATTGAAAGCCCATTTCCTGTGTTACATTTTTTTACTAAAAACAAAAAAAAAGAGCAAAAGCAACTGTTTTCTAGAGGAAAAAAGCAGATGTTTGAGCAGTGTTATTTTCTATCAGTATTATGACGGCATCTTCAAATAGAAAAAGCACTGCATTCTGTTTACACTGACTATTTGCATTGACTATTGCAGAACTTGTGAACTTTCATTTTGGAAATTTCCAGAGGAATTTTGTTACAGAAAATGGAGATTCCACCTGTTTTGATAGAGATTCTCAAGCGGTATGTTCCGGTTTCTGCTCAGGAAAGAATTCGACTTTTAGAACCTTTTTATGAATGAAAAAATCATAATTCGAAAAAGACTCAACTTCAAAATGCCAAGCAACTGCTCCTCACTTTCATTGAAAACAACGATGAACTGATTAATCAAGCACTTTCATACGTTCCTGAAGGAAAGCTGAATCAGTTCTCTGCCTTTGCCGTTATCTCGAGTTTCTCCCTTCTTTTGTACATTCATCTGAAGAAAACGGTTAGTTGAAAAGTATTTTTTATGAAAAAAATTTCCGAAGAGAGTCGAGAAAAAAATGGAAGCATGCAACATCAAAACTGTGAACGACCCTTCAGTCATCAAAAACTACCCAATTTTCGGACATTCATTGTCGTTTGAATCCGACCCAGTCGACTTTTTCCGCCAATTCAACGCGTGCATCGACGATGTCAAGGCTCAAGATCCCAATGCAATCTTTGCCTACGCCATGTTCGGCTTTAAACCTGCCATAATCCCGATCCGGCCAGAAGGCGCCGAGCCAATTCTTAATTCTAGCGTCCACATCCGAAAAGGCCAGTTTTACAGGCTCTTTGAAGACTGGCTCGGCACTGGATTGCTAACTTCCCATGGCAGCAAGTGGAAAACCCGGCGGCGACTTTTGACTCCTGCTTTTCACAAAACGGTTTTGACCGAATTCGTCGAGGTCATGAATGAGAAGGCGGTAAAAATGGTCGGCCTCCTCGATGAAAAGATCAAAACTGACAAGGTAGGGGAAAATAATTGAAATCAAGGAAGAGAATCGACTTCAGAAAATCAACATGCTTTGGCCAATCACACTTTGTGCCCTGGATATCATCGTGCAAACGGCGATGGGAGCAGAATCTGATATTCAATTCGAAGAAAATGTAAGCCAACGCCTCTTTTAGAGAAAAATACAACGCCTTATTTAGAACTACTATGCTTCTGCGATTTTCGACTGGATGGAAATCACTCAAATCCGCCAAAAATCCGTTTGGTACTGGCCTGACTGGATCTGGAACCTTTCTCCTCTCGGCAATCAGCAAAACAAGAACGTCGAAAAGATGCACCACTTCACCGAAAAAGTCATCAAGCAAAGATGGGAGCACTACAAGGAGCTGAAGGAAGAGCTTGGAGATGCATTTGAAGCAACGTATTTTGCGGAAAAATGTGATAGTCGTGGAAGAATGGCGTTTTTAGGTGACTAAAGAGAGGTTTATTTCGTTACACTTATCTTCAAGATACGCTTTTAAAATGCCTTGATCAGGGCGAAATTGACTTGGAAGGAATCAGGGAGGAAGTTGACACTTTCATGTTTGAGGTAGAAAGAGAGCTCTAGAACTCCGAGTCAAAATCTTTCAGGGTCACGATACTACAGCAGCAGCGATGTCTTGGGCAATCCAAGAAATCGGTCAACACCCGGAAGTTTTGAAAAGGCTTCACGAAGAAATGGAACTTGTTTTTGGCGATTCTGATCGACCAGCAACCATGGAAGATCTTGATAAACTCACGGTTTGCTCTTTTGATTGCCAAAGAATTCCAACGATTTTAGTACCTGGAGGCAGTTACAAAAGAAACTCTCCGAAAATTTCCCTCAGTCGCTATGTTTGCTCGTGAAATGGACTCAGATCTAGTTGTCGAGAAAAATGGCGAAAAATTCGTCGTGCCGACTGGTGCCATCGTCACGATCCCTTGCTACAAACTCCATCGAGACGAGAGACACTGGGAAGACCCTCATAAATTTGATCCTTCGGTAGGACGAGTAGTTAGACATGACCGCTAAAATTTTCTAGCGCTGGCTCGAAGGCGGCTCCGCAGAAACAAGATATGCTTACTCGTACTTTCCGTTTTCTGCCGGCCCGAGAAACTGCATTGGACAACGCGTAATACTGAAATTTTTCTTTCGACGGTTTGAAAATTTTTCTAGTTCGCGAATCTGACCGCTAAAATCATGCTCTCGCACCTTCTCCGAAACTTTACCTGGAAATCGTTGCGCGTGACAAACGAAATCCCAGTTTTGGCGGAAATCATTACGAGGCCAAAAGGCGGCATCGACGTTATTCTCGAAAGAAAACATGCTTGATTTATTGAAACAATAAATTTCTCGACTGAAAAAAGGAAGAAAAAGGCCTCAGAAATCTTTATTTATTGAATTTTGCAAAGCCAGCTGGGAACATTATTCTCGACTTTGACATTTTCTCGCTCGAGTTTGAGTTGTTCAAGGGAAGATTTCTTGTTTTTCCGAGGCTTGAGGTAAAGTAACTTCGTCAGTTGAGATTGAATCTAAAATATAAAATGATCAAAAAGCAACGATAATTGGAATGCTTCTACTGACCACTGGCATCTGTTTCTTCCTATCCGAGGCTGGATCGTATGTGGATGTTTCTCTGAGTGCTAGAATTCAGATATATCATAAAAATGCAAAATGTCAAGATATTTTACCCACAAGAGAATTCGTTCGCACCAAAATCTGGTGAAGCTCGAGTTGATAAGCATATCGCAGAAAATAGCACTAGAAAAATATTGAATATTCGAATTTCGACTTATTCCAAAAGCGAGGGGTTCCTAACCAGAGCAATAATAAAAGTGGACCCAACGTATGGATTCCTCGTCGATGTGTATCCTTCTGACTGGGCGAAATGAACAACTGAAATTTTGATCAAAAAGCAAAAATAAGTCAAATTACGGATGTCAGCATCTTTTGGAATTCCAAGCCGCAGTCGCTCGGCAAGATCTTCGTCTTCTTCGGGATCGATGTCGTCATCATTGCCCTCAATTGCAAGGCCATCAGGAGCAGAAGTGTCGACGATGTTGACTCCGTTCATGTATCCTTGCCCCCGACAAGCTAAAAATCTGATGAGAAAGAACACTTCCCTTTTTTCAAGAACCTTGGATGAAGAAAAGCTTCGGTTTACCAACAAGGGTCGGATTTGACTTGATCGGATCGATAAAACTCGAAATATGAAGCATCTTGTCTTTTGCGGAAACAATCCCTTGAGCATCTCCATGCGTCAGCAGAGCAAGCCCAAACATTTCACAGTCATCCATGTTGCAATTTTCGTATTTTTGAAGAGTACTTTCGACTTCTTTCTTTGTCAAATCGTGATAGGTATGCACTTCGAATTCTAGTTCCGTGAAAACGCGCTCTAGCTTTTCAGGGTTGATACTTTTTCCTCCGAATTCAGTATTAAAAATCTCCTCCTTTCCTTTAAAACATCGTGCTCAGTCCCGTCTCGCTTCGAGTTCACTTCTCCAGCTGCTCCGGAAAATTTGAGATGATTGAAAATCACTAAAAAATGTTGGTTTCGAGTTTCTAGAGCTCAATTACCGAAATAGCCTCTTCTCGATTTTGCATTGACATCGCCGTTTTTGTACTCTTCAACTTTTGGAATCGCCTCATTTTTCTTGAAAAAATTGAAATCAAGGAAGAAAACGAAAAATTACCAGTTGCGATTTCTCTTCAAGGACCCATTCTCCCTGTAAATCGCCGTCGATTTCATAGCTCTTGTAATTTTTTTGCTTCTTGTACTTGACACTTGAAGTCATTGATTTTTTCTTTCGCATTTCATTTTCGCGCAATTTCGTATATTTTTTCGAAATGAAAATTTAGCAACAGGAAATTGTCAAAAAAATGACGCATGAGTTTTCAAATTTTTATTTTTTCGGAGCAGAACAGTTATTTACAGAAGTTGGAACTGAGCAAAGTGATTTTTCGCGACTTTCGCAGGTCCGTTTTCGTTTCGCTGCGGATTTTCTAGCGCTCGTGTTGCTAAATGAGGATCCTCGGGGGATGGGAAGACCAAGGGGAGTGATGACTTGGCCGATCGAAATTTCATCGCCGCAGAGGGTTATTTTTTGCCCGTTTCTTTGAATCAGCTCTGCAGCAACTGAAAATATATTCAAAGAATTGAGGTCGAATGCTGCTCGATTTGTACCTTTGGAATCAAATTCGACAAAAGCAGATCGCTGCGAATCCTTGGCCAAATTTTTGACTCCTCCAAATTGGCGGCAAACGCTCTCAATCTGAAACCGCTCGTTGATTCGGGAGCTAATTAATCCCCTACGCCCTTAATTAACCTTTTGATAAATGATAAATGCTCACACTCCATTCAATCATAAGAGCTGCATTCAAGCTTTAGTCGATAAACAGGACTGTATCTTGGCAGAAGAAGGGTAATTGGGCTTGTTAAGGGGATCAAGACGATAAGATACATATTCGGATGAAAATTATTAGAAAAAAAATTCTGTTCCTCCGGGAATCGAACTCGCTACCTTTTCGACCGAAGCTTCTTTCGGCAAATTCGCGAGATAAACCCTCGCTGATGCTCGTCCCTCCATTTCCATTTGCGCTAGAAGTGTTTGATATCTCAGCGCAGCTTGAGGTCGCCCTAGCTTCATTCTTCTATCATTAATCGTCACTCCTCTTATCAATTTTTAGAAATATAGGACAAAAAGTCTCGTACTTGAGTTTTTTCAATGCGAGAGCAGCAGCTTCGGCAGTAGCGTATTCCACAAACGCAAATCCCTTGTGATGTTTTTTCTCGACATCATAGGACATCGTCAATGATGTGATTTCTCCATAAGCTTCGAAAAGCTCCTGAAAAGGGATGGAAGATGGGAGGAGAGAAGGGAAAGTGGCTTACTTTGATTTCTTCTTCAGTCGTGTCATAACTCAAACTCCCGGCATAAAGTCGTCTCATCGCGACTAAACAAGGATGATGACATTTAGCATTGAGGAGAATATGATGAAGAACATTGGGATTATGCTTTAAGGGTGTCAACAACGTTTTTGCCAATTTTATTACTAAAGGGTTAGCGCATTCCGGGCGAACCCGTTGAACTTTGATACTGATCAGTGGGACGTTGCGCGCGCAGTGCCAGTCTCGGCTGGTCAGTTGTCTCTCGAATAAAGTAGAAGCAGCAGCTAAAAACTAGAATTGTTGTCTTTTATTTCCCAGGAGCTAGAGTCTCAGTGGGAGAGTGTTTCAAGCAGATGCATTGACCCTTTAGTGGTGTCAGAGACTACGCTTCATTCGACATAGAGAACTCCCGCGGCCCAGAACTTACACCTTCAACCCTCCACCTTGTCTACCGCTCGACACATCCATCTCATCGCCCCAAATTCTCCAAAATCAGCTGAGTTCCCTACGATTCGACAAATACAGTCGGAGTCGAAAATAAGGGACTTTTTTTGCTCCGAAATTTTCGAAAAAAGTCCCTTAAATTGGGTAACCAAAAAAATAAATCTGCCGCAGCGCGAATTTTGATGGAATCCTTCTAGAGCAAATGTGAATTTGTTATTAAATGAGCGTTCTATTGCATTTAAATCATGTCAAGTAAAAAACAAGAGAGATTTCGCTTAACTTTTAATGAAAAGAAGTATTGGGCTTCCCTTATCAAAAATGGTGCCGATTTGAAGACGCTAAGACCACTTTTCAAGAAGAAACATAACGCAACTCTTTCAAAAACTTGCTATTATCGATTGAGAGACAATGCAGATTCGCTTATGGCCTCAACATCACATGCTAAATACAATTCAAATGATGGCTACAAGCAAGATATTACAACGAAACTTGAGCAACGAGTTGTTGAAAAATATAACCAGCGTGCAACTGGACTTGAAATCAAACAGTTTCGGATATTTGTGGAGAAAGTGCGCGACGAAGAATTCATGATAGAACTTGGAAATATGCATTTTTCTCGAAATTATCTTTTACGCCTTCTACGAGACATAGGAGCAAAGAAAAGTTCAAGACGATCTGAACGTAAAGCGATGACTGAGGAGGAGTTGAATATTGAGCGTGGCAGATTGAAATTATTTCGAAAAAATTTCCCTCTGAGGTTTGATAAAAATGAAGAGTTGAAGTTAATATTTAATAAGGAATCTTCTGAACGCAGATGAATCGGGAATCACTCGTAGTATGGAATCGAGAAAGATTATTGTGTTGAATGGAAATACTAAAGATATGAAAATGGAGGCTGCGAAGGATAGATTTACTTTTCTTCCCTGGTTTGGACCTTTTGGCTCTATTGGTTTTAAACCAACTGTAATCACGAAAACAAAATGCTCTCGATGGAATGGTGCAGCAAAGACTGTTTCTATTGTGCATGTTGATAACGATAAGTTTGACCCATCTAAACCTGAATCTGAGGAGAATCCGAAAAAGATTGGTGTGGAATATCGTGACTTTCCCTTTGCTCGCGTTTATTTTAATGCAACTGCATGGTGTACGCGTGTTATCTTTCGAGCGGAACTTGAGCGTCTTCACCGATTTTTGTTGGCACGATTTCCTGGCCAGAAATTTTTAATTTATCTCGATAATTGCAGGTATTCTTTTTGATTTTAAAAGAAAAAGCATTTGAAAATTTAGTGCACATTTGAAGCAAAAGGAGTTTCCAAATCTGAAGTTTGCATATTTTGCTCCGGCAACGACCGGACATTTCCAGCAGAGTTCAAAAATACTTTGAAAAACAAGCAGAAAACGCCTTCATTTTTAAATTCTACATCCATGTCAATGCTCTTAGAGATCGTAGTAAGTTGAATAGTGCCGAAAGAAACCACTGATGGGGTTGAGGAGCATGTACTATGTTTACGGACTTTCTATGTGGGAGAAGTTTCTCGCAATTCTTTTTCCATCTCAAATTGAACACGAAGCTAGGCAAAAGTAAAACACGTTTTTGGTTCTTGATTGGAATTACCTTAGCCTCAAGCGCAAGTATTTTTGAACCCTGCTCAATGCCGGCAGACAGCGTGGTTTTTGCCACTCTGAAAGCCAGAATAAGAATGTTCTTGGATAAATTCATCGTCGACAACGATCACCTTAAAGTTCCCGAAGAGCAACTTGTTAAAGAAACTCTTCGAATTTTTGATGGCTTGTCTCCTAACTTGTTCAAGAAAGCTTGGACAAATACTCTTCTTAGTGAAGAAGAGTTTGAAAATGATGGGAACAACGATGAAGATATGGAAGTAAATGAAGAGCATCTGGAAGAATTTTACATGGAAAAGGATCAAGAGGATGAGATTCGTGATGAGTACTTTGCCATTGAAGAAGCTGAAAAAAGAGTCGCTTCAAATCCGCCTCCAAAAGCAAAAACATTGACTCAAGGGCGAATCACTTCATTTTTCAAGAAATCATAATACAATTCAAGCAGTTTATCTCCTTTATCTGCATTCAATCGAATAAAAAAAATTTCTAAGCTGAAAAAGTCCCTTAAATTGGATTATTTTGTGCCGCAGATTTTCGACATTTTGAGCCAAAAAGTCCCTTATCTTGGTGTCCCTTATTTTGGACTCCGACTGTACCACCCACCCTACCCAACTTTTGATCGTCTTCTACCCTGTCCAGCGTTTTTCTCCGCCCAAGGCCGTTACGAACCTGGATCAGCACTCGTGTACTTACTTCCGGTATTCGCCGCGTGTGGAAAAGTACCGCCGCGCCAACCGTTTTGCCACGTCAACTTGAGCAACCGCTGCGATTTCGATCTCGCGCCGCCGCTGACGCCTATTTTCAACGACATTTCGCGCTCTCCAAGTCCGTTATCTAACTTTGACCCTCAAAAGTCTTAGTTAGTCGGACCGGTCGAGGTAATTTCGCTCGAAAGCAGTAAATCGGCCCTTCTTAGCCTGGCAGCTCTTATAAATCGCACATCTCCCGCCAAGTTACGACATCAATCAACTGCTACGACCGCTATTGAATCTTCATTTGCTCTTCAAACCCCGTAAATTTCTCCTAGACAATTCTTGTCTTTGAGAAACGGGTCGGTCAAGGTAGAAATCCTCGAAATCAGTGATTCGCCCGTTCTAGTACATCTCGGAGATGCCAAATCTCCCCGAAACCGTCGAAAGATGCGACGGCGCCCTGGAACAAATCGCCGACTTCATCGCTGATCTCGACAAGAAGCTCAAATCCGCTCCGACTGATAAAGCACTACAGACGATGAAGGAAGAACAGCTCCAAAAAGAACGCGAGCTATTCTTGCACTACAAGGACCTGGTCCGAAAACGCAAATACGCCAATCCACCGGCCGAAAATTCCAACAGGGAATACGACCAGCGCGAGCAGCACATCTGCAACTTGTTCTACAAAAGCTTCGCGTCAATCCAGCCCTTCAAAGGAAATAGCCCCGGCCAGTTTGTGGATTTTATAACAGCGATGAGGGTATTCAAAGACAGTCATCTACGCCGCGACGGCGACGAAAAAATATTCCTCAACGCTCTTACCAGCAAGCTAGCTCCGAACGTCGCCCGATTTATCGGTAACGATCTCCGCGCCTGTGACGACGTCGACGCCGCCATTGGGCTTCTCAAGAAGCACTATGGCCCAAAAATCTCGCATTTTCTACTGATGCTCGATGTCAGCGACATCGTTTTCGACCGATCGCGCCCCGTGACTCATTTCACATCCGAGCTCGCAACAAAACTCGCTGAGGCAAAAGCCGCGTTTCTCGAAACCTTCAAAACTGCTAACAACGATGCTGAGCCAAATGTGGTAGATATCCACGAAGCATGGGCAACAATGTTCGCTGTCAGAGCCCTCCGCGACCAGGAGCCTGACACTTACAACGCTCTTCTGAGCTCCATCGACAAAACCTTCACGCTTAACGACCTCGCACTCAAAGCCGAGACCAGTCGCCGAAACCGCGTTTCTTCAGATGTCATCAACGTCAACAAAACTCAACCCGGATCCAACAACAAACAGAAGCAAGGTTATGGAAAACATGGCGAGGGTAAACGCTCTTGGCACAATCGGGACCAGAATTCTGCGCAGAAAAAGGACGAGAAGTCCGAAAAGCCCGATCAAATGCAGCGTAAAAGCCACTACAACGTGGAACCCGATAATTTCGCCGATGTCCATGCCCTCTTCTCTGTAATTCCAGTGCACCTGACCGAAAAGGTCGAATCCCGCCCTGGATATTTTCTACGCGCCACATTTGAGTCAGGACAAGATTCGTTCGACTGCAACATCGAATTCGATACTGGCGCATATTCAACAATTCTACCTTCGCATGTTATCCCCCAAAACGTGCTACGCAATTTGAGCGCTCCAAACCACGATGTAGCCGGTATTAGCGGAGTAGCTGAAACTCCAAGGGGAACCCTCTACTGCAAGGTTAGATTCGACAAAGGCCCTCAGTTTGAGCTCGCCGCAACTGTGATGGATGGACAATGCCGCCCAGCACTCTTAGGACGAGATTATTTGCGCAACAGCAATATCTCTTCCTACTCGATAAACAATTTACTTGGAAACGTCAAGTTCGAGTTCACCGAAGCTTCGAAACTAAAACCCCAAGTTGTCAAGCTACGCCCACTCGCCGGAGACGCCAAAAACTCCAATGCAAAATGGAGTGGCCCCTCCACCCTCAGATCCACCAACCAGCAGGTCTGCCTCGTCGAAGATGCAAACGGCACCGTCGACCTCATTCACCGTTCCCATGTCGCCGCGATCGAGGAAAGAGTTCCTTTCCTTGATAACTTTGATCAAAATCTGGACTTGACAGAGTGGCCACACTTGATCAAAAACTTCAAGTCGAAAATAAAGCAGAACGATCATGTGACTAGGGGAGGTAAGGGTATCGAGTCACAATCTCGGTCACGCAAGCCCAAACCGCCCAAAAAGATTCCATCCTCTCTCCCTCCGATCGCTCCGCCAAAGCCTCTATTCGAAGCTCAAAAATCTGGCTCGGCGACGGATTCAACATCTCTGATACCATCTTTGCTCCTGATCCTGGCTTCGTCACAACCCCAAAGGTCTGCTTCCAACCCGTCTACTCCTCGCCTCAAGCGGAATATTCGCCGTCCATCTCCCTCTCGCTGGATTCTACGAAGAAACAGTATGAAGGCTAGTGTTGGCAATTGGGTTTTCTGATGCTTTGGGGATTGGAAGTTGTCTACTGCTTAGGATCAAAAATGTTTGCTGCTTCATCACCGTACAAAACCCTCTTCAAAAATCTGCCGCCGACTGTCCCAATTCTACCGATGTTCCTCCGAGCCCGAAAGGGACATTCTACCTGTATCTTACTTATTGTCGCACTGTTCTGTATCAAGGGGAGGTAAAGGGTTAGCGCATTCCGGGCGAACCCGTTGAACTTTGATACTGATCAGTGGGACGTTGCGCGCGCAGTGCCAGTCTCGGCTGGTCAGTTGTCTCTCGAATAAAGTAGAAGCAGCAGCTAAAAACTAGAATTGTTGTCTTTTATTTCCCAGGAGCTAGAGTCTCAGTGGGAGAGTGTTTCAAGCAGATGCATTGACCCTTTATTACCAAATGAATGAGGGGTTTTTAAGAAAAATTGCTGGTTCGGATCAAGATTTTTGACTCAAAAATTGACAAACATATCAAAAAATTAAGGGTATCAACCGCTTATATTTTTAAAAAAAACTTAAGTAAACGGTTAAATAAAATCAGCAAGCCGCGGAAGCCGATCCAAATATGATCAGCGAGCGGGATAATTAGATAATGTATGTTGAACATCCATCAACTTCGGCCACAATGGAAAAAGAAATGGCCAGAATGTCGCCTGATCGATTCTGTCCCTCATGCATAACGAGCCAAGGAGCTTGGAAAATATGCTTTTCTGATTATTAGACATACACGGACGCAGATGTCAAAAGCGGAGACTTGAAAAGACTATCGAGTTGGTTCTCTTTTGACATTACAATACTTTTTCTTTGTGCATTCAAACAGTAGAATAAGGGATTCAGTCGACAATTGCGGCTATTTGCGCGGCTTATTATTTAGCTCGAAGCCGCTAGCGGCTTTTTTATGGCCCTAAAAATTATAAAACTTACCAAGGCAAGATATCTGAAGCTGCGCTGGAATCACGTGATTCACGACCGGTTGTAAAATTGCACCGAAAAAGTTCATCCCTCTTTTTTCGATTAGATTTTCTTCTGCAAGTTTCTCTGCAAGATATTCGGGATATTCAAAAGGAGCACTCAAAAAGAAAATGAAGCTGAAAGGAGATCATAAATAGCTGTCAATGACCATTTGATTTCCTTTTTGCCTTTTCCTTGGCTATTTAAAAATTCTGCTTGTCGCCTTTGGGCAAGTTTGCCATTCCTGAAGGCGCGCTGTGGAGACTCTCGAGCGCCGAAGTAGAATTTTTTTCCCTGATAATAATTTTTAAAAATCATAAAACTGAATCAGGAAAACTCTAAAAATCTATTTTTATCTAAAAAATATTGTGTTATTGGAAAATTTTGGCAATTTTTGTCGAAAAAAAAAATCAATTTTTTTCACAAAAATCGTGAATTTTAGCAATTTTTTTTTGAAGAAAAGCAATGGAAAAATTTTTGTTTTACAATTCTGAAAAAAAAAATGCAAATGAAAAGGCCAGAAATAGGGACTTGTTATCTGAATCTTATCAAGTTCAGCTGTGTTGAGCGATATATAATTCAACATTCGCTCTGGCGATATTTTTGTTTGCTTCCAAATCAAATGCTTCTGAATGCATTTTTGATTGACGGATGTTGCCAGTCACTTGTCTTTCATTTTAAATTACTGTTTATATACAAGTTGTCCACAGCCCTCTCAATTTTATAAGCGATATTTTTAATATTTACTAAATAAAATTGTGAATCAAATTAAACAAAAATAAATAAAATGCTTATTTTATAATTTATTTCAAGAAAAAGAAAAATTCATTTTTATTTTAAAAAGAAACATTCAGAGAAAAGTTCATTCTTCGCAGGAATAATGGACAAGTAAATAATTCTCCGACTCTTCGCAGAAGATCTTGTTTTCTTCTGGAATCAAGTCGGTTGTCAGCGTGCAGTTTGCTTGATTTTCGCATTCAGAAGCGATCGAACTCTTCACATCTTCTTCGTGCTCGCAAACTGAAAAATCTCCTTTCTGGAAGTCGCCGAGGCATTCGTGCACATTCTGGCGGCCAAAAAACGCAGAATTGATGACGAGTTTCTTGTTGTCCTTGCAAGAAATGGTCTGTTCAATATCATTGGCTCCGGTATCGATGTCGCAGACGACCGCTCGTTGTTGAAATGGAGTGTTTCGCCCGAATTTTTGATCAATCCAAGTTTGATTTCGAGGATGAACTCGGGGCTGGTTTGTTTTCTCGTCGAGATATGCCCAGCTGCATTGGGCGACGGTTGAATCGAATTTATGGCAATAATGCCACAACGCTTAAAAAGAAAAATATATTTTCATTTTTATTATTTTCCAAAATTTATGATAAAATTACATAATAATTTAAAATAAACTGATAAATTTAATTATTTAAAATTATAATTAATTAACTTATTATTAAATTAATAATAATTTAATAATTTATTTAATTTATACATTAATATATTTTAAATCATTATTGCTATTAATAAAAATTTTCATAATCCTCGAGTGATAAGACTTACTGATAAGACGAAGTCGCTCCAATCTTCTCATCAAAATCACCTGCTGTTTCGTACATCGTTGCGAACCGGTGCTAAAAACTTGTCGGATGTAGACCGCCATTTTTCTAGCGACCCCGCTCTGGAATCTATTGTACATCGTACCACTCGTCAATTGATTCCCAGCGTAGGCATCGGAGCTTTCTGGAATTGAAACGATGTTGAAATCGCGGAAGCATTTTTCGGTCTGATTTCGAAGTCGGTTTTCGAGACGTTCGAATTGGTCGTTGATCTTGTTCTTGACGATTTCGCCGCGCTTGTGGCTAGAAATTTGGATCATTTCTGGAGAAAAAAGAGGGAATCAAACTGTGATGGCGGAAAATCAAAAATGAGTTTGGTTCTCGAATCGCGGATTTCAGCTAATTGATCGTTGAGATATTCCTCTTCGAGTTTGAAATTCGTGTTGTCGGTGTTCATGAAGCTCTCTTCATCAATGAAGATTCGAGCAGACTAGAAAGATGATAAGAATAAAAAAAAATTCTAAAAAATACCTCTTTTGCCAGAGAAGGGCGGAATTGAGCGATAGTTGCGAAGAAAAAAGTCGAAATTTTCATTTGTTTTTCTTTTGATTTTTCAAAACTGATGAATTTTTCCATTTCGACGAACATTTTATAGAGCTATTTTTTGATTGATGAAATGATGCTTATCAACGATCCCTGGCATGTGGCATGCAAAACGCTTTCCGATAACTCTAGAATTTCCAACCGCGAAACGTGCGAGAGTTGATTGATTTGGTTTTTCTCTGAGGAAGAATCTTTTGGAGAATATTTTTGGACGATCTGATCGTTGATTATCTTTTGAGACTATCTTCGATCGGCAAAATCGAACGATATTTTGATGATGAGCAAGAACTTCCAGACATCATTAAGGATCGCGGAGATCTTCTTTCCTTGAGGTCATGATGAGGCGTCTTTCTCGTGGGTTTTCCCCTAATTATTAATGGAAATGAGATGTTTAACCGGCCGGTTGAAAGTGGAATAGCGAATTCGGAATAAGTTATTAAGTTTATTTTTGTCGATTTGAACTTTTTTTGAAAGACTAAATTTTATATTTTTATTTATTTTTTGCTCGAAAACATGTTTTTAAGAAATTTTTACGTTTTTATTATCAATGAAATTCAAATTTCATATTTTTATTAAAAGAAGCCGTTAATTTTTTATCAAAAAAAACCATGAAATTTCGAAACTTCCTCTTTCGAAATGTAATGACCGTGAAGTAGGAAGGTCTCAAATGACAAGATCGCGAAATCAACCCTCGGCTGAGACGTCAATCATGATGAAAAAGACTGAAAATGTCATTATCAGTTCGAAATTCACGTCAAATTCGAACACTTGAATTTCAACAAACGAAATCATTGACGATGAAATTCGTGATGTTAATTTTTCAACGGTTCAAATAAGCAAATGATGACGAGGTCACTAGTTAGTAGTATCACCTCTGTACTTAACTAATTTTATTATTTTATCGAGCTATTATTTCAGGTAGCTCGTTTGATGTACAGTGGAACATCCTGTATATTACCGCGGTTGGCATTTCTGACTGACTAAATAATATACGGTGTACCTTTTTCTCGTTAACAAAATCATTTCATGTTTGATCAAATATATAATAAATTATTGGTAAAAATTAATAACAAATTTGTAACAAAATATTTTCAGTATTTACAATGCCGATTTTTATAAAAAAAAACTCTCTTCAATATCTGACGATATCTTCGCTCAGTAATTTGTAAAGTCTTCAAATTATTGATCCCGTGTACTGAAAAATTCTCCTTCTACATTCTCTTCTATCTTTTTGCTGCGAGCACTTTTTCCATAAAAATAAATTCTTGAGAAATTATTCTTTCCCGCAGACACTCGTGACTTGTCTAGTTGAAAAGAAAAATCGAAGAGTCCATAATTGAGAGAGGCTTAGCCGTCGACCCAAGAATCGAGGACGGAGAATATTCATAAGTCCCGGCTAATTGGACGTAACTTTGTGCTCAGAGCGTCGAAAACGTGGGGATTTTAGGGATAGAGATCATGAATGAATGTTAAGCCTGACGTTTACGTAAAGATTTTTGAAAAAGATCTCGTGGCCCCCGAGTCGTCCGGTGCGTATCTTCGATGGTACAGGGGACGAAGCACCTTGATTTCGGTCTTCGGTCGGGGTACCGGGGTCGTACCCTCTTTGATAGGCAAGGGTTATGGCAAAACTAATGGGAGAGCTCGAATGATAACCTCTTCTACCGGGAGTCTGGTAACAAATCGGAATCAGGACGGGACCGTTCATGGTCGATCCCTAATCCTGTCATTTGATTTTCACAAAAATGAACCCCAACCTCCTAAAAATGAACCTTTGAGACTCAAAGTTTTAGTATGCAACTGAGAAAACAACCAGCTGGAGATACTCTAGCAAATAACAAGCATTTTGCTTGGCTCAATTCTGCTCAAATTGAGCTAGCCAACAGATAAAAACATATTGAAACTGCCGTGGCAAGAATGAAGCCACTGACATTTCAGGCCTAGATGCAGACTCTGTGATAAATAGAGCTCACTCAAAAAAGAAGCAAATAAAAGAAAGAGAAAGCTCTTAGAGCCTTCTCCTCGTTGATTTTTATCAAAGAGGGAAATTCCAGTTCAAGGCTGAACTGTGACCCCATGAGCTAAGGATCGATTCTTCTGATTTTATCTGCTAAATCCTCAGTCACCTGCTTTTTTGATGATGAGATAGTAGAGCGACCACCAACGAGCGCCACCGCAGACGGTCAATATAAACGTAGCAATCTGACCTCTTTGTTAAATCGCAGCATCAAGAAAGTCCCTTTTCTCCCACGGTTCTTTTCCTAGCTCAACTATCAAGTAGTCGAAAATCAAATGAAAATTTCAAATTTCTCTCTTTTCACGCTTACTACAGTTTCATCTGCTTTTCTTCCGGAAAGATGTAAGTATAAACTCAACATTCAATAGTTAGTCGCTCATGGTCTTTCCTTCAAAAAGCCGCACGCGGCTTTTTTCGAAGCAAAAGAAACCAAGATCGAATAACGAGTAGCTTTAGCTTTCGAGAAGAGAAATTGGCTTTTCTTAACATATTCGAAGACCATATCTTAGTCATCATCTTTAACAACCAACTTCTAGTGTACGGAAGAACATATGTCGACAACTACCAAGCCCGCGCGCGCGCCCTTCAAGTTTGCAATCAACGATGTCAGCGGCATCCGAAACAAGTTGATCTCGAGTTTATCCGAATCTCGATGGGCTACAGCAGCCAATTTCGCGTCAGAACTCCCGTAAGTCAAGCTCCTAATCTGTGTAGAAAACCTGAGTCAGGATATTTTTCAGACCCTGACTCAGGGTTTCCAGACAGGTTGCCGAGCTAAGTCCCAAGTCCATCGTTCTCGCCCTCAATTGAATTTTAGGAGCATCGGGGAAAATTTATCGACATTGGCGCTTGTGGCGGAATTTGTCACGCGCCAAGCAGCATAACTGCCGGAAGTCTTCATGTGAATGAAAACACAGAAACGACTTGCGTTCCGACGAGATTCAAGCCATTGGTTTTGCAGGTTGCAGATGACAATGGATATTTCAATGAAATTACGATAGAAAATGGAATCATTGAACAATGCTCCTGTGTGACCATTAGCAAGGTACGTTTCTACAGTCAGAACTTCAGTTTTACCTGCATCAAATATCGTCGATTGAAATTCGGAATAAGAGCCAGATTGTCGGTTTTAAAAAGTGCGCGACGCTCTCTGATTGGCTTTTCCGCACTGAACTCCGAAAATCGACAGTCTTTGGCAATAATTCCGAGGTTCCATGGACTATCTTGGAGTCTTTCTGTCAATTTATGATCGACAATCTTATGACAACGTTGTTCCCTTCTTCCTAAAACTCTATTTTCAGATGAATTGCTAAAGAAAAATATCTTCTGAAGTTGAAGATTTGTGAGCAACCAGAACTCCTCGTCAAAGATGCCATCGCTCAATTGCGTAGATTAGCCAAATCAATCCGACTCTGCTTCGAAATTCCCCGTAGTCCAATTATTGATAATAAACAAAATCTTACGAAAAATGTCTGCCAGACAAAATAGCATTCTTTCCTGTTCGAAAAGTAACCTGTCTAGTCCAAATTTCGAGCCGAAAAGTCGGTAAAACTGGTTTGATTCTCGCGCTCTGTTGGCCAATCAGCGCGAGGGGAAAAATCTTTTTGAGAATCTAGAGAATTTCTGCAAAACTCTATTTCCCGAAAAAGAGAAGAAAAACTGAACTCAAAAACTGATTTCTGTACCGACTTGTTCTCATAACCCCTCTTTTTAGTGTAAAAATGATATTTTCGAAATCGGAAAAATGGTCAAAATTTTGCGCCAGCTGTATGTTCAAAATCGAAATGGTAATTTTCATTATTAACCCGAAATCCCCATTTTCGTTGCTTTTAAAAATATTTGTGTTTTTGACTGGAAAAACCGGATCCTGAATTGTTTTCGAAAACGCCTCTCTCCGAGTCGGGGTGGTTCCGAAACTGACAAATTTGGTAATGTTCCAAATTTAATTTACTCTTTTTGCAGAAAAAAGTAATTGTTTGTATTCTATGAGAGGAGATTTTAGTCTTTAGAATTGACCATTTCAAACTACTTTAAAGGTATTTTTAAATATATAAGTTATATAATATAACAAAGAGAAACCCTTAATTTGGCTGGCAGCAGAACTAAGTTCATGTCACCTAATTTGGTCATCACTGTTCAAATTAAAGCAGAGGGGCCTTATTTAACGGGAAAAACCAATCTTTAAAAAGGTCAGATATTTGACGAATTACTAACTTGTTGCTAGAAAATCGTTAAATAAGAACCATTCTATCAAAGCCAGCGTTATTAAAGTGACACCCTTATTTTTGAGGGGCAAAATGTGAAATAGTGATGGGGGCCCTTATTTCGCGTTTTGGCTCCTCAAATAAGGGGTTCACTTTGAGTCCGGCATTTTTCTATGCAACGCTTTTCATAGGAAAAGCTACTTTTGAAAGTCGAAAACAGAAAAATATCGAGTTTGTTTATTTTTCTATTTTCGCATTTCTAGTTTTTCTAGTGTTACGTCAGGATCCCGTTTTTCTCGATTGATTGCTTTTTTGTTTTTCTTGTCTCCCTTGAGCAGTCTCCTTGAAGAACTTTTTAGCTCTCAGAAGAATCTACAATTTCCAGAGACATTTATCGATTGCGAAAAAGATGCCCAGTGCTTATCAGGAAGCGATAAGAAGATTGGAGAATTTGCAAACGAACTACCAAGGAACGGGCTCAACAAAAGCCTCTGGATCCAGTCTCCATCGGAAAGGAATAGCTTGGTTGAGCCTAATTAAAAGTTCTTCAAAGCCAGATCAAAAGCGGCGGCTGGACGCAGCAGTCCAAGTATGCGCAGTCTGAAAAGACCCTGAATGACTTAGATCAGGGCGAATTAGTAGAAAAACTCCAGAAGATTCCGCTCTTTCATGTTGCTGGAACCAAGGTAAGTCTTTGATGAATCTAATTTATATTATCTCAATAAAACTGATATTCTCGTTCACGTAATCACAGACTTAGGGGTATACCTGTGCCAAAATTCTATATGTGGACAACACTTCGGCCTGGCTACCCTTGTAGAAAGCCTGGTCCTAAAAGAGGGTCCTAAAAAGAGCTTTTTTAGCAGGTTATCGAGCCCAAATGAGTCGATTGGGCAAGGAGAAACCCACTTTTGGACGGTAAAACCCTTAGATGAAATTAAAAAAGTCGACTTGAGGCAAATTTTTTCAAAAAAATTTTATTGGCTAATATGAAAGAGCAGGAAATTCTGAGTCGAATGGTCTACTTCCGGCTCTATAATTCCGTCAAATGACGTCATTATGACTCATTTCCCCCAAAAAACTTTTGGGGAGCTTTTGAAGGGGTTTCCGATGGAGTTTTTTGGCGTTCTTGGGCTGAAAATAATCGCCGTCGAAAATTGAGGGGGGGTTTTCTTGGATTTTGAGAAATTCCAAGCAAAACACGTTGAAACCGACCGGTCGAATTTTGGTCAACATTTTTTTCTTGAGTTTTTTCAAAACCCTTAAAAACCCCCCCTCAGTTTTCGACGGCGATTCTTTTGAGCTATAGAACGTCCAATAAATCCAACAGAAACCCCCTTAAAAGTTCCCCAAAAGTTTACCAAAGATGCCCTAATCTGGACTTTATTACGTAATTTTTGACGTCATAAAGTCAAAATTTTCGGGGCAAATCTAGCCTATTCGATTCAGAATTTTCTGCTCTATCTTCTGAGCACGAAAAAAATTTTTATGAAAATTTGCCTCAAGTGAAGTTTTTTAATTTCATCTTACCTCATCATTAAATTCAGGGAAAGGGGACAACATCAGCGATGATCGACAGTTTACTCCGCGAAAAAGGCTTCAGAACCGGCCTATTCACGTCTCCCCACTTATGCAAAGTGAACGAGCGCATCAGAATCGACGGAAAGCCGATTTCCGACGAAGATTTCGCCTTCAGCTTCCACCACATTTACGAGCAACTGAAGCCAGAGCAGCGCCCTGCCTATTTTTCGTTCTTGACGTTGGTCGCTTTTCACGCTTTTTCGAGGCTGAGAGTCGATGTGGTCATTTTGGAAGTGGGAATCGGGGGCACTTTTTGCACGACTTCGCTGTTCCCAGTCGGGCCTATGCCGCGTGTCTGTTGCGTCACAGGTCAGTTTCTAGCACGGTGAATGTTTTTGTTACCACCGCGCTGGTAATTAAATTTCATAAGGGAGTTATATAACTGGTTGGGCTCCAAAATTTTCCTAATTTCTTCGTTTTTCATCGGCTTTCAGATTTTTCTATCTCAAATAAACCTCAATTCTAGCTCTTGGCTACGACCACATGTCCATCCTCGGCCACACAATCGAAGAAATCTCTCGCGCAAAAGCCGGAATCTTCCGTAGAAACGCCACCCTCATTTCTACGCGCCAGGAGTACACGGAAGCTCACAAAACGCTGCTCGAAGAAGCAAAGAAGATCATTACGCCTCTTCTCATCCCTTCCGAGAACTTGCGCGAATCGTTGTATGGAAAAGAAGGGCCGATGAAGTGCAACGCTTCCGTTGCGCTCACAGCCGTTCGGACTTTCTTTGGGAAGTCGCTGGACGAAGCCGCGACGAAGGAAGAAATGGAAGGGTTGAATAAGACCTTTTGGCCTGGGCGACAACAGATCGTTTGGCACAATACCGGCGAAAGGAAGCTGAAAGTTTTGCTTGATGGAGCGCACACTCTAGGTAAGGAAACACAAATTTTCGCCAAAGGAACTTACGATTCTACGGTAGATTACTGCCGGTAGTAACAGTCGAAATAGTCATAATCATGGTATATTCATGTAATTGTCTTCGATAAGTACAGCTAACGAAGCTTACTTGGAATTTCATATCAAATTTTAGGCTTTCTTTTTGAATCTTCTTTTAGTTAAAACTTGTCCTAGAGTTGTAACATCGATAGCCGATAAATCTCAGCTAGCAATTGACTATCTCTTGGCTCCCTTTTCCGAGGTTGAATGGATTCATGTCCAGACGGAGACCGGACCGAATTAAAGTGACAACGGGTGATTTCTAGTCTGCAAAGAAATAATAAGTGCCCAACCAATACACTTAGAGGGTAACTTATGGTTTCCTTAACGAATTCTCCGGTAGAACCGGGATTTACGGAATAAGTCTTTTTGGTCGGCGCTCTCCAATGATTTGAGCAGGGAGTGACTAGGTTCAAATAAGAACTCCTTTTATTTTTGGTCCAGAATAGCTGGAGCGGGGCTCATTATTTCCCCAATTACTATATCTGCTCTAACGCGAATATCTGGCATTACCGGTCTGTGGATAACATCTGATCTTCTTCAGAATCGCTGCGACCATGCGTTAATTGGGCTGCGAAAATGAAAGAAGGAAACCTGGCAGTCTTGATGAACGTGACTAAAGACCGGAAAGTGAAGCCTTTGATCGACATCGTCGCCGATTTGGAACCGTCATATTTGATACTTTCTCCCAATGTTGCAAAAACGACGGAGAAATCGCAGATTCCGGACAAGAATTTCCCAATAGAAAAGGTACCTTATTCTTCAGAAAAAATACTACATACCTTTTAGCAACTCGAAAAAATCAACGAAATCGAATCCACCGCCACGAAAATGGGTCTCAAAACGTTGCGTTTCAACTCGGTCAACGAATCCCTCGAAAACCTCCCCACCGAAATCACGACCGTCCTGATCACGGGCAGTCTCTACCTCGTCGGCGCCTTTTTTCAACTTCGTCCTGATTTACCTCTCTGATCGGTTTTCCATCGTTTCGAAATACATTCACGAAAAAACTGAGAAGTTTATCAGATAGATAAGGGGCGATCTGAGACAGCGATCGTGATCGAATCTGGAGACAGACACTTTTGTACGGCGATATTTGAGAGACGCGCCTGATCCTCGGAGATTTGTTCCTCCGTGAGGTCATAATTTTGCTCAGTCTCGAGACTGACTTAATTTGTTGTCGAGATGAGCCCCTGAGGGGCCCTGCGGACTTTTCTGGAGCATTTAAACCCTCGATAACTAGATTTCTAATTCGTCCATCTATCTTGGAAGCTATGGCGAAGCCAATTTACGGCTTTGATCGTTGAAAAAGCCGCTGCGCGGCTTCTTTACAAATTCTGACTAAAGTTTTAACTTCGGCTTGCTTGAAGGAAAAGAGCTTTTTTTCAAAGAAAAACGTTGATTTATATTTCAATAGTGTCATTTACAGAAGGGCGTCTGGAATGGGAGCTGCTCATTCTTGGCTTTTTCGTCGAAGTAGAATTGATGCGTTCTTTGGAAGCCGATGAAGTTCGCGGAAGCTTTTCTTTGGATTCGTTGGAAGAGGATGTTCGCGGTTTTGTTGTCGATTTTTTCGAAAGAAGCGATTTCTGAGAGGACTAAAGAGCAATAAGAATTGAAGATAAGGGACTTTGGCTTACCGCGCTTGCGTTTTTCTTTGGTTTTGAGAGCTTGGAAAGCATTTGATCCATGTAGTTTGTGTTGATGTCTTTCTTGGTCGACATATCTTTCACTTTCTCGTTCACTCCGTCGATGAAATCTTTGTACATCTTGTTTACTTTCCATGCATACACTGTCGCGACGATAGAAACGATCACTGAAAGGGTTCAATTTGAATTTTTATCGAAAATGGAAAGGGTTACCTAGAATCCAAAGATTGATGCAAATCCAAATGTGAGTCGGCCACCAGGGATTGTAGTACAGAGCTGCGTTCATTCTTCGCTGACAATCGGCCTAGAAATCGGTTGAAATCAAGAGAAGCGGATTTTGATTATGATTACCGGATATCGCTGGCACCAAACTTTCATGTCCCAGCCGGAGTAGTACGATGTTGGAACATTCGATTGAGGCTGACTGTATGATGTGTGGGAGTACTTGTTTGTGTCCATTCCTAAAAGAGGAAAGTGAGAATAAGTTCTACATGCGATTTTTTACCTGGATAACTCGCCGCCGTGTAGGGCCCATAATGCCATCGCCAAGCATGAAACGATTCAATCATCGCCGCGCTGAAGAACCAACAAATGAGCCAAATGTTGAAATACAACTGAAAACAACCATCGTTGCAGAAGTTCTACATGAAGTTTATGAAAAAGTTTATCACCTCGTAAGTTGGCCATGGTTTGCGCTTGCGACGTCTGTGGTATCCAGAGGTAAATATGGCGTAGACGACGATCAAGGCGAGATTCGCCGTGACGGTGAAGAACATGACCATGTGGAAGGGCCATGTTACACCGCCAATTGGGTAGATTCTCTGAAGAAAAACGATGGCAAAAAAGAAAGGAGTAGTTAGACATACCTTGACATAAGGAGTAGTAGCGCAGCAAACCCAAGCGATGAAGCTACCGATCAACATCACCAGCTTGAAAATCCCTTGCTTTGATTTTGCATATGTCTGATCGCAGCAAACGACATCGCTTGGCCGACTTGTGTTGCCTCGTCTTGTATTTCCCGATTTTGGTGTCTTTTGATAGAGTTAGGGGACTTTGGCGATGTTTTATTTTACCATTCCAGTGTGCATCATCCCACTAGGATTCGTCGTGTAAAAAGGCGCTCCATAAGTCGCATGTGGATTCATTCCTAGAGGAGGATTTACAGGCGCTAACTTTGGTCTCAGTTTTTTTTTTATTCAGAAGGTCAAACATTCTTCTTTTGTACTTCTTTTAATAGAGTTCGAATTCGAACATTTGTGGCCCCGAAAAAGAGCCACATGACAATTTTCGTGGAATAGTGGAAAAGTGCGTGATTCATGCATTTTCTGATTTTTTTTTCTTTTTCTGTGACCATAACTGAGTAAATAGTGGACGGTGCGTAGCCCCCGGAAAATGGAGGTGGAGAGCCTTAAAACGGTTTTACCTAAGTTTACGTTACTTATAAGAGCTTATTGGAGTTTTGATTGCAGTTTTAAAAAATTTTGAGAATGAAACTTTATTCTAACTTAATTAAAATTTTTGATGAAAATAATACCTGGTTGAGGAAAACCCGGAGAGTACGAACTCATCGTTGCGCCGCTTTTACGTGGCCCATTTGGCTGGGCCATGTTTTCGATCCCCTTCGTTTCTTCTTATTAGCAATCTCTCGTCGGAAGAAACCACGAAAATTATCCAAGAATAAGGCTATTTTTTGCGAGAAATGGTGCAAGATGAGAATGGAAAGGGCAAATATTAACTCTCCGCATTACGAGTATGTAAATATCGTAGAATGCATCGCGCACCAGGCTCATTGAAAAACGAATCATTGGGACATTTGCGCTCGTAATTATGACGTCTTATTCGAAATCAGAAGGGTTCACAGTTGATTCTTCTTCAATTTCTTTTGATGAGAAATTGTTGAAAAAGTGAGCCACCCTAATGGGAGACTGATCATACTTACAAAATTTGTAAGTTACAAATACTGGAAGCATGACGTTGGTGATCAGAATCTTGTTTATCCAACTGTACAATCGACTTAGGTTTGCGTGTTTTGACTATAAATAAAAAGTAGATTTTTTATTTCAAAGGGAGACATTTGTCTAAGAAGAAAGTTAATGAACGGCGAAAGCTTCGATTTTTCTTCGCTGAATTCCGAAAGGGACTGCATTCAGATGCTTCGAAACATGCTCAATTTACCCGACATTGTGGACGATGCTGAGGTCATAAGGGCTTCGTTCGTTTTCATGAAAGAAATTGAGTTCATCCTTGATCTTATTGAAAACTCTTCTAATTAGATCTGATAAATAAACAATTTGAAAAATATTAGTGACAGTTATTACGACTCAGTATTACCCATATGTCTCCAGGATAGCCCATACGGCGAGTATGGTCAGAATTACGTCCCGGTTTTCCTCATAGTCGATTTCTTGTACGACCTTAAGGACGACTAAAAATTGCACACCAATCAGGTAAAATCACCGATTATGGTGTCCACATCAAACATTTTTGATAACAAAATTTTTTCCGTAAAATTATTTTTGTTTATTTTTTCATAAAAATGAATTCATTCGCCTTTTCGGAAAGAAAAATGTTGAGTTGTGTTCAAAACTGAAGAAATTTTTTTTCAAAAATTTCCTCAAAATTCAAATTCTAGAGAAAAATGGCAAGAATGCGAGAAGTGAATAAGTCACTAATTTTGAGGGAGCAGCAAAGACAAGAGAAACATTTAAGGGACTAACGAGTCTGATGATTTGTGGCGTCGACAGGTGGCAAAGTGGGCCATGGTTAGGATAAGAAATGAAAATCGCATCTAATTCGCCCAATCAGTACCCTTAACTTATTGCGATAAGAATTGCGACAAGAGAATTCAAAGAAAAAAATTCAAAAGAAAATACTTTTCAAATCCATTCAAAAGGTTAAATTTTCACAAAAAAAAAGGTTTGAAAATTAACCCATATTGGTGAAGCGGCCCAAAAAGGGACAATTTTAGCGATTTTTCATGATTTTTAAAAGTCTTCCTTGATTTCAATTGTTGAAAAATCAGCGTTTTCACATGGTCTTATTAGATAGATTTTATTTCTATTCAAATTGGCACTAGAATTTTAAATAAAAATCTTCATCTGGAGTTTTCGTTTCAACTTATAAATATTTTTTATCGCATTCAATATAGAAAAATCCTATTTTATCTGGCCCGCCCGTCACTCAAGATTTTATGCATCTTGATAAAGCCGCTATAAACTGGTCTAATTGAACCTTATCCGACTAAATTAACTTTTCGCTGACCCGCTTCTCCTCCGAGCGCCTGGCACACGTGCCCCAGGCCGCAGCACATTCAGAATCTTTCAGAGACACGAATAAAAAAGATAAAAGCTCACAAGCGGCTTTAATTCAATTTCGAATCGATGCACTTGTCACTTACTTTTCTTATTCAGCGGTTCTTTCAATACTTGTTCTTCAAATAAATTCCAAAAAAAACGGGAAAAAACGAGAAATGAAAATGAAAAATGAAAGCTTGGAACAATTTTGCTGGGATCAGGAAGGAAATTTTACTCAATACAGAGATCATAAAGTTGAACAGGTTGGAATCACATAATTTTGGATCTTTTACATTTTGAGTTGTTTTAGATTGTTTCCGGCAATATTGCAGGGGTGAGCCTTATTATCGCGATTTATCTGTTTTGTGCGTTGTCGGTTTATTCTTTTAGATTTGGAGAATTCAGGATTGAGATCAGAAAACATTTTTAATGGAAAAGATAACAACGTCGATAAATGTCTTTGGATGTATCCAGATGTCTTTGGATGTATCCAGATGTCTTTGAATGTCTCTAGATGTCTTCAGATGTCTCTAGATGTCTTCAAATGTCTCTAGATGTCTGAAGATATCCCTAGATGTATTAAAATGTCTTTAAATGTCCCTAACATGTCCCAACTAATGTTATATAACTCTTATGATCTCATGAAAGTCCTTTCAAACCAAAACTACGGCGCGTTTCTTTCGCCTTACTCCTCCTTGTCTCCTTCCTCGACATCATTCTATGCTCCTTCCTCGTCTGGTCAAACTACCAACAAAACATGAGTCATTTAAAATGCCGGGTGACCGAGAAGATTAGCCAGGCATGCTTCAACCTTTTTCGAAATTCCCAAAATCCGAAATTATTTTTGAAGCCAAAGAACAGTAACGTCATTTTCATCACGACTTTCTACTTCATCTACCTGTTTCTCTGGCTTCGTCAAAATAAATTCTACCAGGATCCGATTCTCTCCGACAACTTTCCCGAATGGTCCCGGAAACTGAACAAGTTCACTTTGGCAGCGATCATTTTTGTTGTTACTGCTTCGAATATCACTGTAGCGCCTCATTTCTTCGACCCAAAAGTGATCATTTGTGGTAAACGGAAGGAAAATGGATATTTCGAAGGAATCTGTTTCCAGGACGATGATGAATGGAGCTTATGGGTGAGATAATCATTGAATAGATGAAGAAATGTCTTAAGATGTCTTAGAATGTCCTTGGATGTCTTTGGATGTCTAGAGATGTCCTAAGATGTCTTTTGATGTCCCTCTATCACAGAGATTTGTTTTGATGTATGCAAATCTTCTCAGATGTCTTAAGATGTTCTTAGATGTCTTGAGATGTCTTGAGATGTATCTAGATGTCTCGAAATGTCCAAAAGCTCATTTTTCAATTTGTAGCTTGGACTTGGATCGATGGTCTTTATTCAATCCCTCCTTCTCTTCCTGTTTCTCTATCCCTTGAAATTGCATCCGAAGCACATTTCCGCGACGAATCCTCTTCAGCAAGAAGGCATGTATCGACTTTTGAGACGATGTACGATTCTAGCGACTTGCTGCACAGTCACAGATTTATGCTGCATTCTCTTTTATGACTGGATAATTCAATTTCAAGCAAAAACAACATGTTATAACTGAAATCAAGGAAATATCCAGGTTAAAGATAACCTTCCAAGACACGAAACCAATCGTCTTCGTCAACAACGGTTATGTAATCGATGCTCTTGCGAACCTTACTTGCTGCATATTCTGCCACTCAACATGGAAGCGCATGATTTTTCCCTGGACGGGTGATCCTGATGCTGAAATCAAAAATTATACGACAAGCAAATTAAGAAGAGCATCTCAGGAAATGGTTCAAAGTCAATTTAATCAATCAAAATATCTATTATTTATGTCCTCGTTGTAACTGAATGTTTGTGACTGTCATAAAGGCCGAGTTCTTTCAGCATGTTCGTCGTCATTCAGAAGCGTTGTTTAATATCTCAGGAACTGTACTCAATGTCATTCTCTACTCCCGTGTATCAGAATAACGACCCTTTTCATCAAGACCTCTGATTGGTCGAATTTTTATGAAGCTTTAGCGAAAACCTAAAATAAGAAAATAACATCAGTTCTGTCAACCCTCAATGATCGAAATTCGATGGACGTAACAAGCGCCAATATCCCCGAAATAAGTATTGAGTACGAAAATGAAGACGCATCGCGAAATTCACGCCCAAATTCAGCTCTCTCGATCCGCCCAAGAGAAAATTCCTTCAATCACGTAAGCAATCATAAAACAGCGCAAAAGAACTTGTTGTCCAAGCTTAGAGAAAGTCGTGAATCAGCAGATTCGTACAAGCTCAACCCTTTTTCGATTCATCGATTTACTCCAACGCCTCGAGGGTCGCCAAAGTCCGTCTCCAATTTGAGCCACTCGGAGTCGGAAAATGTCTTCAAATCGCTGGATTCTAGAGCGTAAGTCCTTTTTCTCCCTTCCATCTTTCCCCCTCTCTTTCAGATTTCTTGAAGCTCCGTTGGGAATAAGAAGAAACCGGACGATTTCGAACCAGCTTTCGTTTGAACCAGTTCTTGAAGTGCCAAATTTCTTCAATGAAAAAAGAAGAGTCTCGTTTCAAATTTCGAACTCGGAAGATAATCTTTCCGTCAATGAGTCTACTTCGCTTCGTGAATCTCATTCGTAAGCCCTCTTCTTTTTCTACAGGGAGAAAATTGATTCTTTCAAAGATTCGACCGACTTTGCAAACCGTCCCTAACGGAATCGACTCTCAACTCGAGTTTTTCCATCGGCCTGCAAATTAGCTGCTCGAGTTTACAAGAAGACGACTAACGAGTGGTTTCACTGTATTTAACAATTTCACTGCCAATTTTCCTAAAACAAGAAGTATTCATCTCATCGCTTCGAACTTGTCCATTTTCGCTGCCACCCCTTTTTCCAGACTTTGCTTTGTCGCTGCCCCTTTCTTTTGCCCTTCTTGCGGCCTGTCTGGGAGACTTGAGAAAGACGGGATTCTCGGCGGGATAGTCGTTGTCGCACTTCGTTTGGGTTCTCGAAGGCATCGAAGTTTATTTCTTCATCGAAGTCGGACAGCTCATTTAGGGTATCTTCTATGAAATCGTCCGATTCTAGAGACAAAGAAAGTAGTTGTTAAGCTTCTTTAGTTTTCTGACCGTAATTACCTGTATCGAAATCTCCAGTTTCTGGTGGTGTTAGGGCCGATTCTAGTTCATCCATTTTTCTCTCGCCGAATTTTTTTTCTTTCTGATTAATTTCTGAACCGATCTGATGTGGTAAAATAAAATTTATACTACTTCCAAACTTGATTCGCGTTGGGTCGATTTTTATGATTGTTGGCCGCGATTCAATGGTGTTACAAGAGTTGAAAGTTGCGTCAAGTCTATTTTTCAATAGTCATAAAAACGATCAATTTTCATGTTGAGATTCATTTTCCCTTTTTTCAAAAAGTAATTTTCAAAATAAAGTGTCATTTTTTGCCATCGAAGCGAAAAATCGTGCATTCTAAAAGTTGGAAAACAGAGCTGCTACAAATGGCAGATTCAATAAAAATATTTTCCACGCTGGTTGGCACTCCAGCTTTGTTGGTTTTGTGAAGTGTTTGGGAGAATGTCTTAGGCCATCCAATTCAGCCCGGGCCACGGCAGGGATCAATTTGACATCTGCTGGCTGGAGCGGACAGAACTCAAGAACTAGAAACTTGCGTAAGTTTCAAAAAATGCCTTGTTTTCAAAAAAAAATCAAACAAGAAAGTGTTATTTTATTGAGGAAAATTCAAAAGTTCTGATTTCTGATCAATATTTAAGGTCTCATTTAAGGATCTCCTCTTAAGGGTATCCAAAAATAAACCATTTTTTGCGCTAGAACTCGTTCTTAGCTACATTCAGATACCAAATTCACTTGGAGTCTTAAGGGTACCTAGGTCGAGTTTGGGTACCCCCTTAAACCATTTTCTGACCAAAGAATCGAATTCTTCAGGTTCTGAGGAACAAAAAACTCTATAATGACCCTATGGCTATCTAAACGTTTTCACGGTCAAAAACCACTGTAAAGTATAAAATCTATAGGAAATGCTAGCGCCTCAAATTTTGACGGAAAAATTTTCATCTCCGATTTTGCTGATTAAGGGCTTAAATAAAAGCTTATGGCCTGGTTAACATCGTAGTGAAGCTTAAAATTGCCCCAGAAAATTAAATTCAGTTCAAAACCGGGGAAAATGGAAGCTTACCAAGCAAAAATGCGGAATTTGTGAAGACTAGACCAATCTTTTGAAAATTTTGTTAAAAAAACCTTCGAAATCCAAATATCTGCTCTGTCACGATTGTAGAGCAGGCTTTTGACTTTATGTATCCAAAAAGGAAAAATAGGTTTGTATGAAAATTTTCGCCTGAATTTAGCGTTGAAAATGGCCATTTTAGACCGAGAGGCCAACTTTGAGGGCAAATTTTCTGAAAAAAAATTTTGAAATCGAAAAAAATGCTCTGTCACGATCCGAGATCTAGGATAGATCTATTGAATTAGCTATTAAAGGGCATTTTTCGTAAGAAATAAAGGGTAGTAATTTACCCTCAAAGATGGCCATCTCGACCCAGGTAGCCTTAAGGGTGTAAGGGGCAAAATCGTTGTTTGAAAATTTGAAATTTGGCCATGGTCGACGGGGGGATCCTTAAATAAACTATTGTTAAATCAATTTGAAACGTTCAACAAATACAAGACGTGTACCTTGTTTAAGGGTATACACCGCGAAACGCCTTATAAATATTTTCCTTGCGTAAGGTAAATATTGCGGAAATACCCTTACGGTCGCACCTATCTACCTGGCAAAAAAAGTTGTATAAGTAACGACCCAGTGATATTTTCTTACTCGTCAAAAATTCCCGCATCTGGCTTTTTTCGTTTTTACACTAGTTCGAAAATTCTTCGCCGCGTCTCACGTTTTTTTACGGGAAAAAAACTATTTGCGAGAAATTTGCTTCTTCTGTCGCGCGTAAGAAACAAATTGTATGCTCCTTGCTTTCTCGAATATTTTGAATTCTTATTGCCCCCAGCTTGCCCTAGAAAGAGGGTAGATCCTGCATCAAGGAAAAGGAAAACGTTGCTGAAAGGATGGATCTAAGGGATGAACTGGGATCGCGATAAATGGTGCGCGCCAATCGTCCTCTTTTTCCGGAGTCAATTAAAGTATTCAAGGCGAATCCCCTAGTTCTCATAACACGTAATAAAACAAATGTGATGGCAAACTTCCGCGAAATGCAATATATCCTTGCTTAGATAAAAAAAGGGATACACAAGGCTCCCACTAGTTTACAAATGAACTATGTTAAAAACCTGACTCAGGTTCCTAGAAAAATCAAGGACCCTGACTCAGGTTTTCATCACAGATTCCCGAGTTGAGCCCTGATTTCTCGGGCTTGGCTCGGCAACTTGTGTGGAAAACCTGAGTCAGGTTTAGAAGAGTTAAATCGAAAAGCCGCGTAGCGGCTTTTTTTAAGAACGAAGCCGCAAAGCGGCTTCGCTTGATTTTCTTTCGATATCTTTTAAAAAATGGCAAAGCCGCTCCGCGTCTTCGTTTCTGAAAAAAAGCCGCTACGCGGCTTTTCGTTTTAATTCTTCAGAACCTGACTCAGGTTTTCTACCCAGGTTGCAGAGCCCTGATCTGGGGCAGGATTATGAATTATTTCCTATGGCAAGCAAGAGTTCTTTCCCTCAAGAATTTGAAGAACCGAGTATACTTTAGCTTGAAAGATGAGCTAACCCAAAAGTGTTGTTAATTTTGTGGACACTTGGCCGAACAGAGTGGCTTGTTCATAAGCACCGTCAATCAGCGTCTTATTTTCCTCGAGAGCGCGAGAATCTTAGCTCAAATAACGTTACACGTTCTTCAATTTTGCAATTTGCTTTTGGCTTGCCCAATTTTTTTTGCGTAAGAAAGGAATTGGAATGCAGCGAATAAAGAAATAGAAATTGAAAATCGTCATCGAATAAAGTCTCAAGAATTTATCGAATGCAAATTCTTCGTTTTTGATCCAAGTGCTCCAAAGAGAGATTTTTTCTTAAGGGTATCGCAACGAAAACCAGCGAAGAAAAAGCAAAGGCAGGAAAAAAAGAATCAAAAAGTCGCGTTATGATAATTCCGAAATTCCTTTTCGCAACAAGTCAAGGTGACGAACTTCAGCGAATCCAAATCAACAACTCCCTTTTCAATAATTCAAACAACTGGAACTGATCAAGTACTGGCGGTCAATTCGTGGTCATGTCGGTGCCACGAATTGACGGGACCCACAGGAGCTTTGTTTCTATTTTCGCACGTTTTTTTTCATGCGCATGAGTCATTGTGTCTCCCTTACTGTAATAACAGGTATTAATCTAGGTCACTTGTATTATGAAAAGCCCGAATTACTGTACAGTCTGTATCGAAATCCGGCTCTTGAATAACGGGAAAAATAGATCATCCGTTCTCACTGGCTCGAAAAACATAAGAAGGGAAATAGGACAATTGTCTTACCACGCCATGCAATAGTATTGTAACTTCCCGATTATGTTTTATCTACCGTAAAAACTTACACCTGCTCCCAGGACGTACTTCCTGACATAAGCAAGAGCGAGTGTCACTCTTTACTCTTTCGATTACTCTCGACTTTATCGGCTGATAAAAACGGGCAAATGCGAACTTATGAATATTATTTAGTCTACGAAAACGTGTTCGTTTATGGATTAAATGGGTCCGTGAAGTGGGCTAAGATGAAGGAAGGAAGATGGAGGATTCTTCCTTCCGAAGTCTTGGAAAGAAGGAGATTTTTGCTTGATGCGAGATTTTCATACTGTATTTATTGGAAATATGGGTACATGAAAAGTTGACATAATGAGCAAAAATTTGATGAAGAGATTTATTAGTGGTCGATTCTTCAGAAAAATTCTTAGAAGCATTTTCGGTGGACGATGCTTGGTCCGGACTCGTCATACTCCTGCTTCGAGATCCACATCTGCTGGAAAGTCGAGAGGGAGGCGAGAATCGAGCCACCGATCCAGACAGAGTATTTTCGCTCAGGAGGGGCGATGATTTTAATTTTCATCGAAGAGGGCGCAAGGGTGGTGATTTCCTTATTCATTCGATCGGCGATTCCGTCGTACATCGTGCTGCCGCCGGAGAGGACGGTGTTGGCGTAGAGATCTTTTCGGATGTCGACGTCGCACTTCATGATGGAGTTGTAAGTGGTTTCGTGGATACCAGCTGATTCCATGCCGATATGAGATGGCTGGAACATCGCCTCGGGGCATCGGAATCGCTCGTTGCCGATTGTGATCATCTGACCATCAGGAAGCTCGTATGACTTTTCGAGAGCAGAGGAAGATTTAGCAGTTGCCATTTCTTGATCGAAATCCAAGGCGACATAGCAGAGATTCTCTTTGATGTCTCGGACGATTTCGCGCTCAGCAGTGGTCGTGAAGGAGTATCCTCGCTCGGTCAAAATCTTCATCAAGTAGTCGGTCAAATCTCGACCAGCGAGATCGAGACGAAGAATGGCGTGGGGAAGAGCGTATCCTTCGTAGATCGGGACAGTGTGGCTGACTCCATCGCCGGAATCCATGACGATGCCAGTTGTTCGACCAGAAGCGTAGAGAGAGAGAACAGCCTGAATTGCGACGTACATGGCTGGGACGTTGAAAGTCTCGAACATGATTTGAGTCATCTTTTCTCGATTTGCCTTTGGATTGAGCGGCGCTTCGGTCAAAAGAGAAGGGTGTTCCTCTGGCGCGACTCGTAGCTCGTTGTAGAAGGTGTGGTGCCAGATCTTCTCCATGTCGTCCCAGTTGGTGACGATTCCGTGCTCGATCGGGTACCGGAGGGTGAGAATACCTCGCTTGGATTGCGCCTCGTCTCCGACGTACGTGTCCTTTTGGCCCAGACCGACCATGACTCCCTGATGCCGAGGGCGACCGACGAGAGAAGGGAACACGGCTCGTGGAGCATCGTCACCGGCGAAACCGGCTTTGCACATGCCGGATCCGTTGTCCATCACAATTGCGGTAGGCTCATCGTCGTCCATCATCATCTTTGGTTTTTGAAAAAAGGATCTCTTTTTGAGACAAAAATGGGCTTCGCGGTGAATTATAAGGAAAAGGAGTGAATCATAAAAATGCGAAAAGCGGAAGTTGGGAAAAGTGGTAATTTCCTTATAAGGAATTTTATGGAGAAAAAGATCGCTGGTTGGATAAGAAGGATGAAAAATGAATCTGCTTCGATAGTAAAAAATTGACTGAGCACGGTTTTATGGTGTCTAGTTTTGATGTCAAATGATGGATCTAGAATTAAGGACTCTGAACATTAATTGAACATTAATTTTTTTTCGAAATTCCTCTAAAAAAGGTTACTTAAGGTCCCGCACAAATAGAACCTCCTGGACAACGGTGTAACACGTGACTTTATCCTGAATAACTTCCTGTGGTGTCTCGGCCCGGCCCTGATTTGAGTGCATCATCATATTCTAAAAAAGTGATACCCCGAAGGCTGCTTGTCTTATCTTTTTCATTAACAATGTAAATGAGTCGATTACAAGGCGTTTTTGTAAACACCTTACGCGGGGCACGTTAGACGCGCTCTAGAATTTCCGATAACCACCCCTCCTTCTGCTCGAGCGCATTGATACTGTCAATTTCTCGTGACTGTCAAAAAAATCTCGGCTCAAAATTGCATTGATACCTTTTGGGAGCCCGCAAGAACATGTCGCGATTTGACGGTTATTCAATTTTAAATGACTTGGAACCTTGCTCAAATCAAATTTTTCCTTATTTAGATTTCGAATTTTCGAATTTGAAAAACGAGTTTTTCTCCTTTCGATAAAAAACTGGACCCTGGTGGAGTGAGTCAAGGTCATAACAGTGTTGCTTATCAGTGACTGTCGAGTTATTTTATTTTTTGATGATAAGCGCGTCCAGTGTCAAGCTGCCTCCAAAACGATAATCGTCAGAGCCCGCAGATCAATGTAAATCCACCTGGCAATCCGGAATCGAGACCTTAATGCTTCCGCAATTTTTATCTTTTTTAGACACATCCGTAAACGTTTGAGATTTTTATGATGATCTGGCATTGTTTCACAATTAATCAATAAATTATTAAAAAAGAAACCATTTATTTTCGGGAATCTTATTGGCCCACCGGCCGAATGTGAAAATTTGATTGGTCTGAAATCAAACCATAGTTTTTGAAAGTAGTAGAGTGAAGTGAAATTTATTCTAAAAATTTCAAAGATATAAATTCAGCAATCGATTGAACTCGGCATTTCCAGTTCTTCCGATTTTCTTCCCAGAAGTCGGTTTGAAAGCACGTTTCTTCTTGTACTCGATGATCTTCATCGGGCTAGATTTGTGATGCTGGGGAATCACTCCGTATCCAACAGTTCCCATACTGTACCTAAAACGAAGAAGCTTCTTAGAAGACAAAAAACAAGATTTTACCCAAAGGAAAAAAGATGAGAAAAACGCGAGGAAATGAAAAATACAGCGCATTTTTTTCTCGATTTTATCTCGGTTTTGATTATTCTCTCTTTTCTTTCCGCTCTTTTTATAAATACTGAGTTCAGTCTCATCCTTCTCATCCCTTTGTCCATCGAAATAAATCCGTCTCACTGACAAATTGTACAGGCATAGCTTTCTAATCATCCCCATCGCTGTCGATTTGACAATTGATTATGTTGAGAAAGAAAGTGTTTTGCTGATGAATCTATTTCGGACTGAATGCATTGCAATCTGAAATGGATAATCTACAACTGGGGATGTCTAGGGAGGATCCAAACAGCTGCTGCGGTATTTGGGGTCGATGGGAATGGTGAGAGAAAAAAATCTAAAAAATGATGAAAAGTAAAAGTCCGTTTTTTTTCAAAAAGTGCATGAATTCATTGAATGCCCTGATGGTCCAATTCGAAAGTGCAAATTATAGTTCATTGGATATTTTCCCCGCTCGTTGGGCTTTGCTTTCTTAACAACTCCTCGTTTTTGCGTCTGAGTTTATCCTGGCTGGAATTCGAGTGAGTGGCCGAATTTGGCTCACTTGGTCGCTGCTCGATCACTTCGAGGACTTCAATGATTTCACGCAATCGAGAGCGGCCCACTGGAGGATTAAATTGTCACTTTTATAACGTGGAGCCTGGCGATCGCCGTTTTTTAGCAAAGCAACCGCCAGAAAAGCGCCAAAAGATAATGCGCTTAAACAACCAGCTCTAAAAAAGGCTCACGAAGCCGATCCGCCGTTCTAATAAAAATTGAAACTGAAAAATTTTTGCTTCGCGAAATTAACAATCGAGTCTTTATAAAAACTAGCAAAGCCGAATTGAAAAATCATTTTTGCCGGCTAGGGTTAAAAAAGCCGCTCAGCGGCTTTTAGAAAAAGACCTTTAAGATTCTGGCTCAAAATGCTGATGATTTTAAATTCTCGAGTCTAAAGTTTTTTCTCCAATCTCAAATTGAATCTAACCCTTCGGAGGTCGACCACAAAATTCAACTCAACCCCAAAAACGCTTAGCTTCGCAAGCGCTAGAAACTGCGCCAGGAATGCTCTCGCGCCCCACCGCGTAGAAAAAAAGCGCGCGCGGTTCTTTATAAAAATCATCTGGTCGAAATCCATTGCATCAGACAAAAATCGCGATCTTGTGAAAGACCAAATCAGAACTTATTGACTTGTTTTTTGTTTTTTATTCGAGAGAAGAAGAAATTTTTACTTTTCATCAACAGGTAAAATAAAAACAAAAAAAGATTTTTATTTGCAAGGAATAAGTTGTTTTATTTATTTTGAAATTACAGTCGGTAATTTTGAAATTGGGCTTATTTTTCCTAAAATAACTATTTTTTGGCCCAAAATTTCGAATCGAGAATATTAATATAACAGAGGAAGAGATGACTTCTTAAGGGTATCAAATTGATAATAAGTTTCATTTTTTTATCAAGTTAATGCCCTTTAGAAATCATCTCTTCTTTTTGAAAAATTCTCGAATCGAAATTTTGGGCCAAAAAATGACTTTTTGAGGAAAAAATAAATATGATCACATTTCATTTTTCGTTAATAATTTTTTTTCGAAAGCGCTGGGAATCAAATAAAACAGTATAAAACGTTGAATTGTTAAGCTCTTCCTGCGGCCGATTACGAAAACCAACCGCGCGCTCTTCTCATCCAGGTAATATTAAATACTCCATTTTCAGCTTTTAGAAAAAGAAAAGCCAAAAAATGAAGCTCTCCGGCATCATTTCCTCGTTTTTCTCCTTTTCTTTCTCGCTTCCGGCGCAGAATCACGGCGATTTCAACGCGACGCAAATGCTTCTCGACGCGCACATCGATCCAAACCAGCTGGTCCTTTCTCGTCGTCGACCGAGCTATATCGGCGAGCGATTGGGCGGACAGTGGGACATCATCAGCTCCACTTATTCGAAAATGAAGTCGGGTTTCGAGCTCTCGACGACGGAAAGACGCGAATTCGGAACAGCACGAAAACTGCTCCAATTGGCGGAAATGGTCAAGCAAGTCCAACGAACCGACTATCTTTTCGAGAGATATTGTTTCTACGGATGCCACTGCATTCCCGGCTATGCTGTTCATGACTCGACAGCTGGAAAAGGGCCGGCGCAAGATGGAATCGACTCTGTTTGCTCAAGACTGAAACAGGTAGGAAAAAATTTTATTTTATAAAAAAATATTATATTATATTTTAAATATATATTTATAAATATATATTCATATAATTAAATATATAATATAATTTATATAATTAATATTAATTTATATAATTAATTTAATTTATATTATATTATATATAAAAAGTTTGTCAGAAAAAACTCTTGTTTCTAGTGCTACTGGTGCGCAAATGATGAGTCAGATGGTCAATGCGATGGAACTATGAAGAGTTACTCCTGGAGCGTCGTCGACAACGACGGCGACGGAAAAGCCGATGACATCGTTTGTTACAACACTCCCAATACCTGCCGGTACACCCTTATTTTCAAACGAACTTGTTGTAACTTATTAAGATGGAAATTGTGCCAATGCGACAGACAGTTCGCGCTTCAGTTGAGAGAAGTCGAGGAGACGTACAATCCGCTCCTGAGTGAGGTAAAATGACGAAGAGACGACAAAAAGAAGACGAATCTTTAAATATTTTATTCAGGAAAATGATTTCGACCGACAGGCTACTTGCCACGTCCCTGGAAATGGAGGAGATAATCGCAAAAAGGAGCGTTTTTTCAATCAATTATTAAAAAAATGGACGCCGATTTTCAGTCTTTTTTCAAATAATTTATTAATAATGATATTAATTATTTTCAAAAATAAGAAAAAAATTATGCTTTTCAAATTTTTTTTTTCAATTTTTTCAGAAAAATTTTAAAAAATTGAAAAAAATCTTTCAAAAAATCGATGTTTTTTTCTCAATATGAAAACGCATTTACAGTGCTGCGGAAATTACAGTAACAATTTCCGACTGATCTTCAACCCAAATCGCCAACAATGCTGTAGCGAGGAGTTTTCTGACATCAAAGAAATTGGAACTTGCGAATAGATCTTCCTTTCTTTTCTGTACATAAACAGACTGTATATAAAAGTATATAAATAAAACATCTTTTTCATAAAAATTCGTCAAAAAAAAAAATTCGTTGTTGACACCCTTAATAAATTCGATTCTGCTGATACCGTGTCAATTCAGACAGAATAAGATGTTCGTCGAAAAATGATTTCAGAGAACGTCGATTTTGATCATTGAGAGATCTAGCGTGAACCGATATCTTTTTGAATAAAACATTCAGTATATAATATGCTCCAATATATAATGGCATCAAAATCAGAATATCGAAAAGACGGATCTTAAATCAGTTCTGAGAATTAAAAAAATGAAACTAAGCTTTGCTTTTTGGATTTTTTCCTTCGAAAGTTTTGTTTTTTGGTAAGAAAAGAGCCCCAAAAAAATTGATGAAAAAAATTATTTTTATCTAAAATCCAATTTAGCAATTTTGGAAACGCTTTTACCAATCTCCAACGTTTGAAATATCCTGATCCCGTTCTCGCTTTCGAATGTAAGTATCTCATAAAAATACTCCCTCAAGAACCTAAAATTAAGCGGCTCCCACTGGCTCCGGCGCAGGCAGAATCGACCTCAACGACTTTATCAAAATGGCCCGGCTAGAATATCGCAAAAAATAAAAATTCAAGATTGAAATAATATTTTCTTTCCAACACGCTCAAAATAAAAGCCGCAGGAAAAAGTGATAAGAACCGTATCAAAAGAGGGCTCAATCAGATAGTGCCCGCCTGAGTTGTCTTAGGAATGCGTCTGACAAAATTTCTGTTTTGATGTTGAGCAACGTACTTTTTTAGGCTGACCTTTTTTGAGGTAAGAGACAAAGGGGGGTTCTGATAAACATTGCATTTTAAGGGGGTAGACATAAAGAATAGCCATTTCGCTGGAGTTTTTTCCCAAATTTAACATTGTCACACCCTTATTTTATTGTGGAAAGTAAAAGTTTAGACCCTTATCTATCTCTTATGCAAGCGGAAATTTCGAAAAATTTTTTAACAGAATTTTTCATCGAAAATATCGAATTTTTCCCAAAAAGCATCTTTAAATCTCAAGAAATCTTAATTTTTTGCTCCGAAAAAATATTTTACTGGCTGAAATGAGTTTTGAGCCGAAAAATAAGGGAGTTACTTTGTAAAAAATGGACAAAAACTGCAGGGAAATCCGATTCTTGATATATACCCCCTTAAAAAACAGTGAAAAAACTGAGGCTGTGATAATTGATGAATAGCTTTTGGTTCAACTTTCTAAGAAGTGATCTGAAAAGTTCTAATTTTAAGTTGAACTCTATTGCACGAGAAATTAAGAGATGAGCAGCAGCTAAGCAAGAGTGGTGTTCACGTGTTCCATTCTCAATTGAACAGGCGGTAAATCCTCTTTGCGCGGCTGACGTTTTTAAAGTTTTCTAAACTGCTCATTACTGGGGTGCGAAAATTTTGACATAATTTTTCAGCGGTATTTACTCACTTTTTGATCGTCAAATAAAAAAAGAAAAATGGTTGAAATTTAACGCTGAAAGGTCAAAAAAAAAAAAATTCTTAGAAATTCGATTCTTCTAGAACACCTTTCAAGAATTGTATCGGTTTAAATTTTTATCTTCAGTTCTGCTCGTGGCCTAGTTGGAAAAGGTCGAAAAGGTATTTTTTCATCATTTTTATATGCTAGTTTTATTTTGCTTTTTTGATTTTATTTATTTTATTTGCTTTCTTTTTGTGAAACTTTTTATATATTTTTTCTTGCACGAATTTCATTGAAGTTTTTTTTTCTTCAGGTAATACCGTTTTTTGATGACACCTTCTGAATCAGAAGGCTTCTGATGTTCCGCCGATGAACTGAATTTTTAACTGATGATAAGGGGGCTAGAATTTTTTGATAGGAATGGGCGCGACAGAAGAAAAGAAAGATGAAGCGCCAAAAAACTCTGTTCCATATTTCAAGCTCGTAAGTCTCTATCTCCTCTTCCCCCCTTTAGTTCTTTCAGTACCGCTTTGCCACATGCTCGGACAAGCTTATGATCGCTATCGGATGGCTGATGTACATCGTCGTTGGAATCTGCGAGCCGCTGATGATCGTTTTCTTTGGCGGAGCGATGCGCGAATTCGTCTCTGTCGGAAAACTCGGTCAGGCCTGCCCACAGGAAGATATTGATCTCCTCAATGCTTCTGAAGAAGGAAAGGTTTAATAGAGGAAAATTTTCATGAGTAATCATTGATTTTTTTAACCTTGAAAAAAGACCCTTCTGCTTTTTGGAATGTCACTGACATGTGCAAACTTACGCTTGGAACTCTCACCGACACCGAAAAAGACATGTTCGAGGGTTTCGATGATGGCATTTCAGCCACTTCATCCATGATGAAAAACATCTGGTGGTTTGTTGGACTCGGCGCTACAGAATGGATTACTGGATGGATTGGCACTTGGCTTTTGATGCTTTCTGCGGAGAATCAAATCAACAGAATCAGGAAAGGATATCAAGGGAACAAGGCGTTTTGGCAGTCAGGTATTTTGATATCCCGAAATAGAGCAAAATACTTTGCCTCCGTTGTTCGCCAGGACATGAGCTACTTTGACACCGTCGACGTCGGTGAAATCAATGCCCGAATGTTCGAAGACATCAAAAAGATCCAGGAAGGCATCGCCGACAAAGTAGGAATGGTCATTCAGTCGATCTTTCAAACGGTCGCCGGTCTCGCTATCGCTCTTTATTTCGGCTGGGAGCTTGGCCTCGTCTGTATCGCTACGATTCCGTTGATCGCTCTTGGTGGATTTGTTTGGATGGTGGCGCAGTCGAACGAGTCGAAAAAAGAGCTCGACAATTACACCGAAGCTGGTGGCGTCGCTGAAGAAGTTCTTGCTTCAATCAAGACTGTTACTGCTTTCAACGGGCAGAGCTTTGAAAATGGACGATATTCGAAGCCATTGGCGCAAGCACAATCTCAAGGCATCAAGAAAGCTGCCATGTCTGGCTTCGCCGTTGGCTTTTTTAATCTTTCGATGTTTGCCGTCTACGGTATCGCCTTCTGGTATGGTTCGGAAATGGTCATTCACGAGGGCTACGATGTTGGAACCAAGATCATCGTTTTCTTCTCCGTTCTCATCGGTGGTTTTGCGATTTCCATGGTTGCCACGAATGCTGAATACCTCGGAACTGCGACGACTGCAGCTTACTCTGTGTTTGAGCTCATCGACCGAGTTCCTGAAATCGACATCTACTCCGAGGAGGGTGCCAAGCCAGTAATCCAAGGAACCATCGAATTCCAGAATGTTGACTTCACCTATCCATCCCGAAAAGAACAAGGCGTCCTCTCTGGCGTGAGCTTCAAAGCTGAAGCTGGTAAAACAACTGCTCTTTGCGGTGCTTCCGGCTGCGGCAAATCGACTTGTTTCCAACTCATCCAACGATTTTACGACGCAGCTCAAGGTCGAATTCTCATCGATGGGCAAGAGCTCAAGAGTCTCAATCTCGCCTGGTTCAGAGAAAACATCGGTGTCGTCAGCCAAGAACCTGTCTTGTTCGACGGAACTGTTGAAGAAAACATCACTCTTGGAAGACTCGATGTGACGAAGGAAGAAATCACTGAAGCGTGCAAGCAAGCGAATGCCTTGGATTTTATCCAGAAGCTGCCTTCGACTTGGGAAACGAATGTTGGAGAAGGTGGAGCGACCCTTTCTGGTGGTCAAAAGCAGCGAATCGCTATTGCTCGGTGAGTCTTCCTTGTTTTCAGGGAATTTTTCTTTATCATTTTTTCAGAGCCCTCGTCCGAAACCCAAAAATTCTCCTCCTCGATGAAGCCACCTCCGCCCTCGATACTGAGTCCGAAAAGATCGTCCAGCAAGCCCTCGAAAAAGCCTCCGTCGGCCGAACTACCCTCGTCATCGCTCATCGACTATCTACGATCAAGAACGCCGACAAGATTATTGGCTTCAAAAACGGAAAGAAAATGGAAGAAGGAAATCACGCTTCTCTCCAAGAAATCGAAGATGGCGTCTACAAAACACTCTGCAACATGCAATCTTTCTCAATGGAACAGGAAAAGGTCGAAAGTGAGACGTCTTTGAAAGGAGCTGAATCGAACAATCAAGTCGTAGAAGCTAAGAAATCGAAAGAATCAAGTGTTGAAGAATCCGAAAAATCCGAGAAGAAAAAGGATGGCGAGGAAGAATCAGAAGAAGAAATCGCCAAGCGAGAAGGCCTCCCAGAAGTCGGTTTCGGCCAAATTCTCGGCATGAACAGCCCTGAATGGTTTTACATCACGATTGGCTCCATCTTTGCCCTTTTTACCGGAGCTGTGCAACCACTCTGGGCCCTTATCTTTGCCGGTGTCCTCGACAACTACTCCCAGTTTAACTGCGTTTGGAATGAGAAAATTAAAGAGTTAGATAGTACTGCTTACGCCAATGGAACTGCTGACGTCACGCTTTTCGACGAATTGACTATTCCTCTGAACATCACCGAAATTAAAGAAAACCACGAATGGTGCGACGAAGCAAAACTCGTTGATTTGAACAATATGAAAGCTATCGAATTCGTGATCATGGGTGTTGCACTTTTCTTCGGCTTTGGAATTCTCCACTTGATGTTTGGAATTTCTGGTGAGCTTTTGACTACCCGACTTCGAAAGAAATCCTTCGCCAAGCTTCTCCGACTCGTCAAGGGCTCAAAAATTTCAAATCATAAAATTTAGATTCATTTTAAAATATTAAAAAAAATTGAGCCCCTCTCTAGATATGAGCTATTTCGACGAGCCATTGAACTCGACTGGTAACTTGACTGCCCGACTTGCCTCTGATGCTGGAAAGGTTCAAGGCGCTACTGGACGAAAAATCGGCGAAGGCGTCATGAACCTCGGCGCTTTTGGCTGCGGTCTTGGAATCGCCTTCTACTACTCTTGGCAGCTGTCACTTGCGGTGTTTGCGTTTATGCCAGTCATCATCATTACAAACGCGTTGATGATGCAGGTGATGATGAACAACCACGGCGACGGAGAGCAGAAGAACATCGAAGAAGCGAGCAAAGTCGCTACCGAAACGACCAACAACATCAGAACTGTCGCCGGTCTCGGCCGCGAAAAGCACTTCTGCAAACTTTACTCGAACAATATGGACGCTTTGGCTGCTCGAAAAGGAAAGACAATCTTCAAGTACGGACTTCTGTACGGTGCAACTCTTGGATGCATGCATTTCATGTACGCGACTACTTTCTGGTTCTCATCCTGGTTGATTGACAATGACTACATCGATTCTAGCGCTAGTTCCGACGTCATGAGAGTCCTTTTCGCTCTTGTTTTCGCTGGAATGAGCTCAGGAAAGGGAAAATTCATGACTTCAAAAAGGGCTTTTTTCGCTAGAAAAACACTTCGATCCCAACTAAAGCCCAATCCGCCGGTGTAGCCGCTAACTCCGGCAAAGCAAATCTCGCTGCTCGTCGAATCGTGAAACTTTTCGAAACCGCTCTCAACATCGACCCTGAATCAACAGAAGGCGAAAAACCTGAAATCAGGGGCAAGGTTGAGTTCGCTGCCGTCGAGTTTTCTTATCCAACCCGAGCCGAATTCCCTGTCCTCAAGGGCATCCAAACAAACGTTGAGCCCGGACAGACTCTCGCTCTTGTCGGCCAATCTGGCTGTGGAAAATCGACATGTATTAGCCTCTTGGAACGATTTTACAACGCTACTGCTGGAAACATCAAGGTCGATGGAATGGATATTCAGAATATCAATTTGAAGTGGCTCAGAGCTAATGTTGGCTTGGTTCAGCAGGAACCTGTGCTTTTGTCACCAGGATTTCAAATTTTCTTTCAAAATTTTCTTGTTCGTTTTTCTGATAAAATTTTTGCCGTTTTTGAAATCTGAAAAGACACAACCATCCGTGAAAACATTCTTTACGGCCTCGACGATGGAGAAAACAGCGGTAAACCGAACAAAGTTGGCGTCTCCTCGATTTCCGATGCCGACATTGAAACCGCTCTTCGGGAGGCAAACGCTTACAACTTCGTCATGGATCTTCCTCAACGGCTCGAAACTCGATGCGGCAAAAAGGGATCGCAACTCAGTGGCGGTCAGAAGCAGCGAATCGCCATTGCTAGAGCTCTGATCCGAAAGCCAAAGATTCTGCTTCTCGATGAAGCTACTAGTGCGCTCGATACTGAAAGCGAAAAGGTAGATTTTCAGTAAAAACAATGAATTTATCAAGCCTTTTAAGATCGTCCAAGACGCACTGGACAAAGCTCGACAAGGCCGAACCGCAATCCTGATCGCTCACCGACTCTCCACCGTCATCAATGCTGACGTCATCGCTGTTGTTGACAACGGTGTCATCGTTGAATCCGGCAAGCATCAAGATCTTATCGACAAGCGAGGAGCATACTATCATCTGATTAAATCTCAATTGTAAACCAAATCCTATTTTCGTCTGAAATTCTAAAATAAAAATCATTTAGTATAATAAACTGTGTCATCTTTTCATCCATCAAAAGTTAACGCTATAAAATTGATTCTTTGGTAAAAACATCGCTGCATAGATCGTAAAATAGAGAATATTTGGCATTCAAAGGTCTTCCTCTCTGTGAAACCGTACCATTCCGGAAATTCTGACATCGTCCGACAGCGCTCACCTTCAGAAAAGGCCAGTTCTTCCCCCCCTCTTTCCATAGTTCTCGTATTCAAACGAGATATTTCACCGGCATGATTCTCCGCTTTCATTTTTTGGCGATTGTATTTTCGCAAGCGCCTCCTGGCCCTCCACTTCCGAAAATTGCATGTGTTGATGTTGAGAAAATTGAACTGAATGAGCAATTCTGCAATGAGGTTGACCAAAGTCTCAATGGAAATGGTAAGATTGATCAGAGTTTGAAATCATTCATAAAAATCGTTCTAGGTCTCTTTGGAGCGGGAGGATCTAGTTATCCGTCGGCTGGAATGTCTCAGTGTCCATCAGGAAAAAGCTAAAAAAGATAGTGAAAATTTTTTAAGGTTCAAGATTTTCAAAGCTTTGAAAAGATTGCGGCTTCTCCAGCTATTATGGCTCTTCCTTCCAGAAAACAGCAAAACCGATAGCTAAAAGTAGCAAGCTGGCGAATCCATTCAGCAATCCATATGGATACTCAAGTTATACGAGCGATACCTGTTCCCTTTATTCCCCCAACTATTCGTCCGCTACTTCTTCCATCGAGTGTCCTGACTCTTCATCAAGGACTGCGGAGACGGACGAAAAAGTATCTCCGATCGGAACATGGATTGACGGCGAATATATTCCCTTTGTCTGTATGGACGACTCCTCCTATTACAGCTCATCTGGGCTTAGCTCATATGAATCATATTCTTGGCTAGACTCGTATTCAAGTTATGGGTCGTCCTCGTCATATTCAAGTTATTATTCCTCCTATTATGGCTCTTACTCGTCATACTACGGTTCCTACTCCTCATACTATGGTTCTTACTCGTCATACTACGGTTCTTATTCGTCTTATTATTCTTCCTATTATGGATCATACTCGTCTTATTATGGCTCGTATTCATCCTATTATGGTTCATACTCATCTTATTATTCTTCCTATTATGATTCTTATTCTTCTTATTACGGGTCTTCATGTTCGTCTTACTACGGCTCCTACTCTTCATATTACAGCTCCTACTCGTCATACTACGACTCCAGCTATTACGACTCCTCTTCTTATAGTTACGATTATTCTTCGTATTCGTCGTATTATGGCTCATATTCTTCATATTATGGCTCCTACTCGTCATATGGCTCATATTCTTCCTATTATAGCTCGTATTCTGCGTATTATGGTTCTTCCTCCTCCTATTATTGGGAAAATGCTGGCTCTTATTCTTCATATGGATCGTACTCTTCGTATTACGGATCTTACTCGTCTTATTACGACTCAGATTGGTACTCCTCTGCAAAGGGATTATTCATTTGATCAAATTTATCATAATTTGACTAATAATTATTTAAAAATAATGGATCCCTTTCAAAGATTACTCTTCGTACAGCTCTTACAGTTCCTACTCTTACAGTGACTACAGCTCCTACTCAACCGTTGACTACGGCAGTACGACAACAATCAGTACGACAACAATGAGTACTTCTACAGAAAATTGGTATGCGAAGTCGGATGAAGAGGCGATGAACAATACATCTCCTGTTGATGGTAAGGCGGTGATATTTCTAATGTACAATATTGTTTAGATCGAGAAGCAGAAAACGAGACAGAGTTTGATATGACCGAGGACAAGGCTTATTACTCTTCGCAAATTACATCAAGCGTCGACTACAACACATTTGCCATGTGTGATGATGTTTCATCTAGCTTTTCAAATTACTACAATCTGAATTACGGAGTAGCAAAAGATTATGGAGGTTTGTCATTTTTTCTAAATATTTTAACAGGTTCATCAAAGAATACAACATGGATGAGGCAATGAAAAAAGCTCTCGACGATTTGACCGAGATTCATAAAAGATGCGAAGCTCTTAACGGAGAATACGAAAGGAAAGGTTTCAAAAGAGACAAAAGTCAATCAATTGTAAATTTAAAATTGATACGGAAAAATAACCCCTTTTTTCTTAAAAAACCTTTCAAAGCAAAATGCACGGAAAACAAAAAATAAATTTTGATCAACTTGAAGCTGGACTCTGCGAAATTACGACAACAGCGCCGCCAACTACGACAACAACGACGAAAAAACCGACAACAGCAAAAGAAGTGACCAGCTCAGCTGCTTCTTTTTCAATCTTTTCTATCCTTTCTTTGCTGCTTGTCAAACTTTTTTGATCAAGAACTCATAATAAAAACTTAGAAACAAACCTTTCTGTTCGTCATCGAAGGCGATGGAATTGGAGATATCATTTATCAAGCGCAGTAAGCTCTCGCCAATCGACGAGGCTCTCATAACACTTAACAAGCTCTTTGCTTTCAGAAATATCCTTCTACGCTCCACTACATTCTTCATAAGTGCTTGTACACAACAAAAAACAAACTAGAGAAAATTAGAAAACCATTTTTTCACAAAAATCGTTCTTAAAAATCGACAGAACTAAATTCAGGAAAGTGAAATTCGAAAAATAATTATAAAAAAGTCTGCGAAAGGAGTGTCATTCTAAAACCGCGGCGCCTCCACTGAAGCAGGCAAAATCCCTCAGTACATGTTTATAAGTGCGTAGTGGAGCTCAAAAAACTATGCATCCCTTTTTCTGCGCGGCGTTCGGCCCGCTGGGCACGATGATTCTGTCGCATTCGTGGCCAAGAGCCAACATTCACCGCCCGGTAGCTTGCATCTTGCCAAGTTGACAGAAATTTCGAAATTTCCAAATACAGACACGAGACCACAAATAGAAGAAGAACAGTAGGATGGACAGCTTGCAAGTGATCTCGGAGAGATTGCTCAAATACTCGACTCCTTTTGGACATGTCTGGTAAGATATTAGCGCGACAGATTGGTGATTTTCATGTTGAGGGGGCTTAAAATGGAGAAAATTTAAAAGTTCTCAAAAATTTATTTTTGGTCAACTTCTTTGAGAACTTGAATTTATCGAAAAAACTAGAAAAAAGCCTCAAAAAAAAAAACTCAATTATTCGTTATCTCGTCATAGAAACCAAAAATCACCCTGGCTCGGGGACTTGGCATATGTGAATGAGATTTTAGACCAAATCCCCCCATGAATATATGTTTCTTTTATTTCCTCTGAACAGAATGTTTACTTAACGCTCGTCAAGTCCCTCAGCGCCGTCGAGCCCGCTATTGATGAAAATTCAAACGCCAGGCCACTTATAATCAGAGTTTGAAATGCTCGCAAATGCTCGCGAGCGAAAAGAGCGAGAGCAAAAATTTATCATTGCCCTGAGAGCAGGGGAGCGGGAGCATGAAAATGAGTTGGCTCGAGAGCCAAAAGAGCACGAGCCCAAATTTGGACCCGCTCGCGAGCGCAGAGAGCACGAGCGCATATGTCAGAAATGCTCGGGAGCTAGACGAGCGGGAGCGGCTGCTCTCGTGCTCGCCATGGAATTGACTCACGAGCGGCTCGCGAGCAAAATTAAAAGAGTAATTTTTTTGCATAATTATTCACTTTCATAAATAAATTTCTTTGCGGATCTATTTTTGGTGTTTTCGGTTTTATGTTAGCTTCATTAGGTCCGTAATCTCGGCAGATAATGCGAAAAGCCGAGAGTAAACAGATAAAACATGCCCACCGCGAGGTGCTAACTCCTGTGACAGAGACTCATATGGAATTAGTCACGGGGCCGCCGAATCATTTTAGGCCCTTGAAAGCTGCTCGCGAGTCAGATTTTTCAGCTTGGGAGCCAATCGAGCGAGAGCAAATTTTGACCAGTGCTCGAGAGCCAAGAGAGCGAGAGCGCGAAATGAAATGCGCTCGCGAGCGCAAAGAGCGCGAACTCTGAAATAAATGTGCTCGGGAGCACAAAGAGCATCATGCTCGTGCTCGCTCGCTCTCAAGTGAGCCGCTCGCGAGTCACGAAAATTTCAAACTCTGCATATAATTATAATTATCAAAACATACGTTTTTATAGATATTGAAATAGAGAAAAAAAATAAATGGACACGGGTGCTTTTGGAATTTTACATGCTACTTCACAGAGATTATTGCATTATTCAACTCCAATGGGCATTGCATGGTATTTTAAGGGGGTAGACATCATTTAAGGATTTTTTCTTTAAATTCTTTTTCAACTCTTTTTGAGAGGAATTTTTTCTCAACTCTTGTCGAAAGTGATCTTTAATTTCTTTTCAGGGTCGCCTTAACTTTCCTCTGCCGACTCATCCCCGCCGTCACCATTGGCGATGCTGCATATGGCGATGAGCAGAGCGACTTCGAGTGCGTCACCACTCAGCCCGGTTGCAAGCAAATGTGCTACACGATGTTCGCACCAATCAGCCACGTTCGATTCTGGGCGATGCAGATCCTCATTCTTTCTTTTCCTACCATGATCTTCTCGATGGTCGCTGCTAACTACAACGCTACATATGAATTCCTCAAAGGTAAAAAGACTCGTTTCGTATCCCTTTTTTTCATTTTCAATTTCAAGCGCAAGTCGAAGGTTATGAAAAGTCCTTCACCGATTCGGCCTCCACTCGAAGCTACCAAACCGATCCAAAATACGTTTTGTACTCCAACAAACTTCGAAAATTCAAGACCAAAAAGGTGCAAACCTTTCTCGTTTCTCCTCCCCTATTATTTCATTCTAGCGCCGAGCAGTCGACATGGAAGGAGTCGGCGGAACCGAAGACATCATCTGGGCTCCAGCTTTGAAGCAGTGGTACGTCATTCATCTCTTTGCCAAGCTCGTTCTTGAAATGATCTCCATCTACCTCCTCTATCTTCTCCAAGTTCAGCAGCACATCACCTCCGGCGTCGTAAGAGATGAAAATCAAGAATCATTAATTCATTTCATTATAGAGCGGTTTCTGGAACGTCTTCGATGTCCCCTTCAAATATGCCTGTCGATTTGGTGACAAAGAATGGCAGAATGGATACGATAACTTTGCCTGCTCCCAGGTAATTCTTTGATATAATTGAGTGATCAACCTTCCTTCTTCAGGATGACAACATTCCATGCTGGGTTTCTCGACCAAAAGAAAAGAAGATGTTCCTAGTTTACATGCTCCTCATGAATTTCGTTTCCGTCGCCATCGTCCTCTGCGACTTTTTCTACGTCCTGTGGAAGGTATCCGTCAAAAAGCACAGACAGCGAAAGCAGAAGAAAGCTCTTCAAACTGGTAAGTTATTCTTAGCCGCGCGCACTTGAGATAAGCGTCTTTCGTTTCGTAAATTACCTCCTATCTTGAAAATTGGGCGGAGGCCGAATGGAAGATCTAATTTCCACGTCAATTAAACCCTTTTTTCTAGAAGAAGTTCCCCTCGCCATCGTTGACGAAAAGCCAGCCGAAGAATAAATGCAAAAAAAACGAAAAATACAAATCGAGAGCCACCGCAAAACTGACAATTTAGAACAAAAAAATCATCGCATTCCCCCACTGTCAATTCCAGCTTTTTTCACGATTTCTTTATTTAGACTTTTTATCTCTTCCGCTTCTCTTTGAGTGGAACAAAACAGCTCTTTCTTTACCTCCAGGTGCCTTTACTCCTACAAGTTCTACTAGACTGGAATAAATTATAGACTTTTACATCTGACTCTCTCTTTCTCGTTTCTTACCTCTTGAGACTCTGGTCTAAATGGCGATTAAGAGGTCTGGGCTCGGCGCCCTGCGTTGAAAACCTGAGTCAGGTTCTGGAGAGTTTATTTGAGAAGCCGCTTTGCGGCTTCGATTTTGAAAACGCCGCTACGTGGCTTGTCATATAGACTCTTCAGAACCTTACTCTTGTTTTCTACTTAGGTTGCCCAGCGCAGAAAGAGGTTACGCAGCGTTAATTATCATCTATGAAAACATACCAACACACTCCAAACAGCGTGCAACTATGGTATAAACGAATTAATAAAGTACCAATTAAAAAATGCATCATACAAAGAGCTAACCAACATAACTTGCGTCGCACTATTTTTAAACAAATTCATAGTCTGCAATTTCTGCCAAAACAGCGAATCGATGATTTCATTAATTATCCACCAACCGCTCGATTTTCATTGGTTTTACGTTTTTTTATTATTCGTAGCAAAAATATTACAAACAGGTAAACTTGGTCTTTTCCTCTCCGAAATGCCGGTATTTGACCTTTTTTGAAAGCGTTTCCAACGAACCTGGTTGAATGCGCAGTCTAGTGAGATCGTTGTTTCGTTTCCCGTTTTTGTTGTTTCCGCCGAAGACGAAGATCTCGCCATGCTCGAAGGCGTAGACGGAATCGTGGAAGAAAATTGGCTGTGGCAAGTTTTGCTGGATTTTTATCCAGTTGAGGGTCAATATTTTCGGGTTGTATTTTTCTTCTGACAGTCGCTCTAAAAGGATTAAGATTTAGACGTTTTGGGAGAAAATAAACCTGGATTTATGTCGAGCTTCCAAATAGCATCGGAGCATTTTGACGTTCCTGCTGCTCTTCCTTCTCGTGAAGAAGAAAGAAACCCGCCGACCATGTAAATTGTTGAGCCGTCGATAGCCAAAGAGTGGCAGCGAACGTCTGGAGGCTGGAACTCGCGGATTTCGAGATCGTCTGGTTCTGATATATTCGCTTTCAACTAGGAAAATGGTTGACTGCGGGTGTAAGCAAGATAAATAAGCAAGCTTTGATAAGATCAAAAGCGCCAGTTTGGCCTTCCACTCAATAATCAGTGAGAAAACCGTGCATATTCACCTGTGTCCATTTTTTCTCCAACGTGTCAAAAACAAATATTCTTCTTGAGCTAAAAACCTCCGCGCTCGTCCCGCCACCGATCATGAAGATCCATCTCTCCATGTAAGTCACGCATTCTTGTCGATAGCGTCCGCTTGGAACGTCGTCTTCTTCGTTGAAAATTACAATATGATCGAAAACTCGCTCCCATTTCTTTTCCCCAAGATCGAAGCTGAAAATGATGATGAGGAGTTGAGTAAAAGAGGTCCATTTACCGATTAACACTGTTGAAAAACTGTTGCCCCGCCGTGCCGCCAATTATATACAACGAGTCTTTGACGATGACTAAGGAGTGGCCGTAGACGCCTTCGGGGATGAAGTCGTTTTCTTCGTTAAGATGATCGTCGAGTTTTGACCAGCGACTGAGCTCTGTGTCGTAAACATGCAGGTTCTTGCGGATTGTGGTTCCAAAGGGCAGTTTTGAGCCGCCATGGACGAAGATGTATTTACCCAGGAAACGGTTAAAGATGTTGCTCATTTTCTAACGTACAATCAACTGATCTGTAACCGTACCAGAAGAGCAGAGAGCATGAGAGGCCATTGTTTTCGGCGGCTCTCCTTCCACTTCCATTTTCTTCCAGTTTGACAGCATCGGGTCAAATCGCCACACTTCTTTGTCGACTATTTCCATCATTGGAACTCGTGGGCCTCGCGAGAGCGGGAGAAAATGAACGTAGCCCCCAATCAGCCACAAGTATCCATTTATGAAGCCTAAATTTTTTCCATTAAAACGAGACTTCTCAAAGTTCACTTACAGAGACGATGGCCAGATCTGGGATGAGGAGTGGGGTTTTCTTTGTATCTGAGTAGCCCAGCAATGTCTCCTTGAGCAAGAAAGGATTCTACCAACAATCTGTCGATATTTTCCATCTGAACATCTTAGGATTTTTAGACAAATCTAGTTGAAAATGAGATGAAAATGATGTGTTGATAAGAGGGCAGTGTAAGTTATTCAAAAATTATCCTAAGTGAGATTTATCAGTGTCTGTGATTGTTAACAGTTACTCTTCCATTCGTGGGACGGTGTTGCGGACTTTGGAGAACGCAGCGACGATGACCGCGAGCTGGATCTTCTCGGACGCGCCGATGTTCAATCGGTACTCGATGTCAGCAAGCGTCTTGAAATAGAAGAGTCAGTGCCTTTCCTTGTTCATAGAATGGTCTTACCGAAAGAAGCTCAGCTTTGGGAATTTCTGGCAAGTCTGCTTCGCAAACTTCTTCGTAAAGATCGGTCAAGACGTCGTTCAGCGCCAGTCCATTTTCGATCATCAATTCCTGAATAACCATTTAGAAAGAAAACGCTCTATTACAAAAGAGAACCTGAATATTTTCGATGCAATATTTGATGTCCTGATTGAGGAGCCATTCCATCAGCTTTCGGATGTCATTTCGATTCGGCCGGCCTGTAACTTTGTAAACGATATCTTCCGTAACTTTGTTGAACGCCAAATGCGAGGCTTGCAAGATATTCAAGCTTCTATCAGAACGGTTCGAGACTTGCGGCTTCGCATAGTTTTACAAAAAAGCCGCGCAAAGTAACGCTCTTATTTTGCTCCGGCTGAGACTCAAGCAGCTTCTCAATCTGCCTGAAAACTGAGTCAGTGTTAAGAGCAGCTTTACGGCCTTTCAGAACGCTGACTCAGGTTTCTACACAGGGCCTACGTTCGTGTCACAGGTTCTTGTCGCCTGAATTTACCCCAAACCGAAGAAAGGAGTCAAATAAAACCGTTTCCTTCGCATATCTCCCTCCGCCAATTTGAGCAGCAGTTCCATACCGGACTGGTCAATGTTGATTCCTTCTTCTTCTACGACGTGGTTGATTCTCGGCATCATCTGGTCCTTGCTCAGCGGCGCAAAGCGAAATCGAGTGCAGCGACTTTGAATCGCCGGAATCAACTTGCCCAAGTAATTGCAAATCAAGCTAAAAACGCGTTCAAAAGTGGACTTAAATTAGTTTTCTACCAGAATCGAACGTTTTTCGTGTATTTTTCCATCACTCGCCGAAGAGCAGCTTGAGCATCGCGGGTCATTGCGTCGCATTCATCAAGAATAATCACTAAAATCGCAAATATGAGTAAAATTGCTAAAAATAAGCTCAAGCACTACATAGAGGCTCGTAATCCTTGTTTGATATATATCATTGGATTAAAAAATCGCGGGGTTACTTGATTATTGTCGAGAAAATCGCGCTTGCTTTCGGCTTTGGAAAACGTGACTTTAAATTTCCGTAGAAACGCGATAAGTCTTACCTTTGAAGCCTTTGCAGTGAAGAGAAGCAGTCGAGGCAAAGTTCAAAATCTCGCTTCTGACGACTCCGATTCCTCGATCGTCCGACGCGTTCAGTTCCAAAACCATTTTCTTGAAATTCTTGACGCCGTAGAGTTGCTTCGCCACTGCTAGAATTGTGCTTGTCTTTCCCGTGCCGGGAGGGCCGTAGAAAAGAAGATGGGGAAGCTGCTGGTTGTCTGAAAAATGACTTTAAAGAGGATGAAATGAAGATGAAAACTAGGGTCGGACCCCTTACTAAGGTTTCCTTAGTTACTAAGGGTAAGGGTTTTGATTTTGATGAAAATCAGGAAATGCCTAAGGAAGGACTAAGGGCCATCCTTACTAAGGCCTTAGTAACCTTAGTAAGGAATTGATAAGGTACGATTTGCAAAAATGTTCTTATTGATGAAAATAGCAGTCAGTAAGTTGGCAAGAGACATTTTTCTTAAATTCCTTCACAACTCGTCCTTAATTTCTTTCCTTACTAAGGCTTTTGAAAAGGTTTTTTGATAAAAGCGTTCTCCAAATGCGTAGGCCGTCGAAAAAATCCTTTTAAAAATCCTTAGTAAGGAAAGGAATTAAGGAAAAATCGCTAAGGATTGAAGATCCTTACTAAGGATCTCTGAAAACTAATAAAGGAAGTATGGTAAGGATTTTTTTCCGCCGAAATCCGAAAAAGGGTAAGGAAAAAATCCTTACCTTACTAAGGAAAGGACCCTTAGTAAGCAAAAAATTAAGGAAGGAAGTCCGACCCTAGGATGAAAAGTGCTAGCTTCTTTATACAGTAGATACTGTATCCCATTTAAATGTCGAAGGTAGAAAACTCACCGATGAACTTCTGAATTGTAGAAATAATTTCCTGGTGTGAAATCAAATCATCCAGCTTGTTGGGTCGATATTTCTCCACCCACGGAAGTCCGATAATCTTCGCGCTCATTTTTCTCTCTTTCTCACTCTGAATAATTAAAATACTAACATCATGTCTTTTCACTAACAGGTTTTTAACGTTTTTGAATACTTTCCACTCAACATTTTTCATTTCTCTCTTTTGGAGAGTAATGTAGAGTGTCTGTAGTATGTTAAATAAGCTTTTGGTGTCATTTGCACCATTGGTGGTGGAGATATGACGTCATCAATCTTGAGGTCTCTTTTCATAATGCATTTTGATGACGTCATTACTCCACCACCAGAATAGCTATCTACACCAAACCTATTCAAATCACGTAACTAACCTCTGAGCTACATCCTGCAAGTTACAGAACTTAAATATCTCAACCCAGTCAAAAGTTACAAGAGTCCTGCATCAGTATAAAAAAAAACCTGTTACTACAGTATTCCATCTTCCAGTAAATATGCTTTCTTTTCTCTTTTTTTGTCTTTTGAGCTTCAGTCGTAAATTCTCGAAAATGGGAAATTAACATCAGCGCGCGCTCTGATTGGCTCGCTCGTGCATTCAAGAAATTCCTTTGCTCGAGAATTCGGGCTCACTCGCCCCAAGAAAAATGATTTTGCTCCTATTGATGGTGAACATTTGATAGTTCCGTCTATTCCAATTTATTTCTCAGTATCAATGAATGTTTCAGTTTTTCAGTACATAATAATTTTCAACAGTTACTGTAAGGACGGGATTTAATTTAGAGTAGAGTCGACTTCCCAATAGTTGTATGATTTCAATCATTGATTTGCCATCTGGTCCTGGTACTTTCGGGGCTGGTGAGCCTTTTCTGGGTTGTTTTTCTGATTTGATACGGTATCATTGATCGGTCAACGATTCGAGTACATCGTAGGAGTTCTCATTTTCGTCAGTGTCATCTTCGTCGGTGTCATCGATGACGATCACCGGTGTTTTCTTTGCGGGAGGCTCTGAAGACTCTGTAGCTTTTGCGCCTTTTCTGGGTTGTTTTTCTGATACGGTATCAATCATACTTTTTTTATCTATCATTCGAATACAACCCAAACTTCGTTGGATTCATCCTCTTCGTCATCGATCACGATCACCAGGTCCTCTGTTTTCTTTGCGGGAGGCGCTGATGACTCTGAAGCTTCGAAACTTGTGGCCTTGGTTGGTAAATGATGATCCAATGAGTAGTACTCATCGGAAAGTTCTGCCATTGTTTTGTTGTAGTCGTTCAATCGTTTCTTTGTTTGGCTCAACCTTTTCCCCTATTCCCATTACTAAAAGTAGTTAACCCTCGAGCCATTCCTTAGCTTTATCTCGTTGTTCTTTGATGGCTTCTATCTTCTTTTGATTGTCGGTATCAAAAACTTCTTTTTCCCTTTTGGCTTTCAGTTCATCATCAAACAATTTGACGAGAAACTCATTCTCTTCGCGCATCTTCGCTTTCAGCACCAGCAGAGTGTCGATTATTCTTATGATTGTATCAGCGTTGGCCAAGAGTTTCTCCATTTTCAAAGCTAGCTCTTTCGACTCTTGCTCAGCCATTGCTCCCTTTTTTTTGGAATACGAAAAACAGACAAGGAGATTCCTTTTTATAGCCACATCTGATCATTCCGAAAGATTCTTCTCCGCTCAGGAGATTGACTGATTTTTGGGGATGCTGCGCGAAAAAGCATGAAAACAGAGTCGTGGATTGAATTACGAAACAAAGCATTTGTGCATCAATTGTCAAAAAGGAGATTGTTGATGGACCAATGAGGGTTTGTTTTGCAATTGGATGGACGACTCCATTTTCTTGTTGACGGTCAGTAATAATGACTTCTAGTCAAAATTGCTTCCTGCAACAAGGTCATTTTAATTCGATGTATTACATCGTGTTTTATTGTTGGTACGCTTCTGTTCAGCTTATTCCATCAATTCTTTCAAAGAAGTATTTTTCATTTGTTTTTTTTTCAAAAATATTATTTTATTAAAATATTATATTTTCAAAAAATATTAAATATTGGTAAGTTCGGGCGAAATCGTGAAAAGCTGCAAAGCTGCTGTTTTTGGTAAATATGAAAATGTTTAGCTTTAGCGGTCGTGTTCTTGGTGACACTGACCGCAGAAAGTCCTAAGGACGGAAAACTTGTAAAATGAACGGTGCAGAATCGCACGATGAATATTTTTGTTATTTGGGTATTTTTGAGCTTTCTTGATATTGTCTCAATTTGGGTCAGATTGACCTCTAAGTGCTCTCTTTTGGACTCAGGAACCTGTGTAGAGTCCTGAGTCAGGGTGCTGAAAAGCTGATATTTCGGCAAAGCAACGGTAGCACTCTACGGCGTAGAGTCTACGCGGCTTTGTTTTTGAAAAAGCCACTATGCGGCTTTATACAGTGAAAACTCAAAAATTGGCCGGTTTTCAGATCCAAATTTCCGAAAAAAGCGGCCAAATTTTGAGTTTTTTGCCGGGTAGCCAAGCTTCCTCTTCAAAAAAGCAAAGTTTCGAAATTTTCGAATATGGGCATGATTTTCACGTTTTTGATGAATTTTATTCAATTTTTTTGCTTGTTCTAAGTCATTTTTATCAAAATAAAGTTATTCTAGATGATTTAAACGCTTCAAAATAGCTAAAAATGGTCAGAAATACCATAATTTGGGTCTATTTTGATGCAAATTTTTTTATTTTTGAAAAAGCGGCCAATTTTTGAGTCTTTTTGAGATTCAAAATTCAGCCAATTTCGATCAAAACCGGCCAAATTTCGAGTAGGCAAATTTTGAGTTTTCACTGTATTAAAACTCTTTCAGCCTTGTTTCAGGGCCTTGAGTCAGGTTTCAACACAGATATCTTGGCCTAACAGCATACGTCAGCAATTCCTGATAGAAAGTGCCTGGTAGACAAGACCACGAAGCATCAGCTTTTGACTGAGAAATGAGATAAGCGGACAGGTGAATAAGACTTGTACGAGAGTGAATTCAGCATCTCGTCAGCGATTGGCACAAGCGTACTTGCGTCTTGCTCATCATAAAAACTGCAAAAGTTTCGTAAAACATCGAGTGACGATTGGCACACTTGATAGCGCGCATGCGCCTATCACGCGCCACCACCGCCAGAAATGGTGCTCTCGGAAACAGTATTTAAGCGCGACTCCGATAAGAAATCTTCACTTGAAATAAATCAAGCAACCAAATCTAAAGAAGTCTTCTTCACAAACCGATAAGGTAAGGGATCAAGAAAACGAAGAGAAGAGAAATCGAGAGATATCCTAAGAGCTAAAGAGTAACGCTCATTTACGGCAAACACGATAAGAGAGGCTTAAAAGATAAGAAACGTAAAGCTCTCTAGAGGTTTATTCTTTGTCAAGAACTCGAGAATTTTCACAGCAGACACTCTAGTTATCTACAATTAAAAAAACCTTCTTTTGAAGCCTTAATTGTTCAATTAATAGCTATTTCTCATGCCTTATTTAGACCATGAAGCTTTTCTCCGTCTTCACCTTCGCCGTCGTCTCCGCCTACCCCACCAACGATACCCAGACCGAGCAAGTCTCCGACCAAGTTCCCCAGGTCACGAACCAGGTTCCTCAGGTCTCCGACCAAGTCGCTCAGGAAACCAACCAGACCGCTCAGGTTTCCGACCAATACGCCCAGGTGTCCAACCAGCTCCCACAAGTCTCTGACCAGCTTCCTCAGGTCTCCGACCAGGTCGCTCAGGAAACCAACCAGACTGCTCAGGTCTCCAACCAACTCCCACAAGTCTCCGACCAGGTCCCACAAGTCTCTGACCAATACCCCCAGGACGACACTCAAGTTCCACAAAACTCCACTCAAATCGAGCAGATCTCCAACCAGTTCCCACAAACTTCCGACCAGGTCCCCCAAGTCTCCGATCAACTCCCCAAGACGACAACCAAGTTCCCCAGAACTCCACTCAAATTGAACAAATCTCCAACCAGGCTCCACAAGTCTCCGACCAAGTCCCCCAGGGATATTAAAAATCCTTCTTCAAAAAATCTGAAATTTGACAGCTCTGTCCCCAAAGAAATGATAATTTACTTTCACGTTCTGTACACGAGTTCTCAAGTCAGCAACAATAAACAACAAAATAATCTTTCCATAATTTCGTCTCTCTCTGTTTTTATTCAAAACTAAGCAGAATCGGACAGATATTATTGTTGACATCATTCGCAATTCGACTCAAAATAGCACGCTAATGATTATTTTCCCCAAAGCAGGCTTCGTAAAGAATTATTCTTAAGGGTGTCAACAACTCAATTTTGCAGCCGTTGCTCTTTTCCTTCCTCGAGGGAGCCCATTTTGCAGCGTTTTTAATAATAAATCGTTACGGTTTTAATTGCACTCTATCTGTCAACCGCGCTCATTTGCCATTCCAATAGCATTCGCATAAAATTAACGATGCAAAATCAGTCCTGAAAGATATGCGGTTACCGAAGTAACCCCACTTGCGGAGACGAATTCGAATAATTATTAATAACCTTAAGATTTAAATACTTTTTCTGAAAGGAGAAGAACAAGGAAAGTTGAGAATCGAATCGGAAAAGATATGAAAACGATATGGGTGGTCTTTATTGCTTCGATGACGGGATTTGCTGATGCGAAAATTACGAGAGAGGCAATTGATAATTGCGATGACTTAGGTGACCTAGAGACATTGAAGGCATTTTCTCATCATTTTTCAGGGGGTGCTTCACCTCCTTAAGATGGGCTCGGCAACCTGTGTAGAAAACCTGAGTCAGGGTTGGAAAGAGCTGATATGAAAATCCGCGCAGCTAGAATTCGCTAGAAATTTTTCTAGATTGTAAGGTACCATAGGTAGTATTCGCGAAGCCGCTTTGCGGCTTCGTTTTTAAAAAAACCGCTGCGCGGCTTTTCATCTCAGCTATTCGAGACCCTGACTCAGGTTTTCTCCACAGGTTGCCGAGCACAGTCTTTTAGGGTGTCCACGGCCTGTCGAGTGAAGAGACTATTCAGAATAGTAGTGGACTTTTTACTAGTAACCCTAGAAGCGCTTGAATATTGCATATTTTTTAATATCATTTTCAGAATGCTTGAGCAATTTGATGACAGAATCTTTTGGCATGCAAAAAGCACCAAATTGTAAGTATCAGTTGAATAAATTAATCTACCGAAATTTCAAGCTGACGCTGGCTTCTTATCAACATGGATGTGGTACGATCAAATTCGAAAAGAACTGGCCCGCCAAGTCCTGACGAAGAAAAAACGAGGCGTTGGCAATCTTTATGCAAGTTTAAAAAATATTCCTCATTTTGAAAACCGCAATTAATTTGGATATTTTAAACTTGGAAACAAGCAAATGATGAAGACTGCGAACTTTGTCTGATGAACAAAGCCTCATTTCTGCTCCTACTTCCGCAAAATTTCTTTTAATTCTTTCTTTTCCGATGCAATAATAAAAAAAATATCTTGCAGCAAATCCGTTTATTAATCATTTTTTACGGGTAGTTAGTAGTTGACAACATTTAAAGTCGGAAGCTTCGTTTTCTGAGGAGGAAGTTGCTCATTGATCCAGTGTCGTCATCGTAAGGGGATGACATGTAGTTTTTGTAGTTCTAAAATTCGATGTTTTCTAGGTTGGGAAATTTCTAGAGCTGAAATGATTGTCGAAAAATTGAATAGACAAAAATGATCAGGAAAAAAGGTGAGATTGGCTAGGGTTAAGGCTGTGACGCCCTTATCTAGGTCTAGGAGACCTTTTTTGGATCGCCGTTGACGCCCTAGAATCTTGCGGCTAGATTCAGGAGCCCTAGAATTCTTACCTCAGTGAGATCTCGCTGCTGGAATCGAGATTCGGGAAGAAAACTCGCGGAAACGGAAAGAATAAGTGACTAAAATCGGGTCAAAATTAAGGATACCGCGAGTATCAAGATTCTACTAAAGCAATTTTTCGTTCAGAATAAGAAAAGGACTTAATTTTGACCCTGTTCACAAAAATCCAAGAATCATCTTTTTGAAAAAGGTTCTTTTTTTTTGTTCTTGATCTAAAAAGACAAGTGAGTTTTTTTAATGATTTGTATCCACAGCTCCCCTTCTTTTATACTCAGCGCTCAAAGGCGCTAGCCATATGATTTAATTAATTGAATGACGGGGATAAGAAAGAGCCGCGTTTAAAAATGCATCGTTGAGGTTGCAAGATAATTGTTGTCTAAAAATCCCAATAGTACCTTGACGGGTGCCAATGACGAAAATCTTTAATAAATGCTTTTGTTTTTACTTTTGCCACTTACATGTCTACTGCTCAGTTCAATCCGGTACTTGTTGCTGCAAACTGTTGCTGCATCGGAGAATAAGGGAATGAAAAGGTTAAGACTCGTATGGATACAGATAGCTCCGACACTGACCCCAATTCCATGAAAGAACAAAGCAAGTCTACCTCGTCCGGAAAATGATCGTTTCAGGCAGAGTTCCGGAGCAGGGCAAACTGGCCAAAAAACTGGGTCAGATTTTTGTTAGAACAAAGGCCTACTTATAGTAAATAGCAACTAATAGTAGTTTTGGCAAATCAAGGTGAAAATAGAAAAAAAAACACCATTACCGCAGTTATAACGAACGAACGACGGATACATTTTCATTTTATAATGCACTATCTTCCGTAGATTTTTATCTAAGAGCACTCAGGAAAGCGCCTTGCTGAACCTTTTGGCTGAAGATTCTCCCTGAAAATTTAATTATTTTAACGTCTGTGTTAAAATCAAAGCTTCTTCTTCATCCTACCAGCTTGGCAGGTTTCTCGCGAGTTCGCTTTTTTGCGACGCGAAATCGCTTCGCACTGGAGAGACAATTGCATGCAATTTGATATTCCAGATTGTAATGGAATCAAGTTAACCGTTAATCAAAACGATTATCCAACATGCAAAGACGAAAGCTTCGATATGTCATCGTCGATTTCAAAGTGCATTGCTCATCCTTGTTTAAACCAAAACCAGTGAACCAGATATTTACACTGTATTTCTGTCGACTTGTAAAAAGAGCAACCTAGAAAGCCGCTAAACATCATGTTTTGGATCAATTTTGCGTCAAGATCACAGAACAGGCGAACTTCCAGAATTTAATTAATCACCTTGATTAAAGTCTGCATCAAGCATATTTTTCCAGATTCAGCAACTTTTGTGTTTTTTTAATGATTTTATGTACAAAAGAGCCCTAAACTGGGACCTACGAAATCTTCTCAATGAACTTCTTCTTGTACGAACCAAATGCTAGATAATCAACTTGCCAATAAAGCTAACGTCAATTAGCTATTGAATAACTGCTTCCTTCAGTCAATCAGAAAACCGGTAAAATAAAGAAGTGTCATTCAATTACATCATCGAGGAGATCCACTGACATTTCTCTGATATGTCCACTCAAAATTTAGTCAAAAAATGCATGCATTACATTTTAATAAGGGTAAGTTTAGACAGAGTTCTTTGAGTTCATCTTCAACTGGGATGATCAGGTGGTTTATTTTTTCATCCAGTAGGGTTTGCTCAATTTAGTCATAAAAGCTTCATCAGGAATCACTCCTCGTCCGCCGTCAATTGTCAAGATTTGCCCAGTAATGCTCTTCGCCTCATCTGAAGCGAGAAAAACAGCCGTGGCAGCGAAGTCTTCTACGTCAATGATTCCGCCGCCGACAGGAGCAGCATTTCGAACGCACTGCTGCATTTCCAAATTGCCCACTTCTTCGTCAAAGTAGATGTTTTCCGTCATTCCTGTTCGGATCACACCTTTTTGAAAAGTGCGTTAAAAGCAAATAATTGGAAAAAACGAACCTGGAGCAATCGCATTTGCCCGAACTCCCGAATGCCTAAATCCATGAGCTGCTGTGTACTTCGTAAAATGAGCCAGTCCTCCTTTCAAGGTCCCGTACATCGTCAAAAGGAGAGGAAAGGTTGTTGTCCCAGATGCGGAAGAAGTATTCACCACTGCGCCTTGTGTTTTTGACAGGAATGGCATCGCCGCTGAACTTTTTGTAAGTAATAAAAGCGAGAAAAGATAACCTTGTGTGAGAAATATAGGCGCTTTGAGATGGATGGCGGTGAGCTGATCGAATGTATCAGGGTCCAGTTCGCCGATTTTTCCCGCTCCGATGACTCCGGCGTTGTTGAAAAGTGCATTTAGTTGACCATGCTCTTAAGAATATTAATATTAAAAAAGAGAAACTACTTTGCTGCTAAAGTTTACCTTTGATGACATTTTCCATGAGCTGTTCAAATTGGGAAACATCCGACAAGTCGATATCATGAGCAGAGACCTGCATATTCTTCTTCTTCAAATACTCGAATTCTTCCGCCAAGGAGTCTGTATTCAGATCGACCAGGGCAACAGCACAGCCTTCGTTTGCTAGTTTTCTGCTGATCGCTCGTCCGACTCCACTGGCAGCACCTGTAACTAGCGCGACTTTATTCACGAAACGGGACATTCTCTCTAGGTACTTTCTCGTTCCCTGCGTTTTTCAATGGATTCTTTCTTGTTTGAATTTTGCGTTTCGAAATGACTCATTCAACCAATACAAGCATGCATCTATTGCCGATATATTTGCACCAAGGAGCGGCGCTGTCAGCTGACTCCTTGGCGCAACGGTAGCGCGTCTGACTCCAGATCAGAAGGTTGCGTGTTCGAATCACGTAGGGGTCAAACTTTTTGAAATCTTATTCAGCAGATTTTTCAAATTTTCGACGGAGATCTCGGACAGAGACGCGCGATGAAATGTCTGAAAGCGAATGACTAGCGGGTCGATTACAGTCGGTGAAGGAGGAGAGCAGGGTGAGCTCGGAGTTGAGCGGAGTTTGGTCTTCTTCATAGTAGTCGTTGTCGGGCATGATTTCTAGAGGACGGATTTGTGGATTTATTTGATTGATTATCTTACCTTTCTTCTTGGAAGGTCGAAGATAGGAGCCAGGAACGGATAAGGAACGAATTGGCTTGGCTGTCTTTGGCACGACGAATTTAGTAGGACTGAAGTTTGAGAGAAGCTTAAACGGCTACCTCAATAAGGAATACCTGGGAGTTCTATACGGCTCAAGCTGTTTCTTATTTTCTTTTGCATCAACTGGCTCTTGGGCCAACTGCTTGTCGAGGTTTTCATTCAATTTTTGTAGCCTCAAATGACCGTTTTGTCAATCATTTCTCGATAAAGAACAAACCTGTTATTGAGATTTTCAGCGAGAACAGTGCAGTTGGATAGTTTTTCTGTAAGATCTTCATCGGCTGTTCCTCGACTAAGCAGCATTTCATAAAGCTCATCATCTTCTATTTCCACGCTAGAATTCCACTCAAAAAAGTTTCGAAAAGAAGAAAAACTTACTGAAGTGCTTCTTTTGAGGAATGTGTTGTGGTTCACGAAAAAAGCCGATCCTGATTCTATCTTGTTTTCATGTTTTTCTCGCGCAACGTATTTATGCGGAGCGCGCTGCCACTTTTACACACTTCGTTCTCGCTCGCTTCTCGGAGCACTACAAAATATACCAGTTTTCTCTACGCAAGAACCGTGTTCAGTTTTTGCAGCTTATTCGAGAGCCAACATAAATGGTACCAGGACTACTAGAACCCTCGCCCTTCATCTAAAAAACTTCGATTTTTTATTGTTGGAATCTCGTCTACTCTTCGCTGGTAGAGAACGAACGTCACCTGGCCACCTCTGGACATCCCCGCCGTTGTTTCCTTGCGCTCAACGTTGGCTACGACAACAACCTCTCTCTCGCTGGTTTACTGTTAGCTGGCGCATGAATCAAACCGCGTACGCGCGTCACTCTTTACTCGTGTCGAGTTTTCGGCACATAAAGAGTGCCCTAAAAAGGTAGTTCAACCGTCTGAGCCACTTACCTCGATTTTCTCGTGCTCAACGCCGTCAACGTCAGTTTCAACGCGTTCGACCTCCCCTCAACTCCTTTCTCCGTTGACACATGGAAATCTCCCGCCAAAACCTCACATCTCAAACGGCACTCTGCATCAAAATCGCCAACGTCGATCTCACGAGCGATCTTCTCTCAATCTTCGAGTCCTGGCCACATCGCCACTCAAGTTCAACTTAAATCTCGCGAGAGATCTTCCCGCCATCTTCAACTTAACAGTTTGACCTCCGCTCAACTCTACTGACATGATTTTGATCGCCGAAACTACAAAAAAAATTTTAATCTCTTCACCTCTTCACCAATTCATATAAATACTAACAACTACAAATACTACTCCTCTCTTCTCAACTCAACTCTCTGCTCGTCCTCAGCTCGGGGGGTACGATGCATCCTTCGCTCGCTTCTCCTGTCTCTCATCTCTACCCTGCGCTCGACTCAAGACGCACGAAACTCAGCTGATCGACTTCGCAGACTCTCAACTACAACTCCGACAATTACTACGTCAACTACTTTGACAACTACAATCTCAACTTCTAAGCCCAGTTTTCGTCCTGGCACACCTCTCTCTTCCAAGCCCAGCACTCGCCCTGGCAACCTCCTCAACCTCAATCAACTCTCACCAAGCCCAGCTCAAGCCCTGGCACTACTACTCAAATCTACCAAGACCAGCCCTACTCCTGGCAATCCTCACCGCTCTTCAAACCCAGCTCTAGCCCTGGTACTACTTGCCTCTACATCTACAAGCCCAGCTACTGCCCTGGCAATCCTGACTTCTCTCAATCTCGCCGCTACCTGGCTTCTCTCTACAACTCCAAATCCAGCTCTCGCCCTGGTAAATCTACACTTACAACTTATCTCTAGTTCTCTTCTTCTACAATTTCACCCTGATCGCCTGCTTCTTCTCTTCCGAATCACCGTGCTCGTGCTCAAAACCTGCGCAGCGCGCCCAGTCAACTCTACTCATCACCCTAGAATCATCATCGTCTGGGGGGCTGTTGTGGTTCACGAAAAAAGCCGATCCTGATTCTATCTTGTTTTCATGTTTTTCTCGCGCAACGTATTTATGCGGAGCGCGCTGCCACTTTTACACACTTCGTTCTCGCTCGCTTCTCGGAGCACTACAAATATACCAGTACTTTTTCCTACGCAAGACCGTGTTCAGTTTTTGCAGCTTATTCGAGAGCCAACAAATGCTTCACGAGAACTTTCAAAAACGGTTTCGCCGAAAGGGTGTTTTTGATAATTTCAGCATCTTCCCTTCTTTTCTTTTTAATTTTTCGTTTCTTTGGCTTCTTTGATTGACTTTCCGGCCTTAAGAATCGAAAGGAGGATTCCTCGGAGCTCGAGAATCCGTCAATTTGAGCATCATTCATTCTTGATGGTGACTTTTCGTCTTCAATTTTGAGAAAATTTCGAAGGGTTTCGATGTTTCGGCGACTTAAGGGTCTACCAAGCTTGAATTCGAAAATTATAGCAAGCAATCTTGGTCGGAATGAAACTTGATTTTTTTCGCTTGGTACACCCTTAAGGATCTCCGTTCTTTTACCGACGACTTTCTGTAAGTCGTTTCAATAGAAGTAGGATCGCTTTCGATCGTCAAATCTGTTTCTGTATTTGTCGAGCTGTTTTCAACCGAATTCATCGGTTTCAGCCTAACCGGCTGTTCCTGGACATACTCGTCGATTTTTTTCAAGGTCTCGGATCGAAGAAAATCTGAAAAGTAAGTTTGCTGAAATCAAGGAAGAAAATACCTTCAAATATATTGTCAAAGAGTTTTTCCGTCATGTTGTCGATGAGAGGCGATGATTTTTGTCGTCGAGTCGGTTTTCGACGAAGACTTTCAATTTTGATATCAGACTTTTCGAAGGCTTTTCTTTCTTTCAGACTGCTATCCTTTTTATTGAGGAAAAACCCGTTCATATACAACTTCTAAATCGTCGTATATCTCCGCATTTTCTTCGATGTAGAATTCAGCCCACACAGGTTCAGCCTTTTCAACTTCTTCTATTTCCGCCTTTTCAACCCTTAAAATCAACTGAAAAAGATCATTTCCTCGCAGAAACTAACCGAACTTTCGACATGACCTCCATCCAGCCAACAGACTCAGGAACTCCTTTACTTGAGACGATACTTTTTGAAGACGATCTTCTTTTGCTTCTATCTCTCATAGGTTTGGGGAATTTAAAGCAATCAAATAAATTTGCTTCATCAGGGTTTTTGTCGCCTTTCATTTCCGCTCGAATTATGACTCAAGATTTTTCATCCTTTTTCGACGGAAAAATATTTATGCTTCGGTACATACCAAAACTTCGTATTCTGCATATAATCCTACAAAGAAGCTAGATCACTTGACCTTGAGAAGACACGTGACATATGATTCAATATCATCCATTTATGCATTCCCAAGGGGCTTTGTCATATGCATTCTGCACTTTACATCAACCGTATCATACCGATCAGAACGGAGAGAAAAAATAATGTGTTTCAAATGTTCTTCACTGGGAAAGTGCTTTTGTGGACTCATTGGATTTTGTATTGGAGTTTCCCTCTACAGTTTATTAATGGCTGGTATTATCGATGATATTCTTTGCTTTTTCCTCGGGAGGTCATATTGCCACAGCCCTTGTATGATGAATTATCAATAATAACTTTTTTATTTTAGTTTCAGTTGCTTTTGTATACTTGTTTCCTGTCGTTGGAATATTATCGATTATTTTTGGCTGCATTAGTGGTTGGTTTTTCGCAAGAATTTCAACTTGCTACTGCGAAAGATTAAAAGAAAAACTCTTGGAACTGCCAGGTAAGGTTCAAAGTCAGTAAAAATCATAAATTATTAATGCAATTACTCAACCTTTTTCACAGATGAAAACGCCCAAGAGCCGAATGAAATTTTGTCAGCTCAGATCGAAGACAATCGAAACAGTCCGGACTCAATTCCAACTTACGAACAGGCCTCTTTTCATGGAGAAAACATAACTTTCATCAAGGAGAAACCAGATTTGAATGACTTTCTTCCTTCTTATTCACAACTTGATTCTTTCGAATCAATTATTTAATAAAAAATAAAAAAAAAATCGAACGAAACATATTTTGATTTTTTTTTATTTGTGTGTTACTTTTAGTAGTTTGAATCGTTTGTGTACAGAAAAGTCTACAGACAGCCTCTTTGACAAAATGAGAAAATTGATAGATTTAATTTTAATTTGATTCTTTTTCTTTTTCGCTAATCTTCTGAATTTTCTTCAGTTTCTACCTTTTTACTGGGCGTTAAATTTTTGGAAGAAGTGGATTGCTCTTGATTTGCAGCTTTTGAGCGGGGCGAGAAGATGCCCGAGTCGGTGTCGGTGCCAATCGTGTCGGTGATGTGGCACTCTTCTAGCGACGTATCGAGGGAGGAGATGATCGACGACTGGCAGGATGAGGTCCCAGAGCGCCTAAACAATGCTTGAGATAAATGAGGGCTAGTTCGCTCCTTATTTTGTAAAAAATAACTCAAAATGCAATTTTCTATCAAAAGAACTCAAGAAAAAATGGTGGAATGAGAGATTGAATTCTTGAAACAGAAAATTTTTTGTAAAAAATTTCAATGCAAGCACAAATATACTCCATTTTAGTCAGTAAACTAGAAACTCTTCGCTTTCTTCATCCTCAAAACTGGAATAAAATTGTCAATCAGAATCATAAATCGGAGGTTTTTCGTTAGGCACCCCCTTAAAATAACGAACCTAACTCTAACTCTAACCCTAACCCTAACCCTGACCTTGACCCCCTAAGGGGCCTCCAAGGGGACCCTCTTTGGGCCCGAGTCCCCTTATCATGAACCCTTTCTGAGACTGAAATGAATGTGAACTTTCTTACCTGTCATGGTTAACGTGGTACAAATTGCGCCTGAGCTTGGGACCAAGTAACGCCACTCGCATCTGGGAAAGGTCATTTTCTGAAAATCCAGCGACCGCGTTTTTCGCTGATTCTTCGTTTTCAAATTCTACAATCGCGCAGATTTCTTTCCCGAGTTCTGGAACTTGTGTCGCGTATCCCTGAACAATTCGGTTTATTCTAGAGTTCGCTGGCAAGCTTTAAAAAATAAGATTTCTAGGCTAAAGCTGACAAAATGCAGTAGCAGTTGAATTCTGGCCGACAAGCGCCTGTCAAACAAGTCGACTCACGTGAAGGTAAACTGGCAATTTTCGATCGGGCGGGACGATTCGCATTTGCTGAATTCTCCCAAACTCTTTGAACAGCGACGAGAGTCGTTCTATTTCGGCGTCTTCTTCCGCCACATTGATGGCCAGCACACTCGTGATCGATCTTTTTGCTTTCAGCGTTTCCGGAAGCGGTTCTTTTCGACGCACCTGAATTTTGAAAATTTAAGACTTGATAAGAAAAGGACTTTACCTTGGTGGAGCATTCAGAAACTTCGAAAATTTCGCTTTCTCGCAGAGCATTGATCAAGATCTAAAATCTGTTAATGATTACTTTCCTTATCTTTTCTATCAGACATTCTAGCGGGGTGGCGACAGTAACCGACAAAAAAATTTCGAAAAATTTTGCGTGGGCGGCTTCTCGGCTGCTCTTGGCCAGACTGGCCAAGTAAGTACTGTAAGCAAAATCAGGGCTTCTGATTGGTCGAAAATTTCCACGTAAAAATTGTCGACTTTTTTGTCGGTTTCAGATACCTCCCCATTCTAGCGTTGATCTTTGATAATATTTCTTACCTGAAGTGACCTAGTTATCTTTCTTATTTTCTTTAGGCTTGCGATAAGCTTGATCGAGATGTAGCCAGCTGTCGTTCTTGCAATTTGTTTGACAAGGTATGGTTCCTAAAAATAAGCAATTTATCCTCGAAAAATCAAACGAAATGACAGAAAGCTTGAAAAATTTTCGGTTGCCAAATTTTCAATAGAGAGCTGAAGCACTAAAAGTCGTTCGAGACACATGTGAGATGTGATGTTCTTGAGAAAATGAAAATCTGTGGATTTGAAAGTCAGCGGCAATGCGCTTGCGGTGTCCCTTACCCTGGATAAGCCGGCGTTCGAAAAAGTCGCCTCGCAAAGTTTACGCACGCTCTCCGTCAGCTTCTTTGTACACAGCAGACCGCCGTTGCTTGAACTTCAAAAAACAACAGTCAGCAAGTGTTTATTTCAGCAAGCCTGTTTCAAACCTTGAACATTCAGAATTTGCTTCTGAAGTTGAATCTGTCGGTGTCGGGACAAACTGGCTCATTGGATAAGGTTGATGAGGATAGTAAGGTGGTGGGACGGGAAAGCCTTTTTGAGCGTCAAAAAATACGAAAAATAAGGGTATCCACTCAACTAAAAATAATACAAGAGAATCTGCCAAATTAATATATATTTTTTATAAATTTTATTAAATTTCCATAAAAAAGATTTTAATCAAAATAAAATAAAAAAAACAACGCATTTTTTAAACCAAAAAATAAAAAACAAACTGGAGACATGTCATTTTGACATTTTCCTTGAGGTGGTGGAGGAGGTCCTTGAGTATAAATCGTATATCCGCCATCGTAAGGGTATCCATAATAATATGACATTCAAAAGAAAAGGATCGTCTTTCTTTCTTCAAAGTTCTCTTTAGTATGTAGGGCAATCTTCTTGTTTCTGATGCTTGTTTCTTGCAGCTTCGTTATCTCTCTTTTTCGTTTTTGTTGCGATAAAGGGTTTAAAAAAGTCTGTTTGGCCGAACGTCGAGAGTTGTTGTTCTTTGTTCCGCCGCGGCGAGTAGTGGCCTTTTTGTCTCCTTCTCCCCGTGACAGGACGTTCGGATTCTAGGAATCTCAGAAATTGCTCCAAGGCAAGTTCACGCAATATAAGAACCCTGAAATCAATCAAGTGTAAGTTTCGTACAGTTTTGAAATATGATTTATTGCGTTATCAGAAGAGGCTCAAAATAAATTCGGATTTATGATGCACAAAGTCAAAAACCAAGTTCAACCACGATTGAACCACACGGTGAACCATGCGGTTCGTTCCGGTTAACTCTATAAAAACCCCAAAATCACTCAATATGGATATCAATCGACTTGAAATTAAAAACATAATCAACTAACCGATGAACCGCGGTCGAACCGGGCAGTTAAACAGGCGGTTTTACCGCGGTTCATGTTTAAAATTATTTAAAAGTTAATTTCCAGTCGATTGATATGCAAATTGAATGGTTTTTGGGATTTTCTAGAGTTAACCGGGTCGAATTTAAGATTGTTTCAGTACAGTACAGTTCTTACCGATTTCAACTTTCGCCGTGAACTATTCTCTTGTTGATTCTAGAGAGTGTTATTGTCGTTTTTTCTTAAAGTTTTTGTTTTTCTTTGGCCGTGATCTGAAGGGCGCGCCTGAGCCCGGTCTGGTGGTGGTGGCAGCGTTTCCGCCCGTCGCCTTTTCTGTCCGATACACACGGTCTCGGCGCACCTCGAAGCGAATTTGTTCAATCAGCCCAATTTCTCGGGCATAATTGCCGGAACAAATTTAACACACGAAACCTCCTCTTATCACCGCTATTTTCCTCCGTTCAGCTCACATTTTATCACATTTTCTCATTCATCTCATTTTGGTCAAATTATTTTTTCTGAACTTTTTGTTATAAAACTAAGACTAAAGATTAATATCGTTAAAATTTTAGCTAAAATTTTCATTATTTTTTTAATATTTTAATAATTTTTTTTAATTATTTAAATCTTAATATGTTTTTTTTGAATAATTATTTTTTTAGTATAATCTTTTCAGCAATTATTTTTTTTAATAATTATTTTTTTTCAAAATAAAATATTTATGGACTGATTTGAAGTTGAACCCTAACTCTAACCCTAGGTCAAACCCTAGCAAAAATTATTGACCATTCGCATCAACCTCCAACCTAAACCTAAGAATACTCGAAATTCTCGGAAAAGAAAACGGATAAAAAAACCCCTGTTTCAACTAATTATTGAGTCAGCAGTGCCTAAAAGTCGGATAAGCGTGAAAATGTGTGTGCGGTGTGAACGTCACCGAGGAAGAAAAAGTGTTACGTATGCGTGCCCTTGGGTGTGCCCACCCTGGTTGAGCAACCGCTGACATTTGTCGCTTGGGGATGACGCGGTCGTTTCCGGTGGAACGAGCATTGCCTTCATAGAAAAACCAGAGGGTTGAGCTTCTTCATCGTCTCCATAGATAATGAAAAAACGGACCCTTATTACTGTAGTTGCGCACTTGACCGACCTTTGCCGAACAAATGTCCAAGTCATCAAAATTATGTAGGAACGGCACGACTTCTGACATTTGCCTTATCTTTGTTTCCCTCCTTAAAAAGCGAACGAACTGTTCAAAAGTCACCAGAAAATGATACTTCTACAGTTTTTACATTTCGCTGCAGCGTTTCAAACTGATGACAACTTTGCATTCACAGATAATGTCGCCGGTTTTTTGAAAACAGTTGATGAATTTCCAGATCCAGTTCTGGCGAGTGAAATTGAAGGAATCGTTCCTGACTGGATCCAGGGCTCGTTCTACCGCGTCGGCCCTGGACAGTACGAATACGGGACGGACAAATACAATCACGTGTTCGACCCAAGTGCGATTATCAAAAGAATTCACGTTGAAAACGGCAAAGTTTCTTTCCAGCGACGATTCATCAACAGCACTCATCGAGCTGCGAATTTCGAAGAGAACAGGATCGTTTTTGCGGAAATGGGAACTTGGTCCGATCCCCCTGGAGCAGAAGATCTTTCGGGTGAAGGGCTTGAGCTTGAGCGATGCAAGTGGCTTGGAGAATCAAGCCCGACAGACAATACAATAGTCAGCGTGATACCCTTAATGGGCTGGCTCGTTGCTTTCACCGAGTCGAATTTGGTGAATTTGATTGACCCGTTTACCCTTGAAACGAAGCACAATCTGGACTTGGGCGAGTCGCCAAATATGCCCGCTGGACTGACCTTTGCAACTGTACTTGCGCATGGTGTTTTTGATGAAGAGGGTAACTACTGGACGATGTCAGTTGCCCTCGACTTGCCTGAATCTGCTTTCATTCCTAAAAGTAAGAAAAATTAAAAAAACAAGGAAATTAAATTCTTTTCAGCCGCCTATGTCGTCATCAAATTCAAAAATGCGAAAAACTATCCTCTTGGCTCAATGGCGAATCCTTCCGAAATTCTTGAGTCGATGGAGTTCGCTGACTATTTGTATAACGAGAACCCTCGCGACACGAGCATTCGCTATTTTCACATGTTTGCTGCTTCTGATGATTTCTTCGTTTTGCCGATGAACAGCATGGAGCTGGATCCTTTCGCGACACTTGAATCTTGCCGCGTAGGAGAACCGCCGATGAATATGATGCAATACGATGACTCGCTGAAGGGATTTTTTAAAATTTTCAGCAAAGAAAGAATGAGCTGGTTCCCGATCAAATTCGAAGCGGATTGGGATTTTATGCAGTTGCATATGATCCAAGCAGTATTTGATGAAGACAAGAATCGGATCACTTTGGACACGCTACAGACTGGAAACGCGGACATTTTGAAAGGTAACACAGATCATCAGTTTTACGAAAGTCGTCAATTATGAGCCTGCACTTCTTTTTTTTCTGTATTTCTAGAGTTTACGGTGTCCAACATCAACGTCACGGGAGAAGACATCATCAACTCCTACTCGAAACTCGTCCCTTATGGAGAGCCAGTCCGGTACATCTTCGACCTCTCAGAAAAAGAACAGTCTGTGGTCAAAAAAGTTGCGTCGGAAAAACTTTTCGAAGAGGATTTAGAAAATTTCCCGGTATACTCACATGGCGGCATTGACTTTCCTATGCTTTGGTTTCAAAGATTTATGAACAAAAAAATTTCTTCTTTTCTTTTTTGAAATCAACGAAGATCAACGTCAATTTCCTCGGAAAACCGTACGATCACTTTTGGTCCGCTGGATTTGGAAACATCTTGGACGACCGACTTTATCACTCGAAACTGTCTACCAGACAACGGTGGGTCTGGCGCGAAGAAGGATACAGTCCATCGGAACCGTTTTTCATCCCTCGACCTGGAGGAGAAGGAGAAACTGACGGCGTCGTGATTTCTTTAGCTGGATCTCTTTTGGGAAATCGCCCGGATATGAGGTTTTTCTTCCTTTTTTTCGCAAAAAAAAAAAGATTTTTCAGAACTTTTATTGTCTTTTTGGACCCAGAAAATCTCACGGAAATCGCGAGAGCCTATTTTCCCGAAGAAGTCAGCATAAGCGCAACCGCCCACGGAATCTTCATCCCTCATTTTTGAAAATAAAATTGATAGCATTAATTTCCTTATCTCCATTCTTCTGCATTATCGCATTTTTTTCGTCTTATCACCTCATCAAGCATCCTTTATTCCACGTCATTGTTACCTCTAAAATCGAACTCTTCTGTTTTTTTTTCTTTTCCAAAAATGGAAAAACAAAGGCGTAAAATTCGAAATTGAACGAACCAAAAAAAATTTCGCAGAAATCGATAAAATCGGAGAATCTGATTTTGAATTTGGCCAAATCTGAAATCTTAGCGTAGGATTTTTTTATTGTCTCAAATTGAGACTCTCAATAAAAAAACGAAACTGAAAGCTTTTGTAGAGACGGGAAAATATAAAAGAGGAAGAAAAAGAAGAAGAGATAAGAGAGACAATAATGAAAAATGCTCAGCTTAGCGGCTTTTGCGTCGTGGTAAGTTGGGGTTTTTAATTGATTTTTTTAATTATCAAAATTTGACAATTTTTAAGACAAATCTGACAATTTTTTTCTGACAAATTTGACAATTTTTTTGGCAAATTTGACAAAATTTATTTTGCCAAATGTGACAAACATGACACTTTTTTTGACAAGTTTGACAAATTTTTATTGACAAATTTGACAAATTTGACTTTTTCATTGACAAATTTGTAATTTTTATTGACAAATCTGACAAACTCGATGTTTTTTTTGACAAATTTAATTTATTTTTTTGAGTAAAAAAAATAGAAATTTTAAATTTTTAATTTTTTTTCGAATTCAAGAAATGAACTTCAACTTTTGATGTTCTCAATCTTAATTGAGTTGAATGGAAGTGTGAGTAATTGTCTGCTGTCATTTACTCGGTTTATTTTTGAAGCGGCAGATCGATTTTTTCCTCCCGTCATTTAATAAGAGAGCCAAGCGCTCTTCCTTGGTTTAAATTAACCAGAGAGACTTAAGAAGTAATAGAATGCGGCCGCCATAAATGTAAGTTTTTGCAGTTTTATTTGAGAATCAAGGGTTGAGCACAAAATCAAGAGGAGTTAGAAGAGAGTAATTATGTTTTCCTTTTCGTAGAGCTTGTCACATTTTGGACAGCGCTTGCTCGTTTCGAAGTTTTTCTCGATGCAGGATTTTCCAAATTTATGACCGCAGACTGTGATGCACGATTCCCAGTGCTCGTTTGTGTCGTATTTTTCCAAGCAGATCTCGCATGAAGGGAGAAGATCAACAAGATCATCGTACGTCATGAATTTCTTTTCAATCATGTCAGAGATTTTTTCTTTTTCGAGAATTATTCTGCGATCGCGATCTTTGATTTCTTCTTCAAGTTTTGAGATCTCATTTTTGCATTCAATTATTCTTCTTTCGACCCATTCTTTTCCGCTGTTAAATCCGACGGCACCATGTAAGACATTCTTAAGAAGGTCTTTATTCTCATAAAAAAATGATATTTGGTCTATTATTATTTTGAGCTCTTGCTCAAAAAGTAACATCATTTTTCTTGAAATTTCAATATTTTTCTGCGTTTCGGCATTTTCTTTTGGTAAATTTTTGAGGAGGATTTTCGATTTTTCAATTTCTTCGATAATGTCTTGCTTTGCAGTCGACATTATGATCAAATATGAAGAAATTCTCCTTGCCTTTGTTTTATTTAATAAAAATTTACGTATCTATTTTAGATTTCGGTCTATTCTAAAAAAACATAATTATGTTTTTGATAAAAGCTATCCTGTGATAGCCTTTTGAATTTTGTGCCTTATCAAATCTTTTAATATCTTGGGAGGTTAATTTAGAACTAGTAGTAATTTTGAGTTGAAGGTAAAGTAAGATACCGGCAAGAATATTTTAAATTGTAGGACTAGTAAATATCATCCGACAAGTCAAACAGAGATGGTTCTTATTTTCGTTTGAGAAATGGGCGTTACCATAAATCATTAACTCTGTAACTAGGGGAGGTTCTGACCGGAATATATTTTGCTAACTGTTTCAAGAGATCCGTTCATCTGTAAGTAGAAGATCTAGAAAAGAACAAGCCAAATCGCTAGATCTTTTTATTTTTCTTTTTTTTATTATCTGGCACTCGCTTTAGTTTTACAAAAAGTCAAAAAAGAGCGAGTTTCTTTGTATTTCTCAAAAGGTCAATTATGATGTCACCGAGATTTCTAATCATTTTCCCCACAGTAGTAAAATATAAAAGAGTGAAAGTCAGATACTTATCAAGAACTTTAGGACCCAAGAGACTTTGAAGCAGAAAACCATGCCAGAGGAGGACAATTTTGAGGATGCGCTCGATCATGTTAATGGTGAGACATTTTCGATTAACATAGTGACACCCTTATTCGAAATAATAACAACACCATTTTCGTTCATATTTGAGCCGAAAATTCAGCGAAATTTTAGTTTCAATTTTAGATTTATAGCTTCGAAACATTTTCCCTTAATAAATTTATTAATAATAAGGGTGTCACCGTGTTATCATCATTTCTGAAAAAACTTCAATTCCATCATTTTTCTTCATCGCTTTTTCAGCTGAAAACACGATTGAAAAAGGGATCAAAATTGCCGATCTTTCACAACATCTTTTCTTCAACAACAAATTCCAAGAAGCCCAAGATCTCGTCCAACCAGTCCAAAATGAAACATTCTACCATCACCATGCCATGACAGCATTACGGCTCCTCAACGCTGTGATGACTTTTGATCAGGGGGATTTCAAGATCGCTCTAGAATCGGGAGAAAGTACGGTGAAAATGTGCGATAGTTTTCTTAACGAGGGGTTTATGAATTCGCTGTCAGAGGCTTTCGACTCGAATAAGTACAAAAATTGGTCGGATGAAAAATGCCATGCTCTTCTAGGTATGCTCCCTTGTCCTTCAAAAATTGGCATTTTTTCTAGTGCGGGCAGAAGCGATTCTCTTCAAAACTGCAGCTCTAGTGCTGTCCAGCGGAACGGATATTCTAGCGATTGCAAATGGCTGCCTAGCTGTTAGGGAAAGCTATAAAATCTTCGAAAAATGCATGAAAATCGTGGAGAAAAAGACGTGGTCTTCCGAATTTTTGAAGAACGAGTTCGAATTTGGCGCCAAATGCGGCTTAGGTAAGCTAAAAAGAGCTGGGACGAACCCAACCGACTTGAATCCCTAGGTGTTTATCAGCTGTATCTATCCGTCTTGCCTCCAAAAATCCTCAAAATTCTCGAATGGGTCGGATTTCGAGGCGATCGCGACGCCGGATTAGCCCTTCTTTACGAATGTGCAAACGCCAACTGCTGCAGAAGCATCTTTTCAAAGTGGTTTCCGATGTTCTACTTCTACATTGTCCAGTATTTCTTCGGCACAGTTGGCGAGATCAAAGGATTGAGCTGCGAAACGACAGACGAACATCTTCAACAACTTGGAAATCTGTTCAAAGGAGGAGCAATCGTTGAAATCAACAAGGCGCAGAGAAAAATCATCGATGGTGATTTAAAAACTGCAATTACTCATCTTAATCCAGGTATTTCCAGGTTGATTTCGAGTCGTAATCATGTTCATTTTGCATTTCAGGTCAACATAGCTTCCAAAATTTCGACCATTTTCTGTACTGGAATCTGTATTGGTGCAATGGAATGCTTCAGAATTTCGAAGAAGCGCAAAAATATTCCGCTAAATTGCTGAAGGAGTCGAAATGGAGCCCCGCTATTTATTCTTATATGCATGGACTTGCCTTGGTAGACCCTTAAAACCCTCCTTTTTTCAGTATTTTTCCTGTAGCTCGAACTGGGCCGAACCGATGAAGCTTTAGAAATCTTCTCAAAAATCGAGTCGCTTCGTCAAAAAGTGGCTGGAAAAAGCATTCCCGATGAGAAATACGTTTCTCGAAAAGCGACTGCATTTGTCGATGGCAAATCAAAACTCGCTTTTGGCTTTCTGGAGCTTGCGTATTTCTTCAACTACACAAAGACAGGCAATTTCAATCCAGAAATCGTGCGAATTTGGAGAAGCACTTGTGAAAAAAGGGCAGCGACGCTGGAGAAAGAGTCGGAAGAGCAGGCGATTTACTCATTTTTCAAGGTAAAAAAATGGTCGATTTCTGGCTTTAATCATTTTTGAAATTAAGGGACTCTTCCTGATACAGTCGGGGAAACCAGCAGATGCCTCGACGGAGCTGAAAATCCTCCTGAAAACTCACAAAAAGCTAAAAATTGAAAAATACATCCTCCCTTGCGCCACTGTGGAGCTTGGAAATGCTCTTAGACTTCAAGGTTGATTGCAATCAAGGAAGAGAATATTTCATTCAGTTGTTTCTTTAAGGATACAATTCAGAAGCGGCGAAATGCTTCGACCAAGCGAAGGACAAGTTCACCGGGTATTATTTGGAGAGCCGGCTTCACTTCCGCTGTCATAATTATAAATCTATTCTGCAGAATGCAACTGAAACAACCATGTAATTTTAAAAATAAAGATATTCTAAATTTTATCAACAGGCCTTTTTTGACCAATTTTTGTGCAGCTGAACGACGCATTTTCCCTTTTTCTGTCTTTCACCGACCTCATGAAGCTTATCGCAGTTTGCGGGTCGCCATAAACATTATCAAGCAAATAGCACGATAAATTCAGATACCATTAATTCAGAAAGATAAATTTTTACCGTCAGAGTCGAGTCGACTCCCTCTGGATGCTAGACCAAAAAATTTTATTCTTATGCCAGTATGTCTCAAAAAAGGTTAACAGAATGGTCTGAGAGTGACGTTACCGACAATACACCAAAGAATTTTTATGTTTGTAATTTCATATGTATCTTGAGAGATTATATTCTTTTAAGGACAATCATCCTCAATTTACAAAGGAAAAAATCCGAGATCTTGTGGATGAAAATTTGCGCCTCAAAACGTATGATAGTTGTAACTGACCATGTTTGTTGACCATTTTACTTCAGTGCTGAAATTCAGCAAAAAGAGCGAGCAAACAAAACGGTTCTGATTCTTTCCGTCGTTATTGCCATTACCACCTCGATGTTACGCACGATAATCATCCTGAAATCGGACGTCATTTTTCAAAGTTGCGAAAACGGAAATCAGTTCATCTCGGACAGTGTCAAGGAAATGAGGCAACTTCATCAAGAAACTCAGCGAATGACGACGGATTTGACTAATTTTACCAAGAACTCTGCAGAAGAAAATGAGTTTTTGACCAGAGATATTTCCGCTCAAGAAACCGGTTTTTAATTGATGAGTTTTTATTGAGTTTTTGTTTGATATTTCGACAATCATCTTAAATATCGGTGCTAAGTTAAATCCATTGAGGACAGACTAGTCTTCATTGATGAGAATGTCTATGAAATTTGCCTGAACAGTAATATTAATTTCGAGAATGGAATTATGACAGGTCAGATAGGCTACATGGCCCATGTAACATGGGCAATTATTGATTGAGAGAATAATGAATGATTCCTTCAGAATTCCATTGTAAAAAATACGACTCCCCCACAACTTCGACCGACGGACCGACAACTGCAACAACGGCATCAACAACGACTCGAAAAACAAAGTCAACAAAAACTACTACAACAACAACAACATCTACCACTCCAACTTCATCATCAACTTCTCCTACAACTACATCGCCAACGACCACTACAGCAACAACACCTCCATCAACGACAACTAGAAAGCATACGAGTGAAACATTGACAACATCAAGCAATTCAGAAAAATGTGAAGACGGAATCTACCCTAGCGAAAACGACTGTTCAAAATTCTACCAATGCTACGACGGAATAAAATGGCCGGATCAAGACTGCCCTCCTGGACTGCTTTTTAATCCGGAAACTCTTGTCTGTGATTTTCCTCAAAATGTCATCTGCGAATCGGCTTCAATGAAATAAATTTTAGACAGAATTGATCTTTTCTTATTTATTTTGAAAAGGGCGGTTTAGTGCAAACCAAAATTTTCAGATGTTAAAGGGATTTTGAAAGATGGCATTTAATAATTCTTATCGATAATCAACCCTTTTTATCACAAATAAAGAAAGAAACTCTACTGAAGCTGGTTTCACACGCCCTTATGCTTTCCCTTTTTATTGCAAATTATGGGCGATTATTTGCACAAATACACTTAACATTCGGGAACAAACAGAATCGGGAGTCAGAATCCAAGATTAGAAATATTGACCAACTTTCCCATCTGTTGAAAAATGGTTCAAGAAAGAGCAACAGTTTACTCAGAGAGTTTCGTCACAGAAAATACCCCAGAGAATTTCTATGTTTGGTTTTTCTATCTTTTCAAAACAAATGAATTTTTTTAGGTAAATCGACCAGAATTATCAAAAGAAAATTACCGAAATCTCCTTGATGAAAATTTACGCCTGAAAAGTTCTGAGAAACACCAAAGAAAGCGGTCGAATAGAATCATTTGTGTCCTCTCCACTTTCATCGTTATAACGACTTCGATTCTTCTGACGATCTTCATTCTCAAATCGGACGAAATCTTCCAAAGCTGTGATAGTAGCAATCAATTCATTTCTGACAGCATGAGAGAAATGAAGCAGCTTCACCAAAGAACGCATGAACTGTCCAGTGATTTGATGGATCTGATTTATGCTCATGAAATCAACAGTGGAATTTGGAATAAAGAGATATTGAATCAAGAAATGGCTTCTTTCTCAAGATAACTTATTTTTATATGAAAAAATGAAGAGCCAAAACTAGTGAACTCAAACGAAGATACATTGAGAAATGTTGATAAAAATTTATTTCATCTTTGCCTCTATATTTATCTCAATTTTAACAAGGATTTCATGCAAGGTAAGGAAAAAATGGATCTTTTGATAACTCTCTCTAGAATTTCCTTGCAACGCATATGTCAATCAAACAACCTCAACTCCGTTTCCAACAACGATTTCTTTGACAACAACTACTTCTTATTTCACCACCGAAGATTCTGCTAAAGAATTTTTTCTTTCGACAATTCTGTTTATTTTTCTTCTTTTATTGTAAAAGCCTGGGCAGTGTAATAAATAATTGTGTATATCCTGCATCACCGACTGTTATGTACAGAAAATTTAAAAGCACTAGTATTTTTCATCACTTGAAATAATCTGCATTTGGGCCTTTCTGGGGGATGAAAGGTAGGTCTTTTGACATCGGGACTTTCGTGTCGAAAACCATATTTTCTAGCATTTCTCTTCCATGTTCGCATTCGTTGTCCCAAGTTCCAGTTTCCAGCATTTTCTTTGCTGAAACAAATTTGAAGGAAATTTTTCTGCTAATCATACCTTGAACATAAGCATTATTTGAAGCATGATTGCACTTTCCTTCGTATCTTTCCATCAAATCAACAAACGTCGACAATTTCAGCCTTGGTTCCATCTTTTTCGGCATTCCTTTTGGCCGATGATGGTTATGAAGACATTCATCAGTCTTGCTCTTCGCGCATTTTTGATACGCCCTTTTTGCGAGAATGATTTCTGTCCTCATTCTCTACAAGTCGGATTTGCATGAAATCTTATTGAAAATGCCCTACCACTCGGCCGAAGGCGTCGATTTTCTCATGAAGCGAAGCGTTGAAGAAATTGTAGAGCTCAATGTCCACTTTGTTGTATTTTTCGAAGTTTGACATTTGCTTGGGAGTCAAAGGGGGTACTTCGTAGTCCTTTTTATTCGCGTATTCTCTATTCTAGGGCTCAAGAAAATTTGATGACTTTTATCTCTAGAACTAGGAAAATATGGCTAGAACCATAAAATGGAAATGATTTTATGATTCATGGTTTTGATTGGCCGGAAAGCCAAATACAGCAATCTTATTGGTCATCCAAAAATGCTGTTCCATTTTTTGTTTTAGTCCGAAAAAATAGATGCTTCTGATTTTCGAGCCCTTTCCTGTATAAAGTACTGTATTCAACGCACATTAGATGAGCCAGTAAGACGATACTTTCCCAAAAATGTTCGGTGATGATAACTACAGTAGAACTGATGAAAATAGCTCCGCAATTTCGCCACATACCTAGATCAAACTGTTTATCCATCTCAATCAAGGACTGCCGGACGTATTTAGGATCGTCCATTTTCTTCAACTCCATGCCCATTTCATACGCTTGGATGCTCTTTGTTCTGAAGGCATAGGGAGCTTCATCAGTGTAGATGTCATCTAAGTCGTCGAGAAACTCTCCGATTGTCAGATTTTCGTTTTTTGTCAAGGACCAATAAGGTTCGCCAAAGCACGTGATGTCGCACTTGTCGTGAGGGCCTTTCCGTTTGGCGCCGTAGAAATAGTTGAAGACAGAGCGATAGGTTTCCAGTGGATCGCGAATGCTTGTGATTGTCTGAAAATCTGATGAGTAATCAGCTGAAGTGGAAAGACCTACCCTTATGTTTTGCCGATTATTTTCAAGTAATTTGGGCATGTAGTCCAAGTTCCAGCGAAAATGGTAGCTGAGGGCTTCAATTTTTTCCAAATGCGATCCATCCTCACTGAGGAAAATTAATTTCCTTAGCTTAATTGAAAGAATACCTGTATGGCCAGCAAGTTGGACCGAATGGAGCCGGATAACAACCACCTTGTGGTCCAAGCCAATTGTGTTCGCCATCGAAGGAGAGGTTTTTGCCGACATTAGCCATGATTCCTCGGAAGGTAGTGGAAGCTGTCTTGTGTTTTTTCAAAAAGACATAGCCCTTCAAAGTATTGTAAATATTGAGATCTGATGGCATGCAAATTCAAAAATAATTTTTAACCATGACTTCTTTATGAATAGCAAATGTTTCTTGCGGAAACGAGTTTGACATCGACAAATATGATAGAGGAAAACTGTATTTATTCTGAGTGAGGCGACTCAAAAATTTCAATTTCAGGAACCGCATTGAGTAAAATTTTCAAGAGGAAAAATAGTTCATAGTATTCAGATTTAAGAGTGATGGCTGATACCGAGAATCGTGAGAATTCGAGTGATGAATTTGAGGATCTCAAGGATGAGGCAATCGACAAAGCTATTGACAAAGGGTTGTACGTTTGTGTTATTAAAATTAAGAACAAAAAATTAATAAAATTGTTCCTTAAATTAAATCAAATTAAGAGGAGCTTTCTCAAAGTGGGTAGAAGAGAAGATGAAAGAAAATGAACAACATGTCGAAAAATCTTGGGGCGGCTCTGAAAGCCACGGATGTATGCTTACGTTAGATATATAATAAATAACTCTTGTGAAGCTGTTAAACTCGAATCGAACATTGGTTCAGCAGAGATAACCATAGATGAGAACCACGCTTCCGCTCAAACAAGTGCGAACCCTTTTATAGCAACTGCTAGTGCGCAAGCCGCTGTTAAAAAATTTGGTGCAAATACAAAAGTATTGAAGATTGTGGAGGCTAATGTTGATGGCGATTTGTTCAAAGCTGAAGCTGGCGCCAACTACGAAGCACCGAAGGGGCAATTGGGCGATTTTCAAGCAAGTGCTAGAGCTGGAAAGAGTAATTTTAAAATAAGGATTCTTTTTAATTTGTAAAGTAACGGCCGGTGTTGACTACATTCCTGGTGCGAGTGCAAGCGCTTCTGTGTTAGAAGCAGGTGCTCGTGCTGGTTTCGGATACGAGTTCACTGGTTATGAAGCTGGAGCATCACTTGCAGAAGTTCAAGCTGGGCCTTTTGCGCTCCGAGCCGGGTTTAAATTCGGTGTTGCTATTAAACGAGGCGTACCCGAAGTGCATGCTGGCCCAATAACCACTCCTGGATGCTTTATTATGTGATTGAAAGAAATTATTTCATTCCTGACAATAAAATGAATATGCTGCATCTGACATAGACAGCACTTTAGGAAAAATTGTCTTCTATTTGCAATTTTAAGCGTACCTCTGGTTTTTTGCATTTTGTTGACCACAGCGGGCTGACTTTTGGTTGCGTTCTCTCATTTTGAATGAATGCGACTTTGATTTTTCTCAAAACCGCAAGATGGTGTATCACTCCCGCAAAGCATATCACCAGAACAGTTCCTTTTCCGAGCTTGAAATTTTATTTTCCTTTCAGAGAAATTTTCGAATTTTAAATTAGCTCGCTTTCCTAAAATAACATTTGTTCGATTAAAAGGAATCCTCATTGCTCTATCTTTTCTTCCATCCGACATAAAAACTCTTCTTCGCAAAAATCTCTTTTGAAAAAAAAGGAAACGAGAGGAATCTGCAGGAGATGAGAAGATTTACTAAGATCGATTATTTGAGTACGACCGTCGGAGACTGAATCTGCCGCGGGCAGGATCGCGACCCCGGCACGCTAGAATGATAAGCCAAAAGGCTTGGAAATAATTGCTGATTGGGTAATTTAATATTGAAAGGAATTGAAGCTTGCCAAACTGCGATTGATTCGTTGTTTCATTGAAAAAAAATCGAAATTTCTTTGATTGAAAAAGTCAAAATGAAATTTTATTTGTACAGAGAATTGAAATATCTGCCGACAATGAGTCTTCGAACTTCACTTGTTCCAGCTCCAATTTCCCACAATTTCGCATCGCGCAAATATCTTCCTGTTGGGTAGTCATTGACTGAATCAAATTGCTAATAAGCTCAAAATTAAAGCACTTACTGTAGCCATTTCCGCCCAAAATCTGAATCGCGTCGAGACAAATTTGAGTTGCTTTCTCAGCACAGTACAGAACCAGCCCAGCGCAGTCGTGATTCGTCGGCTCGAATTTTTCTGCATGTCGGGCGATGTTATACATGTATGACCTACAGGCAGAGAGGGAGGTGTACATGTCGGCCATCTTGCCTTGGATGAGTTGAAACTCGCCGACTCGCTGGTTGAACTGCTTTCGTTCATGAGCGTATTCGAAGGAACAGTCCACCGCGGCTTAAAAATAGAACTAGCCGCAGAAGAAAATTCCAAATTATATCAGGACTGCCCAATCGGATCAGAATCCGATCGGAATCGGATCGGTAATCGGTCGGATCGGATAAAAAATTTCTGTCATGTCCGATCGGGAAAATCGGTTCCGATCGGTAAAATCGGATCGCAATTTCCGATCGGCAAATTCGGATCCCTGTCGGATCGATTTTTTGTCCGATTGGGCAGCCCTGACTATACCTTGAGCAATACCGATGGGAATAGCCGCCGCGAGAATTCGCTCAATATTCAGTCCAGACATCAACACTGCTGCTCCCTGACCTTCTCCTCTGAGAACCATGCTTTCGTGAACTTTCATGTTTTCAAAAGTCAGGTCGCCAGTGGGGGATCCTCGCATCCCGAGCTTTCCCGGAATCGTTTGAGCACTGAAGCCTTCAGTTTTTGTATCGACGATGAAAGCGGTGATTGATTTTCCATCATTGCTTGTTTTGGGCTGAAAATTTGAAAATCACTTTTTTGATTTTTCTGAAAATGAATTCTCAAAAAGACAAAATCATCGAAATTTCAACCCTTTCCTTGAAAGATCGGTTTTTGCATACAATATGATATGATCCGCTACCGGTCCATTCGTGATCCAAAATTTATTCCCATTGATGACGTAATAATCTCCCTTCTTCACGGCATTCGTTTTCATCGACATCACATCGCTCCCTGCATTCGGCTCGGTCATGGCAAGTCCTCCAATAAGATTGCCAGCCACGTGATCAGGCAAAAAGGCGGACTTTTGAGCATCGTTTCCGTTTCGAACAATTTGATTGATGAATAAATTGCTGCAAGCGCCAGTTGTCATTGCGATTCCAGCGTTTACTCGAGCATTTTCTTCCGCAGCCAAAGCCATGGAAAAGTATCCAAGATTCGTTCCACCGTATTCTTCATGGACAGTCAGCCCTAGAATACCCATATCTCCACATTTCTTGATGTAGTCTTTGAGTTGAGGAAAATGGTCGTTTTTGTCGATGTCATAAGCGTGAGGAGCGAGTTCGGTTTCGAAGAAATTTCGGAAGTTCTGGCGAAGACCTCTTTCCTCGGAAGAAAGAGCGAATAACTGATCATCTAAGCAAGTTTTATGAAGGCAAAAATTTCTTGCAAACCTATTGGAAGGGAAGATAAATGACGGGCCAACAAGCTTTTCTCTCTGCACAAGATACGCAACATTTCTTAGCTTTCTTTATTTGCAAGTACCTTCTCGATTGGCCTCTTCTGAACAAACGCGGGTGATTCAAAACTAGCTTTATTTGATGAAAAGGAATGGAAGAAATACAACATGGTTGGGGGAAAATAGCTAAATAAATTGGAATCAAGGCTTTTTCTTTGATGACTTTTTGGTGGCTATTTTTCTTCGACTTTCATCTACCAAGACTTTTTGAGAAGGTTTCTTTGGTGACTTCTTCGGTGGTTTCTTTTTGGTGCTCTCGGTTGCCGGAAAATTTTGAGAAAGAGTCTTCGATTGAATTTTTGGCAGGACATTTGCTGGAGTTTTGACTGTTTTGGGTGAGTTATCTTCGGGTTTTGACGATTTCGGAGGAGTTCTTTTCGATTCGGACAATTCTGGAGTTGTTTCAGATTCCGCTTCCGGTTGAATTTCCGAATCGCTAGGGCTTTGACGAACTTTTCGACTTCTGCATCTTGAGAATAGAAACCTCGTCGAGGTCACGCAGGAGATCAGAACCAGGAATATGTTGAAAATATAAAAAAGTTGGCTGCTATTCCTCGAAGATGTTTCAGTTGTTGTTAATGATGATAGAGTCGCTGTTGTTGATGAGGATTCAACATTTTCTGACGTTGAAGTGGTTGTCACTGTCGTTGTTGTCAAAGTTGTAAAAGTAGTTGTCGTCGTCGTCGAGGTTGTTGTGGTCGTGGTCGTAGTCGTTGTTGTCGTTGTAGTAGTTGTAGTTGTCGTGGTATATGGTCCATATAATATGGAGCTCCTGTTCAAGATTATATACTCTTCCTTATCAGCATGATTATTTTTATTAAAATCATTTCCTGGGCAATTGTACATCGAATTTATTTGAGCAATATCTTCATCCGACAAAGGAAAGGTTCTGCTCACAGGAGCACGAACAAAATAATTCGTTCCGGGTCGTGACAACGACCACTGTCCATTACCTCTCGAACTCGGAATGTAATGCATGATACTGTTAAAATCGTATGGCGAATTCATATTCCACCAATCATCAGCGGACTTCATCGCGTAGTTACTGTCGCCAGCGTCATCTGGATGAACTTCGACATAAGAATCGCGATCAGGCCGCGCATGTTCATGAAAAAATCCAAGAGCGTGCATTGCTTCGTGCTGCGTCGTTGTCTGGCCATTCATATTCCAAGCGTCAGGTCGCATCCATAATGTTTGGGGCTGCCTTGAAAACGAAATCTGACCTGAATTTTTGATGAACAAGAGATTTTTCTTACAGAAGCTGAACCAATGTAAGATCTTGCTCGATTGACCCCATCCCAAATTATTTCTATCTTGTAATCGTACAAATCTTTTTGAGCTTCAGTCGTTAATCTTTTAAATTTGACGCAGGTGTATTGTTCAAAAAGACCAAGATAATACTGCATTTGTCTTATCGAAAGTGCTGCATCCCAAGACTCGTAAACGTGATTTTCATAGCCATCTTCGAAAAAATATGGGACGATGTAAAATCCTTTATAAAATAAAGATTTATTTAATAAATTTTAAAACTTGCCGTCTTCAAATACATTTGTCCAACGCTCACGACCTTCTGTTGCTCCTCGAGTTGATGAAGAACAAGGAATATTATCAGTCGTAAAATTCAAATTTTCATTTCCGGGTAGCCTCTAGTAAGTGAGATACTTTCGCTAATTTTGAGCCATGATCTTACTCGGTAAAACTCGGCTTGGCATTCCGTGAAAATAATATCCGATCGAATAATTCCAAAAAGAAATGAAATGAAGAAAATTAAAAGCATAACTGTAAATAAACAAAGAGCAACTTTGCACAACCTTATCACTCTAGAAAAAAATATGCACAGACTTTATTCAAGTATTTTCAGTTCAAAAGCTGCATAAAAGAAAGGGAAAATAATCAAGGCTACTTTTTTGACAAGTTTTTGGTGGCTTTTTGTTTTCGTCCGTCATCATCCGAGACTTTTTTAGAAGGTTTCTTTGGTGACTTCTTCGCGACTTTCTTTTTGGTGCTGTCGGTGGCGGGAAATTTTTGAGAAAGAGTCTTCGATGGACTTTTTGGAAGGACACTTGCTGAATTTTTGACTGTTTTGGGTGATTTATTGCTGGATTTCGACGGTTTTGGAGGAGGTCTTTTGGGTTCGGAAGATTTTTGATCTGAGTTTGATTCAGTCTTCGAGTCGCTAGGGCTCTGATGTACTTTACGCCTTCTGCATTTGGAGAAAAGTCGCTTCGACCAAGTCATGCAGAAAATCAGAATAAGGAAAATATTGATAATATAAAAAAGCGAGTATTTGTTCGTTAAAGATGTCTCGGTTGCTGGAGATGAATTTGTTGTTGATGATGCATGTGTTTCTGTTGTTGAAGTGGCCATCCCTGTCGATATTGTCACTGTCGAAGCCGTTGTTGTCGTTATAGTTGTAGTCGTTGGCGGTTCTTCAGCCATATTTCATTAAAATATAAGACGAGAATTTAAAATAAATATAAGTATTGAAACTGTTTCCTTGACAATTATTATACATCATTTCAATTTGAATTAAATCACGCTCTGAGAGCGGATATGTTCTGTCAACAGGAGCCGGAATCAGATAATTACTGCCGGGAACTGACAAAGACCACTCGCCATTCCCTCGATCAGTCGGGCTGTAATGCATGCGGCTTTGAAAATCGTAGGGAGAATTGAGATCATTCCAGTCATCCATTGGTAGTTTCATATAAGCATCGTTATTGGCGTCGTCTGGGTGAACTTCAACGTATTCGTCGCGATCAGGCCGCTGATGCTCATGCCAAAAGCCAAGAGCATGCATTGCTTCGTGTCGCACCGTTCCACCATTATTTGACCACAAATCTGGACGCAGCCACATCGACTGAAGCTGATATGATAGGGACAGTCGACCTTATCAGATATGAAAAAATGTGTCTTCAACTGTCATATTTACCAACGTAGGATGCTGCATGAGTGATTCCATCCCATAAAATTTCAATCTTGTTATCATACAAATCCTTCTCATCTTCAGTCTGTAACCTTCTGAATTTTATGCATGTGTATTCTTCAAAAATATCAAGCCTCTCTTCGATTTTTACCATCGATTCGGCGGCATCCCAATCTAAGATTGGCAATCTTCAAAAACATGATTTTCATATCCATCTTCGAAGAAATACGGGACGATGTAAAACCCTTATTTGGAGCTTTAAATGAATGAAGGATTCCGAAATTTACCGTCTTCGTAGATATTTGTCCAGAGCTGATTTTGTGACGCTCCTCGAGAAGATGGAGAGCAAGGAATATTGTCAGTCGTAAAATTAATATTTTCATTCCCAGGTACGGTCTTAAATCGGTGATAGAAATGGAAAACACTTTTTCTTATATGTACCCGGTAATATTCAGCTTGGCATTCCGTAAAAACGGAAAATTTTGAGAAAGAGTCTTTGATTGAATTTTTGACTGGACACTTGCTGGATTTTTGATTGTTTTGGGTGAATTATTGTCTGGTTTCGACGATTTTGTTTTTGATTCAGCTTTCTGTCGAATTTCCGAATCGCTAGGGCTCTGATGTACTTTACGTCTTCTGCATTTGGAGAAAAGGCGCCTCGACCAAGTCATGCAGAAAATCAGAATAAGGAAAATATTGATAATATAAAAAAGCGGGTATTTGTTCGTTAAAGATGTCTCGGTTGTTGGAGATGAATTTGTAGTGGCCATCTCTGTCGATGTTATCATTGTCGAGACCGTTGTTGTCGTCGTCGTTGTAGTTGTAGTCGTTGTCGGTTCTGTAATCATGTTTTCTATCAAAAATAAACGACGAGATTTAACAATAAAAAATATTATTGAAACTGTTTCCTTGGCAATTATTATACATCGTTTCAATTTGAATAACATCGCGCTCTGAAATCGGAAAAGTTCTGACGGCAGGAGCTGGAATCAGATAATAACTGCCTGGAACGGACAAAGACCACTGGCCATTTCCTCGATCTTTCGCGGGATAATGCATGATGCTATTGAAATCATACGGAGAGTTAAGATCATTCCACTCATCGATTGGCCTTTTCATGAAATTACTATCATTGGCGTCGTCTGGATGAACTTCAACATATTCGTCGCGATCAGGCCTCGAATGCTCATGAAAGAAGCCAAGAGCGTGCATTGCTTCGTGTTGCATCGTGGTATGGTCACGTTTTGCCCATTTATCTGGACGCATCCAAAGGGGCTGAGGTTGATCTGATAGGGAAGTACGACCTTATCGGATTTTTTGAAAAAAATGTTTATTTTAATTGGCATAATTACCTAATCTAGATGCTCCGTGAGTGATACCATCCCATAAAATTTCAATCTTGTAATCATACAGATCTTTTTCCTCTTCAGTATGTAACCTTCTGAATTTCACACATGTGTATTCTTCGAAATAATTAAGCCTCTCCTCCATTTTAACCATCGACTCGGCGGCATCCCAATCCTCATAAACATGATTTTCATATCCATCTTCAAAGAAATACGGAACGATGTAGAACCCTTTAATATTTAATTAATGAAGTGATATTTTTAATCACTTACCATCCTCATAGATATTTGTCCAGAGCTGATTATAGGACGCTCCTCGAGAAGATGGTGAGCAAGGAATACTGTCAGTCGTAAAATTGATATTCTCGTTCCCCGGTAAACTCTAGAAGCGAAATAACTATTTTTGGTACGAAATCATCAATTTACTCGATAGTAATCGGCTTGGCATTCCGTAAAAATAATATCCGACCGAATAATTCCAAAAATAATTGAAATGCAAAATAATGAAAGCATAACTACAGATAAACAAAGAACAGTCAGGCTCGATGCTGTCACTCTAGAAAATTTATGAAAGATTCATTTTAATAAAAAAAATTTTCGGTTGAAAAAAGAGACAGATGATTGAATATATTTAATAAAGCATTGAAAGAAAAAATAAAGTAAGACGAACAAATCAAGGCTTCTTCTTTGCTGACTTTTTGGTGGCTTTTTTTCTTCGCCCGTCGTCTTCAAAGACTATTTTAGTAGCTTTCTTTGGCGACTTTTTGGTGGTTTTCTTTTTCGCAGTCTCACTGACTGGAAATTTTTGAGAGATTGTCTTTGATGGATTTTTTGGCGTATCTTTCGTGGAATTTTCGAGTATTTTAGGGGGTTCATTTGATGATTTTGATAATTTTGCGGGCGGTTCTACTGATTCGAGATCAATATAGCTGGCCGTTGACACATTTGAAGATATGTTTTCTGGCTCGACGGACTGTTTTTTCATACGAGTGAATAATTTCTTGATTTTTGATAAGAAACTTGGAAAGCAAGCATATATAAAAAGTAACATAAACATAATGTTAGCAATATATGGTACTGCGTTGTCTTCAGTTATAGGAGGGATTACTGTCGGTGTTGATGTTGTTAAAACAGGGTCTTTATTTGAGTTTAAAATGAAAATCACGAGAAAAACTTCAGTTTCAAACTTATTCCTTGGCAATTATACAAACTGTTTATCTGAGCGATATCTTGCTCCGAGAAGGGATAAGTTCTATTGCCGGGAACAGGAATTTGATAATTACTGCCTGGAATCGACAAGGACCATCTGCCATCATCCGTCGACTTTGAAGAGTAGTGCATTATACTATTGAAGTCATAGGGGGAGCTCAAGTCATTCCATTCATCTGAAGACATTTTGACGTAATTATCATTATTCGCGTAGTCAGGATGGATTTCAACATAGTTATCACGATCGAGTCGCTGATGCTCATGAAAAAATCCAAGAGCGTGCATTGCTTCGTGTTGCATCGTTGTATTGCCATTATTGCTCCATGCGTCAGGACGCATCGAGATCCACTGTGGCTGTTCCGACAAAGGATATTGACCTTAGAAAAACAACCAATTAATTACCAGTAGCGTTATTCTAAATAATCTTACCTAACTGAGCCCTTCCAGGAGACTCAACAGTTGAGTCCCAAATTATTTTGATCTTGTAATCATACATGTTTTTCTCCTCTTCAGTTTCCAATTTCTTAAATTTCACGCAAGTATATTGCTCGAAAAGGTCAAGAAGCTCCTCCATTTTCGTCAGTGATTCAGATGCGTCCCAGTCCTCGTAAATATGATTTTCATAACCATCATCGAAAAAATACGGAACGATGAAAAATCCTACATAAGTTATATAATATAGCCCTCAATATCTATTTTTTTATCAATAAGCTTACCATTTTCAAGAACATTTGTCCAAAGCTGTAGATTGGTCGCTCCTCGAGCAGATGGAGCGCATGGAATATTGTTGGTCGTAAAACTTACATTTTCGTTCCCGGGTAAACTCTTGAAGATCATTTACTACTCTCCTTTTCAAGTCAACAACTCACTCGATAGTACTCAGCTTGGCATTCCGTAAAAATAATATCCGAACGAGTTTTTCCCAAAAGAAAGGAAATAACAAGAATTGAAAGCATAACTGAAGATAAATATCAAACAGATATCCCTAATCAAACAACTCTAGAAATAATGACTGAAAAAAATTTATTAATAATGAGATCTTTATATGAACAAAAAGAAACAGATGATTATGAAAACAAAATGAAGCGTCATTTTTCCACACGAAGATGGAACTTCCGTCGATCTCATCATTGTTGTAGTGGTTGATTTGGTTGTTGATGTCGTTGTTGTCGATGTCGTGGAAGATGTTGTTGACGAAGTTGTTGTTGATGGTGCAGGCGTAGATGTTAATTCTTTCGATGGTTTCGGAAATTTATACGAAGTGATCTGACTTTTAATCAATACGAAAAAATATAACAAAACCATTTCCTTCGCAACCGTACATTTCATTGATTTGAAAGATATCCTGCTCAGACATCGGATACGTTCTGCTGACAGGCAGAGGAACTGTAAAATTACTTCCAGGAATAGATAAAGAGTAGGTTCCATCTCCAAGCGAATACGCGTAGTAGTGAAGGATGCTATTGGTATCGTATGGTGAACTCATATTCAACCAGTCCTCAGTCGCCATTGGTGCGTAGTTACTACTGCTGGCGTAGTCTGGATGAATTTCGATGTGGTTGTCTCGATCGATTCGTTGATGCTCGTGAAGAAATCCAAGAGCGTGCATGGCTTCGTGCTGCATCGTTGTGTTTCCGTTCCAGCTCCAGGCGTCGGGGCGCATCCAAAGCGGCTGAGGTTGATAATATGAAGACAAACGACCTTAAAATTCGCTTTCAAAAGTTGACCGAAAGGGACTTACTCACCGACATACGACGCAGCAGCAGTCACTCCATTCCAGATAATTTCAAGCTTGTAATCATACAATGCCTTTTCTTCCTCAGTCGTCAATTTTTTAAACTTCACGCAAGTATGTTGCTCGAAAAGACCAAGAAGTTCCTCCATATTTGCCACCGACTCAGTCGAGTTGTAAATTGAATAGACATGGTTTTCATAATCATCTTCGAAGAAATACGGGACGACGTAAAATCCTGATTCGAGATGGTTACTTTTTTTCGGAAATAAAATCGACTTACCGTCCTCTAGGTAATTAGTCCATCTGTCGTATACAGTCGCTCCCCGAGCTTGTTGAGAGCATGGAATGTCGTCTGTCGAGAAATTTATGTTTTCATTTCCCGGTTGGTTCTTATAAAATAATACAATTCATTTCCTATTTAAATCAAACCTGGAGGAAGTAAGCTTGGCATTCCGTGAAGATAATATCTGACCGAACATTTGCAATGACCAATAAAAAGAAAGTAGAGCTAAACATGGCTGAAGCCGAGGAAATAATATTTTTCCGTACTGCATGCTTCTAGAGAATTTCAAAATTGAATGTAGTGTGATTTTTATTATATGTGCATAGAGATAAAAAATAATCATCGTTTCTGGTGAAATCTTCAAATCATCACCATTTACAGTATTTTTTCCCGTGAGGTATCCATAGTAATTATTTTCAGTTTTGGGCAATATGTGCAGTGAAAGTAGGTATTTTTTCAATATTTTCAGAAGTGTAGCAGCATCTTTCTTTATTTCTTTTTTTGCGATTTAGATTGGAAGTTCGCGTTTGATGTCGTACGACATGTTTATTTTGACCGATAAGCTGGCTTCCGTCCTCGTCGTTTTTGGACTTTTGATCGAGCTGATCGGGCTGGCATCGGTTTTCTTGACCATGCAGACGAGAGCTGTGAGTCGCTCCTGGAAGTCTTTCCACATGAGATGGTAGACGAAGAGGTTGGCGAAGGAGCCAATGCAGAGGATGCAAGTGGCGATGAAGGAAAGAGTGTTGATGATTGGGTCGCAACCGTCGGTGTACGCGTACAGGATACGGGCGACGATGGATGGGACGAAAGTGATGAAGAAAATGACCTAAAAAACGGTCAGAAACAAGAAATCATCGTCAAAATCTTACCTCAACAGTGATCGTCCTCAAAGTCGCCTCCCAACTCTTCTTCAAGCTCTTTTTCTTATCCTGGACATCTGGATGTCTTCGAACATAGCTTTGATTTGCTCTCAGCGCGAGTTTCTTGCTTGCATTTCTGATCAAAACGACCAAATAGACGCCCAGCGGAAGGGTCAGCAGAAACGGAAGGCCCCAGACCAAAACGGTGAAGATGATGAATTTCGTTGACTGATCGTTTTCTTCACTGTATTCATCCGCAATAGGGCCGTAAGACAGGGTCGATCGACTGAGACCAAAGTTGATGCCAAATCCGAGGAGGGAAAAAGTCACGCCAATCGCGAAGACCCAGATGAGTCCGGTCAGCCATCTCGCCCGGTTGGTATTGAGAATCCCGCCCACGTGCTGCTTAACCGGCCAGCGCATTCGAAGAAACAAGTCCAATTGCACCGCAAAAATCGACCAGATCGAGGCAATCGTGGCTATGACGGCTCCAGCGCCGAAGATGATCGCGATTGGGGAGCCGAAAGAATTGATTTGTTCTTGCGCCATTTTTTCGTGGAAATCTTCGTTGATGAGAAGATTGATGGTGTTTTTCAATGAAGGCGGGAGTATACTCAACCCGAGTAGTAAATCCGCGAGGGCGAGGGAAAGTTTGAAGATGTTTGCGGAACGATAACTTTGAAAAGGAATCATTTTTTGCAAAAAAAGCTAGAAAAAACGAAAATGAAGAAATTTTCTTAAGAAAAATTTCAACTAAATCAACCCCTTTCCTTCTATTTCTTGACGATTTGTTCATATCAAAAATGACGGAAATAATCGTTACATTACTGATCACAATAAGCATCAATAATAACAATTGAAAAACTATTAACGTCATCAATTGCCACTGCTCGCATCCATTTTCGTCACAAAACGGGAATGGATTGCACTGTGGATTTGCCATTTCTAGGTTGTGGAGTGGATTGATCGTGTCATTCGGAAGATTTTCTCTCTTCAGAACATCGCTTTTTACCCAATCGGGGATCATTTGCTCTGGATTCACGGCGAATTCGAGGAATCTACCGCCAGTTGAGAGTCCGGGTTTTGCGTGAACGAAGTCTTCTTGCAGCAGAAGGTCTTGCTCTAGAACAAGGATGAGGTACAATTTCAGTGGTTGAAATCTTACGTGGTGTTGTGGATAAATCTTCAAAGCCTGGCAAAAATGATGGAGGCGTTCCAGCTTCATTTTCGAGGTCTAGAAATGTCGCTGCGGTAGTTCCAATGTCGCCGAAATTATTCAAAAAAGATGGTGGAGGAGCTGCACTGTCATCGATATACATTTTTGCTTCTGACTGGATTACTGGTTGGACGACTGTATTCGTGATGATGATGTTCTCTTTCGAGGGGGGAATGATGATTTGCGGAATGTCGAAACCGGAAACAATGAGGAGCTGGTCCAAACTGCGCAGTTTTGGAGCAACGGTCACGTGCGAATTCGAATTAAAAGAATCGGAGTTGGAGTTGGTTTGAATTTGGAGTTGAGCGAATTTGAAATTTGAAGCTGCAGGAAAATCGCCAAAAGTAGGATTCGTTAGAATTACTGATGCGAAAGTTCCTAAAATCAAAACTATTTTTCTCTTTTGAAAGATGGGAATTGAAAATTGAGAATTTAAAAAAGCAAGAAAAAAAAATAACTTGCCCGGAGATATAATCTCTGGCAATTATCCAGAGCGAGAAAACAAGGTTGATGATTTGAGCTTATGTATTGCACTAAAACTTGTCTAAATTGCCTTTCTTTGTCCTTATTCGGGACTGTAAAGAGCTTTGCATCAGTTTTTTTTTTCAGTTCAAAGAAATTCTAGCGCTTGATTAAGGCTTCAGCCGTCGAAAATTAATTGATCGATGCTGATGCATGTTTTAGTCAGTGGTATTTTGATGTGATAATTTGCGGTTGACAAGATAACCCGTCCGATCAGATTTCAGGCAACCAAAAATATGAGCCAATTTCTTACCTTTACGAAAAAAAAACAATTAAAATTTCCAGCGCTGGTCCAGGCCCAGGAACTCGTATTTTGGCTTAGTTCAGCTTACGAAGTTCTCTCTTCTTTTTTGTTTTCCCTTTTTTGTGTTTCTATTTTTCTGTTACAGTAGTTCGTTCGTTCTAGGTTTGGAGTTTCGTGCTGATCGGGTTACTGTATTCGTCTGATAGAGGAAGAGGGTTGAAAAAGAGGATGGAGTGACCAGTTGGTTGATCCTCAGGACTTGTAGGCGTTTGTTCAACGCTTTCTGATTGGCTGGTTCACGATTTTGAAATTTTTCATTTTCGATAATTAGAAATTTCGCGGCACTCAAAAACTCGAGATCCGGAGAGCCCCCAAAGAACGATAACGATCTCTTACTCGAATTGAATCTTCACTTCACTCTTGCTCTTGTCATTATCGAATTTCTCTGTTTCTTTCTAAGACTTGCACTTGTAGTGAAAGATAACACCGTGAACCTTGGCCTTGAGGGGTCGACCTGCGCGCTCGAAATGGGGGCAGAAGGAGTTATGAAACGAGGAGAAGCAGTTGGAGACGAGAGACCCCCGCGCGTACCTTCTGCGTATCCCCCGGGCCAAAGCGCTTTGCCGAGCTTGCGCTTTAGAAGGTGGAGGTGCAGCTAGGGTGCACCATAGGAGCAAATCGATAAGGAAAGGAAGGGCTTTGCGAATTGAGAAGAATAATAATTTTAATAAAATAATTTTTAATAAAAACTAAAATTATTTTTTAATTAAAAAATATTTTTTATTAATAAAGAAATCGAGAAGATCATCTCTTCTTTTGAGTCAAAAGTTTTAACCTAAGGGTGGTTTCGATGATTTCGCTATCGACTTTAGACCCTTAAGTTTTCGTTAATCGCGGACAATGACTCGAGAAAAAAAAACGTGCGCCACTCAATTAAGAAAATTCGCCGTTCATTAATCCCTTTTCTCGGGCACTCAGATTCCGTCAGATAAGTGACGTACGAAAGAAACAAAGGTTGCGTGGGGACCCTAGCTTGGTGCAGGGGTGCTACTTAGGCTCTGAGAAAAGCTATGACGCGATTCTCAGAAGGCAACAAATGCAAAGAACGGGATTAGATGAAAGGCAAAACAATCGTTTTCTTTGGGAATTAAATTGAAGATGCCTGAAAAAAATATTTTTCATAAATAAAATCTAAAACATCGGATTTAAAATCGAAAACAAAAAGATTAAAACGGAGCGTTTTTTAAGGTCACTTGAGGTCAAAAAATGAACTTGACCTCAAAAAGGTCGGCCTTCAATAATTGGCCCAGGGGAGGCGATTACGTCAGAAAAATGGTCCGACTGACTGGACCAAAGAACAAACACTCATTCACACGCTCTCAAGCACATCATAAATTTTTACAAGAGCTTTTTTTTTTGTCGGAATGAGAGAAAATCCAGAAGATTTGGAGCTTGTCAGAACTGTTGTTTTGGCGAGACATGGGGCGAGAAGCACGCTTTGCTATTTGGAAGAATTAGGTAAACACTTGCGTTTTTTCATCAAGAAAAATGCTGATCTTTTATGCAGGACCATCAACATGGAATGACCCGAAACTCTTCGAAGCTCCCGATCATGTGAAACAAGTCAAAGTCAACTGGACCGATGTTGGCGGCGGAGATCCTCCAAAGGCTCAATTTTCCGGAGGACTCCTTCCTTGCGGAGGTCAGCGGGGAGAACTGACAGTGAGGGGATACGAAGGAAACGCAAAGATTGGAAAGTACCTGAAGACGCAACTTGGGGAAATCAAGGAAGAGGATGTTTACGTCCGGAGCACGAATACTACTAGAACAGTGGAAAGCGCAAGGAAAGGCTTATACCAATCATTGTCTTTATTTTTTTAACTTAATTCTTCCGCGATAAGCATAAGTCAGAGCAATCGTCGCTGGATTTTTCGATAAAGAAATGGAAGTTACTATCGAAACTCCTGCAAATGATGAAGATGGTAAGATTTACGTTTCGTTATTTTGACTCTTCTTTTCTTTAGATTTTTTGACCCTTCATCGATCAGCAAAAGCCGCCCTAGAAAATCTTCAATGGCCCTGGGGAGCAACTTGCCTATACGAACCTTTTCAGGGGAAAATGTCGAAGATTATTAAAGAAGTCGAGATTTTGAAGAAAAGACCTGAAGGAGAGCAAAGACAATTTTTGCCGATCGGAGTTTATGATGATTATATGTGCAGGAAAGGATCACCAGATGAAATCATAGATAGAGGAGGATTTTCGGTGAATTCTTGAAAAGAAAAGAGCATGGGTTTAAAATTAACAATGAAGACAAAATGGATTCGGTGGCGAAAGATTTGGAGGAACTGGCTGTTTTGACCAAACATATCATCAATGGAATAAGGTTTGTTTTCGACGTTTTTTCGTACTAACCCTAAGTTTGGTTCTTGTTGATTTTGATTTTTAGCGACGAAGAAAGACAATTTGTTCTGTCGCTCAAAGCAGGAAGATTGCTTCAATACATTGTTTCTGAATTGAAAAAGCCCTTGTCAATCCTCAGGTAACAACGAATAATAGCCAAATTACACATTCTTGATTCCCAGTGTTCACGATACAACCCTCGGACCAATGCACCAAGCCCTCACGCACAAAACAGTAAAAGAAACTGGCAAACTATGCGTCTATCCTCCTTACTCCGCCCACATCGACTTCTACTTTTACAAAAACGCCAAAAACGAAGAGTTCATCCAAGTCGATTTTCAGCGCGAACCAATCTTGTTCAACGGAAAAACCATCATTTCTCTAGAAGAGTTTTTGGAGGAAACGAAATGGTTCAGAATGACACAGGAAGAGTTTGAGAAGAAGAAGAGCCAGGAGCCGCCGATTCCTGCGAGGTTTTCTGCAGAAGACGAAGCGGAATTTCACAAATTTCCTGAGAAATATCTGAAGCTGGAGAGTTGAATAAATGGTCCTTTTCAGAATTGAATGGTTTATTTACAGTTAAAATTACAGAATGAAAAGATACCAGATGATATCACGAATCGACGAAAAATCTCGACAAATTTTGCGTAGGCGGCTACTAGGCTTCTGATTGGCCGGTCAGCAAAACGCCGGCTTCTGATTGGTTGAAAATATCCGTGCAAAACTTGTCGGAAAAATTGTATTTTCGCCATTTTTTGGGATTTAAAAGAGCGAAATTTATCAAAAAAAAGGATCTTCTCTGGTGGGGTCGGCTTGTTGTTCTTATGGTGCGAGAGTCATAGACTCTTCAAATGATCAAGCATCATTGAAAAATGAATGGAAGTTCTTCTCAATTCAAATCCGGAATCAACTTCGTTTTCGATGATTTTCATTTTCTCCTCTTCCTCTTGATTTTGATTCTCAAAGTTGCTCGATCCGCAGCTGAAGATTTGAACGACTCGATTGAAAACTTTCTCGTTGAGGCTCTCTTTCATTTTTGTGGAATAGTTTGACTGGCTTGAAACTTAGGAAGAAGGCTTAATAGTCTTTCGGTCTCGTGAAACGCCGCTGGCGCTAGAGCTTTAATTTTTTTTCTTACGTCACCGGTGATAGCTATCGCCCTTTGAGTAAGCACAGGTGCATGACTCTTTTTGCGACCCGGTCTGAGAATCGGTCATCAAATGCTTATTCTTAGTTCAGTGAAAAGCTTGCTTTCTCCGAGGGATTTCTGAAGCTGGAATTTCTTGAATTTTGGATTTTTTTCTATTAAAAGTTTCAAAAAGGGTTGAAATTTTATGAGAAAATTTAAAAAGAGTAGGTTTATAAGGTCGATTCTTGGGAATTGAAGCCAGTTTAAGCCGATTTTAGTCCAAGATGCCAACTTTTGAGCGATTTTTTGACAAGAAAACGATTATAAAAATGAGATTTTCTTCTATACAATTCTAGTTCTAGGTCAAAACTTACTAAAAATAAAAGATTCAAGCCTCCAATTCATCTAGATTTCCCAGAATAGGGCCATGGTTAGAGCCATTTGGACACCCGTACCCTTAAAAAGGTTCATTATTGGTTCCAATAAGCAAAAATTCACTAAATGGACAGTAATATCTAAGATTCAAATGCTTTGGTCCTTTATTTTATCAAAATAAGAGTCATAAAGAGTTTTTTATTCTTCCCCTAGGTCCGATAGAACTCGACCCGTTTCAATTTTCCTGATTAAAAGAAGAGCTCTTCCCGCGGTTTTAAAAATAAAGAGCCCCAATACTATTCTCAAATCTAATTAATCAAGGAATCAGATTCAATCACGACAAGCAGTCTTGAAACGACAAGTCTTCATTTCGCCACCTGTAGCAAACAGTAGCCATTCACAAAAATAAGCTTGTTTTGTTTTTGATTATTTTCCGCTTCGACGCTCAATCCATATTTAAAAATCGAAGACCGACAAACGAAATTATCTTCCTGAAGAGTTCGAGAATGAGCCGCAAAGTGGCCGCCGGCCGATAATTGTCGCTAATATAACTTAATATCCCGCGGAGAGGATATGCCTTGCTTTCCAATAGTCTTCGATTTCTGAGAGTTTGAAGAAGTGGGGAAGAGAAAAGAAGAAAAAGGGGAAGAATGAAACAAGAGATAATGGCGGAGTACTTTCCGGCGCAGGATTTTGTCGTGACCACGCATACGAATTCGAAAGAAAAAGGGTTGAAAATTTTCTTATAGAAGTGTTTTTAATCGCAAAGAGAACACCATAAGTGAGAGTCAAAAATAATGTTATATAAAATTTTTGCATTAAATATGTCTTGTGTTTGCAAAATAATTATCGAGAAGGTGATACGGCCTAATTCTTCGGCTTGGAGGCCGAAGGATTGATTCGTGAAAGAACAGTGATTCTTCGGCAAGAATCGAAGAATAAGTGATAGAAGATGCACTGATTCTTCGGCTAAGGTGAATTTATTCACAGATTCCTGTGCCCCTTACCAAGGGGCTCCGCCCCTTAGGTCCTAAAATGCCGGGGTCTAGTCTAGGGTTACTTAGGGTTACCTTCAGTAACCCTAACTAACCCTAGCCTATCCCCCTCGGGTGAGTTTGTTCTGTCACTTTGCTCAGTGCCCCCTAACACTAGCCTCAAATTATAGAAAATACTTATTGCTAAAATGAGTTTTTTCTCTAGAAAATGTCCTTTTTATTATGACTCATATTTGACAATCAAAGATCTATCAAAAGAATTTCGATAATGGATTCTAGAAAATTTGCCGAAGAATCACTGTCAAGTTTATCATAAATCCTTCGGTTCAAGGCAATTCTCAATTAGCCGAAGAATCAGTGTTATTTAAAGCATCAATTCTTCGGTCTTGCCGAAGAATCAGCCCATACCACGATCGAGAAGGATAATGAGATGGATAACGAGATGGATAAAGATGTTTGATAATGATTCAACATTAATGAAATAGATAATTTGATCGAGAATAAATGAGATCGAGAAATTGAGTCCTGTTATTTATTTTCAACCCCATAAAGTCCCTAAATGGAAACCAGAAGTGCATGTCGACACAGGCTCCGACAATGGATATGTTGGAATTTTCTTCAACATCATGTAAGATTCGATTTTCATCAATAAAAAGGACCTCGAACCGTCAATTGAGCCATTGGGTTATTTTCGTTAATATCCTTTCAGAGGGATGATTATGGCAGTAATAACACTTCCTCTCGGCTTGTTGCAGGAATTCACCATCTACCACAAACGACAAGCCGCGAGAGACCACTGTAAAGAAGCACATGGAACTAACTGTGGCCTGAATACCATCCAACTTGGTAGCAACCTTTTTAAATACAACAAACTCAACGACTGAAATTCAGAGCAGCGCAACATCTCCGACCCCGTGCACACCTACAACTTCGGATTTCAGACTGATTTCTACAAGTGGTGCTTGGTCACTCAACTGATTTGCTTACTCGTCATTGGTTTTCTCGTCATAATTCAGAAAATAACCAATAAAGCGATTTGAAACATAATTTATCTTTATTGAATTTTCCGAAGCAAGTCAGTTATTTTTTCATTCCGGTGTAAAGAGATCCTCTTCAGATCCGATTCTCACTTTGCCCACGTACTTTTCAAACTCAACAACATCGTTGAAATCCTCAACTTCAAAAACAGGCAACCATCGTTCTGAAACTGCTCCGTCTTCGTTGATTTCTTGGCAGTTGTAGTGCATCACTCGGTTGATGAGTCGACGACCCTTGATTTTCAAGTTCTTTCTTTTTCGCTTTCGAAGTTTTGTTTTCTTCGAAGGCGAATCTTCATGAATCTCCTTGTTGATCCTGAAAAGACGGGTTGAAAAGAGGACGATTTTTCTTGTATAAATGGATTTTAGAATAATATGAAAGTATGACTCACCCTGGAGACGGAACCACCATAGGTTCAGGGATTTTAAAGACGAAGTCATCTTGAAAAATTTCATTTTTGCTCGACCGAAGCGATCTTTTTCGTTGATTTTCTTCCTTGATTTCAGTTTCAAGCGGAGCCGCGCTCTTTTCTTCGGTTTTTGTGGTGGTCTTTCTCGAACTGCCCAGACGAGCCTTGAGCTCACTGTCGGTTTTGTTCTTCCTTTGGAGGCGATTTCTGATAGTAGCGATGTGGGTTCTACTCACATCTTTACCAAGCTTTTCGGCAAATTCTTCTGCGATCTCGTTCAATGTCAATTCTGATCTAAAATTAATGCGTCAACAAAAAAATCATAAATCGAAAATCGCTTCTTTTCTCACCTCTTTTTTAGAAGAAATTTTGATATTTCCTTCTTGTCTTCTTCCGACAAATGCACTTTTGGCCTTCTCTTTATTGCTAGTGGACTTTCGTCTTCGCCTTCTTCGTCATTTTCAAGAAATTTGTAGTGCGTTTCTTTCGAGTTTTTAAACGCTATGTTCAGCCATTTTTGCAAGTCCTGTTTTATCGAACCAATTTGCCTGAAGACCAAAATGATTAATGAAAAGATATTTTTGGAATTACCGCACAGTAACTTTTCGCTTCAAAGCCGTCGAGAAATGTTTTGAAAGTTCTGCAACAGAAGCATTTTCATTTTTCTTAATAAAATTCGCGATTTTGTGCTTTTCTCCAAAAGTCAGTCGAATGAATGAAACCCTTTTTCTTCGAAAAGAATCATTTTTTGTTGATTTTTTCTCTTGCATTTTCCCAAAATCGCAAAGAATATAGGATTCGGATTAGCAGCTTCAAGCATCGGTGGACTCGGATTAGCAACTAAAGAACCGACAGTGCCGTGACCCATTTCCAAAACGGGAGGTGATACAGGCGCAAGAGAGCGAGACACTTAAGCGGCTGCATAGAATCACGCAAGCCAGAACCGAAAATTATAGCCTAGGGCTATAATATTCACAGGGAAAAAGTTAAGAGAATCTTTGAGAGCCTCCAAACTCGCAAAGCCGAGAATTTAATCAACTCTCAAAGACTCTTAAGGTAGACCATCATTAGGTTTTACCAGTTATTCCCAAGTCCTTCAAGACTATAAACTGTTTGGGCACCTTGCCCACCCTTAAAAGTCTCAAAGACTCTAAACTCAGTCCAAGGGACTATAAAAACTAAAAGTCCCCTGGACTTATACGCTTATTCTACAAGAATTGCGGAAGAAAAGATGCTTAAATTTCGAGTCTACGGACCTTAAAAGATTCTGGGATGAGGCCAACACTCTAGTAACGGCCTCCCGCTTCACTCAAAGGAAAAAGCGGCACCTGCATAAGCGGCGCAAGTTCATATAAAGGCGCGGTAAGCCGTAGCCAATCAGAGCGAGCGCGCGCGATGCACCAAAAATCCCCCATTCCAGGCAGATCCTAGAACGAGATCTAAAAAAAAAAGCCTGAAGCTCCCGGAAAGGAGAAGATAGCAGCATAAGCATCATTTTCACACCTTAGAGAAGCTAAGAAGATTCCGAACTAGAACGATTCGGAGCTGCTAGCCCCGGGGCAGAGAAACCCTGGTTAAAAGACCGATCAAGAACGAATCGGCAGCTGCGCGTTTTAGAATTTCTGAGACTGCAACCCACCGCATTCCTGTACCTTGAGGATATTTCTATACAAAATTAAGAATCCTTGCTCAATCAAGCTTTATTCAGCTATGTTCGGCGAGGCATTCGGGAAAGCAGCCCAAAATTACGCGCCGAAAGTGGGCACAGCCTCAGATGCACACCCAAAACTGCCAATCAAGCACACGCCCAGGAAGCTTCAAACACTAGAAGCAGCTATCCTCAGGAAAGGCTCCGCTTTGAATCCTTTTAGAGTCAAAAAGAGAATGACTGATGAGCCCATTAGAAATGATCTAGTCCTAGACGCAATGATCGATTGGTCACGAATCTCAAGAACAATCCTTCTCCCAGAAGGACCTGATTCGAAAATCATCAGACTCGCAGTTCTCTCAGACGTCCACAGCCTCTTGGCCGACCAGAATCTGGCTTTCAATCCCAAAACGCCCGAAAAGACGAAGCGTCAATTCGAAGAGCTAGCGTCATAGGCCAAGATCATATTCTGCTCAACATCGGGCAAAGAATCACTTTGGCTCACACCAGAATCAAGCTGCCCAACGGAGACGCTCCAAGCGATTTCTTCAAAAATAGCAGCAGCCGAAGGAAAAGCCGCAGAAGATTGGCAGCTAGAATTAGCGCCATACCCATTTAGCCCAGCTATCAGTCCGACGAAACTCTCAACGAATGAGGGGTGCAGCTTTAGCCCGAGCCTCGACTTGAGAAGCTTCGAATCTATAGCAGATTTTGACGCCAACGCAAGACCAGAGGGCAGAAGAGGAAACGCCCTGAGAATCGTAGCCAAAAGACTCCCAACTGAAGATGATTCGGGCAACGACCTCAGATTCCTAACACCGGCGGATCCAGACGAAGCTAATCGCCTCTTTCCAACCTCAGTCCTGGAGGAATTCAAGCGTCGAAACAAGCTGCGCTCAGAAGATTGGTTCAATGAGTGGGAGATGCTGGACCACGCGGACATCCTCGACGAAGGTTTCTGGCACGCAATCTGTATCCGCGTGATCAAAGAAAACATGACCAAGGCCAGAGCAGACTACGAGCTTCAAGGTTTCCGCAGCCGCTCATGGTTAACGAAGCTTATAACCAAAGGGCTTGAAGAAGTCTTCGAAGCACTTTTCAGAATCGAAGCGCATCCAAGCCCAGCAGAAATGCTCGAAAAGCTGCAATGGCTGAAAGCGTCCAAAAACTGGCACACAATATGCCACCAAGAAAACGCCTGGATCTCCCTCAAAAAGAAGCCAGAAACCAGCTGGACCAGACGAGAACCAGCGAATGCGGATGCCTGGATTCCGGAAGTCATCGGAAGTTTCCAGAAAAAAGACGGAAAACTTCCAAGAGCCACACCGCTTACGCGAATTCTCTCGCAGCTCATCCTGCACGTGGCTCACAAACAGCTTCTCAACGATAGCATCATTGGACAAGACGGTGATTGCAGAGAAATGATCACCCAGTGGCACTCAGAATGGAAGCAACTCACGGAATCAGAGTCGTTGGAAAAGTGGCTCGGTGCAGCGGCTAAAAAGACCTGCCCCATCGGCACTACTCTCCGAATCAAAGAAATAGGAAGAGGCGAATACCACTGGGTATTGTGGATCCCGTGCAGGGCAGCTCCACAGCTATGGATTTTCAACCTAGATCCCGCCCCAAGCAGCAGACAGGAAAAAGCGCTTCTAGCCCTAGCAGATCATCCGATGCTCAACACAACTGAGGCAGCGGCGCTGAAGAAGCTAGCTCTCACGGATTGGACGACAAGTAGCTGCAAAGAAGGAATCGAAAGCTTCAACAACGACAAGAACTTCTGGAGAAACGATAGGTGCGTCGTAGGACTCAAACGGCCATCTTCAACTCAGCTAAAACTGCTAGACACGATGGTGAAAGTGGTGAATGAAACAAAGAGGCTCCCAGACGCCAGAGATGTCATCCACAATCTCAAAATTCTTACCACAGGTTGGAAATGGGCAAAAGGAGGCAAATTCAGCCCGGATCCAAGCATCGAAAAGTTCACACTGGGCTGGCTTTACCACAGACTCAGAGTCACAGAAGAAGCAAGGCTCAGCCTGAAAGAATCGCCCGAAGCACGAGAAGATCGAGGCTGCGAATCGCCACTTGAAGAAGACCGTGCAGCATGGTGCCAAAATAAGGGCATGAAGCTAGAAGTCCTGGAGCGCAGGAGACGCGACTGCGTCAAGAATCACGAAGAAAGATTCCCGCCAGCCCTGGCCGACGCGCTCAAAGAAAGAAGCATCAGAATCGACAGCCCCGAATGGCACAGCTTACATCAGGAGCTTGCGCAGATCTTCAAAAACGACTCGAACGCAGCGGCCACCAAAAACCTCATCAAAAAGATCCAAGAAACGGAGGTGGAGGGCTTCGATTCAATCATTGAAGCCTGGAAAGCGACGGAAATCCTACTCAGCAGCGGATGGGATAATCTCCTCGACTTCGTGACAAGATTCAATTCGCTAGACTCGGCCGTCAAGAAAAGAAACAGAGCCGAAGATCCCTTTCTTAAAGGCCTAATCATCTACCACGACGCGCTCCAATACGCCAGAAACAGCTTCTCTGCTTTTCCGATTGGCAAAGGGGCCAATTCCGCACTTGAGCCGCTCTCCACCCTCGCAATCCAAATTTCAGACGTCAAAAAAGGCGACTGGAATGAAGTAGCGGCTCTGATCGCAACAGAAGCGTCAAAACGAAGCTACCTGACCATCGTTTTCCCAAGCAACGAAGATGCAAAAAGCTTCAAACAGCAGCTATCGTTTCACGCGATTTACAATCTGCGAATTGTCACGCCTAAAAATTCGCCGAGCTCAACCCTGCCTTTACCATCGTATGGAACATCTACACACTCGGCTGCGATGGCGAATATGACTCGATTCAGACGCCTTGCTGGGCACACCCCAAAGTTGCAGGAGAAATGTTCAAAACCTGCAATGGCGAAGCCTCGCGCCCCTGGCCGATGGAAATTTCCACCAAAATCAGCCTCAGGTAAATAAAAAATAAAGCCTCCAGGAAAAATAAGTATATTTTATACAGGTCAAAAAAAAAGAGCCTCAAAAAGAAGCTCCAGAAGCTTGTGGTAAGAAAAAAGTAAAACTTTACAATTTACTTACTCAAGTAATTAGATTGAAAAGCCCTCGGTAAAAAATAAGTAATTTTTTACATCTTGTTAACAAAAAAAAAGGGGCCTCAAAAATAAAGACTCGATACGCCCTCGGTAAGAAATTAGTAATTTCTTACAAATTCAGCCTCAGATAAATTAAAATTTTTTTAGAAACCTTGGGTAAAAAATATGTAATTTTTTACATTTATTTTACTAAAGAAGAGCCCCAAAATGATAAGCTGAAAATATGTAGAATCCGGCTCTAACAGAATCTAGAAAAAAGAAGCTTAAACAAATTCTCAGATCCGCGAATGCATCTTGGGAAGAAATAGCGGCAGAAAAGCATGACATCAGCATCGCCGGGCCATTCACAACCCACATTCGCGACATTCTGATGGACGCAGTAAAAGCGGCAAGCCACTTTTTATCCAAGGAAGAAGCTCCAGCAGCTGAGGCAGAAAATTTCTTCCCGAATGTCTGGACGCCAGCGCTACAGAAGCTTGAAGAAAGAATCGCTAGAGTCCTACGTCAGACGGAAGCCAAGCAACATTAGCGCCTGTCCAGAGAAACCCTGACCCCACTTCTAATTTTCACACTCTTCAGGAGAAGGGAGACAATAGAAAAGCGACAGAAGCTTAGAGAATCTAATCGGCTCGAACCGAACTCCAGCCAGTTAAATTGTCCCCTTAAAAGAGAAATCGCCCAGAAAAATTTTAAATCCATAAAGCCTCACACCAGAAACCAAATAAGCAGCAAAAATCCCAGGAAAAGGGTTCATAGCCAGTGAATCAAAATACAATTAAGCATCCTTTATAAAAAGAAAGGAAAAACCCATTCCAAAGCAGAAAAAACGAGCGTGGGAAAATTCCCGCGGCGAGCGAGCGCCAGCCAATCAGGAGCGGGCGCGCCGCGAACTCAGATCATTGGAAATTCTGAGAATTGAAACAAAATAAAGAGAATCGCTCGCCCCAAAAAAGAGAATCAAAAAAAAAAAGAAGCTTCCGAGAGAATTTTTCCCGCTTTAGCTGCTCAAAACAAAATTTTATTTGATAAAACTTAAAATTTGCCGCTCGTACTCAAATTTTTTCTTTCCGTGCCAACAAAAATTCAAAATTTTCAAAAAAAAAAATTAATCGAAATTTCTTTCTAGACACGGAATTATGAGCAGCAAAAGCAGCAACAAGCAGCAGATGCCCAAGCCCATCCTCAAGCAAGAGAAAAAGAAAGAGAAAGGCAATGCCATCTTCCAGAGGCACCGAGCGAAAGTGGCCCAGAAGTTTCTAGAGGTTACTGAAACCTTGATCAAAGGAAAAGAGTTTAAAAAGAAACCCTTAATAATCTGAAATGAAGATCATAAGATCACTTTTAAACTCATTTAAAAGGCCTCATGGACAAGGACATGAAGCTCACTCTCAAGAAGCATATGGAAGCGATGGAGAAAGCATCCAAAATCCTCTCAAAACTCGTCCGGGACGAGTACGGAGACTTGGAAGAAGAACACAAGCATCTCTCAGTCCCCAGCCTCTTCTACTCCTGCCTGAACGTCACCAAAGCGCACATCGACATCCCTTGGATCGTCTGCCTCGCATACCTGGAAGAAGGCGAGAACTTCGACGAAGCGGCCGAGCCAGTCTACTGGGAACGAATCGCCGATCTCAAGGCAAAGACTGGCTTCAGATTCAAGAAAGACAGAGTCCCTTCAAAGGATGAGCGAAGGGACATGAGGAGCGAAGTCAAGGCGAAGATGATCCGAGAGAAAGGCTGGGAAGAAACGAAAGCAGCTTCCTACGCACTGAAGTTCTTCCTCGAGCTTCCAGAAGATGCTTCAACTCAGACTTTGGACCCTCCAGCAGCAGAGCTCAAGCATCAGGAAGTCCAAACAGAACAAGGAAAGGATTTAAAAAGTCAGCAGAATCGCTAAGCCTCAAATAGTCTTAAAGCAAACATTATAATCCTTGAAAAAAGAGTCTCAGCAGCTGGAAGAACCGCCGGAAGCGCCTGAACCTGAGCCTCAGCAGCCTGAAAGTGAAGCCAGCGCAGCCGTCGACGTCGTCGCAGCCACGGACAGCGCAGAAAACGACAGCGACGATGAAGATTCTTTCAACGCGCAGTCAGGAAAGGATTCTTATAGCCAAATAAAAACGAAAAGTGAAGTTTCTCTAGAATTAAAACGGCTTTAAAATCCTCTATAAAGACCCAGGCCAGTTCAACCCGCCCGTCAAGATCGACCCAAGCAAACTCAGACGAGCCAGCGGCGATGACGAAGAAAAAGAAGAAATCCTCGAGGAAGAATTCTTCTCAGCAGCGGAAGAGCCACAGCTAGAAGGCTTCAGCGAACCCGCAGCCGCAGATCCGCCAAAGCAGCCAACTACAACAAGCTTCAGAGCCAAGATGATGGAGCGAAGACGAAGACACCAGCTCAGCCGCCGAAGTGGCCTCACCGAAGAGCTTCTCCAACAAGCGGAAGCCTCCTCACAGACAGAGGAGCGAGAAAAGCAGCGAAAGCAGCAGGAACGTGAGCGCCAGATGGAGATGGAACGTCAAGAAGAGGAAGAAAGACAAAAGCAGCAGGAGCTTGAGCGCCAGCGGAAGTTGGAAGAGCGAAAGAAGGAGGAAGAAGCTCGAAAGCGCCAAGAACAGCAGCAGAAGGAGCAAGAAGAACTGGCTCGACAACAACGAAAGAAAGAGGCCAAAGCTGCGGCTCAGCGTCAAGTGGAAGAAAACACCAGGATCCGCCAGCAGTACTTCCAGCAGAAGGAGAAAGAAGAACGCGAAAAGCAGCTAAAAGAAGCCCAGAAGGAAGAGAAGCCGCTCCTCAAGCCTCGCATCAGCATCTACGACGTGGCAGACACGGGCCGACCCGGGAATCACTACTTCCTGACCAAAAGCCAAGGAAAGGGTCACTTTGAAGCAGAAATAAAAATAATCTAAAAAAAAAAACCTTTTAAAAATAGAAACCAAAAAGTGACCTTTTAAAAAAGCCAAGCTCATGAGCAAGGATAGCGTCAGAGAAGCCCTGGGCGCCCCGAAAGAAAATGGTCTCTCCTACGCTGAACGAGAAGCGATCAAAGAAGCCTGGTACAGCAGCCTCAGCCACGAGAAGCTCATCAGCTCGCAGCAGGAGGGCCGATCACTCGCAAAGTACCACAGCCGCAGTGGTTGGACAATCAAGGACGAGCCGCCCTTCAAAGCATCCAGCCTCATCCGAAGCAAGGAAATCCGCGTCATGCACTACATCTTCGAATGGATGGATTACCGTGGCATCAAGAAAAGATTCCAAGAAGCTTACCGTAAGTTAGAACCAATGAAAACATAAATTAACAAATCTGCCTTTAGAAGCCGGCTTCATCAACCCAAAGCGTCTGGACATCCTCATCTGCTTCACAATGAAGATAGTCGGCGGCAAACTCGTCAAATTCATCAGACAAATGTTCGTCCGATGCCTCAACGACCTCAAAATCAGCATCCCTGCCATCAACATCGAAGCTGCCCCGACCTACTGATGCTGCCAAAAGAAGCAAGAAGATTCAAAAACAACGAAAAGTTGTTCATCATAGGAAAAGCCTCTTATTAATCATCTGTATCTTCAAATTTTTTAACGGAAAAAACTTTTACTTAGGCAAATAGCCAACTGTGCTAAAATAAATAAGCAAGTCTCAATAGAAGACATTCGACTCTTTACTGGCAAAAGAAATGTAGCACTAAGTCTCAAAAAGAAATACCTTTTAAGAATACAAGAGTCAAAAAAAAAGAGACTCAAAGACAAAAGTTTAGAAGGGCAAATGAAACTCGAGTCTGGATCATGCGAAGTCCCCCCAAAAGATTCACAGATGCCTTCAGCCTCAGGAGAAGGATAGATATAAAGTTTTGGATTAGCTTTTGATGCACGGAAGCTTCAGTAGCCAAAAAAAAAAAGAGGTCATTGAGATCAGGACTGATTCTATTTTTTGAATTAATCACTTAGAGTCGAAGCTTTAACCTGGAAGTAAGTCCACATTTTCACATAGAATCTAAATTTATGGTGCAAAGCTTCTTATCCTTAAAAAGAGGAATCCCTCTCGGAGAGCATCTCAGCAGAATCGGATGAGGAAGCAGCAGAGGAAGTCCCCGAAATACCAGCCACCCTTCCAACCGCTCATGAAGCAAGAACAACTCTTCAATTGGAAATTTTAAAAGCCCTAATCTGGGATATCCAAAATAGCCTCAACACGAACGCAGCGGTGCCTCCTAAAAGAGTCGCTTGCTATGGAGAAACGGTAGAGGCAAAAATGACGAACCTCGTCAAAGAAGCGCTGAAAATATTCTCAGAATCCCAAGAAGCTCCAAACGCGGTAAAAAAAATCCTCAGACAAATGGAAGAAGAGGAAACAGAAGCAGCCGAATCCACAGAGGCTTTCCAAGCTATTGCAACACTGCTCCACAGCACGTCAATCAACATCAACAGACGCATAGCATCTACTAATAAAATAGAAGTAGAAGCGATTCAGAACACAATCGAAGGGAAAGTAAGACCGCTAGTGGAGAATCTGATGAAGCAAGTCCACAATTCGGAAATCTTCCGGTCCAAAGAGCTGGTGTTTTGGGCAACTACGATGGCGCCTACTGAACAAGACTCAATAAGCGGAGAAGATCTTCAGAAGCTAGAAGAAGCCATCTTCTGGATAATAGGAAGGCTCTGGGGCCACCCAGCAGAAGCTATCCTGAAAATGGCCGTGGCCAAATGCGAGAAACTAGCAGCCTCGAACTCTAAAGCGTCAGTCAGATTCATTATCTACTCCCACATCTGGAACCTAAGATTCAAACAAGTCCTGAACAGAAGGGTGGAGGAAAGAAGTGCCTCCTTCTCAAACGAAAGACAGATGGCTGCAGCCATTGCGAACGCAATCTTTGGAGAAATCCTTTTCCAAATCACGAATACCCGCTGCATCTTCCCGAGACTCCTTTCAAGCGCGGCAAGATCGGCCTGGACGCATTTGAACTCCCTACTGGGTGAAGCTAACCCAATCAGCATCATTCTTAAGGATTTCTTGGCAAATGTGGATTGTAACCCGGAGTTTACAGCCTGGGACGCAATCTTATCATTACGAAGAATCTGGCCAAACCGCCAAAACATCCCGGAGGCCGAATACAAGATCCTCAATCTAAGTGGAATCGACGACAGAATCGAAAGAGGCTTAGAGAATCCAGCGTCACTGAGCGGCACGACTTACGAAAAGCTGTTTTGGCGAATCCCTATTCCTAAAAACTACGACCATGCAGGCGCCTGGAGACAAGGAGGAAAGCGAAAAAGAGAAGAAACCGAAGAAGGCGACGACTTGGGCGAGCATCGAGTCGCAAATGACGGCTCTAGCTAATAAAGGCGCGTTCGAGCCATTGAAAACTAGCCTCATCACACCTGTCACATTAAAAGAATCACACGTTAAAGGCCCAAACTCACTGCAAGAATGGAAAATCTATGAATCAAAGCTGCTAGAAAGAGTCGTTGCAGTCTTAGAAGGCCGCGAGAAGCCAGACTGGAGCTCACTCTTCTTCAAAAAAGAATCGGACTTCATCGCCGGCATTTGGACACACAATAAAGACAACTGGAGAACCCTGATTCATCAGATGCCAGAAAAAATCAAGCCTCTCATCTACCACTTCGTCATGAACGGGGCCGATCTATTTTATAACCTCAAGCCAATCTCGCACAAGCAGCCAGAAAAATTCAAGAAAAAGATGCTGGTTACGCGCTGGAAACGACATCACGCAAACTCAGAAACCCTCAAGAAGCTCGGAGGCAACCACAAAACTTGGAAAAACGGCCGCCTGCGCATCACAAAATTCGTTCCAAAGCCCTACGAGAAAATCGGGAAAAGATTCAAGAGTCTTACCGTAGCGAGCCAAGAAGCGGTCCTGTCTAGAAACGAAGAAATCATCGACCAAATCCTCACCTGGTGCAAGATGGGCTCAATCTCAAGGCTTCCAGAAGCATCGAAAAACTGCTGGCTGCAATCAGGCTTCATTCTAGTGGACAAGCCCGGAAAGGAAACAAGAGTCTGCCTCAACGGAGGAATCCTCAAACCACTTCAATTGTTTACCTTCCCCTGCAAATTAGATGCAGTAGGCACAGCGATTCAGATGCTCAACAGAGGCGACTTGCTGTTCAAGTTTGATGATAAAAAAGGCGAGAAATTTTTTGCCACAAAAAAAAAAACTGAAAAATTTAGGTTTTCATCAGCTGCCGATCTCAGAAGAAAGCCGCAAAATGGCCTGCTTCGAATGGGGAGGCCAAAGATTCATGAATAACATCTTGGCGTTCGGAATACCAGCCGCTCCAGGCATCTACCAGCTCATGAACCTCTGTGGCGTCAATTTTCTGAGAAAAAATGGGGTAAAAATCACGCTCTACCTCGATGATCGCCTCTTGATTGTGTCACCAGCATCAGACGAGGAAAGAAGACAGCTTCTAGACGGTACAAAAATCTGCAAAGAAGTCTGGGCGACAGCAGCTACTCTGATCTCCCTTGGCGGCTATGTGAACATCGAGAAAAGCACATTCAAACCGACGCAAAGAATCGAATTCCTAGGCTTCATTCTGGATACAGTCAAAGAAACGGTAGAAATACCTCCTCAACGCTGGAACGCCCTGATAAACCTCATGCAAGAAGCCCTAGAAAAGCAGCAAGTGGAAACCAAGCTGCTAGAAAGAATCAGAGGCACCATGGCAAGCATGGCAGAAGTCTTCTCCAACATGAGGCTTCTAATCCGCCAAACGACGCTCCTAATAACCCAGGCCATGCACAAAGATCAAGAATTCACGAAGCTTACAGATCAGGTCAGAAGCGAGTGGGCCAAGTGGAGGAAACTTGAAGAGAATGGACTTTCGAGAATCTGGACGCAGCATAACCGTCAAGAATCAGGCATTATTATCTATACAGATGCATCTATGCACGCGGGAGCAATCGTTATAGAACAATGGAATTTGGAAGAAAAATTTGCATGGGACGAAGAAATAGCAGACAGCCACATCTGCATAAAAGAGGCCATGGCTATCCTTTATGTCGTAGAATGGTACGGACCGAAGCTAGAAAACAAGCGAATCCTCTGCCTCTGCGACAACGACTCGGTCGTACAAGGCATCATGGTGGGAAGCAAAGACCTCGAAATGAACAGCATCTTAGTCAGAATCTGGGAAGTCGCCCAGAGATTCAATATTGATATGAAGGTCGACTGGGTTTCCACAAAAAAGCAGCTGGCAGACGCGCCTTCCAGAATCATCGATTCGAGAGAACAGCGGCTGACGAACAACGGCTTCGCATATCTGCAATCTCATCTCTCAAAGACGCTGGATGTCGACGTGGCAGCAACGGTAAGCATCGAGCAAAAGCACCAGTTCAAAAATAAAGCGGCCAACTTTTCAGGAAATTAACAAGAGATGCGAAGACTTCATTGCACGCAGAGAATCCGCACACGCGTTGGGCGCTGACTTTTTAAGCTTCCCAATATATAAATTGATTGGAAGAGTCCTTTATGCTTTCCCACCACAAGTTATAGCATACAAATTCTTCAAAAGACTCCTGGAGATCCCAACTCCATGGGCGCTTGTTATCACCATCTATGAGGCGGAAACACCGGTTGTCGCTGAAGCAAGGCTTAGAGGCCTAAGAATCTTCGACATTCCAGCAGACTCTATCCTCACGCCTTCGAAAATAAAGACAGAAGCTGGTTACTGGAAAATAGCATCGAATATATCCACCATAAAAATTATCTGCAATAGACTCTAAATTAGCAGCTCTTTGAGAACTATATTTTCTATCTTGCATCACACAAAATCGCAGCCCCAATTTTATAACCCAGCTGACTCGAACCCTTTCTTCAGATTGCCGCATCAACCTGCCAATATGGGCGACCATCATAATGTGTTGTCAATGTTGAAGGAGCACTTTACGTCCACGCAGCATGATTCAAGAACACGAGCTACGCGGATAGCCATCACGCAGGCCGACTACGAAGCCGACCAAGAATCCCCCGAAGCTTCGGAAGAGATAAAGCGGCTAAGACTCGAAATCGACGACATACGCAACGACCTCGTCTTCCACGATTCTATGACGGACGAACTCATCGTAAGATCCTAGCCACTAACCTTAAGTCGTCAAAAAGATGATTTTTAGGCCGAAATGAAGACTCTCGCCGAAAATCGCCAAAAAAGCATCGAAATCAAGGAAGCAGAGCCAAATGCAAGAAAGCGATCTGCCGAGGACAACAAGTTCTACGATGCCAACAACCCTAAAGAAATAGCGGAGGCACTCGAAAAACTAAGCGTCAAGAAAATGGAGCGCTACGCAGCGAAGTCCACCATGCTCAAGGCGATCAAGATTCGGGAAGCGGAAATCTCCGACCTGACTCATAAGAAAGGCGAGACAGCGGCAATTCACTCGGAAACCTGCCCAACAACAGGCATCACTTCCTACTACAGGGTAAAACTACCAAAAAGAGAATCCTAGAAAAACGAATTCTTTTAGACCCAGATCGGAGCGGTTGACCTTAACCAAGGCGAAGGTGAAAACCTGGACGAAATGGGCCGACGATTCCGCCACTTCATTACAGACGCGAAGAAGCAGCGAATGTTCAAGGGGCACGAGCTGATGGAGCTTCTAAGACGCTACAAAGCGGCTATGGGGCCTGAGAAGCGAGCAAAGCCAGTGGTAACGGCCATCATGGATTTCCTGATCAAAACCCCGGACATGCCTCGGAGAACAGCCCTCCTTCGATGCTCAGCCCTTATGACCGCCAACACCCAAATGGACTTCGAGCACTCCCTAAACATGAACATGACCACACCGCATCACAAAAAATGGCTACAAGCGGCGATGGACGGCTCAGAAGACTGGAGACTCACAGGAAAAGACTCCGGCAGCAAAAGGGGTCGCCGAGGCGGTTTCTCAGATGCAGGCTCAGCCAAAAAGCCGCGTGGAGACCACAACAACGGCCAAAAAACTGATAATACGGATGACCAGAAAAACAAAGGCTTCCGAGGCAGAGGCAGAGGCCGAGGACGAGGCAGAGGACGAGGTCGCGGAGGAGGAAACAGCAGCAACAATGACGCTCCCAAGAAATTTCAAGATCAAGGAGGCGTCGAGTAAAGCGTCAAGCCTCAGACAGCCAGCGCAAAATAAAACTGCCCCATAGCCACTCTATAAAAACCCTTTAAAAAAAAAACTGCCCCTCAATTAAACAGTAAAAGGGATTAGCCCACCATTCCTAAAAAAAAAAATATATTAAGAATTGTGGCAGTTTCTTAACCCCTGAAGTTTCAGAAATGACCTGGCTGGAACTCGAGAATCTCAAAGAACTCTGGGACATCGCCGAGGCTTTGGCAAGCTTCAACTACCAGGAAGCTTCCCACGAAGATATCATCCAACATTTCCTGGACAGGCTTCTAGTCAGACCGCAGCTTAAAGCCTACGCTTATGGCAAAGGGGTAACCCTCATCCAAGATGTAGCGGCCCTAAAACTAAACAAGGCCCTTAGCCAGAAAGAAAAGCGTCAAATAAAGCTCTGGTGCGAACACAGAGCGAGAGAATCTGCCAAAGAATCGCTTCAATTCCCCAAGGTAAGCGAACGGAAAAACCAAAAAAAAAAACCCAAATTTCAGCAAGCAGAAGTCCTGGAAGAATCGGAAGCAGTTAAGCTTTGGCACGAGCTCATGGAAACTAAAAAACCCAAGCCTCGAGAAGCAGCGATGGCCTTCTTCTTCACCTACGTCACGGGGGCTCGAATGGGCGAAGTTCTGAATCTCCGAATTGAGGACAGAAGCATCCTCAAAGAAAATGGCAAGGAGTACTGGCGCTTCCACATCAGAAGCAGCAAAACAGACCCTTTTTGCAAACGAATGGAAACGCTCAACGTTCCAATGGATATAGAACACGGAGCACCCATCACAACAGAGCTTCGACACCAACTACGTGACAAAGCAAAAGGTACAACAGCACCACGCAAACCCCAAAGCATCAAAAACCTTAAGGCTTAGTGTTTCCGCTTCTAGAAGGAAAAACAAGCATCGCGGGCGACTATCTGAGACGCTACAGTGAAAAGGCAGGACTCGACAAAAAGGTAAGAGCTACGCTAACCGAAAAAAAAATATTTTATGCCAAAATCTAGGTATCAGCCCACTCAGGCCGAGTCAGCTTCTACGTGGAGGGCCGCAGGGCCGGCCAAGCCCAAAACACACTGGCTCACACGATGCGCTGGGCACCAGGAAGCGTCATGCCAGACTATTACGAACGATGCTGGCTGGAATGCACCGATAACGGGGCCCCAGCATCAATTGCAGAGGCTCGAGCAGCTAAGAGGCGCCTCAAAGAACAACCTGAGACACAGCAGGTAGGAATTAAGCCTGAAAATATATTTAAAATAAGTCTAAGACAGGATCAGACTCCGAAGATCCGGAAGATGCTCAAGAAGCTAAGAAGCAGAAGAGCGAAACGGAATAATAAGCCTCTGGTAAAACCTTCGTTCAAACTGCCAATATTTCCAAAATAAAATTGCCATAATGACCTAGCAATGATGAGAATAACAAAAATGGTAGGGGAGGGAATATTCCTGTTACCATATTTATTAATGCGTGATTACTATACGAATATAGGATTCGGATTAGCAGCTTCAAGCATCGGTGGACTCGGATTAGCAACTAAAGAACCGACAGTGCCGTGACCCATTTCCAAAACGGGAGGTGATACAGGCGCAAGAGAGCGAGACACTTAAGCGGCTGCATAGAATCACGCAAGCCAGAACCGAAAATTATAGCCTAGGGCTATAATATTCACAGGGAAAAAGTTAAGAGAATCTTTGAGAGCCTCCAAACTCGCAAAGCCGAGAATTTAATCAACTCTCAAAGACACCCGCCCTCCGTCCCTAGAATAAGCGTTAGTATGTAGGTAAACGAGCACACGCTTACATACTACCCAAGCCATAACCTAGACTCAAAACGGCCAGAGTCTTCCATAGTATTGTAATTGCGCGTGCTCGGGAATATTCCTGTTACCATATTTATTAATGCGTGATTACTATACAATAAATCGATCGTCGCGGGTGAGTGACGAAAATAGAAGGGATGAGAGCGCGGTGATTGGAGGAGCTTGATTTTGACCGTGATATTGGGTGAGAAAAAAAGGGTTGAACAGATGGTGGTTCGATCCTTATCAGATTTTTATTGCGCATTTCTGTGAAAAAGAAGGGATTTCCGAGGGTTATTCAGAGGATTTCTTTTGTAAATATGAAATTTGTAGATATTTTTGAAAATAGACGACATTTTTTGTGTCGCAAAATGTCGCCGAATGTTGCCAAATGTCGCAAAATGTCGCCGAATGTCGCAAAATGTCGCCAAATTTCGCCGAATGTCGAAGAATGTCGCCGAATGTTGCCAAATGTCGTCAAAAAGCCAATAAACACTCTAACCCTAACCTTGAAAATCGGAAGGGCTCTACTTTTGCTCAATTTGGAACTTCATTTTTTTCTTCAAAAAGGTTGATTTTCACCAAATCTTGTAATTCTTGCCAAGTACCATGAGTATGCTTCAAAAAGTCCCTGATTGGAGCCCCTTAATTCTTTTCGAGAGCACTTTTCAATTTCAAGTGGAAATTTTCGATTCTTTTTTATCAAAAAAGGGAAAAATAAATTTTCTAATGAAATAAAGAATATTGTTTTTGAAATTCTCCCTCACGTGCAAAATCAGACGGTGAGAGAGGAAGCGGCGCAAATTTAGAATGAAAAGGTCGTAAAGATGTCAATTTTTTGCATGTTGCTTATTTGTCGATTGTGTCGCCAAATTGACAGAAACATCTGCGATTTGGCCGCGTTCCAAATCTACTCGCAATTAAGAAAATGAAACAGGAAAGCGTTTCGGGGGGCAGGAAACCCGGGGATAAACTCAGAAGCGGAAATGGCTAAACAGGGCTTTTTTACTGTATAATTTACGATAAAGGGCTGGACAACCTGTGTAGAAAGCCTTAGACAGGGTCAGAAAGAACTAAAATGAAAAGCCGCGCAGCGGCTTTTTCAAAAACGAAGCCGCGTAGTGGCTTCGCCAGAATTTTCGATAGAATGTAATGGCTAAATGAGCGAAGCCGCTTTGTGGCTTCGTTTTTCAGAAAGCCGCTGCGCGGCTTTTCATTTCAGTTCTATTAGACCCTGACTTAGGCTTTCTTCTTATGTTTCCAGGCTTAGGATGTCATATCTTCAATTTCCTTAAACTTCTGAAGGAGAAGCACGTGACCAAAAAAAAGGAAGTGACAAAAAGGCGGTCTGATTGAATCGAGTCTGAGTGCTCTCGAGAGTGTAGTCACAGATGGCGAGAAGCTCATAAGGAAGTAGCGGCGAGTTTGATCAGCTACCATGAAACAACTGCACCCTTTTTTCTAACTGCTGGTAAAGTTTCATAATTAGGTCCCTTGGGATCCCTTAATAAAACTCTACCGAATTTTTTTGTTTATTTTTTGCTTATAGAATCTTCAAATAAGGGTTCGAGCTTAGGATATATGGAAGAAAATAAGGGTATCATCATGGTAATTTTGGAAGAAAAGACCTCTTAAAAATTGGTAATTTTTGATGTCTTTTTCGAATTTTTGACGTTAAAATTTGTAAAATCTAAAAATTTTTTTTGCCCTGATTTTTCCGATGATCGAAAATTGCAATAACAGGTCAATTACAGTTATAAAATCCCTCCCTGATAAAAATGTCAAAAATGCGCTGTTTCTCACTCTGGCGCCCTCCGCGCTGCGCCGTCAACTCGCAGCGCTGCAAAAAAAGAGAAGAAATCGAAAAAATCGAGCGGCTCCGTTCTCAGCGTTATCGAGAGGTTTAATAATCCCAACTTATTGCAATTTTAAACACTTCATTCATTCATTTCGCCGCGAATAAGAGACGAAATTGAAGAATTAAAAAAGGAGAGAGTTGAATAAACGAAGAAAAAGAAGATGATAAAAACGGCGAGGAGTTTATTTTCTAGCTGTTGTTCTGGATTTGATGAAAGGTAGAAATATTATTATATAAAATTTTTTAAAAAAGCGAAAATAAAATTCGAAGAAAATAAGAAAATTAGATAAAAAATATCAATAAAAATATTGATTTTACTAAAAAAAGCCGCTAGCGGCTTCGAGGGATCTTTGACAAAAAAACTGCACTTTTCTTGTTTTTCTATTTGACTCAAAACTTCGCCCGAAAACCCCGAGATCTTTAATAACATTGCCATGCAGCGGCTTTTTTTAACTTAGCCGCGAATCGGCTTGTCCGGAACTCGAAACGATTGTTTTCGGCTTTTCATTTGAAATCTATCAGAATCCTGACACAGGGATTTTACTCAGTTATTCGAGCGAAGCTTCGAGTCAAAAAAGAAAGCGCGGCTTTTTTGTCTAAGATCGTTCAAAGCCGCAAGCGGCTTTTCGTTTTTACCATTAATCTTGTCGAAAAAATGCTTATGCTCCGCATTCTTAGAATCATTACTGTATTTGCACATCCCATTCTCAAATCGAGAAATCATCTCATCTCGTGCACAGACGTGAGCAAACACTTTTCCCTCTTTTTCCTGACCTTGAATTATCATTAAATCCAATTTCCTGCATTTTAAGTTGAAAATGAAGTAAACCGCAAGTCGGAAAATGGCAAGTTTTTCTTTTTGTAGCAAGTCGTTAAAAAACATGGTCAGTTCAAGCAAAATCACATAAAAATATTATTGGCAACACAGAAGCATGTAATTTTCACATCAAAATTATGCATTTTTGGAGAAAGCAGCAAATACCAGTTTTAATTGATACCTTTTTTTAATCAATGATTTTTTTTAAGCTTTTTGACTCGAAAAAAAAACTTTTTTTTTTATTTGATTGGAAGCCATTTGACAATGAGCATTTATCGGTGCGAGAAGCCGCTTGCGGCTTCGAGTAATGAAGAAGCCGCGCTTTTTCGCGGCTAGTTTTTTTTGACCAATTGAAGAAAATCTCTAGAAATATCGATGATAATTGAAAATTCGCTTGCGGCTTCGAGTGAATAAGAAACAAGCCGCGGTAAGCGCGGCTTTTAATTTTCTCTCAAACTCGAAGCCGCAAGCGAATTCTTGATTTTCAATCATCATTTGATCTTTATTCTTCAATTGGTCGTTTTTCCCTCCTTCAAAGTAAACAGAGAAAACGAAAGGATCGGAAAATGATGATTTTCGCGGGCTCCAAAAAATTTCCATAAATTTCCGTCATTGTCCATCATTCGCGCCAACTGCGCGTCAAATTGATTTCTGGCCGAAAAAAAGATCATCCTCCAAAAATGTTCTGTTTTCAAGGCATATTGAAATTGAATCTATTTTTGAAGGAAAATCAATAGTCAAGCACTTGTGACTTGGCAGAGTGATAAATCAATAGCGCAATCATCATCATCGTTGAATAGGAAATGAGAACAGCTGTTTTTCAGGTTCTCCTTTTCGAGTGAAGCTGTGTAGAAATCCTGAGTCAGGGTCTGAGTCAGGACTCAGGAGAGTTTTAAATTCAGGCGAAGCCGCGTTGCGGCTTTTTTTCTATAATAGCCGCAACGCGGCTTTTCCCTTTGTTCTTTACGACCCTGAGTCAGGTCTTCTACACAGGTTCCTGAACCCAGTTTTTCCCCAAATTTGGCCAAAAGTTCAGTTTTTTAAATTTTCCGATATGAAATTCCAATCCCTTCCTTTATCCAAAACCCGCTGGTTCAGATTTAATCGCACGTCATTTTACCCCCTCAATTTTTCGCATTCTTAGAGCCAAGGTAAAGTAAACGTAATGATAATTGGATCGAGCTTGGCAGATCATCCGAGCAGATTGAATGACGTGACTAGAGACCGTGCGTTTTTCTATTGTTTTTATTTGCTGATAAGATCGGTTTTATAATGATGGTTAACCCAACCGTGATAAGAGTTAGGAAACTTATTCTTCGCTCGGTAACGTGTGTTGAAAACCTGAGTCAGGCTCTGAAAGAGGCAAAATTTGAAAAGACGCGTCGCGGCTTTTATGAAATCGAAGCCGCTGCGCGGCTTTATTTTGATAAAAGCCGCTACGCGGCTTTTCATTTTTGCTCTTTCAGAACCTAACTCAGGTTTTCTACACAGGTTTTCGAGCCAAGCATTTATCCTTACTAAGGTTTAAAATTTCGTTTTTAGAAGTTAAATAAGGGTATCACTTCGTTATTTTTTCGAGCCAATCTGAAGGTTTCAATCAAATACGCCTTCGGAAAGACCAAAGTTGTGTTCATAATGGCCCCTCCTCATCCCTTAATTATTTTTGACTTTCTTCCGCGGCCAAAATTAGTCAATTAGTGTATCCTTTTCTCAGCAGAGGTCATTTACCGGTCAGCGTGGTCTCCTCTTTTTTGCTACTGTCGCAACCACGTGATCTCATGAATTTGTGAAACATGATTTTTCTTCATAATTATCATCCCCAAAGGTCGCTGTATAACGAGATGAGCTGTGAGCTGCGCGGAGCTTCTTACCGGATTTTTCGCGTTTTAGAAAACTTGGAATTTGGAATTTTTAATTCTTTCATTTTGACTCGGGATCAAGGGATCTTATCAAATCAAGGCAGGAGCTTATCTCATTAAAACCAAATACGGGTACGTCTGATGCCCGCCATGAGCAAATATATGTTCTAATAAGGGACACGCAAATTGGAGAAGTAGAATTTTCTCCCGTTCGATTTTGGCGAATTTGATGGTTATTACTTAAGCCTTAAGTCTTAAGGGTATCCATAAATTAACTCATTCAAGCTCTAGAACTCTTCATAAGCTACGTTTTGGCTATAAAGTCTTAGGGACTCCTAAGGGTATACAGGGAGAAAACGCTGTTTGAAGATTAGACAAAGTTGAGGGGTTCCTTAAGTTGAAATCTTCTTATTAAATAATTAAGGAAAAAGACAATATTTTAAAATAACTCTAGTCTAGAGTCTCTAGAACTAGATCTATTTCGTTTTTGGCCAATTTGACAGTAATAACTTAAGGGTATCAATAAAGTAACTCCTGTTTGCTCTAGAACCCATCATAAGCTTCATTTTGATAATAAAATCTTAAGGCCTCCTAGGGATTTACGGGGAGAAAAAGCTGTTTAAAAATTTCGACAAGGTCGGGGGGATCCTTAAGTTGAAAATTCTATATTTGAGAATTTAGGAACAATGATTTTATTTAAGAATTTTTCGTTAGAAAATTAAAACTGTCACTTCTATTTATAAAAAAACTGTAAACTTAGCTCTAAAAATCTAAAACACATGTTTTTCGCAACGGTTTTTTATTTTAGCCGCTGCGCGCAAAAAATAACTTTCGAAATAAATTTTTCAAAAAAGATTAATTTCAAAGAACTAAAAACGCGAAAACAAAGCACGATAAGGAACGGTATCGAAACCTCAGCACAGCTGTATTTTCAGCGCAAAATACGTGGAGCGAGAGTTTTCGATAAGCTCGAGCAAATATGACGGATACCCGGAGTGGTTTTGCTGGGATAATGAAGATTCTATCGTTGTTTCAAGGATTTCCCTATCAATAATAATTTCTAACATTTTTTCACAAAAACACTTTTTTTAAACACTTTTTCGCGAACTTGATATTGCTAATTGAAACGCAAAATTTTAAACAATTTATGCAGGGGTCTAATTAGAATAATTTATCGAAGAAAATATTCAACCGCGAAACAATTTAGTGGTTTAACGGAGTCAAACAAAAAATACGTTCAACATTAAAACTTCACAAAAACAAGATCAACTTTGCCGGTCTTGAGAGAAAAGAGATAGACAAAAAGAAGGTCCCCACATTAACAGGCAATTTTTTCGCGTTAAAATGGGGACCTTCTATTTTGTTAAAAATTCAAATTAGAAGGATTGTTCAACTTTCCGCTGAGCTCAATCTTTTCAAATGAAAAGAAAATTGAGTCCATGAAAACTGCGATTTTCCGCAATTGAAAAATTTCTTGTTGAAATAATGTTTCCTTGTAATGATTCCAATGGTCAAGTTTTCTTAATCTCGTTTCATTTTATTTAACAAGAACTTGCGTCAGATCAAAGCCAGGCACGTGGGGAAGACTCAATTAATGAGTTTTTAGAAAACTAAGCAAAAATCAAATTGTTCCATTTGACTCCTCGAAAATCGAGGAATCGAAAAATGGGTGGATCAGGAATTGAAAAAGAGAAACAACGGTGGCTGGATTATGCGACCGGTCGAATACGCTTTCCGGTTCCCATTGAAGCTCAACCCTTGCTTACGTTATTCGCATTCCTGGAGATTCAAATTCGATTACTGAATTTTCAGAATTTCAATTTGACCACGACTTTTTTATTTGTTCTGAAAAATAATTCTGTCAGTTTTTTGTCACGAATCGTAAAAAATCTTGACAAATTTTGCTTGGGCGGCTATTCGGCTGCTGATTGGCCGCATTCCCGAATAAATGCTTCTGGTTGGCTGAAAATTTCCATGCAAAATTTGTCGGGATTATTTGTCGGTTCCTTATCTTAGGCTGGTGGCCTAGCCCTTACCCTAACCCTCACCTAGTTTATCAGAAAAATCATCATCTTTTTAGACAACGGAGTATGGAAGACATCACCGAGCGAACAACTGATTTTTCCTCCTTCAAACTGCATCGCCCCTTTCCGCGAAAAACCCTGCCCCCGGAAAACCTGGTCAGGAAAGGGTTATTCTTTGCTGTTTATAAAACTATGATTCGAAAATCAAATCAAGTGCGGTTTTATTGAATTAAACAAACGAGAATACGTGGTTTGTCAACTAACGGCTTGTTGAAAAAACAATGTGGTAAGAAAAACACACGTTTTTTTTTACTCCGAAAATGCTGTTTTTGAAATTTTACGGAAATTGCTATTCAAGATAAATGAAAAAATATGAAATATATAAAATTTTCCCGTAAAAATTGACAATATGAGCGTTTGAACTTGATTTTTATTGAAAATAAGGGGTTCACTGCGAATTTAAAGGTATTTGAATATTTCTTTTTCCAAAAATAAGCACAGGTAGACCCTTATTTTCAATAAAAATCAACTGTTAACCCTTTTTTCGCCATTAAAAAGTAAAATTTGCAGCTTTGACCAAATTTTTTGACAATTTTTGACTAAGAAACTGCCATGAAATTCAAGAAATCGACCTTTTCTTGACTTTTTAGTCGAAATTTACTCAGAAATATTCATCAAAAATATTTTTTTTTATTGAACGACATTCTGACTACTTGACTGAGGATTTTCGACGCGCATATTTTTCATAATTTTAATTTGAAATAAGATATCGATTTTTTATTAATTTCATTGAACAAGGGAGCCTGATGATCAGTTTGTCAATTTTAATTTTGAAACAGGGCCAAAATGAACACCTGTTTTTCATTCTGAATAATTCAAATCGACAAACGAAAAGTCACACGATAGTAAAAAAATAAAATAAGAAAAATCGACCGGAGAGGATTTCCGCTCTGATAAACCCGTATTACGGGTCCCGTAAGACTACGGCTTATCGCGTTTGGTAAAACGTTGTTCGCTTGGCTGAAATGAGCTGGGAGCGGAAATATGATTGAGACGATAATGAAGAATTACTGTTGTGATTTGATAAGCTAATCGACCATTTCCTACTCAGCGAACGCTGATTTAGGGGGTCTGAACCGAGATTTTCGACTGTTAAGGGTTTCAACATCGATTGAGTAAGGGTTAAGGTTAGGTGCGCAAAAATGATGAAATCGATGTTGACACCCTTAATATTCTCTGTCAAAAATAGCTCGAAAGACGGAAAAAAGAAACTGCCGATTTTCGATGTTTTCGATTGGTGCACAATTTTCGATGAAATTTTGAGCCAAAATTTTGGAGAATTTTTTTGCAATTTTTACCATTTTTCTGACAATTTTTTCTCAAAAGAGTCAATTTTCGGCGAAATTTTCTTCCGAAACCGAATTCAGCAAAGAATAACTCATAAAAGCTGCAGTTCAAATCTATACCTCCCCGATCCGCCGCGCGATTACCTCGACCTTCCGCTAAGGTCACCTTACTGTCTGCTCTCTTCGGATTCTTCCACGACAGAATACTCAGAAAATGGGACAACTTCAGGTTCAGAGAAGCAATTGGACTGGATCTACCCGACTTACAGGCTGCTCAAGAGCTCGGTGGAATATACTGTTTTATATCTTGGAAAAGAAGACGTAAGTTAAATCAAAAATATTCGTTTAGTAAAAATTTTCTAGTGCTACGGCCAATCAAATCAGCAAGCAGTAACGGACTGTAACACGAATCTGATGCGCGAAATGTCTCGCCCGGAAAAGATCCGTCTCAGGATAAATGCGACGTCGATTTGTCTGGTCTCCGACGAAACAGATAAAGTGACGAAAAAGTTCAAAGTCCAAAATGTTGCGTTTGCAGCTCAGGATACCAATTTGGAGTTTGTTTTCAGGAATCGGGATTGAAATCAAGGAAGAATCACATTATTTTTCAACCAACTCATTTTCCATTGTGTCCTTGGCAAAGTAAAAAATCCCGAAAAAGCTTCATTGTCCAAGAAAAACGCCGGTACATGTGCCACAGTTTCAAGGGTTCAACCAATCTTCATACAGAACGAGTTCTGATGGCTCTTGGACAAGCTTTTGAAGGAAGGTTTTGAACACCAGAAAAGCCGTTTTTTAAGACAGCGAAATTCAAAACCGATCAAGTTGCCTTTCAGTTGAAAAAGTCCAAGACCCGTTTTTCAACCTCTGATTCGGGAATGAACGATGATGGTTCTCTGCCGCGAAATTCCGACTCGGAATCAGAGTGTTCTTTTTCAGCGTATCCGAGACGCGCGACTTTGCCTCAGCAGGATTTTTATCCATAAAAAAGCAAAAAACTGTACATTTCAAACTGTAAATAGAATAATTGTTCAATAAACCTCAAGCTCAATATTTCTTTTATATTCTTCTTGGCATCCTTGAAGATGAAAATGAAGGAAAAAAACATTGGAAATCAACGAAGAGAATTTATTTTCGAAAGCATTTTTGTCCTTTTCAAGCGTCGAAAAAGGAGAACTTGCTTTCGAATCGAAATGAACAAAAGTTCAAGGTCAAAAACGATTGGAACGACCATTGATTGCAAATTCATCTCGCTAAGAGCTCATAATTTATGCAGTTTCTATGCTTAATATACCATACAAAAATAACATACCAAGAGGCTCAGGTTCATTTTATCACCGCGAAATTCTACATCACAGAAAACTAGGGACAGTCACGTGTCATCAGCTTTTTGTTGCTTTCGTGAAAATAATTGATAAGCTTCTATTTTAAGGGCTGATAACTAGGTAAACTTGATGAAAAATGAGCTCTTTTTAGAGCTTATAAATCAGGGAGTATAATACAGTTTTAGAATTCTCAGAAGCTGGGGATCATTTTGACTATTGACACTTGGGGGTTTTGCTCATGCCCTGAGGGGTTTTAGGCCTTCCAAAGTCCCAAAATTTGGCCAATCTCGGTTAGAGGCTCATAACTTTTTTTCTCCCCACTTCTGGAGAAAGCCCACTATATGAGCTTGTAGAGGAGGCTCTGACGGTTCAGAATATGTATAGAAAACCACCGGACACCCCCCATTCTAGAGGCTCTAGAAGGTCTGGAAGTTGGGGAAGTCACAGGAAAATCAGTACTTTTTTTACGAAAATAGAGTAAAAGTGCAATATTTTTATCGGACATCGTTAGAAAAACGTTTTTACTGACTTTCTGACGCACAAAATTTACTCTGGGTTCATTTGAGGTCACGTGGGGTCATATTGTGAGAAAAAATTGAATTTCGTAAAAACTCACCTCGAAAGGACCCCAGACTAAATTTTGTGCGTCATAAAATCAGTAAATACGTTTTTTTACGATTTCCGATGAAAATATTGCACTTTTACTCTATTTCCGTAAAAATGTACTGATTTTCCTGTGACTTCCCCAACTTCCGGGCCTTCCAGAGGCTCTAGAATGGGGGGTGTCCGGTAGTTTTCTATACATATTCTGAACCGTTAGAGCCTCCTCTACAAGCTCATATAGTGGGCTTTCTCCAGAAGTGGGGAGAAGAAAAGTTATGAGCCTCTAACCGAGATTGGCCAAATTTTGGGACTTTGGAAGGCCTAAAACCCCTCAGGGCATGAGCAAAACCCCCAAGTGTCAATAGTCAAAATGATCCCCAGCTTCTGAGAATTCTAAAACTGTATTATACTCCCTGATTTATAAGCTCTAAAAAGAGCTCATTTTTCATCAAGTTTACCTACTGATAACAGACAAAAACAACACTTTCTTAAAAAATAATCTTCGAAAAAATCAGCCAATCAGAAGCCCGTATTTCGCCTACCAGCGAATAAGAAGCCGCCATTTTTTTCGTGAAATTTATCGTTTTTTTTTTCTAAAAAAATGCTCTCTTTGATAATTTTAGAGGTCAGTGACCTTCCTTACCTCCCAATTTTATTCAATATCTTGCCTGATTTTGCGTCAATAATTTCTTTGACAACAAGACTATTGAGATAGAAGGGCCGATTCAAAGGCAAATCGAAGAAACTGTCGATGATATAGCCGGCCAAATCATAATTAAAAATCGAAAGTCAAAAATTAACAAAGTAAAATCAAATCAGCAGCAAAAGATCGATTTGGAAGGAGTCTTTTGGGGTGTTTACTAATTAGGATTGACCAGCCCTTCAAAGAAAGTCCTTGAAGATTGGGATTGATCACGTGATCAGCGCAGATGGCGGTACAGAGCTTCATACCGAGGGTGAGAAAAAGGGACAAATTATTGTGAAAAAATAGATAAAGACTTGATTACAAAGAAGAAAATCGGTTTTCGATAATGATTTATGCATTTTTTCAATTATTACTGTATTCGACTGTATATGGATCAGAATTCGAAGCAGATATTTATGAGAAGATCAAATACTATGATAAGAGAATTCGACCTTTTGAAAAACGAGCGCCGACGGGAGTCAGGAAAGAGGATAAAAAGTCCCAAATTAAGGGTGTCAACAACGATTTGGCCATTTTTCACCTGTTTTTTTCTGTATCTTCCCTTATCATATTTGGCTATTTTTTCGCGGTATATTTGAGATTTAACCCTAGTCTACCTGCATAATCCTTTGAAAGAGTGAGCTATCATATTCCAAACTTGGACTCAGTAGATGAACAAGCAATGGATTACAGATTGGGATTGTTTCTGAGAATGCGCTGGAAGGATCCGAGGCTCAGCTGGGGCAATATTACTCAGTGCATCGAGCGTACTGGGAGTAGAAGAGGTACAAACTTATTGACAAAAATGTTCTGATTGTCTGTTTTATGCTCAAAAACAGCCAATCAGAAGCTTGTATGAGGTCTATCGGCCAATCAGCAGACGCGATTTCTAGTCATAATAAAAGTCTAAATTTTAAATTTAATGAAAAATAATGACTTTGTTGAAATTTGCAATATAACCAAGTGTCCCTCTCTTTGTTCATTCTTCGAGCCAAAAATACAGTCAGCGAGTTTTCCCGTCGAAATTAATTAATCACGGAATTAAGAGTGCAACAGGGTGATGACTGTCCACCCCGACGTCATGGACAAAATATGGATTCCGGATTTATTTTTTTCCAACGAGAAAAGCGCGCGGATTCACCAGATGATCACGAATAACACCCTGCTCCGCGTGTCTAATCATGGCGATGTCTATGTTTCAATTAGGCTTTCGCTGGTGCTTTCTTGCCATTTGTGTAAGGGCTGATTTTGGCAGGATGCGTTTGTTTTGAGACAAATAGGGATTCGGCGAAAAAGTGATGTCTCTTTTGAATATTTAAAAAGATGAAGACATACGATTTGTTTTTCCTCTTTTGTGACATCAAATTTGTGAGTTATTTATTCTGACAATTGAAGAGGCCGCCAAAAATGTCTGTTCTTGTCAGAAAAAAAATCTTGTCTTTCATAGATTAAGGGTAGGGGGCCCTCAATGGAGGCCCAAGAGGGTCGCCATTTAATTGGATTTCGGAGGCATACCCTTAAAGTTTAACCCTGACCCTTAAAGTTTAAGGGTATCCCTCCAAAATCTCCGAAAATTAAGGGCGTTAAACGATCAAAACTGTGCAAAAATTATAACCCTCTTTTGAAGCTATTATTATTCTATGCAGAAAATTAAGAATCTACGAATCTGCTTGTCAGCCCGTAAAAGCTTTTGCACCGATTTCCCTTGGACGTACAATGCTGTAAAATCCGCGCCGAGTCATTTGGCTACGACGAGAGGGATGTGGTATTCGAGTGGACGCGTAAAAAGCCGCTCGACATGGCCGATGACCTGACTCTACCACAGTTTAAATTATTGGGATCAACATACAAAAGCTGCTCGATTGTGTACTCAAGGGACGGGGATTTCATTAATTGATTGTTAAAATTTCTTATGAAAAAATTGCTTTTGAACTTTCATTTTACTAAATCGACGAATACAGTAAAAAAGAATATACAGACAGATTGTTGGCAAAAAGCCTTCCTGAGAGATTGGTTTTTCTGATTATCCCTGATTAGTGGCAACTACACATGTCTCGAAGCGAGCTTTATTCTGCGCCGCGAGTTGGGGTACTATCTCATTCAAATGTATATTCCAAGCTTGCTCATTGTCGTCCTCAGGAATGGAATCAGAAATGATGCAAGCAGGAGTACTTTTAATTAAGGGTGTCAACAACGATTTGACCAATTTCGGCCCTTGCTCGTTTATGATTGGCTGACATAATATATACTGGCTTCTGATTGGACGAGAGTGTTATGATATAACTTATGTTTATGCAGCTGAGTGCCCAGGTTAGCCTGAGCATCTCGTTCCATCCTGACGATATGCGTCGTGCATAATTGATCAACCAATAAGAACCTGGATGGCTCGGGATGCAGCGTAGGATAGCCTGGGGGCTCAGCGATCAGTATATAAGGAAGACACCTTCCTTCAGATCAGTAACGTTCTCATTTCATACCATGTGCAAGACATGAAATAAAACACAAAATACGTTATACCAAAATATGCGTTAGTTTTTATTGCAAGATTGATACACCATTGCAAGGCAGCGCATAACATTGGTGTCAGAAGTATAAACAAACCCAGCGCCAGGTATGAATTTTAGGAAAATATTAAGAAAGGTAAAAATATTTATGAATCTTCACGCTGGTAGCTTAGAAGAAACATAACAATTCATCAAAACGCGGTAAGTCTTTGAAAAACCATCAAAATTTTATGATTTTCTAAAGTGAACCTGCGTGTAGGATTTCTTTATAATTCATAAAAGCGGAAAAGAGACTCTAAAAATAATGAAAGCTAAATGAAAAATTTATAAACCCCCACACGTGTAAGCTCAGAATAAACATTTAAATTTATAAAAGCACTAGAAGTCTTTGAAACACCATCAAAATTTTATGATTCTCGAAAGCGAGCATGCCTGGGGGATTATTTATTATTCATCTAGATGCAAGCTAGAAACTCTGAAATAGGAATTAAAATTCATAGACTTGCAAGGCTTTTGAAATAATGAAACATGAGAAGGAATACGCGCTGCGAAAGTTCAAAAGAGACGTTAACTCAGTCTCTTCTCGAGCGGATACGCGCTAAGTCGTATTCATAATTCATCAAAAACTGAGCAAAACGTCTGAAGAAACAATTAGAATTCATTAACGGGCAGACTCAAAGAAGTTATGAAACTTTCAAAGGAATAAATAATTTGATACTTCAGAAGAAACTTATAATTCAGTCTCTTTGAGAACAACGATACCTGAAGGTTTATTCATTATTCATAAAAACGCAGAGAAGAGACTCTGAAATGGATAATTCATATGAATAGACTGTTGATGTTCAAAGAAATAATGAAAATTCCAAAGG